CTCCTGCGCAGCCGGGTAACCATCAGTCCAGCAAATGAAAACGCCCTTTCGCACTCGGCAGACATGGGCGGGACGGATAGCATATCGAAAGCCATCCGCGCCAGCCGCGGATATGTCGCCTCTTTGAGTTTCCAGTACTGAAATGGATCATTGATCTCCCGTCGTCTGCCCCGATATCGACGGTCCAACGATCCAACTCGTCGGCGATAGGGCGCGTCGGCAGCCGGTAATCACCATTCGTGATATGGCTCGATTGCACCTGTGCCTCATTCGAAACTTTTGAAATCGTCCAGATCGTCGGGTGGCTGGAAATTCTCCACAGCAGTGGCTGGACCCTCCTCCTCGACGTTCAGCGACTTATAGTCACTTTCCCAGATGGCTCGGACGATCCGCCGGGCTTCCGTGACCCATTCGGGTCGATGAGCCCAAGCTTCTTCGAACCACTGTAACCGCAAGGCAGGATGCAGAGCGATGGCCGAGTAGTATATCGGACACTCGATGAGTTTCGCGTAGTACTTATCCAATTTTTCCAACCCAATTCGACGTTGATTGCGAAGTGGCCAGAATCCGGCAGGTCTCTGGCCATCGTTTTGGCTTCTTCAAGCTTCTCCAGAAGATATTCGAACGCCTGGATGATATCCCATGCGGTTCCATAGGCTATGAGCTTCCCGTCTTTGCGGACACGGACTTGCGCGTCTCCTTCAAGTGCCTTGAGAGCATTGGCAAAATGTCTCAGGACATCTCGGAAATTGCTGATCACCATCCAATCGTTCTCCGTCAGTAAATCCTCATCTCGTATACACGCAGGCCTGGCTCTACTTCTCGACCTGCCTCTGCTGTGCTCGAACTGTTCGATCGCGACAAGGTCGTCGAGAAATTCGCGAAGGAGAAGAGCCCGATCCATCATTTTGTAATGAGACAGCCAGCGCGTCATGTTATCGGTCACAACGTCGACCGGCCTTTTCGTACCATCCTTCTTCTCCTGCAGGCTCCGTAGTAGATAGGTCAGCCTGTCGGATCGATGAATCCAATGGACGAGATTGTGGAGTTTGCCGATCGGACCTTTTTTTCGCCAAAGGTTGTGCTGAGCCAGGTCGAGAATATTGGTACGATCTTCTGAATCGAAGACCTCGTCGTCTTTCCAAAGAGCAGTGCTTTCGCTACAAGGTTGATAATATGTCCAAAGCAGCGGACCCTTCTTTGCCTCCCATCGAAACTGAATTGGTCACCCAGGGCCCTCATCGCGGTGTCGTTGTTCTCCGCGTTATCCAACGTGAAGTAGCCAATCTTATCCTGTATCTCGAACGAGGTGATGACTTCTGCCACCTGAGAAGCGATGTTCTCTCCAGTATGGGACTGCCGCAACTCAGGCATTCCGAGAAGTATTTTTTGTGGGCGCTTTTCCTTGGACAGGTAGAACGCAGCAATCCCGTACACAGCGTGCCGATTGGGCGATCTCCAGCCGTCAAACGCAAGATGGATACGGCCGGGGCACTCTTTCAATTCCTTCACCACAACGCCCTTGTATTGGTGATACTCTTCGAAAAGCCTGGACCGAATGGTCGTGTGAGTCATGTGACTGGGTCAGGCCAATTGAAGGATTGAGATAGTCGAGCAGAGAACGGAATCGAGGGGCTTCGATGGCGCGAAAGGCAACATTTGACTCGGTGATCCAAGCAAGTAGGAGTGATTGGAACACATTCTTATCAAAGTGATTCTTGAGCGTGTTGATCAAGGCCTGCTCTTTGCCGTCGTTTGCGTCGAGCTCGAAGAACTGTGCGATAGAGCGCTTCTTTGTTGTCGTACCTTTCGGCAGACGTTTCCCAACGGCCCAGAAATGCGGTGCGCATCGTGCAGATGGCGCTCGATATTTGTCGTTCCCTTCGCTGCAAAGCTTGGGGGTCCTTGGGGCGATTTCTTGACCGAACAGGTCCCGCATACCCACAGCCTATTGTCCCCGTTGTCTTGATGCTCAATGTCAAACCCAAAGCGCCAAATCCACGACTTGAGCTTGCCGGCGCGTTGGGATTTGGTGTAGCCGCGAAAGTGCTGCCATGGAAATGTTTCCCATTCTCGACTGCCTTGGGGGCCTGCAGAAGGCAAAGAATCGAGATAGTCGCCCATCTAAGAGAAGAGTGGGATAATATGAGAGGCGTTACAAACATCCCGATTGCGGCACGATGATTGGGTCACTTTCCCTTACTCATGAACGCGTGGACGCCAGGTTCAGACACGAGCGCGTCGCGTTCATAACAGCAAGGACTCTTGTCAGAATGGATGATTGGTCCAATTGTCAATCTGCCCTGAGCTGCTGACGCTTCGGCTTGGGTGAGATTTCTTCATATAATCCACTGGTCATCTACCCTACACACTTTCCACCGTCAACGGCAATTCCGTCAATCCCGTCAATCAACGCGAGATCGGATTGAATTGCCGGCTTAATCAGCCGACCATCGATTGCGTTGATTGAGTTGCCAGTTGCTCAACTGGATTGAGCAACCGGTTGCCAGGATTGAGTGGTTTGCCAGCCTGGTTCTCCTATAACCTTTCACGCCTAGTCTTGCGACGCGTAAGGTTTACTATGAGGGCCGGTGCGCCAGCTAGTAGCGAGCATGATATATAGCGGGCGAGAGCGCGCACCCCCTTTAGAAATTCAAGGTAAGGGGCAGGCAGTGAAGCTGTCCCTGTTCCCGTGTTGTGTGCTAACTAACGGTGCAAGAGAAGCCTTGCTTAGGTCGACGCCTCAACGGTAAGTGCTGCGAAACGTGAATTCGCAAGGGCCCTCTAGGCCACGGAGACCACGGAACAGCTAAGAGGGAGTGCTAACCTGCAAGGTGGTGGACGCGCCATAGAGCACCTTATGTGGGGACCAGGTGCGACGACAGGCAGTATCCCGAGGCAAGAAAACGACGCTATAAATAGGCGGGGCGGGCTGGCGTTAGTACGTATCTTAAAAATGGGGTAAGTGTGTAAATAGCAATATGCTATTGTATAAATAGTAATACTTATTAATAATAATAATATTATTATTATTATTTATCTAGCTAGGTATTAAAAATACCTATAGCTTGGTATTTATAGGAGAAACCTTAGCTTAACGCCTTTAGACGAAACTCTATAATCTACTTCTCGTCGGCTTTAGGCCTAGGCATTATTAGGCCCGGTATACTTCTTTAAGAGGGCGGGCAAGCTTTCTAATAGTACTGTTAGACGACGACGACTGTCAACCGGTAGATCATTGGACCGGTGGGTCGTGGTCTAAGCCTAGTCACCCTTCTTCTTAGCAAGCAGCCAGCCATTACCTAGCCGGCTGAAGACGCTTCCTTTAGAGGAAGAATCGAGCTTCTTACACACACGCGCGCACATGCAAGATTGGTCCAACGGGCCACGCAACAAGTACTGTCACGGGGCTAAGGCCCTTTGGTTGGTTGTTTGACTTGGACCCAACGTTCTTACGTGTGGTTAATTAACAAAGCTGTCGCTTAGTCAATTCCGTTGCCTTGTGTCACACTCGTACAGTCGGCCTCTGTGGCAGGGGGGGTCCAGTAAGTTAGCGCGACCACTGCTTTTGCCCATTCCGGCCAAAATCCTTACAAGTACTCTCCAGCCCGGGAAAAAGAAGAGGTTAGGCCATAGCTTAAAGCATATAGTGCAGGCTGAACTTGCAGACGTAGTGTTACGGGATGGAAGCCAGACCTACGAGGAACCAGGAGGGTCTGGCCCGATCACGTATACTAGCTAGAGACACTAGACTCGTCAGCATGTAAGGCAGACTTAACGTCCATAGAGCCAAAAGAGACAAGCCTTTACCTCCCACTACTCGGACAGCATATCGTGCGACTGTGTAGAGTCACGGGAGGATCTCGTCAGACATAGCGAGAATCACTACGTATTTTGACGGCCAAGATCGTACCCATATGGACACAACCCCTGATAAGGTCTGACGGTCCTAAGCTTCTTTCCCGTGTACTTAAAGACTCCGAGGTGCGTAGATCATCTGATCAAGGGCGTCTCATCCTTTCATAATCAATTTGAACGTTCATTTTCCCCTCAATCGAGAGTTGCCAATCATGCAGCGCCCCGGCTTGACAAGAATCATGGAGTGAAAAAGTATCAGGACTAAGCATCTACGAGCGCAAGACTCTCAGAGCCACTTGCGACGTCGATGATTGGATTATCCCAAGGTCTATGAAGACGTTAACTACTTTATTTACCCTTAGCCGTATGCTGCGCGTGCTTTAGGTATATGCCCTCATCCCCGTCAAAGTACGTATCAATAATATGAAAAAAGACTACTTGATTAAAATACCCGGATTGCCGCCGGCAAAGGGGTAGGCAAAGCTGGTGCAGCCGGTGCAGGGGCGGGCTCTTTGCCTGCAGCGGGTTCTGCCTGTGGCGCACCTTCGCACTACAAACGTCATCACTTCACACGTTAGGAAGGCATAAGGTCGGCAGGAGATCTATTTCCGGCTGATTTTCAGGGGAATTCCGGCCAATTGCCACATGAGTTGAAATCATCTGGCCAAATACATGCTAGTAGACCTGTTAAAGGAGTTGAGCCCATTAAAGAATTAGCGCAGGAAGCTGCTGTTTGCCCACCTTCTGGTGCGCCCATTGCGCAAAGCTTACAGCTTGGCTTAAATGCTTTATTTACAGTTTTGCAAAAGAACAAAGGCCATGGCTGGGTTTTTTTTCTGCCTCCGCCCTAATTTTCGGCTGCCTAATCTCAGTGTTGAGCTTAATTGGGTGATCCCGTGGCGGAAGGTGTGTGACTCACAGCCTTTCTCGTAGTCTATATTCTTCCTTCCTCACCGACGAAACTTCCCTCTTTCCCAAACCGACCGTTCCCCGCTGCACGCAGAACTTCGTTCTTTCATTATCAAAGCTTCTCTTCTTCTCCAACCGGCAGTTCATTGTCTGTAAGCAAACTTCATTCTTACACCAAGCGTCGTCTCTTCTCCAAGCAGCTGCTGACCATCTGTACACAGAAATTCTCCATCATGGCTTCATCGTCCGATCCGCGACGCCGCGACAACTCTTCCGAATCATTCGAAGACAATCTTGCAAACAATCTCCAGCTTTTGAGCTTCCTCGAAGCCATCGCGGACGACGAAACCTCGTCCGCTGCCCCTCAACCTGCAGGCGGCCATCTTGGACCTGCCGATGGCGAGCTGAAGCGAATGCTCTCGCTTCACAGCGTCATCTGTACGGCATCTTCAGATGCCAAACACTACACCGCTGCTCAACAGCGCGATAGCGAGTCATTCAAGAAGATTGGTGCCGGTGCCTGTGGGATCATCTTCTGCCAAGAGGGAAAGTCTCTCGTCGTCAAATTTGCGAAAGCTGGATATCAGCCTGATCTGTTCAACGACTTCAAGAGCCACTCGACAATCCAGGCCGGGTTCGAAGCGTACGGTACCGGGGATGTCAAGATTCCGGCTTGTCTCTCCTTTGTTCCGAGCGACGATCCAATTTTCTTCGACTGCCGCCCTACCCTCCTCGAGGCAGCTCAATCCCAGTGCGATCTCCCGACTTGCGCTGTTGTCACTGAGCGAATTTGGCCGCTTCCAGAGGCTACGCGAACTCTGCTCATCGAACGATACTGCGCGAACCGGAACAAGGAGAACGCCTTGGCCGACCAAGCCAACAAAGACTGCTTGGTACGGCCTTATCTTGGTTCATCGCGCGGCAGAAGCAGCGCGATGTTCTTCTCCCTGAGGAACTTCAAAATGCACCTGAATCAAATGATGGAGATCCAGCTGGACGTTGTGGAGATGGCTCGTAGGATGGCTGTCGCCATGGCAATCATGCACTGGGCCGCAAAGACAGATGCCAGGGACGTGGAATTTGTCCTTGGGAGTTCAACGCTGAAGAAGCCGTCTGGCGCCGAAAATCGCGACCTCGCGAATCAGAACGGGCCGCACCGATACATCGGGCCACCATCGCGCCTGGATGAGGATTTCTACCATCGGACCACCGAGCTTTGGATTCTGGACTTCAACCAAGTCAGACCCATTACCATGGATGCAGCAGGTGTCGCTCAGGCCGTGCAGGCTGCGACAATCAATGACCCCTATCTGCCCAAGCCTCTTCAATCGTCCGCAGCTGAGATCAAGGTTTGGAATGCCTTTGTCAAAAGCTACTTGACCACTTCCCGCCGCATCCTGGAGGACCATGGTGAGGGTGGGATGGCTCTGCCAGGCATGTTTTTGCAGGGGCTCATTGACGTGCAGAGGGAGAAGCAAGCATGAGTGTCGGCAGGTAGTGGCAGGTAGTGAATAGTTTTACTCATAGAGTCTAAGAGAGACCTAGATCGAGGTTTGGAATCCCTTTGTTAAAAGCTACTTGACCACTTCCCACCGCATCCTGGAGGACCATAGTGAGGGTGGAATGGCTCTGCCAGGCATGTGTTTGCAGGGGTTCATTGATGTGCAGAGGGAAAAGCAAGCACGTGATTCTGGCACACCACCTGTCAAGTGAGTGTCGGCAGGCACGGAGCACTTCACATCTTTAGCTCGCAAGCCGCGGTGTGTGCGGCGAGGTCGCGATAGCTTCAAATTCGGCATGGTTGTGTAATGGGCGGGGCGGGCCGGCGCTGGTACGTATCTTAAAAATGGGGCGAGTGTGCAAATAGCAATATGCTAGTGTGCCAATAGCAATACTCTAAATAATATATGTGAATGCGGCAATTGGCCGGAATTCCCCTGAAAGTTAGCCGGAAATAGGTCTGCTGTCGACCTTATGCCTTCTTAATGTGTGAATTGACGACGTTTGTAGGCCCCGACTAACCAGCCGACGTGTCTGCCTAACCGGCCGAAATAAATAGGGTAAGTGTGGCTGGTCGAGGCGCAGGCTTTGTACCGCAAATTTAGGTGTATGTACATGTTCCCCGCGCCTACTGCGCTGTCTGCCATAAGAGTAAAATTTGCATCCCTTAACCTGCACGGCTAATATTCGGCATGCAAAAAGAGTGGGAAGTGTGGCTGGTTGAAGCGCTAATTGCGGTATCGGATTAGCGCCTTAACCAGCCACACTTCCCACTTTTCTTTTGCATGCCGAATAGCCAGAGCTGCATGCCGGTTAGTCAGGGCCCAAATTGAAGCTATTCACATCACGACTTCCGCACTAAGAAGCCGCCGCAGGCACGGCAGCCGCAGGCAGGCTCAATTCGTTTAAATAGCGCATCTTTGGCCCTCGAGCTCGAATGTGTGTAAATGACGTAAGCAGCCTACGCCTGCCTCGGTGCCCGTAGGTGCGAATAGCTTCACTTTACTCGAAGGCGGGTAGGTACGCGCAGAGGGGGGCGCGCGGTAGTCGCGAGGATCATGTACACTCAAATTTGCGGTACAAAGTCTGCGGCGTCACCAGCCATACTTCCCCCGCTTTTATCGGCCGGTTAGGCAACATGTCGGCTGGTTAGTCCCTCCCGTTTGTAGTTGTCAGCAGGATAAGGGGGTGCCCCTATTTTGCTGGTGGTCAAGTGGTATTTGCTATGTTTGACAGTAGTGTTAAGATGCCCCATAGGCAGAGCCCACCGCAGCACGGGCTGCACCAGCTTTGCTTACCCCCATCGCCGGCGGCAATCCGGGTATCTTAATCAAGTAGTCTTTTGTCATATTGTTGCTACATACATTTCCTACGACAAGTCTTCTCGAAGCCGAGTCTAAGAGAGATCTATCTCATTCCTGGCTTTCCGGCTCTGGACGGCTGCTTTCTGCCCTTTCAGTCTCGCAATTCTCCATCGTGCTTGCCTCTTTCGCCGTAAAGAAGGGGTGACTTGCTTCCAGCTGACGACCCTGGCAAATGTAGCCCATAGGGGTGTGCAGAATATCTTGCCCTTTGCGCCGGATGGTCAACCATTCGAGCAGAAAGGCGTAGATATCCCCAGCTGAGGTGCCTGCGGAAGCTTTCCCAGATGCAGCTCCAGCAGATGTGGCGCCGCCGACTTTGACCACGGAGCGTAGGTGCTCCAGGAGCATCGAATATTCCTCCAAATCGAAATACAATCTAGCGCCAAGCAAGCCCAGCTCAATTGAAAGCCACAAAGGCAAAGTGCTGTTGCTGAGAGGGGAGGGCAGGACGTAACCGGCCAGCTTGTTTGATTGGACCATGCCCTTGGTCGTCGATGCGGCGTAAGGGATCAAGTGTACCGGCGCATTCTCCAAGGCCCTTATGACTGGTATCAAAAGCTCCGCCTCCTCTGGAACGATCACCAAGGCGGTCTCATGAGCAGAACCCCAGAGAATCCACTCGACAGGTCTCTGTGCGGCCGTTTAGCTAACGCTCCGAAAAGTGAAAGTCAAGTCATTATATCTTACCAGAAAATTGTCATCCGGACTCTCCGACCCCATCTCAACGGTGCGTGTGAACTCGGCGGATACAAACAGTCGTGACCCTGGAGCGCGGATGTGGTACTTTTGCCCCAGGCCTGTGTTTGCAAGAAAGGTGGACGCCATCTCGAAACCTGAATCTCCGTCGAGTCTGCCAGTCCTGACAAATGAAGAGATAGCCGGATGCAGACCGAGGAAGCGGAGGCTCTTGAAGTGGCGAGGCTTTTGGATTTGGCGTATTTCCTCTACCTGGAATTCCACTTCACGTTCTTGTTCTACTTCCTCCATAAGCGAGCGCTGAATAGGAGACGAAGTGCTTCCATAGCCAGTTCTGTATCTCTCAAGCTTCTTTGCAATGCCGCTCAGGCTGGAGTGAAAGTTGTCCGGGGCACTGTTTCGCTGGGCCCGCGCAGCGCCCCCGTAAAGTTCATCGAGCATGATCTGTTCGGGGGATTTGATGACGTCAAGAAGAGCTGACCTATGTGCCTCTTCCGAGAGAAATTTGGGGTGTTGCCGAGTAGCACTCGTTCGGCGACAAAAGTCAATTCCTTGGGCGTTGAACAGGCTTCGGAGTTGCTCGTTGTTTCGACAGGTCTGTTCAAGCAACCAATGGATGACATCGAACGAGCTGATTTGCATCCCATTCCTTTTGCGACGTATATCCAAGATGCTGCGATAGACTTCTGGCGGAGCGCAGAAAGTGACTGATTGTGTTGTAGCCAGTTGTCGGAGTCGCATGGCGGCTAATTGTGCTTATTAGCTTTCACGGAACAAGATTGGCTTTTTGAAACCAGAAGCCCAATGAACAAATACCTTGAACCGTATGATCTTTCGTCTGCCCCAGAGCCAAAGTGAGGACCCCACGGGCTGGCGGTGGGAGCTTCAGGTCGGTGCCCCGAGTATGCGCTTCATCCAAGTAGACGAGGCATTCCTGCAAACTCTCGGCGAACGGCGTGGCTAGAAGAGGGAGCGTTTTCCCGTTTCTGTACAGAACCCAGGCTTGGTTGTCGTGCGAGCCAAAATAAACTCCTGCCTTCGCCTCCGTGTCGATGGCCAGCCACCTCTCGACAAGACTTCGGTTGTCCATCTCTAGAATGTAAGCCCCGGCATCGATCAGCAACCGGATCCCTTTTTCTTTTAGACATTCAAGTAGCTGCTCTTCAGTGAGCCGCGCCCCATGTCTCGCTGCGATCATGCACTCCCGATTTCTGACTTGGAGGAGACATGTCAGCACCTCGGCACTGGTGTGCCTCAAGCTCGGAAGATCATCTTGTCTGATTGTCAGAGGTAGCAGCCTCCGATTGTCATTGGTGCCGCTGAAACCTGTTGTCTTTGCACAGAGCTTCTTATCATCTGGAGAGAAGAGAGGTAAATCCCATCCCGAAGACTGCAATTTGACGGCAAACTGCTTCGCGTAGCGTGGAAACACGAAGGTATTCAGGTAATGATCAAGGACCCCTCGACTTAGGCGAAGATGCTTCCAGAGCTCCTCGATTTGTCCGGAATCATCGACGTTGATGAGATTCCAATGACAAAGAGCCTCTGGAAGTGAGTCGCATCCGGCAGTCCATCCATCATACTCCGAAGCCGGATCATCGGACTTGAGCACTCTCCCTAGGTCTTCTCGGAACTGGGTTATTGTGAGACCTGTATAGTAGAATGACAAGCAAGTGAAGATGATGGCAACATCGGGATGGCCAAATTCAGCCTGCTCGGATGGCACGCCTTTCGCCTCAAACGGGACCGCAAGGGGATCCCTCGTCGGATGCAGGCCGTATTGGACATTCCATCTCTTCTTAAGGCAGAGAAAAAGAATCCTCTTCAGCAACAGGCCTCGAACGATCAAAGCGTTCTTGAAGAGTGATGGCTTGGTGGCGAATTCTCTTGATAAGCTTGTGAAATCCTCGGGGTCTGGATTCTCTTCGGTCAGGATTCGCCTTAAGCACGCCTTGCAAGCGTCTGTAGACGAGCTCGGCAGCCGAAGGATTGAGGTATATCCCTCGCAAATTGTGTCAGTCAGCCTGCGTTGCAGTGTTTCCTCGATCTCGCTTTGAACAATGTAGATCATAGGAAAGCCGGCCCGCCGGTGGACAACCTCGATTCCCCGAGGAAACCGTTCACGAAGATAGGCCAGATTGTCGTGCACGAGTGTCAAAAGCCTTTGGGCTACCTTCCAACGATCAGGGTGCCCATCTACGGGCACAAGTTGTCCGCTTGGATAGATGAGTTGTGTCTTGACTGCCAAAGTGAAGTCCGATTCATCAAGCACATCACGGCAAGTCTTAGTCAACCAAGATTGAATACTCACCATCTCTCGAGCTTCCTCTAGCTTCGAGTCAGCAAGCTTCTGGAATCCGCTCAGCTTGTATGATAGTATGTGCTCCGGGATGGCGAGAATGACTCCGGAGCGGCCAAGGGTGTCGCGATGAAGCTCGACGTAGAGTTTCTGCATACCCAATCCCGAAGGAGTGCGTCGAGAAAATGGAATGTGCTTCATCTCACGTCCTAGCAAGCCTCCGATCTTGGACTGCAAAGTTTGGGCAGTCTGGCGCAGCAGGGCTTTTGGCACGATGAGTCGGCAAAGCTGTTTTGAATCTGCAAGGACGGCCACGACCATGGGCACAATACAGGAGGTTTTCCCTGTTAATTCGTTAGTTACTTGATAAACACATGGAGAGACGCGAATGTCGCATTTCTCCCCTCAGGATGACAGTGTAATGTGCATGTTACCTCTGCCCATGTTGAGTTGCAGTACGGAATTCGAAGACGAAGGCGGGGAAATGATTGCCTTCGCGACTTCGATCTGCTCACGACGAATGAGAATGTTGCTTTCAATCTCCAGAAGCAGCCAGTCAGGGAACTGGATCGGGTCCCAGTTGTTATGCCCTTTGTCAGAACAATACTCGAGGAGTTTCTGACGGTCCCCTCTCAGACACGCGGACCTCATTCTTAGGAGCCATTGAAGCGTGGTGATTGAGATACCGTAAGATACCAGAAGTTCTTTCATCCCCGGGCCAAGAATGGCCTTGTCGCTTGAACGCAATTGTTGAAGGAGCGACATTGGAGAGACTCGGGGCCAGAGGCCTCCCCGCCGTAGCCATCGAAATCGGTCGTCTTTCAAGGACAGAGCGTCGGCGATAAAAGCGAAACAATCCAAGACCATTCCACGAGCTTTTTCTATGTTCTCATTGATGCTTCTCAGTTCCGGAATCGTGGCTCGACCTTGTTGCTGACCTCCAAGCTCGCGCAACGCGTTGTGGCTTTGGATCAAGTCCTTGCCGTACTGCTGCCACAGTGGCTTCGGGGAGTTTGTGAATCTTGTCAAGATCTGGCCCAGTTCCTTCATTTCTCTCGTTTCAGTGCTTACTTTGGAAGTTTCTTCTTTCTCTGACGCGGGGCTGGTGGCCTGGAACACGGGACACAAGTCGCCAACAGAAGGAGCGCTAGGTCCCTGTTTGAGCAGAAGCTCTTGCGACAAAGACGGGACGACTGCTCCATGCGTTTTTGAACCAGTTGTCTTTAAAGGAGAACACCAAGGTTTAGGTCTCGAGGTTTCCTTGTTCCCGATTTGGCGATCCAGAACGGCCTGCGCCTTATCGAGATATTCCGAGAGCTTTAGATTATTATAGACGCGGGTCCATTCCAGCTGCAATATCTCCATAGCCCGAGAAATCTCAATGTCGCCTGCATCAAATTCGATCGTCGACGGCGTAGCACTAGGCCATTGGTTCAGAAGATGTTTCGCCAGCCTCCTGCCGACGGTTCTGCGCTTGGCCTCCTGCCGACCTTCAGATTGCGATTGTCGATACTTCAGCGCCACGAGCTCCGGCTCATGAACAGGCAAGGCAGCCAAGATAAGCTCCTCCAGGCGGTCCAGGGTCAGAGATTCCCGGTACTTGAACTCTGTGAAGAGAGGACAATCCGGTGGCTGCAGAATTTGTAGTTCTTTAAGTCTTGAGAATGCACACAATGCGTTGATTACTTCCATGTCGGCCTTTAGGGAGAATGACAGCAACCCTAGACGGAACACGGCATCATAAATGCTGTCCTCGTCTGCATTTCTGCAAATATTCACCAAACTTCCCCACTGCTCGCCAATTTTATCGTTCATCAAAGCATCTAGGGAGCCACAAGGGCGATCTGGCGCCGCGTGAAATCCCCCAATGATTTTCCCAGGAAGACCTAAAAGAATCTTTGCGAGGTTCGCCTTGGGAATCGTGAACGATCGGCAGTAAAGGATCTTGGCTGTCTGGTAGACATTTGTTCCGGAGCGTGAACCGGCGTTCCGATCTCTAGGCTCGTATGTCATGACTTTCTCACTCCGCTCGGCTGAACTGTCGGTGACACTGCGTTCATAGAGACCTCGACGTACCACGGCTCGATGTTGGAGGGAATTGGCGGCGTCTTCCGTTTCCTCGCGGACGCAACGTTTTTGAGCATGAAAGGCTTCCAGCTGTCTGGATTTGAAAAGAATGTCCTCAATAAGCCTGCCATAGCGATCGTGCTGAATCTCCATGGACAGTTCTCGGTTCCACTGAACAGTCTGAAGAATGCGCTTGCCTTTTGGGTAATAATCCCTCCGCGGACAAAGCTGCTCGATTTCCTTCAAAATGGAAAGGCTGTCTTCATCCAGGGGCATCCAGGGCTGACAATAGCCAGAGCTCAGAATTCGATACGCTTCTTCAGCCCCAGTAGAGGCTGTAAGTGGATCTGGCAAATGGAAAGACGTGGATGCGTGAAGCAAAGCCATCGAGTATAGGAGACTCATTTCCGGTGGACATGCGAGGCGTCCGAGAACGTTGTCGATTTCGAATTTGCTGTAAGAAGTCGTATTCTTTACTCGGACGGCAACATGCATTCCACGGCGTTGATAGGAAAGCTCTCCCAGGCCAGCAATGATACTTCTCTTGTTCCCATCAGCCGTGTCTCGAAGAACGATCTTGCTCTCAAGCCCGTAGAGAGTCCCGGCATCCTGATCCGGGTCAATTTCGGCTTGCAGCTGCCGACAATGAAGCATATGATTGTTATTGACAAAGAACGAGAGCTCCAGTGACTTCAGTTCCACGGATAGCTTTCCATTGGGGGGCTGGTAAACAGTCATATTTTGCGGTTTTTCGAAGCCTTGCAGAATTCCATTGATCTTTTGACAGACATCCGAGTGTGGGTCAACAAGGAGAGTCTTACGGCGTGTCGCATTGCTAGAGTGGATGTTAAGAATCCAGTTTCCAGGCCTGGAAATCCAAATGTTGGGTTTTCTTCGGATCTCAAGATCCCCGGTGGCGAGATTGAGCCAGTGGGCGCAGCCGTCAATTAGTTCCGCCGGCAAGTCAAAGTCGGACTCTCCACGAAAAAGTCTGCCCGGAATGTACTCAAGGAGAGCACTTGGCCTGTTTCTCTCATAGCGAAGGGCTCTAATGACAACTTCATCACCGCGAAGGCCCAGATGGATCTCATGATCATTGGAAAGGATAGCCAAGATGTGGCTCATGCCTTTCAAATGCGAAGGATATGTTCGCAAATGTCGATTGCCGAACAACTCCTTGACGTCTCTTGATCCGATGATATCAAGCGGCGGCCTTCCCAACGGCTGGCCGTTAATAAGAAGATGGCCCTCAACGACATTGTAGTGGAACACCTGTGGCTCGGCCCCATGCTGCGCTTCGTTGCTCATGATGGAGACTATCCATGAGTCGTTTGGCTTTTCCAAAAACCTCCATGGTGTAAAGTGCTGGCTGGGGTGATTCTGGGGCTCCGAGAACCTTGTGCTACAAAAAGCCGAACCCAGGGTCTCCACGTTGCTTTGCACGGACTCTTGCAGAATAGATCGAAAGCGGTGTGCCGTCTTAAGATCTCTCATCAACATGCTTTCAAGGCTTGAAGAGAGCTTAGTCGGGTCCACAGCAAGGCTCTGCTGCAAGGATATGGATGCCATCACAAATGAGTTAAGTTCCTCGGCATCCATAGTCTCCCTCTCTCGATCAGCGAATATCGCGAAGGTTCGTCTGCAAAGCAATGCTGCCCTGAAACTGTATTGCGCCATCCTCATCGCCTCATTGGCGTCGGTCTCGTTCTGGAACTTGTTGCGAAGATCTAGGCTCCACTGCAACGTCGCCCCGCGAGCAATTTTGATCAACTCATAGGCCTGTTGCCGCATATCTCCGCTTGTTAAGGCGTGAAGCCTTAGGGCCAGGGTGAGCATAAGCTCCATGCAGTGAACCTCTCGCCAATTGGTCTCAACCATTCGAATACGCTTCTCGATCTGCTCCCGAAGACGATGGCAGAACATATCATCACGAAAGATGACATGAGCGTCCCTAAAGACGTCCTCTGTGGACTGACCAGGGCCGGCTTGGACAGCGAGCTGGCTGAGCAGGCATGTGCTCTGCTTGTCACTGAAGTTGAGGTTGGACGAACCGAGCTCTATCAAAATCGTCATCCAGCGCCTATGCTTGCCACCCAGCAACCTCTGAAGGGCCATAAACTCATGAACCGACATATGCGAGGGGCATCTTGTTTGACTGGCAACAGTTTCATACGAAGACGGCCCATCAGCCCAAGAAGCCTTTCTTGGATCTGCGACTGCAGCGTCGAGTAAAGACTGCGGTATGCGGGTTCCACAGAGATGCTGAAATGTGACCGGGTCTTTGAAGTTGCTGACCCATGACTTAGAACCTTCGTCGTAGTATGAAAAACCAAGTCCAGAAGGCAAGACGATACTATCCAGGTCAACTTTCACAGCCTGCCCCCTGTAGTGGGTCTGAAGGAAAGATTTCGTGATCGAGGCCATGGAGATTCCGTGAGGCGCAGTTTGAGTATACGGCTCCAGTTGGGAGTAACTCTTGAGCAACATGATTGGCGAAGACGCCTTCAAGGCTGGACCCGGATGCCCCAGCTTGTGCAGAACCTTCCAGGTTGCGTGCCGATATGCCTGGAGATAGGGTGGAATGCCAAGCTCGAAAACAACCGTCGACTTTTGCGCAGACTCGGCAGGAAGAAAGTCTTCGTGAACTTTGATGGTCATCCTCTTACGGACACGCCGATGATAGCACTTGGCACAGCCGTGAACGCTGCGCGATCCGTCTGAATTGAAGGTGCAAACACATGTCCCGGAAGAAATTTTCTCGCTCAGGTCGTCATACTCGCGGCAAGCCTTCTCCCATTCTAGGATTTTCGCGGCGCGTGAGGCAGCAGAGTGCTCTTCAATCTTCTCCAGCAACTGCCGCATTGGACGGCCATTCTCGTCCTCTTGCAGGTAGCGAGCAGCAAAACAGTTTGTGCTTGGCCGGCATAAGATGTTCTCGTCGGGGTACTTGCAGCTGTTTCGCCTCATTTTCAGATAGCTTTGGACCTCTTGAAGTCTATGCATGGCTGATAGGTCGGCGAGGTGCAAGACATCTAAAGCCTCTGCGGGGAACAAGGGGTGATAGTCGCCAAGTAGGCGGCAGACCTTTACCGCACACTTGTCCATCCCAACCCAAAGCTCAAAGACTCTCAATATGAAGAGACTCATTTGATCCGGCTTCGAAGTGTAAGACTTGAACTCATCAATGGCCAAGAGGACGAAAATCGACTCGGCAATCGCGAGACAGCGGCTTTGGCCTGCTTGGTCCGAGTCGTTGGCTGCTAAAAAAGGCTGCTGCTGGACATTCGACTCCAGGTCTGCAAGCTTGAAGTAGCGGGCTGCAAGTTCACTCACTGGATGGACTACAGTCTTCTCCAGTGGAGGGAGACTCAGGTCCAAGCGGTTGGCATTGGCGGGATTGGCGGGCGACTGAAGGAGGAGATTCCTGAGGTGGTCGCCGCTTCTCGGAAGAGTAAGGTAAAGCGAGCGCTCGTTGGCACGAGAGGGGAGCAGAGGGATCCGTCGTGTCGTCGTCCTTTTGAAGTTGTCCCATGCGCTTTCGATCTGACGTGACGCTTTACCTATGATGTCCTCGCATTGCACCCCGACAGTGTCAAACAGCTTCTGGTAGACGCCACAAGCGGATCCGGAAGCCTTGGACTTCTCCTGCTCAAGTTTCGCAAGGCGGCGACACAGCTTGGCTCTCAGGACAAACGTCATGTCTGGAGAAAGTCCCCCGACGCAGTCCTTAAGGAGCCGAGCAAGCATAGTGCAAATCAAGAACTTGTACGACGCTCGGCCGCATTCGTTCCCCATGCTGAGACATAGCTGACGCTGGACAGCCACACGTAACGCCAGCCAGGATGGCTCTCTTCTCCAGGGAAAATCGGCACTGGAGATGCTCACATCGTCTCTGACCCGCTTTCTGAGCTTCGGGGTGTCGATAGACTGCCCGGTCGCTTCTAGTATAGGCATCAGAAACTGGGTCAGCAGGCCCGGGTCGGTGGTATCTCTAGATTCCACGGGGGTTGCTCCAGCCTTTCTGGCACGTGCAGCAAAGCGATGCAGAGGTTCTTGGGCAGCCTGTTCGAGGAATCGAGACATGTTTTCCTGAAAGGAAGCGTGCTGGAAAACATGTAGCGGAATCTGAGCAGCACGGCCGGGGAAATCCCATTCGAGAGCATTGGCGGACTCGAGCACGTCTTTCGCCGAAGGTGAGGTTTCAAAGACCTCGAAGATAACAAAGTGTTCTTCGTTCCTAGATTGGCTGTGAGAACACAGGATCGCACGATCACATGCTGATCAGGCACTGTTACTTACTGAATATCACGACGGATCAAAAGCGCTGCATTCTGCTCCGATATTCGCAGCAAGCACAGGTCGTCCAGGCGGAGATCGGCCCAGTCTTGCAGTAAGTGCTGGGCATCAAAATGTGCTTCTGCGATGCCCTTGCATTTCCCGAGACAACGTTTGATTGACGACCAGGCATCATCACCAGTGTCCTTGGCCACGACTTGACAAGCGTTCTTGAGGCGAGTCAAGATAGCTGCTCCTGTGGCTTCTGGATCCGGATCCTTGTGGTTGGGCAACTTGACCGGCAAGACCAGATGGTTGAAGACGGAATCAAAAGGCTCCATTTCGTCGATAGGGTTGAAGAACGTGCAAGTAGGAAGGGGGTTTTGAATTGCGAAGGGAAAGGTGTGTTGAGAGCAGCTTGACTCTTTGAGGGAGAAAGATGGTCTGTCAAGTGTCGATTATGTTGTATTTTTAGAGAAGGAGCCAAGTGCGAGGGTGAATTCCATTCTGAAAATTTTGCGGGCGCGTGACACTGAATTCACTTCGCTCGAGTTACCTGGTGAACACCCTGCCTCGTTCATTTGGATCTGATCCTGGTCGGCCTGTCCTACCAGCGCGTCTTTCGACCACACGATTCATCACTGGGAGGGCGGATCACGGGCACCTGCATTTGTGTACGAAGGCTCCCAGCAGCGGATCTAGCAAACAGTGGCGTCAGGGAGCTGGTGCCTGTTTGCTTCTAGATCCCTTTGAGTGCCGAGGGACCGCACCTATCTCACGAGCAGGGATGTCAGCTAATAGAGACGCCGCGCCCTTAGAGGTACTTTATTAATTTACTAGCAAATTAGGCTATAATAGAAGTCCCAGCAATCCGGCCGGGTGTAAATAGCTACTGTCAAGCTGGTAAAATACCGCTACACCATGCAAAATGAGGGCCCCCCCAATAGAGGTGTTACTAACGCGTATTGTAGGCCCTTTCTTGTCCTGACAGCTACATTGAACTGGTCGCATCCCTTACGAGTCTTCACAGCCGGCTTCTTGTTGCCGCTGGCCGCGCCTAACGGCTTGCGTTGACTCCGTGATCTTGGCTGCTCAGCTTTAAAGCCCTGGCAGGCAACGCAAGGCGACCCTTTTAATCGAGAGACATGATTGTGTTGCGATAGGGGCAGACTATGCTGTTGATAGGCTGCTCGCGCTAATAGTGGTCTAGCCGCATATAGAGGGCATGTTCGAAGCTATTTATAGCTAGAATAGCTGCCTGCGAAGCTTATAGATCTTGTTGCGAAGTCATTGAGCTTAATTTGAATGCGTTACTAGGAAAATTGGCTATTGAAGGTTTTGCTAAAACTGCTAGCCCCTGAATGGGTATTTTATATATAGCTACGTACTGTGGGGCTCGTGACATAGGTTCGGTCCCTCGGCACTCAAAGGGATAAAGCTCCCATGCCAAGGTGGACGGACATCCTCCATGCATCACAACTTTAGTCGTTGGCGGTCAAACTATCGACAAGGCTTGTCAAGGTTGCGCAGTTCATCGACCGCATGATGAAGCCAAGCAAACGGCAAGCTTTCTCACCTCCTCCCACCCTCAAATGCTGACCTGGCCGGAACGAAGGTGCCCATCGTCTACTATTCATCACAGCAGTCTAAATAGAGCAATTCTCTACCCGCCCTGGTAGAAGCTCTCCACGGTCGGACGTCAACCTTGAGGACAATGGCAATATCATGGATTGACAGGGGAATCCCGCCCGGCATCGACATCGGCTGTCCCTTTATTTTCATTCCCGAGCCTCGCTGGCCCTACCGTGTCGTATTCAGAGGCTTGACTTAGGTATAGATGGAGGAGAGTTCCAGGCATTCTCTGAATATTTAGGTATTCTTTTGTTTGGTTCATGGCGAGGCTTGTTTGCGCTCGATACGCGAGCATTCTTTGCATTCACGCGATCATTGGCTTATCGTAGCTTTAGTACCATTTTTGCCGGATCTTTAGTAGTCAAGCAGATGGCCCTGTTAGATAAATCAAGTTCAATCCCCGGTGGCTGATGATCTGCAAGATGCCGTTCGCCTCTGCCGGTGTCGTACCGATGGCACAGCCTCAAAGTTACTTCTCAACTTCAAATACCAGAACGCACCTTGCTTTTGCTGTGGCCGAGTGTGAATTCTCTTGTCTGAAAATACCACGTGTAACTACCTGGTACCCAGGCAACGTCAAGTTGCACTAAGGTTAATCACAGCAGTGCTAATCGTACAACCACAAAGCTCTGCCTGCAAATTTCCCCGACGTTGGTTGGGCGAAATACACTTACTGCACTAATTGCGACAGCTAATTGCATATCTCTGGATCGCATAATTCCACTGCTGTCTCCTTGATTAGCACTCTTTTTTTAGAATTGTGTGGCTCAGGCTTAAAGAGAAGACCTAGTTCAAATCACAGACGCTCTTCTGAATTTTCTTCAGTCATCAAAACGCAGTTGAAAACAGCGCCGCGCAGTGTCTGAGTACTAGAGACATCCGGCATGGCATTTGCAAGCCCAAACGACGGGACTCGGCCAGCCATGCCACCTTTTAATTATATCAATGGGTATCCAGGAGTAGGCAAGCTCACCATCGCCAAAGAGTTGAAGTTAGTCCCCATTCAAGCCGCGTCGGTTGTGCCATCTGCTAACGCCAGTGTGCGGACGTTGAATAGCAAGCTGCTACCGAGAGCCAAAGTCGTGAGCAATCATCTTCTCATCGATCCCGCAGCAGCTCTTTTCGATAGAACTGCGCAAGAAAATCAGCCTCTTCGTCCAGTCCTAGTAAGTACCGAGCCCTACTCGAAACGACCATGGCTTTTTCTGATGGAATCATAGCGCAGGGAAGTTTTAAGATCAATCGCTTCTTCTGTGTCAACGCGCGACATCACCTGGATCTTTACCGACCAGCAGTCGTCGAACCAATCTGGTAGCTCTTCTGCAAAGGACTACCAAGATGCAGCGACCGCACGCGGCGCGCCATTCGTCTCCGTCATCCTGCATTGCGAGCTGGAAGAAAATCTGAAGCGGGCCGTCCAAGGGGAGAAAGGTGGCTGTTCCAACACCAAGCTTACCAACCCAACAATCTTGCGTAGTATCAGAGAAAGGGAGGATATTTTCCGATTCAAGGACGAAAATGAACTGGAGCTAGATGTCACGCTGTCTTCTCCAAGGGAAGCAGCTCGTAGGATCTACGACCACCTGAGTAAGATGTTCCAGCTAGACGATGCTGGTCAAGAGCCACTGGAACACGCATCTTGCTGAGGCAAGTGTTTTATCAACAAAAAACAACCTTAAGCATTAGTGCGCTATTCAGGCCGATCACTCATGATGCAGGGTAGGAGTGAATGCGAACTAGAAACCTGTCTCTCTAAGTAATGGCATGTAAATGCGAGCGATCATGCAGGGTCGAGCCAGCGGCTCCATGCTTCATGTCGTCGTCACAATGCCTTTACCATGCGCGCCGGCAATCTCACTCCTGTCACACCACGATCTCCGGCGAGAGGTTATCCTGGTTGAAGAGCTGTGGGTTTGGAGGAGATGTCCCGCCTGGTCTCAATTACCTTACTGTTATTTCCTGATATGCTACGAATCTTGCTCTTGAATTGACGCAGCTATCAGGTTATTTCCGGATACTGTACGTGTGCTACTGCCCCCTCGCGCCAGCTTTATTAGGCAGCCGTACCATTGCATAGTGGCCCAGCTACTGGCCTCCTTGCAAGTGCATTGCATTGCATTAGCCCCCATCCTATCCGTACATTCTATAAGGAAGCCCATTTGTAGAAATTTCGGTCGCTGCCCGAGTAGCCGCAGCATTAAAACTTACTACCTCATCTAAACGTCTTTCTTTAGCCAGCGATGATGTTTCGTTATGAAAGTCTTCGACGTAACGTCCGAGAGATCCGCCTTGTTCGTTTTATCGCTGCAACAAGTGAGCCAGAATGCAGCTATAGCCTGCAGCTTGTCGCAGCTTCTAGGGATAGCCGACTAACTGGAGCTATCAAGGCGCTGCTGGATCGCCCGAACTGGTTTCGCTGTTGGGTTGTACAAGAAATCACCCTGGCTAGAAGAGGTCGAATACTTTGCGGCAATCAAAGTGTCTGCCTTGATGCTTTTCATTCCACCCTAACGGCCATATATTTTCCCAAGGTCAGCCGCTTTGCTCGTCAACAACCACATTGGAACGCGTTTGGGGCCGGCCTCAGCAATAACAGCTTTCACATTCGCGGCCTGCTCGCTCGCCAACAACATCTCCGAGGACTCCGCGTGACCCTCGTAGAGCTTCTCTTGTCAGAAATGAGGAAGGCGGATGAGAGCAGGCCTTTTTATGGCTTCGGATGCCCGGGACATTATATTCGCGCTTCTCGGCATTGCTGCGGACACGAACTTGCTAGGCTTACGACCAGATTACAATATGCCCGTCGAACAAATATACACTGCAGTTGCGAAGGGGTTTATCTTATATTGTCCGGACTATAGATTGGAATACTGCAGTTTCCCAAAGGAAACACCTCGCTTGCCGTCATGGGTACCCGATTGGCACCGTATCGGCCGTCTCGGAATTGAAAACCATCCCCTGAGCTACCGAGACTACTTTAATTCATCACGAGGAAGAACGCAACCTTCAATGGAGGAAACAGACGAGCTGACTCTACCTCGGCGTGGACATATGATTGATTCAATCGCCGCAGTTTTCGCCTTTGGCAAGTCCGAGGAGCACGAGCAGGATAGCCATCATCACTGGCTAAGCCTCTCAATGGCGCTTACGTCAAAGGCAAACAAATCTAGATATCTTCAGTCTATCTACGAATTTTCTAAGCCTTACTTCAGCGCAGGGGCCTCAGAATCAAGCCTCTGGCGGACTGTGGTCGGTGGCTGGATGGGGAACGAAAAGTGTACGTCAGAGTTCGACGCCTTGGCTCGTCGAGTTTTCCACGAAGAGAGGATCGAAGTCAGTGCTGTCGACGAGCCACAGCCGGCTTACATACTACGTAACGTATACTCATTCGTCTTGGAGCGCAAACATGGCGAGGACTTGAAACTCTTCCTCGATGAATTCTGTGATCAGGTCGTGGAAAATGCGTCCGTGAGGACACAGGGAAGGACTCTCTTTGCGACTACTGGAGGTATATTTGGCTTAGGTCCAGACACGTTATGCGAAGGAGACGTGGCTACAATACTATTTGGCACACAGGTCCCTATAGTATGCGATCATTCGGGAATCAGTATATATACTTGGGAGCTGCATACCTGGAAGGGTTTATGGAGGGTGAGTATATAAGAGCTGGACGAGAAGAGCGTAGCTTCTATATTGTGTAGAATGCGAAAGATACTACGCGGTGTTGAGTACAGGAGTGCGTAAGTATATTAGCAACATTAAACACCTTATGTTTAGAAATACCTATCCATTCTTGTGCTACTAAATCATGAAATGCTTGCGCATGTCACGCTTGTGATGCCTGTGGGAGGTCCCGATTTCTGTTCGCTCGTCGGACTGCAGAGACCGATGGCGGGAAGGCCCTACTACAGGGGTCTGCTCTTCCTCGGTATCGTAATCCTGGACAGATTCCTCATCGTGTTCGGTGTAAGCTTGGCGGGTATAGTGGTCTTAGCTGCTTCCGGCTTGGCTGAAATGCGGCGTGTCCTTGTCGTCTTCCACCTGTGTGGCCAGAACCGTCTCACACGCGGCTTTCCACACATTATCATCTCTCCTCCGTCGGTCAGGATCAGGTCCAGGTGAGAGTCGCCCTTGGACAGCCTCGATTTGGTGACGCCTAAGATGTTGTGGACGTATCCCTTGCCTGCGCGGTGCCGACTGTCTAGGCCACGGTACGAGTAATCGATGAGGCAATCGCCGCTTGTCGGCTTGTCGCCATCATAGACATTAGACAGGCACCAAAGAGTCAGGTTAATGGGCCCAACATGCGGCGGCCAGACGCGCAAATGTCCAATATACACTTGCCAGTTTAAGCTCTGTCGTCAGTCGTAGAGCAGTGGCGACTTGCATTTCACCCTTTGTTGGAGACACGGCATAGCCAGTTGTCCGCTTGTCGACGTCTCCCTGACGTGTAGATCATTGATGTGGACTGGATGCAGACGCAAGTCTAGAAAATGCGCAGCTGACTCCCCTTGCTCCGTTCAATCGCGTGACTGCGGGTGAGCCGGGGTGAGCCTTGCTGGGGGCGTCGCGCGACTGGGTGAGCCAGGATGCCAGGCATCTCTGCAGCGAAGGAATGAGGGGCGGTACAAATTGATGGGGATACTCCTGTTTTCATTGACCAGGTCGCGTCATTGAGCCTGCCCAATTGGCAATGAGAAACGGCATCCCCACACGGTGACGATACTCCAGCTGGACCTGGAGTTATTGAGCGAATCCTGGAACGAGATTAAGGGGCTGAAAACCCCTAAAACTCCACGTACAGAAAGCAAATGGTCCAAGAGCTAAACCGATAAGTGGAGGAGACAGGCGATGAACTGAAGCATATACGCGACAAGCTTGACACAATCGCAAGTTGCCCGATCCTTGCAGGCACCCAGACCAATCTACGAACGTATTGCCCGCACATCACCCCTGAACCAGACGACCAACCAAGCCCCTTTGTCGATGCGCACAGCATTAAGCACCTCCACCGAGACCTTACAATGTCATGATGGCGCATTCCGAACGTCTTGAATCGAAAGAAGTCAAGCAACCGACAGGCAGTAAGCCCGGGAGTAAGCAAGAAATTATGCGGCGCACGAATAATATCCGCACGGCCCATCGACTATAGCGAACGTAAGAGCTTGTCGACATAGCCCGAGCCCAATGCGACCGAGACCCCCTTCACATGGTTCCGAGAGCTTGACAGCGAGAAGTTGATGTTCCCCTCCGGCAGCCACGATTTCGGGCCTGGCTGTGGCTGTTGCTGTTCCTGTTGGTTCTCTCGCTGGCGCCTCACTTTCTTTGGCATCTGCTCGGGGTGAAGAACCCAGAAGGTATCCGGCGTATGCTTGTGGCTTGGGTAAACAAGGCAACCGTATTCTAGCTTAATCTTTTCCCTTGAAGGGGTCTGATGGTCGTTTCCGCTGCGCGAATTGCTATCGTTTCCAGAGCCGGCATCCTTCTTCGTTGGTGGTGTGCTGCGAGTGCCTTGGGCCTTGGCACCGTTGACCTCTCAATCAGGCTCTGCTTTTGAGGAATCATGCTGATTTCTTCCTTCGTTAGGTGCTGGCCGAGCTCACAATCATGCTCCCATTTGGCATACCACGTCGGGTGAGATACCTTAAGGCCGTGGATGGCCGTGATCACAAAGAGTCGCTTATCAACAGCTGGAAAGCCCGTTGTGGCCTGGGTCCAGCACCAGTGAAGGCGTTTGGTAAAGGCGTCAATGGAAGCGAAGTTATAGACCTCCAAACGGAACACTTCCTTGATAGTGCTCTTGATTGTGGCCTCCGGATGCTGTAGAGAATTTCTCTGAATGAATTGGAGGGTCTGGAGAGCTGTCATCTCATCATTCCAGCCTTCTTCTGAAAGATCCCCTTTAAGCTCGTTGGATAGGTTCTGTACCAGAATCCGTAGAGCTTTGAAGCCATCCTTAGGCGTGCAAACAGATAGATCAAATCCAGATGTACTCAAATCAAATCAGATATATCCAAATCAGATCAAATCAGATCGAAGGAGTCGAATTTATCTGGATATTTAACTATCTAAATAGCAGCTTCAGGGCAGGCCTCCGCCCACTAATACGCCGACGCAGTCTCGTTTGATTCGCCATCCAAGTCCCTACACTAGGCTTTAGAGAAGATTAAATCAGATTTAACTTTATTTTATTTAAATCATATCAAATTAACGGTCTAATCTCATTTAATATATCTATTTGCAAGCCTGTGGATTAGAGTCGAGATTTGGTGCGAGGCGGAAGTGGCCCGCTGGGCTGACTTAAATTTTTTTAAAGGGCTTTTAGGTAGGTGAGTGTGTTTTAATGGCGTACTAATGCTCGGTTTTAAATCACTTCGGCGAACAATGAACTGTCTTTAAATATGTTGGCAGTTCCTGGCTGCACTCTGCCCTGACTCAAAAGTGCTCTAAGTCAGCTCACCCACTTAGGGGCACACCCACTTAAGGGCACGTCTCCACAATACCAACGCGCCGACTAACTCGTATATCACAACCGCGAATTCTCGTGCATCTTATACTTAATTATTATTAAAAAAACATCATTCGAATCAGCAATATCTTAGCTTTCTAAATATACCGAAGATTAGCTTTAGAACGCTCTAGCTAATATTAAATTCGGCATAGGTTAAGTGCAGGCTAGTCGGAAGTAGGGTATTCTAAGGACGACACTTTAGAAACGCCTTAAAGGTGCCCAACCGAAGAGAGAGGCATACGAATGCCATTAGAGGCTTAGCCGAGAGTAAGAGAAACACCTCCGGGATTAGGTTCTTGCCTAAGCCGCCCTTAGGCTCCCCCCAACGCATCTCTAGCTAAGGGAATTCGCCGGCCGTATTATCACGGCTATAGGCGACACCCGCCTACTTAGAAAACACTAGGTAGCAGGCTTTTTAGCCCGAAATCTAGAGGTTAGCACGATTAAAGGTAAAGCTCTCGATTCTGCTCGCATTAACGGCGCCTCTATAGCCCGGATCAAGGAGTGGTTCTAGTTACTTAAGCTCCCGGCTTTATAGGCCATTCCCCCGAAATCACGCTTTAATATAGATAAGATAGGTATCCTCGAAGGCCTTAGCTATAACGGCCTCGTACTAGGGAGCTTAGAGAAGAAGGAGACGCTTAAGAAGCGGCTTAGGTCGCGTTATTAGACTATAATAGTAGAATATATCTCTACTACTAGCCGGGCCTTAACTCTTCTTATAATCTTTAAAGGTTAGGACCTTTAATACTAATAGTTCCCTAAAGAACTCGACTTTCTAAAGGATTAGGACTTTATAGCCTCTCTAAAGGGCTAGACGAGCGACTCTATCGCGATTTAATAGCTTAAGTAGGTCTTTATCCTATAAATAAGAAGCTAGCTATAAGGCAACGTCCTCTTAATTATAGATAGCCACGGAAGCTATTAGACTAACGATTTTATATACGAATGCTTCTTATACGGTATATATCTCCTTTTCCTACCTCTATACGCCTCGCACGTCCTTTAACCTCTCGATATCTCGATTTTTTCGCCGATTAAAGCTGCCTACCGACGTTAACTCTAAAAAATCGCTTCTCTCGACGATATAGCACTAATTAGCAAGGCACTTTTCCTTCGCTGCTATTATTAGGCCTAGTAGGCCGGCCTAACCGAGAAAAATATTAAAGGGGGGTGGCGAGGGATAGGACTTTAGCCAGTTAATATAGCAAAGCCATTAATAAGCCGCTTCGTCTTACCCGCGCCGTTAACGCCGTCACTACTAAAGAGGAAGAAGAATTTAAGCTTAATAGATAATAGCGATGCCCTTAAAACACCGAGACGATCGTAGGAAGTCTATAGGCTTATTAGGGGGCTCGAAAATCGCGGTTAAGTTGACCGTACGATCCGTGTGCTTTTTAGCAAAGTTGGCCGTAGCCTTAATCGTTAGAACACGCAGCTTATAACGGCATAGCTACGCATATAATAGCTTAAGCATTAATTATATCGTCTACGGCCTTAAAAGCAACGAAAAATCGCCTAAGATCTAAATGGCCGGTTTATACGGATTAAATAAGTCATCAAGACGAGGAAATAGCTTTAACGCGCCCTTAAGCCGTCTGCCGTCGCAATAGCTAATTAGAAGGCGGATTTTGAAGCTCTATATAGAAACTGGCAGCTAGAATAGTAGGAAAACACTATAATTAAGTATCGCGATGTAAAAACGCGGCTTCAATTGCTATTAGAATATGCTGTCTTGGTTGTATGAGACGTGCCCTTAAGTGGGTGTGCCCCCAAGTGGGTGAGCTGACTTTATAGTGTGGTTCTGTACACCCCACACACGTTTGGCACGTCGCAGGAACAAACTTGCTATAGATGTGCCCGCTTCTATATTGCATGTCACCCCTCGTTTGCCTACATCGGTCCCAACGCTGAGAGCAAGCGCGGGACCCGAATCAGAAAGCCCCGCGGCGCCCTAGGCCCTCCTCGTGGTCGTCGGCTGTCCAAGTCTGACTTGGACAGTCAATCTGAACCTGCTGAGAGTGTGTCATCTTGAATCATGTAATTTGCGGCGGACAGAGTTAGCAGTGTATTGAACCTCCGAGTAATGGCTACATGGCGGCTCTCAGCTGTGTTTCCGCTCATGTTTCCGGCAAATGCCACGTTTCGCTAGGGTCTAGATTCTCGCTCAGGACTCCGGGAACAGAGATGATCCCTGATATCGCTACTGCCGGTGAGCACTCATCAGAGGTTCGTGACATGGAAAAACCCTTGCCCGCCGATGAGTCGACCCAGGGCCGTCGCAGCGCGACATGACTTTGGTCCCATCTCCTTGAACTCCAGAAACACATGGCAGCTCTTGGACGATGGATCTCCGGCCCACCTCTGCTGCATCCGAAATGGCTCATGTCCAGATGACACCGGCGGCCCTGGCGGGCACTCGCTCTCCCTCTATGACCGCTTGACGTTTCGTCAATCCAGCCCAGGCCTACCAGGCCTCCCTGTCCCAGTGCTTGTCAGATGCAGAGTCGTCTGCTGTTTCGGCCACCGTCTACCCTCAAGGAGCTTTGCATCCATATCCATCGCGTCGGCTCCCATCTGACTCGAGAATTATCAGAGGAAACCAGTCATCAGTCCAGTAGTCTCCAGTCTCGTCTTCAAGAATATAAATATTGACTCTCTCACTTCCACTCTTGGCGTCTTGTCTCCTCACTGCAGCCTGCCTTGTTTTGTCCTTGTGTTTTCTTGTCCACTCAAGTCTGTGACTGAGTCCCCGAGTTGTGCTCCCCAGCTAGATGCTTGTTTTATTATCCTTATTAACTCCTGTTCCGACTCTCGCCCAACAACGCCGTCAATATGAAGTTCGCCGAGGTTCTCTCTCTTTTTGTTTTTGTCGTGTCCACCCCATATTCCTTTGCCCAACCTATTGCCAACCCTGATGGCAACAGCATTGATCTCACCAACCGAGGTAAGTTATCGCCTTGAAATTCCCCATCAGGAATCCAATGTTGACTGTAGGCCCAGCCCTTGGCATCAACTATGGCGCTGCAGCTGCGGCACCTCTGGCTGCTCGCAGCGAGAACGAGCTGAAGCCTCGGGCCAAGAAGGGCAAGAATAAGGGCAAGAATAAGGGCAAGAATAAGAACGGCAACAAGGCCAACGGCAACAAGGCCAACGGCAAGCGAAACAACGGCGACGATGACAACAAGATCAACGCCCAGCAGCAAGCCCAAAACGACGCCAAAAACGACGCCCTCCAGGCACAAAACACCGGCGCCGGACGCCAGGCCGTCAAGCGTGACGACGGTGTCGTGCTCGAGGAGCGCGACCCTTATCCCGTTGTCGGCGCTTCTGCCCACGACGAGTAAGCCGCGCCGGGTGCTTGCTGGGTGGCGGAAAGAGTGTCCACATGTCACTTTCGAAAAGACCACTATAGTACTATCTAAGCTTCAGGAAGATCTCTGGACGGCCGGGCCGTTGGGGGTCAAAGTCTTGGTGTGCGATAGCGGCTTGTTGAATAGGCTATGCTGTTGCGGTTACCTAGCCAATAGCTGAACAAGTCCCAACCGCCGGGTCAACCAATTAGCGAGACAATCACTCGGCAGCAGGCTAATGATGGTGTGCCGTGTTATATTGTAATTGAAGTTTGTTGTGACCATATAGTCTGCCATTGGCAGCGAATGTTTAGCACCTGCTAGAGTACGTTGGGTTTAAGTCAGCACACCCCACTTCTGGCATACCCTGCTTCCGGCACTCTCTATAACAACATCGCGTCGACTAACTCATTACATGTGACCGCGTTTTCTCGTGTATCCCTTACTATATAACTGCTACAAGGCTGTTAAGGACCTTTAGCCTTATCCTTAACGTTAATAATACCTAGGCTAGCAGGCAGCGAGCAGTATATATATAATACATCGCTAGCATAAGGTATTATTAATAACACTAAGCTAGAAAGTATATTAAAGAGTCCGTAGTTACTAGCAACATCGGGCTCTCGGGTGAGCAGATCATATTCGTCGAGTGGCTGAAACTGGTTTCTAAGTTCGGGGGTGGTGGTGCTCATCGGCAGCACCTGATAATGATCCTCCCAGTACTTCTTCACGCTATCCAGAACTGGTTTATGCCGTGACTTGGGCCAATGCTTTTGGGTGTGAACCATATGCCTCGAGGGATGAATCATCATTGCTGCCCCGTATGCAGGGCTCTCCTGCGTCAGCTGCTAGTTCTTGTCAAAGACAGCCTAAGAGGCTGCAATGCAGCCGTAGAGTGTATGTTTGTCGCAGTACTTTTGGAAAGACCGTGTGTGATGCTTATGGAGAGCATCCATGGTGAAAAGCGTACGGTCAAGAGTGACATAGCGACCCTCTGTGGGTTGAGTGATCTTCCAGAAGGGTTGAAGAAACGCGCGTGTTTCCTCTAGTACTCGCCATTCGTCGGGTGTAAAGTGGTAAATGTTGTTGCAAAGATTTATAGACAGCCCGCACATTCTAATAGGCAAGAAAATGAAGAAGAACAGCTGAGTATGTATGTTGAAGCGACGCAAGAATGCGACTGAGCTTGGCTATGCGGGATCTCCATCCTACCCAAACATCCAATCTTGATTACGTTCAGTGCTCGTAGCTTGCTCCACGCCTCCAAGGGCTCCTAATGTATGTCTGTCAATACTTCCCATTCCATCTAAGTTCAATGATCGGGCCTACCCTGGGAGTATTCGGTGAATTGAACTCAAGGGTGTCCGTGTTATCGTGTGACAATCGCCGGCTGAGCGAGGACCCCGAACGGTTGTAGAGGCTCAGCGAGGTCGAATGAAGAGGGTTCACTGGTCGCTGTTTTCTTGCTGAGAAGGGGGGCATTGATGGTTTGACGGATGACCGCGGCGTTTCCCGGTGCAAAGAGTGTTGTGGTCCAACTATTGGGTGCATGTTGTCGGAGGGCGTAAAATAAATCGACGATCGCAGTGGGCGAATGAAGAATTGGCGAAGAGGATGGTTCCCGTAAAAATCGAATCTACGAAATTAGAAGCAGAATTTGAGACGAGTTGCGATGAGAGAGTGTTACGTCTTAGAAACGAGAACGTACGTTAGTGCGCGATGAGAGGGTATAGCTATTGATTGCGGAACGAAGATGGAGGGCAAAGCTGCGCTGGACTTCTCCGCAAGGCAGGAAAACAACATATGCGTTGGACAAGTTAACATTCAGGCATTCTCAGAACTCTTAACGCGGGTGTATTTCCTTGATCGGATACAGTAGTTCTGGGATTCAGGCGAGCGGGTAAAAAACAAGAGTTCTACTATTTGCCCTTGGGCGGCTGCCTTTGTCGGGCGTTAGAGGAGTCGTTAAGTAAGTAGCTGTTAAGTAGGCGCCGCTTATATTGTTGTAAGGGCCAAAAGGCCCTGATCAATCGGCAGGCCGGGTTGTTGCAACTTCAAGCTAATGGGCCAAAGGCTCGGAAGTACGTTATTTAAGCGAATTAAGATGTATGCGTTATATGGCTAAAACTGCGTTGTGTATGATACACCATACCATCGTTAATGGATGGTCTCTTGGCGCCATCGGAGGGACGGCGTCCAGCAATGGCATCACAATTGCAACGGAGAGGCAGCTCTCTCGAATACGTGATCTTCTGTTAATGGTCATCTACACTAATCTCTCCTTTCGGGCCAAATGCAGTAGGCTAAGGCTTACAAGGCCGACGTTCGCCGACGCGGACGGTAAGCTTAGGGATCGTTTTGCCACACAAGCTTGCGTAGCGACTAAATGGATAATATGAATAGCCTCTACCCGCATGGAATTAGCACTTGAAGCTGCCATACCGCTTATTATGCGCTCTCCCTGCTTAGCACGGCTCGACAGAGAAAAGATGGATTCCGCGCATAGGACCGACCATCAACGGACTCTAATTTACATTGTCATGTGTATAGCGGAATTAGGAGACTCCAATTCATCGAAGTGGAACATGTCATAACACCGGTGATTTATTATATTCAGGCTGTCGCTGAGCACCTTATCTTCCGCTGCTAATACAACTGATTCACTACCTGTACACAATGGCCCACCCCGCGCCTCATCATCGCGATATCACCACACTACAACAGCACTACTGCAGGCATGGCTGCCGGCTGGCCTTATTATATTATCCACAGTCACAGTCACAGCTCCAGCGGCAATCAGAGCTCCGACGGTGGCGGGCGATACCAAGCAGCGTCCGCTGCGCTTACTATCCCCCGACGCCATCCTGGTCTAGCTCCTACTCGCAGTCACCTAAATGTTTTGAAACTGTGCCGTGAGAACTATTCTGTCTTGTAAGTCAAGAGCGGGAGCGGCCGAGACTCCACACGGGCCCTGCCTTGCGTCTGGTTAATTTGCCGGCTGAATTCCTGTAATATTCCCTCTTCGGTGGCATCGAGATCGTAAGATCTAGGACTCACTGTGCTTTGCGGCTATAAATATTTTTTTCTGTCTACTGCATATTTTGAATACGGCAAATTATATTATATCTACCTGAAACTAACCTCTGTTTTTACTTTGAAATTGTATATTCTCGTTATCATGGATATAAAGTTTTGTTTTATCTGCATGACTCCGAGGTTCTGTTACCTTTGGGCAAATGATCCGTAGATATGTAAAGAACCACCGGCTATATCCCACTTCCATGCCTTTAACTTTACTTTCAGTAGCCTGATTCTACGCTTCGGCACTTTTGTTCGTAATAAGAAGAAGATTTATTTTTACAAGATACGGATACAAGCTCGCTGAGCTCTTCTCTGCATCTCATACATCATCAATCTTCTGTGGCTTCGTTACATTTTCGCGTTGCCGGTTACTACTTGACTCTATATCTACAGTTTAGACCAGCCTCGAGCTTCGACTCCCCCCCCTTCGCTCTCTGCAACCATCACGCGAGAGCTGGAGTTAACGTCGGACTTGGCTTGCCGGGTATAATTAGTTTTTGGCAAGCGAGGAACAGAAAAAGGCCGGGCTTTTCGTTGATTTTGGTACACACAACGACCGGTGCTCAATTCGGACCTAAGCCTACTAGTCGCAGGTTTCCTCAGCTAAAGGGCCGTGTCGGCGCCGAGTCGGCGCCGGCACCTTGCAATTGAACTAGGAGTAAGCTCTGCCTGCAGCGCTAAAGCAACAAACCGGTACAATTTAATGTCTCTTAGAAGAGAGTAGAGGCTCTGCGGAACCAGCCAAAAGGTTTGGTGGCTGCCCACACGGCTTAGAGTTTCCCGACACGATCACAACCAAGGTCGAAGTGAAACGGGGCATCTTCGCCTTGAAGTGCAATAAATCAGACTGCCCATGTAGCTGAAAGAGTCACCATGTGTAATCTGACAGTCTATAAGTAAATGTGTCCGTCTTTATTGGCTTCTTAGTAATAACTACATTAAGCTTTGTCAATGCCAGTACATAGTGCATATAAGATGTATGCGGCTCTATGCAAGAAGGGCGAGAGGATAATAAATATGGGATCATCTCCTCTGCCTGGCATTTGCTTCTATCAGAGGATGAAAACATCAAACTTCTCACGCTGCCATGAGAGAGCATAAGTATGAAAGACAGCAACCGACCGCCGGCCTTTCCTTAGTGCAGGCATCCAGAAGAAACTTTCATTCATTGCCAAAAGACTTCGAGAGAGAGCCTGTATGGGCATAGACATTTCAGCGGTCCTTGACGGCGCACCGGTTAAATACATTCAGAACTTCAACCAACCCTTTGGCAGCTGGATATGAGTCGGGCTGATGTCGACGATACTGGTCTTGATGCTCCGTTGAATGAAAAGAAAGCCCCCTTGTTTAACATGCACCATTTCCGCGAGCGCTTTAAGCATTGCGATCCTTTTCACGGCCTTTTCCTGGAAACTCCTGCACATGATAATCCCCTGGGGGATTCTGGCCCAGCTCGGCTAATATCACTGAAATTGGTCTCGAATATGCAGCACACTGCATGGAGAAGCTGTGAATGATGAACTGATATCCGTTCAAACATTGAAAGAGGATCTTGGGAAGGCGAGGGGATCCTCATCGTTCTTAAATATGTGGCCTGGCGGATACGATGAGGGCTTGCACTGTCTCTATTTTAACAGGAGCATCTCTACCCCCTAAGAATACAGCCCGCGCAGCAGAGTCTTTAGCAGAGTCCCTGGCAGAGTCTTTAGCTAACCTGCTTCTTGATCAGATGATCCCTTGGCCCCCTGTTCGTCTAGGGGAGAAGGAAGGAAAATTCGGTCTATAAAAGGGGTCTCCTTCCCCCCCTTAGCTAGCTAGCGTGCATTATTCTCTTCATCTTCTTCACATCTCTTCTTAATACACTTTTTCCTCCTCTTTCCCTGCGTCGTTGATTTCCTTTTCCTTTGCTTCCCTAAGTCTCGTCGTCCCTCTTCTTCTGGCTTCTGCTGTTGCCGTCGGCGTGGGTGTGTCTTTGGGTGTGTGCCGCAGCCATCATCAAACTATATGCAAGACGAAGTCACTGTGCTACATTAATCGATTATTCGTTCTTCCCTTGTTTCTCTTATTTCATCGTAAGAGGAACGATGCCTGGCTGCAAAGGTCGCGCAAGTCAACGCTGTAGCCCAATCAAACTGGCAGCAGAATCCATCTCGGAGCCAACGTGATCCGATCTATAAAAACCGTCAATCGCATCCCATAGGTCAAGCAGAAATCATCTCTGCGGGGTAGCGAGAGGGCTGAAGTCTGAGCTGAGCAGAGTCGTACCGCGGCTAAATAGTGACAGGTCCGGTATATATATTGTATGCAAGTGCTTTATCCCTCATGTCCCGATCCGACGTGGCCGATGCTCGCGCTCTCAACTATCCGGCCCGGACCCCCATCATATCTCCCAAGAGCTGCCACCGGCTTCATAGTCTTCATCGATAGGCACCGAACATGCCCGGAAAGATTCGCACCGCCCAGTCCGTGTCCTTTGACGTACCTGCTTCCGAGCAGCCGTATTTGCACAACCGCTGGCATCCAGACAGTAAGCCGGTAGCAGCTGTCAGGCCAAAAGAGGAGACTGACCGGCGTGCGGCAACCTAGTTCCTAATATCGCCTCGATCAAGCCGGGAGAGACGGTCAAGATTGAATGCCTTGATTGGACCGGCGGGCAGATCAAGAATAACGACAGTGCCGACGATATCCGTGACGCCGTGCTCACCAAATTCCACTATCTTACCGGCCCGTTTGAGATTGAGGGCAGCGAGCCGGGAGATCTCTTGGTCGTCAACATCACCGACATCCAGCCCTTTGATCATTCGCCGTGGGGCTTCAGCGGCATCTTTGCTCGCGAGAACGGAGGCGGGTTTCTGGACCGCCACTACCCCAAAGCCGCCAAGGCAATATGGGACTTTGACGGCATCTACTGCACCAGCCGCCATATTCCTGGGGTCCGTTTCGCGGGCCTGATTCACCCAGGCATTCTTGGCTGCGCTCCCTCAGCCGAGCTCCTGGCTGAGTGGAATCGTAGAGAGTCGGCTCTGATTTCTACTTGTGCACAGTCGCATCCTGGTCAGGTCGTGGCCCTCGCACCATATGAGGAGAACTCACATGCCGGAAAGGCCGGCGACAACCTCAAGGCAAAGATTGCTCGTGAGGGAGCACGAACCATTCCAGGACGTCCGGAGCATGGCGGCAACGTGGACATTAACAACATCTCGAGAGGCTCTAAGACCTATCTTCCGGTACATGTCCCGGGGGCCAAGTTTTCCGTTGGAGACCTTCATTTCAGCCAAGGGGACGGGGAAATCAGCTTTTGTGGAGCAATCGAGATGGTGAGATTCACACGCTCCCCAACTTTCCTCGCATATTCTCAACGCGTCCCTTCTTGCTGTCAGCCGGGCTACTGATTGAAGCTTGGATTGAAAACGGGGACCTATGCTGACAATAGCAAACTTTGTTCAACGTTATAGGCTGGAGTGATCACGATTAATTTTGGACTGATCAAGAATGGTATGAGGGAGCGGGCCATCATGAGCCCGGTGTTTAGGCCGGGCGAAGTGGCCCCGTTGTTTGGGCCATCTCGCTACCTGACATTTGAAGGATTCTCCGTCGACGAGTCGGGGAAGCAGCATTTTCTTGATGCGACGATTGCCTATCGCCAGGCATGCCTTCGAGCGATTGAGTATCTGAAGCAGTTTGGTAAGAAACTGGGGAGAGCAAGCTCCGAGCAATCACGCAATTTACATAGAGCCGCCCCAGACAGAGCTGCTAACTCGTTTCATTGAAATTTTAGGCTACTCGGGCGAGCAGGCGTATATGCTCCTGTCTTGCGCCCCGATCAAGGGATCTATTGCAGGCATTGTTGATGTCCCTAACGCGTGTACGACCCTGGGATTGCCAATGGACATCTTCGAGTTTGACATCTCTGTTGAAGCAAAACGTATCAAGAGATCGCCGGGGTCTTGTCCTGTGTCCGATGGCTCGACTTGAACAGAGGTGCTCGATTCACTTGGAGAGCCATTGATGAAGTTTGCAGTGTCTCTCCAAGTCGACCCTTTGCCACAGATATACCTAGTAAATGGACCAAGAATGTACCCCGAGCTCTGTGAGCTCAAGAAATCGACCTCCCCAGTACAGATTTGCATCAAGTGGCGGAGACCTTTTTTTGCGCAGGCGGTGGCGGTTGTTGATACATGTACATGTCGTTTCAGTTGGTCCTTTGGACAGTGGTCTGGACTTCGAGCATTCCAAACTGTCCCACCCTAGCAGAAGTCCGCGGTCGAGCCCGAGGCGGCTATTCCACGTGGTCGGCAGAGGCGAGATTCACTACCCTTCTTTCCATGGTTGCACACATGTCTTTAGCTTTTCGAGGCGCCGTAGCTAAGCTTTCGAAACAAGACTGAAGAGGCAAAAGACTTTTGTCTCAACCCCTTTTGATATTCTCACCATTTGTTGGGGATGGATGCCATTGGACATCAATTGATCGAGTTCTGACGCCAGGGTATGTGAGCGGAGAGAACTTGGAGACTTATGCACGGTGCAGTTTCGTTAAAGTGAAGTGACGGTGTATATGGACACTAATTGCAAGATATTTCTTACTCTTCTCACGATCAAGGGCCTCGGCGATCATGTGTGTGCTTGCCGTGTCTGCAGGTGTGCCGTGATTATGGAACGGACCGCGACGGACCGCACTTATGAATCAAAGTGACTCTATTTTAGGAGCAATGTAGTAATGTCTTCTTAGCCCGTTGTGCATGCCTTATATGTGTACATGCATGGATTCGACTCGAAAAATTTGGCCTACGAAGCTTTTAGAAGTCAAGTCTAGTTCACTGAAGCTGGTTGTTACATGTGGAATGTATGCCTCAGGACCCACGCTCGTGATTGGTGATGCAAAGTGATCATATCATGTCGGGGAAGAAGCAAGCAATATGAAGCTGCGGTACATATGTTTCGTGCTGCGGGTACACTTTACGATTCCTTTTCAACTGTCAAAGTTTGGTTTTGCGAATCGGCGATCTTGCGTTCCAGATTTTGGAACTCGGGTCAATTGTTACGACTTCTCCAATTCCCCCGACCATGCTAGTGAGCGACGTCCTCATGCTTTCATGAGAACTTCATCTGCATGTTATGCGGTCATTCACGTGGTCACGGTTTCTGATCCGATATATACATGTAGCTGATTCTGCCGTGGCTTTAGAGCTCCGATACTGTTGAGGTTTAGGCTTGCAAGCTGAGAGTAACATCGTGGTGTTCTCAATACATGCATCAGAACGCTGCGAACCTCGATGAACCTTATGTGTATCCTATAGAAGGTATCAAAGCTGCCCTTTAGTCCATTGACATATGTTTCCGGTCCCTCCCCTCGTATTTGTCGGAAGGGATATTCGCTATCAACTATTGGAATAGTATTTCAACATAGGGCATCTGTGGCTACCATCATGTTGCAGCATGACTAAACGTTGCTGGCTCCCTCGACGCTATACAAAGAGCGGATGAGCGGGCGCCTTAGAAGCTGCCCTCTCAAGATCATTGTTGGAGCTAGAGAAACTATATCACACTGATTATGTACTAGAGATATCCTGCCTGATAATAAAGGCTGGGACTTGTAGACTTTGCTCCCTGTAGAACAGCCCCTTGCATAACCATCCATAAAAGCCACGAGACTGGGGTGTTTGGTCAAGCTGGTGCCAGGACGCGGTGCAGCTCAACATATTCATTCAGGTCAGGGGAAAGCCACCTATGATGCCACGCGAAACACAATGACAGCTTTATAAACGCAAGTGAGTGGATAGCCTGCGTCGAAGTCAACACCTACCAGGGACTCTGGGCCGGGAACCTCATCCCAGGCATCCTGGTGCAGTGGTGCCAGAGTGAAGCCCCCGGTATGATAGATTTCGTCGAAGAGTTGCGTAAGGAAAGCGCAATACTATAGAACGAGCCCTTGGACGGAAATACACTTTTCCAGAAGGCGCAAGCGTTTCCCGGCCATTTCATGATCGTAACGGCGACTAGGTTTTGGAGAAACAAAGAATCGCCAACGTTCAATGATGCGTCAGGCAGATCGTGGACATGGCTAGAGATGATTCGTGCCTCATGTCGGCAGGGTGAGAACATGGAGTTACTCGATAGCGGTCAACGCCGCAAGGGCGGTCGGCGTCAAGAACATGAAATCACGGGTACCGCTGAGCCGAAAGGCTTAGCCACGACTCTTGGCAGGGCAGCAGCGGCACCTTAGCCTAGAATAGTGGATGGGCAGTGGCCAATCCGTGACAGCCATAAGCTGCTGTCTCTCTTAACCTGGACACAAGTCCGGTGTTCTGAGGATGGGGCTCATTATTCAAAGGGTGCCCTCAAGCACGTTTTGCTGGCGATTTGTCGGCGAAGCATGAGCCACAGCAAAGGGACAGGACACAGTAAGCCTTGGCGTCGATCGGCCGGGTGGCGACCTCGCTGGTTCTTCGGTCGCTCGCATGGTGCGTGTGGAATGGAGGCGTAGAGATAGGGCGGGCCAGACTAAGGGCACGTCGGTCAGGCAATGATCGGTGAGACATGGACACCTGCAAACAAACTACCGTCCCATGAGGGAGTATGGACTATGAGGCCGCAATCCCTTGCCACATTAATGTTTCAGATCTCTCTATTCTTGCACTTGCACTTGCACTTTGCGTGAGCTGGAGGGGTTGTTGCTGCGTTGCACCCTCTTGGGCTCTGGCGATATTCAAGGCTTCATGGAGCGCCCACGCGGAGGACTGGCCGAACAGTCCACTGCAGTCACGAGAACGGTGGTTTGCCAACTTTCATCTGATCTCAGTGCTGGGCTCGGAGTAACTTTGGGGGGCCCCGTCAAGAGGGGATGTTTGCCGTTTCCCTTGAAATATTTCAGTGGCGGCGCCTAGTCTGGGAGGCGTTCGGTTGAGGCGTTAGATGAGGGCGAGTTCCTTGCATGGCCTTGGCGGCCAGAAGCAGTCTTGAACAAGCTTTTGCAGTTCTTCTATAATTACTTAACGCACAGAAGGGTACTGCAAAGGAGGTCGGGAAAAAGAAAGGTGCATATGGCTTATGCGCTACAGGGCTTAAGCAGGCAGTTCCAGTCCCTTTACATGCCTGACGCCCAATGCGGCCGAATAGGAGAGAAAGCTGCTGCCAAGGCGGAGAGCGTACGCCACCATGCGAGCAGATCTCGGGATGGTGATGATGACGAGACTAAAGATCGTGCCGGCGTCGATTGAAGGGGATGAAACGGCAGCCCGTGCAGAAGACATTCTTGGCCTCGACTGTACGGACTTGGAAACTCGTGGGTGGTGCTTGGAGCGAACAATGAGGGCGTTGGACAGTGCTGCAAGGGCGTGTCACGGTACATTTGACGTTTTGTAATCGGCTGGCAGCCCTAACGTGCGCCAATTTCTGACGGCTGTATGAAGAGGGGAAGATCAAGCCATCATAATCTTGTTGCCTGGTGAAGGGGTGGCTGTCCATCAGACATCGACTGTCCGGCACCACGGCAGGGATCCCTCGCCGGGAAGACTCCGGGGTTCGATCTCTCGGCTCCGGCCCCACGCCAGCTCCAGAGGTTGTGATTGAAACAAGCCATTTCGTGGAGGAAAGGCTTGGATGAAGCACACATTATGCAGGTCGGAACTGGGCCGGCACTTGACAGATCAGATGCGTCACCTTGGACTGCACGATGACGACTGACCGCGCCGGACCACCGGTGCCCCGTACCCACCCATAAGCTGACTTCTGTGTTCCTCGGCCATTGACGGCTTGTCACACGGCAGCGTCAAACAAGGGCTTCAATTAATACTGCTGATACTGTAGGGGAGCATCCATGTAATTACCCACCCGACATGGATGCCGGTGAGTCTCGCCCGGGCACCTACAAGCACGATACCGTGCAAGGCAGGGTCAAACGAAAAGGGAAAAATAAGGGGAGAGTTTTGGACGGGATGAAATCTGTTGATTGGAGCATGCAGTTCCCACAAACCGGGCTGTGTGTTGCGCCGTGTGTTGCACGCGCTGGCCATCGATCACGAGAAGGCTGCGTACTCAGCGGATGACGCAATGCGGCAATGCGGCAAAATCTCGTGGTGCGTTGCGCGGGACGAGCCAAGGCGGACATGGGGGAGATGGGGGTTGGGGGGGAGCGGTCAGGGGGAGCGATGACGATGGACCTTGAACGGGCTCGGGAGCCGAGCTTCGATCTGTTTTTAGTACGAATACTGTACGGAGACAGCATCCGGTGGTGAGAAGGCCACGGAAAACATGCAAGCTGGCCTTCATCGTCAACGACAGCGCAGTGTTGCCTGCCCGAGTCTGGCCCCGGACTCTCCGGTCGTCTTGGGCGGCGTCGCGTGTCCAGCTGAAGTTACATGTACATACTCGGGATATGAATAACTGGGCAATCGAAAGCTGGGATCATCGCCAAGGAACGAGGGATCTCTGTCGAAAATATTTCGGTCCCATTCCCGAAGCAACAGAGGATCCGCTGTCCCTCCAGTTTGGAGACAGCCGGAGGAAGAGGGCGTCGTGTACAGTAAACGATTATTTTCTGGTAGCAATTGTCCACTCGAAACATCTGCCTCCTTGTCCTCCATTGTTCCCACCAACACCGTGCTCATGGAGTTGACGATAATTGGCCCCGGTCTCCCTCCGAGGGCCCCACGGCAGGGAGGGGCTTCCCTGCAAAGTGCGTCATCGTCACTGCTCCGCAGCAGGCAGAAGCTTGACGTCCATGCTTGAAAATTTATCGATTTTTAGTTTACAATTTTTTGCCTCCCTTTTCTCCTACCGATGGTCTTCAAATGCCGGCGCCTTCTTGGCACAGTGTACCTTGTGAGCCTGGCAAACTCAAGCTCAAGAGGACGCTTCCCGGCCGTTTGCAGGTGTACTAATAACACACCGATGGACTTGGATTATTCGGTCAATCTCTGGTGCTTGGAGGCGAGAAGAATAGGGGTGAAACCCTCGGCTCTCGAGTCACATCGCCTTGCCTGACTGAGCCCACACAAAAGCCGCGCGCTCGTTGACGGACTCGCAGGGTCTCCACTCCCCTCCCCTACGGAGTGCTGGTGTTGGACTTAGATGGCTGCAGATGGTGGGTTGATACAGACATGGCATGGTCCAGTCTCTGTCGACGCTGCATCCAATGCGCTGGTGTTTCCACAATGGGCGTATGGGGAATGAGAAGAAGGGGAAGATGCTGTCCAGGGAAACACCAAGAAAAGGGAAGAAAAAACAGAGACTCGCCCTCTGAGACAAGGCGAGCTCGTTGTCTCGCCCATCCGCACAACAACGAGACCCAGGCGCCGAAAACCCGCTGGATACGCCTTGTCTCAGAGCCTCAGGGCGAAGGCACTGACTGGGGCGAGAGGAGCAAAGAGCGTTGCCGGGGCTACTCTCCTCCATCTACAGACGAGCTAGACCCGTCGAAATCCCTTCCCTTGAGACCATCTTTGCCGCCCGAGCTATTGATGGATGTCCCAATTGTCCACTCACCAGGGGCGCCTCCTTTGTGTTGGTTGGTATGGGCTTGTATGCGCGTCCCATGCATGCACACTGTGTGCCCTTTTTCGCCAAAGGCCGATTAACGACGATCCCCCAGACGCCGTGCGCTGTGTGTGATGTCAGTGGGTGGATGTTGCGGAGGCCGGCCAGCGCTCGGCCATAATACTGTAATATGCTCTGGTGGGCCTAGGAGGCTGCCACGCCCCGAGGAGGGAGACTGGAGTTCCTTGGTTTGAGGCTAAAGTAGTTTTCAATCCACGAGAGCTTGTTGCATACAAAAGCTTGCCCGTCCTCATACCACTACTTACACCTCCATTCCCCTCTCTCCCGCTCCCCTCCCCTTCTTCTTCTTCTTTTTCTTTCTCCTCATCCTCCTCGGCATAATTGGGCTTCATCTACACTGGTGAGGAGCAGCAATTATCCAATTGCCCCCCCCCCCCCAGCCTCTGCTTGCGCGGTCCAGACACAGGGAGGACTCGGAGCTTTGGCTCGCTTCGAACAAGCCCAGCATGCCGTCCACCCACTTCTCCGAAGACCCGCCGCAGGTCATTAACCAAAAAGATCTCGAACTCGCCAACGAGATGCTCAAGGCGTCCGATGCCGGGCACGCAGACGCTCGCGGCGGCGACGCCGTCGAGTCCGTCGCGGCCGCAAAGGCTCAAGACGAGGGCGTGGCACCCCTGCCCACGCAGGACGGGTCCGACTCGCCCACCGGCAACGGCAACGGCAACGGCAACGGCGCTCAGCTCGAGAAGCTCGGCACCTATGACAAGTACGAAATAACAGAGGACGACTGCTACAACGAGCTGGGCTATAGCTTCCCTACGTGGAAGAAGTGGTACATCCTGACCGTCATCTTCTGGGTCCAAGTGTCGATGAACTTCAACACGTCGCTCTACTCCAACGCCATCCCTGGCATTGCTCAGGAGTTCAACGTCAGCGAGCAAGCCGCCCGCTGCGGCGCCATGATTTTCCTAGTCCTCTATGCCTTTGGCTGCGAGCTCTGGGCCCCCTGGTCCGAGGAGTTCGGCCGCTGGCCCGTCCTTCAGCTCTCTCTCTTCCTAGTCAACATCTGGCAGCTTCCCGTCGCACTCGCCCCCAACTTTGCCACCATCATGGTCGGTCGCGCCCTCGGCGGTCTGTCCTCGGCCGGCGGCTCCGTCACACTCGGCATGATTGCGGACATGTGGGAAGCCGATGTCCAGCAATACGCCGTCGCCTACGTCGTCTTTTCTTCGGTCGGAGGTTCCGTGCTCGGGCCCATCATCGGTGGCTTCACCGAGCAATACCTGCATTGGAGGTAAGAAACTTCGAGACTGCTTGGACGGAGCTGATTGCTGACTTTTTCTCTTTCCATATTGCAGGTGGTCTATTTGGGTCCAGCTCATCCTCGGCGTCTTCGTCCAAGCGGTCCACTTCATGACCGTTCCCGAGACGCGCACCACCATCATGATGAATCGCATCGCCAAGAAGCGCAGAAAGGCGTCCAACGCCAATTTCTGGGGCCCCGACGAGCTTGTGCCCTTTGCGGATCGCTTCTCGGCCAAGGAGGTCCTCGCCACCTGGATGCGCCCCTTCAAGATGTTCCTGACGGAGCCCATCGTGCTGGTGCTTTCGCTGCTCTCCGGCTTCTCCGACGCCCTCATCTTCATGTTCATCCAGTCCTTTGGCCTCGTATACAAGCAGTGGGGCTTCTCAACTGTCCAAATTGGCTTGGCTTTCATCCCCATTGGTATCGGCTACCTTCTCGCTTGGGTGCTCTTCATCCCCGCCATTCGCCGCAATATCAAGGAGCGTCAGGCCAAGCCAGAGGATGAGAGGGCCCAGTATGAGTCGCGTCTCTGGTTCCTCCTATACACAGCGCCGTGCCTACCCATTGGCCTGATCGGCTTCGCCTGGACCATCTCAGGCCCTCCCATACACTGGATTGGGTCCATGATATTCGCCGCCGTTGTCGGTATCGCCAACTACGCCATCTACATGGCCACCATCGATTACATGATTTGCGCCTACGGCCCGTACTCTGCCTCCGCGACGGGCGGCAACGGCTGGGCCCGAGACTTTTTAGCTGGTGTCCTCACCGTGCCAGCCCTGCCCTTCTTCCAGAACATCGGCGCCTCAAAAGGCAGGAATCTCGAATACGCAAGCACCATTCTCTTCTGCATCTCCTTTGTCCTCGTCATTGCTGTCTACGTCATCTATTGGAAGGGGCCCACGCTGCGCAAACGATCGCCCTTTGCCCAGCGGTTGGCCAACGCGCGCGAGGAGCAAGTTACCGATGGCCGCCAAGGGAGTGTCTCGTACGATCCAGACCGCCGAGGTAGGTTTTATTTAACGTCTCTCTCCCATGTTGGGTATGATTGCTAACCCTTCTCGCCTTCCTCCAGCCTCTTCTGCCTCCGCCACCATTCGCCCAGGTGGATTCGAGCGACGATACAGCCAACAGCACCGTTTCTTCGGCGAAAGCCGAGTCACTCCTCGAGGAACACCACGCGGCACTCCAGCGGCGAGTCGGCGCCCCAGCATGGCCAACACGGGGAAAAAGTGAGATTGGGGAGAGCAATAGACGGTGTGTTGCGCAAGCCATCGGGGCCTGTCCCTGTGCCTGGACCCAAGTCCTGGCCGAGTAATACCGGGGCAGTTTGGCACTATCCCAGGAGATTCTTGATACTTCTTACTACACTGGCTAATATTCGGAGCATTGCCTGTTTCTTTTCGATTTATCTACTTTTTTCTGGGGACGATGTTCTGTATGATACCGATACTCTAGAGGCTCATGATGTGCTCTCAGTTGTAAGTGCAGGCTACGGGCTGCACCCATCTTATGTACAAGTACATAGAAAATACCCTCACCGTTACCCTCATCGTTTACCGTCATCAGTGTGCAAGCCTATGTCTGTCGGCGGCACCAGCATCGGCCGGATCGGAAACTCGGTCAACCGACTCTGCGACGAGATCGTCACTGGTTGGACGATGACGTCGATCTTCGGGCTGGGCAGACTCCAACCCCGCACGCTCGGTCATGGATGATGGAGGGCAGGTTGCTGCTTGTTGGCCAAGGTAGGTTAGGGCTGAACCATCCCCGGTGTTGGCGTAACCAACTGAGGCCTGGGTCAACGGCCTTCTCGCTCGAAACAGCGGTCCGGACCGCCGCCGCAGATATCTTGACGGATGTGTCTCCGGGGCAGGGCCAACCTTGTTCACCAAAAGAGCCTGGTGTCAATGCCATGACGCCCCTCGTGCAAATCGTCTTGGACGGAAAAGGTTAACAGACTCATCGACCTGCGCCTTTGTCGAGTAACAACATAAGTTACATGGCATACATCAGCAGACCATACAACGATAGATACAGCCAACATCGTGCTCCTACAGCTTCACGCCAACCGCAATGCGCATCACCATCGCACCGGCCGGGACCAAGACCGGAACGGCTGTGGTCCGATCGCTGCTATCTACCTCCGACCCCGTCGTCGAGGTCCATGGCCTGTACCGCAACCTGGCCAAGGTACCCGATGAGTTTTCCTCTCAACCACGCTTCCACGCGCTCCAGGGCGATGTCTTGGACCCTTTGAGACTGCACTTTACGGGGTCGGATGCCATCTTGGCAATCACTCCACCTGTGTACGATGGCCAAGATATCGTCTCGTATGCGGAAATCGCTTCCAAGAACGTCAGAGACGCAATCGAGAGGTCGGGCAGCGTCAAGAGGCTCGTCCTCCTAAGCAGTGGTGGCGCCCAGTTTAGCACCGGCGTGGTCCGTCTCCCCCAAGGTCCTTCCACCTCTGGTCTTGCGACAGATTACCCCTCCCATTTCAATGTGTGCCTGCTGCGGATTGACTGATGCACTCGTAGGGAGAGATCAAGACGAACAACATGGCGGAGAGGGTGTTTTCGATGACCGCCATTCCCGCAGTCACATTTGTTCGCTGCGCCTACTTTATGGAGAACTGGACCATGAACTTCGACACTCTCAAGGCACCACAGCCCTTTTTCTTTTCAACGATCACCCCCCTTGACTGGAGGGTCCCTATGGTTGCCGTAGACGACATCGGGTCTACGCTAGCAGCTGAGTTACTCAACGAAACCATTCCGCCCACCAAGCCGCACATATTCGAACTTCACGGGCCCCAGCCTTACACTCCGCTGGACGTGCAGGCTGCCTTTTCCAAGGTCTTGAAAAGGGAGGTGGCGGTCAAGCCGGTCGCGAAAAACGAACTTTACGATTTCTTCTCGCGCATATTTCCTCAACAGATTGTGGGAGAATGGGTCGAGATGGCCGCGAGCTTCCTCCCCGGCGGCATAATGGCTGCCGACACTATCAATTATGATGACGTGAATGTTGTCCGAGGTGTCACTGAGCTTGACACGGCTCTGGCTGCGGCTATTCGCAAGAACTTGTTGGGGTCCTGAGGGAACAAGGCCGGACAAGGCGCGTTGGTTCTTGACAGTCTGCTGTAAATGTATACTCCATGCTTTATAGTCTACAGTGACGTGTCCATTTCCATGGGCGCTGGGCGACGAGAAAACACATTCTATGATTCTAGGCGGAAGACGGCTTGCGCCAGACAATGTTTGAGAGTGGAATTATGCCAGTATTGTTTTTGATGAAGTCTCGTTAATCATCGCCTACGACCTGAACTCGAAATAGCCATCAATGTGAAGCAACGGGAATGCCCAATGTCTCCGGCCAGCTTAGCAGAGTCACCTCTACCGTGAAACACTTGCGCTACTCTCATCACCCTCCATCGGCGTCAATGGGCATGCCATTCTATTCCATGGGCCGGCCCGTCCTACTGGAATGTGGGCAGCAAACATCAAACGACGGTGTTGTACGAATAGATGTTGAAGTCTGGGTCTAGGGTAAGCTGCCTTCTCCTGAGCCGAACGGGGGCCGCCGAGACAGCCGACGACAACCGAGGCGGACAGTACGGAGTACAACGTCATGCAATCCGCGCGTGATTCTTGACCAGCAGACAAGTCGAGCCAATGCCCGTGATTCCGGTAGTACAAATGCGACGGCCACTTCTCAACTGCATTGTGCGACATGCCCAGTCGGCTGCATCGCGAGCGCACCACAAGGCGGCGGAAGCTGGGGGCCCGAAATCGGCCTCATTCAACCCAAGATGGTTCGCCGAGCTCGGGCACCGAATCAGTCAGTGTCTCGCTCGCCAGCCAAAGACCGACGATGGTAAGCTGCTAAGAGAGCGACTCGAATACATCGACAAACATTGGCTTGAGCTCTCCGCCGGCCGCGAGGGCTTCTTGACCAGCCACCGATGGCGAGGGCTGGACAAGCATACTGTTGTTTGGGGTGAAATGGTGAGCGGCCAGCGTTGGTTTCCCTTCTGGGACTCGCTCAGACTGACTGTCCTGACCATCCGGCGGGTTTGGCATCCAAAGGATAGCATGGTGAGAATGACTTTGACTCCTGGCCCGGTACATCGTGAGAGTAGCTGATCAAGTTGCAAGGGTACCGCTCCATGTCTCGAGATAGTGACAAGATGGCAATTGACGCTGGACAGGCCATGTCAACAACGTCATCTACAATCGATACGCCGAGTCTGCACGAGTCAACTGGCTCTTGAGGTTTGCAGCCGCGGCCGATCCAAAACACCGCCAACAGTGGAGCGAGCTCATGACACCCAAGAGCGTGGGACTCATCTTGCGAAGCATCAAGACCGACTACAAGCTTGTGAGAGCCACCTCCAAGCAGTTCTCGTCAAGTCAAGCTCCAACACTAACGATTGCGCAAGCCAATCACCTACCCGGACAGCGTGACGGTCTTGCACAAGCTTGCCAAGAAGCCACATTACAACTCTGATGCCATCTTCTTGGAGGCAGTCATCCTCTCCGAGCAGCACAGACGTCCGGCGGCTAGGTGCTTCGAGGACATTGCCGTCTACGACTACCGAGCGGCCCGGAGAGCGCCGCTGCAGGACTTCATGGTGGATCGACTCCGCGAGATATACGACTTGCAAGAGAAGAGCAGAGAAGAGGTTGAAAGCGAGGTGGTGCAATTAACCGAGCAGATTCTGCAGATAGAAGGTCGAGCTACGCATGATTCCGCGCATTGAAGGGGGCAGCCGCTACGAGGTCAGTATTTGTGAGGCTAGAACGGCGAGAAACTGTACAGATTGTCGAGGAGCGATCCAGTCCCGCTCACTCCCGTCAAGCCCGGCCCGCAAGTGGTTGTTCATCTTGTCAATAGAGTATGAGAAGTTTGCGCGACCGTGCATACGCATATACGCACTGCACTACATCAAACGCAAAGGCTCGCTCGTCATAGAATCGTCATAAACATCATCAGAAACTCGTCCCTATGTACACTTGGCCAATCTTATGTACAAGAAAGCTTGGAAGCGACAGATATAGAATGAATCTGAGTAAAGTTGCCCGCGCACTCAGCACGCAATCATGGGCAGAAGAAGGAATAAGTCGGAGCATTCAGTCGCCCAGTTTAATAGGCGGTATAGTGGGCCACGTAGCCGACCTCTAGCATGCTGCCGTAGCCGTCGAACGTATTGCCATTCGGATACCCGGGCTATAGCAGAAACCCGTGGTCAGCAAAGGGGTCCATGCAAATCCGTGTGTGGTTATGGCGAGCTAAGAATAGACACTCACCCAGTTGCCGCCAACGGCCACGTTCAGAATAAAGAAAAGGGGGCTGTTGCACAATGATGCCCAAACACCAGGGTTGTTGATGCGGTTGCCTCTGATTTGGTGGAACAGCCGGCCGTCCATGTACCACGAGATGCTCTGGTCCAGCCAGTTGCCGGGTCTGCGATCAAACTCGACTCTCCACGTGTGCCAGCCTTGATCGGGAAAGGCAGTGGAGCCCCCGATGCCGGTTCCCTCGTTGCAGATACCGCCGGGGAAGACATTGCAGTGCACCGTGCCATATCCCGACAGCTGGCCGTTGACGGACTCCATAATGTCAATCTCCCCGCAAGCAGGCCAGGGCGCGCCGTTGCGGATCGCGTGGCCCAGCATCCAAAAGGCCGGCCATATGCCCTGCTTGCGGTCGACCGGGTTGCCACCGAACCGCACCGCCGCCTCGACCCTCGTCACCTTGCCGGCCTCGGGGGTCACGAGATGGCTGCCTTCGAGCCGCCCGGATGTCCAGCCGCGCGGAGCCGAGCCGTCTTTCCAGGGGACGAGTTGCAGAGTGCCGCCCCCGCTTAGCTGAACATTGCGCGTCTTGGACGTATAAGTCTGCAGTTCGTTGTTGACGCCTAGGTTGCCGTCGATGATGTTCCAGTTTCCACGGTTCGGAGAGGACCCCTTCGCTCCGGCAAAAGTCTCTTGCCATACTCGGCCGAAGCCTGCGTAGTTGGGGGCGTCCCAGGCAGAAGCGGCCGAGACGAGGGCGATTATGGCCGTGAGAGTGCGTTGGGGGATCATGATGGAAGAAACAAACGCCGTATTGGTATGTACAGCAGCTATCGTGTAATACAGCCAAACAATGAGAAACAGACGGATCTTATCCTCTTATGGGAATGCCCTGAGACTTGGGCGGGCATTGTCGGGCAGTTAAAGGCGCAGCCTCCTCCAGCCTCCAGTATCCAGCGTTTTCCCTGTTGGAGGCAGATGAGATATTCAAGCAGCCATGATGACCTTCCAGCCATCCCATCCGCCTATACAGGCAGGTCGTTGCAGCGACCGTCGTCTGCAGCGACAGCTGGAATCCCTGTTGGTGGAAGTCACATTTCGGAGGGTAAGAGAGCAACGCGGAAGGTCACATGGCTCAAGTCATGACTCCCGTGCTTGTTCCCGGGACCCTGGGCAAAGCCCGAAGACGCCAGTGACCTCCGGCCCGGCCAGGCGCTGGCACAAGTTGGAAGCTTGGCATCAGGGTGCGGAGATGACGGTCTTCGGGATGAGTGACAGACTCGAAGACAATGTAACGTCCAACGCAGGAACTGAGCGCCTCCTGACGGAAGGCCCGAATAGACTGGCTGGGACACGTGCGATTAGATCCGGGGTCAAATCTATCGGATGATCTGGGGGAGGCTGGCAATGAGGCGATAGGTCAAGCCAACTTCAAGGTTGCTGCACTAGCTGCTTTAGTCTGGTCCTTGTTTTGTCGTGGGCACCGGGTCATTGACATCGGGATCTCAACGTCGCCACAAGGTTCTTTAGTTCCGTGGCCGATGGGTGGCTCGGATCGCCCTAGAACAGATTGACGTCCTTGAGCCGCAGGAGGCTTGCATCTATATAAATCAAGCAAATGTGCCGCGCTCTCCGCTGCATAATATTCGCGGATCTCATCTCTCGTATGGACTTAACCTTTGTTCTTTTTCTCTTCGGAGAAGGTGAGTACGCCCGGAATATCAGATTATTCATGAGTGCATGTCTCGTGAGGGCTGCACTCCTGCCACCAGAGGTTAGGCCGAAGCTCGAGCCATCCTCGACGACAAATAAGCTCTTGCGTCCAACATGGCGACCCTAGGTATTTAGTAGTATTTGATGATCAGAAGTACGTGTTGGCGGAATAAGAATAAGGGGCAGTGGCATTCCAGTTCGGAGGACTCCGGGCTGGAGCTAAACTTGACCCCGGCATCCTGGAAGCGGCGACACATCAAATATGCAGATGGATCATGCAGGGACGTTTGGCAACAAGCGCTGTTACCTCCCAGCGGGCTCTCATCTCGACGGAGCGGAAGAAGATCGAGCGCCGTCATGCCCCTCCACATCTTCCAGGGAAAACTAAGGAGGAGCGTGACAGCACATCCTCCCACACACCACCAAGCCCGAGTCTGATCACCTTGCTAGGTATATGATTGGCTGCCCCCCAGGTCGCCAGACAACAGGTGTAACCGCGTTATTTCACGGACCGGCGAGTGATGTTCCCCCCCTTTTCCTGTCGGCCGAAAACCTGTATCGCTACATAACCCGTGGGCAGGTTTGTACCTGAAGGAGATGCGCCGCCCAGCGAGCCAGAAAGCCGAGTGTGATTTACGGGGTAAGCTCGGTGATCGCGGTATTGGTGATTCGTCGACTTACATGAACCCATTCCTGTCTGCGCCAGAATCAAGTTACATGCTGGTTTGAATAGGTAGTCACAAAAACCCACCTCGTGGCCGAGAGTTGAAGTCGCCCCCGTGCCGACCAGTCGCGGCGGATACGGCGGCTCTGATGCTAGAGCCTACTCTGCCAAGACGGTGTACGTTGCGACTTCTCTGCTCCATCATTCGCCTATGCACCACGAGGCATTCATATTATGCTCGTGTGATTGCGGCCAGCATACAAGACGGTCGGCATTGGTCAAATTCGGAAGGGAAAGGCCGCCCTAGCGTGGCTTTTGGCTGGGAAGAGGGGCCATGTGGCATAAGCCTGTGAGCCTGACTGGTCCCGTGAGAACATAGGCCAGCATGCATCTATCCATGTCCGTTGCAGTTCTCTGTGTGGCGGCGCGTCTTCTCGTGCTTTTCCTCATGGACAAAGGATATGGGCGGAAAGAAACGGTCTTCCAAGCCCGCGCATTTTGCATAGAACCTCATGCTTCCCGTATGAAACCCGATTCGGGTTTTGTCACTGAGTGCTTCCAAAATCCGGGACGCACCCCCCCTGATACGTGTGTAGGCTCAGTGTAGCTCCGTAGTGTTGTAATTACAACTTCCAAGTTTGTATGTATGTACGCGGGAATTGCGTTCATTCCAAGTTATGTCGTATCCCGCGCATTGGACGGACCAACTGATCCGAGCCCATTGGAGGCAAGCTTGCATTGGCTTGGCCGGGCCCGGCCCTGTGGCTGTAAATGCGACGGGTGCCACAACTGAGAAGTTTCATGGGTGGCTTTACATTCCAACGGACCATTTTGGTATAACCGCTGCCGTTATTCTCACTACGACACCAAGGCCTGTCACGAAGCATCAGGCATTTTGTTGGAAGTACGAAGTACGTGAGCTGTGGTTCACGTTGTTACCCAAGGTCATTTCGGGTTCACGCTGACCACGCGATTTCGAAGCGATAAACGATTCGCGTGCTTTGTATTTCTATGTAAAAACGCTCCACCGTTGATATAATCACGCGGAAACTTCGTATCCGACTCGGCTCGGCTCATATGTACTCGCAAAGGAGGCCTACCCCGTTTATTCTTCAATAGCTACATCCTATTATTCTAGCGGCCCCGGGTATTCATCCTTCACTGCTGTCATGGTCAGCCCCAAAGCCGTCCTTTTGGTAACCGGGGTCAACTTCTCCTGATGCTGGATGCAGATGGAGTTTTCAAGCGGGCCTTTGCGGTCGTCTAGTTCCTGAATGTTGAGCTATCATGTGTCAATGCATATAGGATGGGGCTAAAAGTCTACGGGTTGCGCACTTCCGCAGAGAGGAGACATGCAGTCCTGAAATAATCGTCATTCCCCCAGCTTCCCTTGGCAGCCGTGCCGGCGTTCAGGACCAGAAGCTCGATGCCCCCAAAAGCTTTAGTCACGGCCTGTTTCAACGTCTTCCAACTGTCCGGCTGGCTGACGTCGGATACAGAAGTGACCACGTCTTTTCCCGTCGAATCTTGGCCGGCGATCTCGCGCTCTGCCCTTTGCAACGTGTCTGCATCGCGGTCGACGAGGAACACCCTCATGCCTTTGCTCTTACAGAGCTTGGCAATCGCAAGACCAATCCCCGATGCGCCCCCCGTGATGAGAGCGGCGGAGCCGGATGCGAAAACGTCGCCTGCAGTCATTATGGTGAACAGAGCGGTGTTTGTTCAGGTCGAAGCGCTTTCAATTGTCAGTACAAAGGGGTTTCCTGTTTATATAGGAACAAACTCGGCTCCATCACACAGAAACAAGTTGCAGTGAGCTCAAGAGCTGTGACGTCGTTCTCTGGCGGGGTTCGGCGTGTTAGTGATGTTAATGCAACGCTTAACTCCGCAGTCTCCGCGATTCCCGAACTCACTGCGCTGTCTGACAGTGAACCTCTCAAGTCTACAGATTCAAGTGATGTGTATATTTTCTAAAAAGCGCTCTGCCCTACGAGTCAGCCTTTGCTTCCCGCGAACCTTCCACCATGGTCCTTGGGGAGTGCAAGTGCTCGCCCTAGGGCCAAGACTGACGCGCCACGAACTTCTCCATGATGCCGACTTTCGGGGCAGTTCCGCGATGGTATCTCACTATGCGATATGAAGACTTTCTGACTTTGCAAGTTGTTCACGCAGTACGGTTTGTTCAGTACGTGGATCACTTATGCGGACTGTTATTTGCATCCGTAGATTTGCCCTCCATTCGCATGGCCTTGTCACGTAAGGGCCCCTTCTAGTGCTGCTTTCTCGATCATGCCTCCCTTGGGGAGATCCCCTCGCTACACGTGATTCCCTATTTCGTGCTGGCCCCGATCCCGGCTGCTGCTTGCCTGGTGGTGAGGCAGCTCATCGGTGTCCTCAGAATTAGACCCGTATATCTCTGATTGAGCATATAGCTCGAGTCTACATGTAGATAATAAGCATAGATGCCTCAAGTGCTGTTTGTTGATAATGCAGTCACTAATCTTCACTGTATAAGTCCCGGGACATGCGTAGGCCGCTTGTCAAACCAAATCTCGTAGATAAGGCACTACCAGTACCTTGTAGCTTAAACACACTCTCCCATTACTTTATTCTGAACATCCACACATTTCGAGCATCCTCTCATGACGCATATGTAGTCAAAAACGCATTTCGTTTTCCAGCCTTTACAGTGATTCCTCCTCAGCATCGGCTGTGAAACTGGTGACTGATTGGCCTTGGCGGGAGAATCCATAGGAATCTCAAGCTCGCCTTTGTCGTCAGACAACTCCTCGACCTGTCCCTAATGACCTCTGTCAGTGGCATTCCTTGGGAGGAGAGACATATGTACCAACCTGCGGCATCGCAAGGGAGACGCCAAAAAGGGCAACGATGGCAAGAGTTGATTTCATCTTTGCTTTGGTCGCTAATGATATGTGTGGACTTGCTGATGAGTGATGACTGAAAGTAGGCTGTTGCTGCAGGAGCTGTTGCAGCGGGTGTTGATGGTCTCTTAAATACGCAATTCTGAGGTATGCCGATTGCAGAGAAACACATTGATTGGAGATTCAACGAGGCTTAGACCACTCGTTGGACCGGCTAGAGCGGCAAGAATTATACTTATTCATACTGTTGGAGACGGCTGGTTATTTTGGTGAACGTGCCGCTCTCACGGGAAGAACAGGGGGGGGCTGTGCTTGCGGCCGAGGAAACGAGTCAAGAAAAGGTAGGTGAGATAAAACAGTAGGAAACGACCTACAGATTTGGAGATTGAACGAGAAATGTAATTCCTGCCTTGGCAATACTTGCAGAAAACGAGGGCGAGAAGAATGTGAGTGATGGTTCTCCAGCTAACAGCGGGCAATTGTTTGTGCTTTTCAAGCAAGTCATTCTATGAGCGCCAGCTTGCCATGTTTACATTAAGATTTCGATCATGGATACAAGACGATATACTGGACTCTGTATGATGTACATCATGGGTATATATTCGCACCACGTGCGAATAACCATTCTGCACGTATTCATATATATGCGATACATATGAAGTCCCAGGGACCATATAGACGAGGGTGGACGTGGTAGGCGAGCCATGTTGAACATCTCATGTATATACCATGGCCTTGAAATGAATACGTAAGAAATATTGGCTTGAAGAAGGTGCGAAGGCACCGAATCGCTCTGAATTGGAAAATTCGATTCCTTCTTCGAAAAACGAAACATGTAATGCAGTTGATACTAGTGACAAAGTCCACGTACCACGGCTTCTGGGAGAGGATTTTGAGTGCCAGGACTACAGGGGGAGAGCTTGAGGGGTTTTTCCACAGGGGCACTACAGTGTGGACGAAAACCTTCTGTCCATGCGAAGCTCACTGATGGGTAAAGCGGCACGGGAGTCGTCCCTATCCCTATCCACAGTCACGCGGGTCGGATGGGTGTGGTGTAACCAACCCGGCCCAGCGTGGTATCATCATCATCATCCTGGGATGGAGATCGCGCTGCTTGCTCTGCCGCGAGGGTCGGCAGAGTCAACACATCATCGGAGCTCGGCAACTTTGCGCAGTCGAGCTGTTACACACGCGGCGGATCCGGGCTGAGGTTGAGTTCTTGCCGCAGCACTAGGCCGGAGAACTGGTGCGCAGTGCATAAGCCAGATACTTCGTACACCATACATAAGCTATGTGCGGTAAGAGAAGGGCGAATGAAGGTGCTATCTCCGCCTCGGCGCAGGCCGAAATCCGCGACAGGCTTCAGTGCTCAAGTAATCACTTGCGCCCCTTTGTCTATCAGAAGGCTATACGTAATAAGAAGCTCTGGTTGGCTCCATAATGACGCCAGCTACTGTCAGCCCCATCATCCAAATGGCATTTTCGGCTTCGACTTGACGAAAGTGTGAGTCCATGAACATTCATCATATCCTGTAGACCGCAACACTTACCTCCCTACAGCCAACGTGCTATATTTGAGACTTTTAAACTTCTACAATAAATTTGGCGTTTATACATTCGATTGAGGTCTCATCTATTGCTGCACCCGCCTCGCATGCTGCCTTCATCGTAGCATTCAGGAGTAGACTCCCGCAATGTCTTTCTTTTCTTCATGAATATGGTGAGGTGCTATGCGGCTAGAGCTAATCGACCCTACTCCCAGACCCTCGAGACCAACCTTTTCGGAGTAATCCACGGCATCAACACATTCCTTCCTGTGGTGCAGGAAGCTGCCAAGTCAAAACAAACGGCCGTTGTAATCACTGGCAGCAAACAGGGAATCACCAACCCGCCGGGTAACGCTGCCTACAATGCATCAAAGGCGGCGGTGAAGAGCCTTGCCGAGCATCTCAGCTGGGATCTGAGGCACGACAAGACTACAGTTCATCTTCTCGTCCCTGGCTGGACTCACACCGGCCTTGTGAGTTTTCATCCTTTGGCCCCTTGCGGTCTAAGCACGGATTACTGAAACGCAGACATTTCCAAAGACGGGAGGCGGCCAAGGCAGAGAGAAGCCAGCTGGCGCCTGGGCACCCGAGCAGGTAGCTGAGCATCTTCATCGAAAGATGGGAGAGGACAGATTTTACGTAATTTGTCCCGACAATGATGTGTCGGAGGAGACGGACAAGAAGAGGATGCTCTGGTCCGTGGGTGACACTGTCAAAGGACGACCTCCGCTCTCCAGATGGCGAGACGAGTGGAAGAAGGAAGCTGAAGAGACGATGGCGAGCACTCAAGTGTGAGTCACAGGCAGACAGTCTGCAGCAAGTGTGGGATAACGCGGAGGCCTGCGGCTTGCCAGCTAGAAAAGGAGGTCCTCGTGAGAGAGGGAAGCGGTGAGGGCGACGGTTGGTGGTATCTCGTCATACTTGCTCCTGGAAGCGTCGCGTTGCGACTCGCGCGTTCGTCTGCTTGATGCATATGTTCGCTGCTAAACATGCGTAGCCGCACTGTGATCTGATGATAAATGAGCGTCGCGCATAACCAATGCGAATGATCGAGTGCTGGCTCCCAGTAAAGAGACTTCCCCAGAAGGAATTCCTTACCTCGGGCAGTCCTTCGATGTTCGACGGTGCTTCGACGGTGCTTCGACGCTCGACCGTTGGGGCAAACCGGGGACCGGGGCGACACTTTGCAAACGAGAGCTGCTCTTTTGCAAGAGATGTGCTGGTCCAATCGCACTCATCCCCTGCCTTGGGAAAACATGTTGAGCTGATCAGCCACGACTGCCTCGGTAGATGGGCGCTCATCACGTGACGTTGATGTTCCCTGGGGTTGGCGAACACCATCTCCACCCACGCTGGGCTGCTGGATCCGTTTTCGGCAGTCCCAAGCTCGGAGCTTCGCAAATTCTCAGGCGTCCTCGCGGACTCTCCCCTCTAGGCCTGCAGCCCGCGACGACGCTGGCGCGCTTCTGATCGCCGTGGCAGGGCCCCATCATCGTCACTGCAAGGCCCGATAGGGGCCCCAGCAGGCAGCATGTCTGAGGACGACATCGACATGCTCGGCCCGGACGGGCACTCAGAGACTCAACTCATCTGCGAACGCCGCACGCCGAGGTTCAGCTGGACGCCGGCCTACGAGACCACCTTCTTCCGAAGCCTTTGCGAGAGCGTCCAGCTTGGCTTGCGCGAGAATAGCAGTTTCAAGGCCGAGGCCTGGGCGCGCGCCGCTCAGGCGCTCGAAAAAAGCCATGGTGCCTATCCCACCAAGAGCCATCTCATCAACAAGAGCGACAACGCGCGCAAGCGATTTCGACTATGGAGGGGCCTACGCGAGCACCCGGATTTTCTGTACAACCCCAACACGCGAGTCGTGACGGCGTCCAAAGAGGCGTGGAACGCGCACATCGAGGTAAGCCACCATGGAACTGATGCAGTGTAACTGCGGCTTGGCGTGCTGACCGACAACCAGAAAGAACCCCTTTCGCGAGCCCTTCGCGGGCGACGTTTCGAACACGAGGATTTCATGGAGATACTTTACCCAGATGTGATTGGGTCGGGCGGCGCCCCCAAGAGAATCATGAAGCCGAGGAGGAGACCAGACGAGCTTGACGAGACGGATATGCCTGGGACGGGGATTTTGAATCTACAGCTGGACGCTGGCTCAGTCCAGACGTCCGACGGCGCAGACCAACATCGTGCGTATTCAACACAACCCACCACGGATAGCGCAACCGGCCCCGGGGCACGACCTCCGCGACCAAAGTCGGCCACACTTCCCGCTCGAACTGCCGTGGGACGGTCGCCATCAGCGCACACGCCGCCTGACGAGCCGGTCAATCAAGCCAAGAAGCGGGCGTTGCCGCAGGAACCCGCAGAATATGCCTTTGACGCTCAGCCGTCATTTTCGAGCGCCACGCCGGGGAGCGCTCCGCAGGCCGCGCAGTCGCCTGAGAAGCGAGCGCGCACGTCTGGCCAGGGCGATTCTCTGTCGAGCGCTCTTGGGGCCATAGCGGCTTCTGTGACGGCTCCCAGTTCGTCCAACACGACGCCGTTGCCTGTCAACGGAAACGGGTCCGGCTTGGAGGAACTGGACGCTGCGAAGAACAGACATGGCCTCCAATGGCAGGAAGCGGCCCTGGATGCATTCTTCAAGGACTTTGCCGACCAGGATCCGGATCTGCAACTCATGATTACTGAAGCAGTCCTGTGCGACCAATACAAGGCACTCCTGTTCTGCAAGATGCCTTGGCGAGTCAGGCAACACTGGGTTGCGAGGCTCAGCGAGACACATACCAAGCCGGCGTGACAGGCGCCGTTTCGGGGCATGCGGGCCTGGCGATGGCCTCGGCGCGGGGAGGGGGAGTTTTTGGTGGACAGATGCTTGCGGCACGTGGGAAGGATTGGCGCACTGGTTTCCTAGGCTGCTTGTTGAAGCGTGTCAGGGGACATTTTGATACCCGATGATACGGCGTCTGGCGGTTTATTGGATTAGAGGAGAGGGCCATGGGCAGGTGCGAGAGCATATTTCCGTCATTCGTCGATGATACCATGAAGGGTTGATCTGATTGTACTTTGTAAGAAGCAAGACGTAGTATTCTCTTCGGTTGCTGGTGGAAATGATTTTTCGCCTCGGTAGCGGGAATGGCAGGCGTTGCTTGTAGAGACCACAGCCTGTACCTGAGCCAGAACATGGAAGGACATAACAGTGAGCGGCCTTAACTGTGGTATCGAGCGGAGCGCATCGCATTGTCCTTCAACAGATAAGGCAGACGGACGGCTCGGAGTCTGGTAATCTTCGGCCCCATCAAGTCGACAATGCGCATTGTTTTGTCAAGCTAGAGGGGGGAATGGCCAATGTTTTGTTGCGGCCGCGGCGGTGGAAAACAAACTGGCGCGCAAGCTAGGTACAGTACGTCATGGGCAGTTGTCCCTCGGCCAGGACAGGAGTACCTTGGGTACTTGGCAGCAGGGCCCAGGCTTGGTTGCGTCACATGCAGAGCAACATCAGATCACTGCCGCCTACCTACTACTTAGCCTTAGCACACACGCCTCCCCTCCTCCCAGTTGCCGTGCAGAAGCCCGATTCATTCTTCATCCCTCCACCAAGGCCGCACCGTCGTCGCAATTGCCCTCTTTGCTCCTGCAACTCCTTGAACCAGTGAGTAGTTGTTGATGCGCATGTGCGTCTCCGCCAGACGTCGCTGACGCCCCTCGCGCCCCAGTGTCCTACGCCGAGATAGCTGCCAGCGGCCCCAAGCAATCTGCCAGTGAGGTGAGTCGACCGATTGCGAAGCGGCACAGCGCCCTAGCCCAAGATGACTCTCCCATCTTGCATGCCCTCGACCGTCCCGAGCAAAAGTTTGCTGAGCCCTGGCGCCTCGGATTCTGACCCTTCGTCCTTGCGAGCAGGCAGCTGCCCCCCAACCCCCCGAGATCATCCCCAACGAGAGCGCGTCCACGGCATCGCTAGTCGACGTCGACGTGCCGAGCGTGCACACCGTGTCCTCCGACTTCCTCGACCAGGACGTCAAGACGGAGACGCAAGCCGACCGGCGCTATCGCGAGGCCGCCGCCGCCAAGGCCAAGGCCGCAAAGGTCAAGAACGACGCCTCCAGCAAGGCCCGCCAGGCCGACTCGTGGCTCACAAAGCACTTTGCCGAGCTCTCCGACGGCAATGCCGGCGCCCTCGCCCTCGTCAACCTGGCTGCCGTCATCGGCTTGAGCTCCTACATGGGCTACCGCGCCTGGGGCCTGTACGAGAGGGGCTCCCTCGACTGGAAGACGGCGGGTGCTGGGCTGGGTGTCTTGGCTGCTGTTGGCGCTGTGGAATCGGTCATTGGAGGATACCTGTACAAGGGAAAGAAGAAGGGCTCACCCTAGGCTTTTCCCCGTCGTCGGTCACGGTAACAGCCAGCAGATGCTGGCTTCTTGACTCGGTTCTGGCGCTGGTCATTTGGTGTTGGCAAACTTCTCGTCTCTTGTAGTAATATATGTCTTGCTGGCTACTGACACTTGTCCCTGTTAAGATTGCGCTTCAAGTCTGGAGCATCCAGTCTGGGATATGCCCAAGACAGAAATTATCCTTTCGGAGCGAGTCGAGCGACAAGAACTCTGGACACGCGACTGGGTGATGAGAGGGCCGCCCCTTACTTGCAGTGCAGAGCGGTTGCGTGTCTTCTACTTCATCTACCATATATACTCCCTTGCTCCCCTTTATGGCGGCTGATAATACAGACATGACGGGCATGTCGACAGGTACACGGTATGCCTGCGCTTTGCGAGGCACACATAGGTTTCCCCCACCCCCACCCAACCTTTGATTTACTCTACGTCACTTGGTTGCCTTGCTCGGGCTTGACTCCTTCGGAGCCTTCTTCTCCTCGGACTTTGCCACCTCGTCGTTTGCGTCTGTTGCATCTGCCCATCTCACGGGCGCAGAGCTCACGGGCGCAGAGCTCTCAGTCGACTTTGCGCTGGGTGTCTCGGGCTTGATGGCGGCGACGTTCTCTCGGAGTACCTGAGTTTCTGTCTCGTGAGGCTGTGTGGGCCGTTGTTCGCCACGAGGTGCCGGAGTCTCTGAGGCTAGAGGCTGCTTGGCTCCATCGTCAATTTCCTCCGACTGCTCGTCGTCGGCCAGCTCGGCTCCATAAATGTCCGGGTATTTCCGGAAGCACTCCTGCATTCCCCTGGGTTCTGCGTCAGCACTGCATCCCTGGGTCTGCCATGACGGAGGGGTAGGGAGTCGTACTGGAACTTTTCTATGCAGTCCATGCCCTTGGGCTCCTCGGTGGAATAGACAAAACAGCTAAAGGCGGACTTGAACTCTTCTCCGCAGGGGCCATGTGCCATGCCGCCGAGGCAAGGACAGTCCCAGTTGATCTCGCCCGTCTCGGGGTTGAAGGCGCCCTCCTGGCCAGCCTCTTCCTCGAGAGCCTCGGGCGATCCAGGCACTGCTGTAGAGGTTTGTGCTTCGGATTGTGGCTGCGAGGCGGCTGTTTGGTTCGAATCTGGAGTTTTTCCTGCTGGATCGGGCCTCGCTTGTTTTCGCTTCTCCTCGATAACGGCATCGACAGTCGGTAGGTCGGACTCGGCAAACGGTGACGGGGCGGGTATCAACGCTCGTGCTTCTGGCCCCTGTCAATCTCACGATGGCCATGCCTAGCTGGGAGGCTAATCATACCAGGCGTCTCGTCTGCAAAAACCGAGCCGGTGCTGTAGTAATACACCGCCGCCACGGCGAGGCCCCATCGCAGCGCAGAGCTCTTCCAGCTTCGCGGCTTGTCAGCGGGAGACTGTGTGGAAGCGAAGCGTCGTGGTGCAGCGCGCACGAAAGCTCTAGGCGGCGCGCCCAGAGTCGCTCGAGATGTCGACCGCAGAGCTGCGCGATACATGATGCGCATTTCACATACGGGAGCAACGGATCGGGAAAGCTCGACGAAGCCCGGAGCTGTCGCCAATGACAAAAAAAATATTAACGGCATGGATTGGTCAGCGCGGCGCCATCGTCATGACGACTCTGTTGGATTGCGGCCGACAATTAGCCGGCTTGGTGCAAGTGTCCACAGCGTGCGACCAACGCGCGATGCTAGCCAAAGCCACCAAAGCAAAAAAAAAATGAGGATTTTCTGGTTCAGTTCTTACTTGGAAAGGTCTTGTCTCGGAGAAGATGTGTGACAATTGTGGTCCTGCGCCTTGAAACGACCGCGCCGCAGCCCGTCCTGTCCAAGCCCGGTGGCATTGAAGAGCTGAAGCGCATAAAAGTCACGGCCCGGCAACTATCGCGCTTGGACCCTGTCTTCAGCTCTACGCGCCTGTGTTTGCTTGGTTCAACTTATAAAGGCGGCATCGGTCTCCTTATCCCTGGCCACTTGGTCTTTACACTGTTGGATCATTGGCATATCACCCTTCCCTTCGACATGGCGGCCTCTCGGAGCTTTGAGTGGCAACCTGCCAAGCTGCTGCAGGACCAGGAGAGCAGCCCCGACTTTGCTCTGCTCGTGCTCAACCAACCGCTCAAAAACAGCGCCAATCTGCGTCGACTCTGGAAGAACTGTACGTTGATATGCAATTTCTCACCCCCTGCTCGGGAGGTCCCTGGCTCCATCGATGCAGCCAAGCTGAGCCTCGACTGACACCGATATAGCAACTCTGCGGGTCGCGGCAGACGGCGGCGCCAATAGGCTACATGAGTTGTCTTCGTTTAGGGGCAAGTTTGTAAGTCTCGCCCTTCCCATGAAGGCCTTCACCAGTCCATCTGACCTGTGCGTGTAGTCCAACCTACAAGCCATTATCGGCGATCTTGATTCCCTCGCGCCGTCCGTGAGAGACTTCTACTCTTCTCAGCCCAAGCCGGCGGAGGTCATCCACGACACGGACCAAGAATCCACCGACTTTTCCAAGGCAATCACGTGGATCCGCGGTTCTCAGCCAGAAGCGCTCGACATCGTCGCGCTCGGTGGCATTGGCGGACGAGTCGACCAGGGCATCAGCCAACTCCACCACCTTTACCTCTTTCAGCCCGGCTCCGACTACTCCATGGGCCGCGTCTATCTCCTCTCCGGGTCCAGCATAACATTCCTCCTCAAGGCCGGCACTCATCGTATCCACGTCAAGGAGGACGGCGAGGACCTTGTCTTTGGCAAGCAGGTCGGGATCATTCCGCTGCAGGAGCCGAGCGTCATCTCCACCAAAGGACTCCATTGGGACGTCAGCGGCTGGGAGACAAGAATCGGAGGAAAGCTCAGCACCAGCAACCTCGTCCGGCCAGAGACCAAGTACGTCGAGGTCGAGACAACCAAAGACGTGCTGTTCACGTTGGCACTACGGCAGGTCGACGGCGAAGAGGAAGGATGATGGAGCAAGGAGAAGTCGGATGATATTCGAGCCGAGCGCCCGGAGAACTCGGAGCATCACGGGAGCCAGAACGCCACGCTTTAAGAACCCCATGCCGTAGCAACACACATCCTCGTGCAAGGCGCCGCATCACCGCAGATAGTGTAGCACGAGCCAACAAAACAAAAAGAAGACGATGACGCCCGCGAAAAAGATCCACTTGTCCTCTCGCGCTCGCCGTTCGACCATGCGGATGGTGTCGCCGCTCACGCCGAGGGTGTTGGCGACGGTGTAGAGCCGCTTTTGCGTGTTCTTGAGCATCTCGCGCTGCTGGCCTAGATCTCCCAGGACAGCCTGTCCCCTGGCGATGTAGTCGTCCAGTGCCTGGTTTGTGTTGGCAAAAAAGTTTTGTTCGCGAAACGCATGGGATTCGCGCAGCTCGTCGGAGGACCCCGTCGTCAGGGGTTCTCCAGCGTGGGAGGACTGCCGGGGCGGGAAGTTTGGGTTGGGCGCCGTCGTGCTCGCGTTCGCGTACGGGTTCTCGGGCGTCGCATTGTAGGGTCTTCTTCCCAGCAGCTCGGCCCTGTTTGTTTGATGTTGCGCGTCCTCGCGGGTCTTCATCAACCCGTCGACCTGGGAGCGAAAGTCGGAGAGATCTTGGCGAAACCTCTTGACGCGCTCAAAGGCTTCTTCCTGCTTTTTCTGGACGAGTTCTTGGCGGGCGAGATGGTTGTACTCCTCGAGAGTCTTGCCAAACGACGCCAAGGAGGCGGACACGTTACCAATCTCTGCAGGCGCCAGGGCCCCTTTTGCGTTGAGGCTGTCCAGTTCGGCGCGGAGTGCCTTGCTCTGCCGCAGGGCAGAGTTGTAAGTCACGTTCTGTGAGTTACGGTCAGCATCAGATAACAGTGTCGGCCGGCAGAGACGTCTCCATACCATGATCCCCCGATGTCCTGCTTCAGAGGTTTGAGGAGGAATCAGGAAGCGTGTCAATACTTCCAGGCTGGGCGTCTGTAATTAATTAACTTGTCACATGTACGGATAAAGGCCACCTGTTTTCGGGACCGGAACATCTGCAATTCCGGCTCTCGCCAAGTACGATCTTTGCTTGGCCACACAATCTCCAAGCTCCAACCTCCAGAAGCCAGCCAACAATCACTGATCCAAGCGCTATTTCCCATTCGATTAAGTAAAAATGAATCAAATCGCCGCTACAAGTGCTCTGACAGGTGGTGAGCTGGCTGGAGGCCGACGCCGCGTTTCCGTGCAAGCCAATCCGCCATGCACTCTGTCAGCCTCCACGAGCAAACCAACAGGGCCGAGCTCGACGTGTCTTCAGCGTCGAGCAGCAGCCCCATCTCTCTGAAGAGCCACGCTTCCCTGGACGGAATGTGTCGACTCCAAGATTACACGGGCCTCCAACCCGACGCGCTGCACCTGTAGGGCATTGAAGCGCATGTCGGCTGGCCCCGGCTATGTGTCTGCTTTGCCGACTCGGCACCGAGCGCGGCACCGGTCCGGTCCGGCGCGCCTGTTTCGGCCCTGCGGCAGCGATATCGCGGGTGCCTCGACGGCGAGCACTACGCATGGTCTCATATCTTTCTCCGTCCTTGAGTATCTCGTTTATTACATGTCGTATGTCGAGATGCAGCTGTATGAACATCTGCCACTGCTGTCTACTTACTCTTGCGCCAAGCTGAAGCTCATCTTGTCAACGTCGAGTTGCCGACAACATGAATCTGAGTAAAGCCGAGAAGCCTCGGCAAACAATTGACGAGAATCTACATGACCAGCCGGGCGACGATGGCGAAGCAGCAACATCACCGCCCAAGTCAGCCCCCCCTTATTCCATCTTCACGACATGGCAGAAGCGCGCCATGGTTCTCGCGGCTGCTGTCACAGCCTTCTTCTCGCCGCTGACGGCGCAAATCTACCTTCCTGCCTTGACGGCCATTGCCAAGGACCTGGACGTGACGAGCTCCCAGGTCAACCTGACAATCACGACGTACATGATTTTCCAAGGCATCACGCCCATGTTCATTGGCTCCCTGGCAGATAGCGGCGGCCGACGTCCAGCGTATCTGATCTGCTTCGTCATCTACATTGCCGCCAACATCGGCCTCGCCTTGGCCCCCAACTACGGCGCTCTTCTGGGCCTGAGGTGTCTGCAGTCTGCTGGATCGAGTAGCACCGTCGCCCTCTGCACCGCTGTCGTTGCTGATATAGTCACCTCGGCCGAGCGTGGGCAGTACATTGGCTTTACCGTCATCCCAGCCGTTCTCGCCCCTGCTCTCGGCCCTGTGGTTGGAGGTCTGCTCTCCGAGTTCCTCGGCTGGCGGTCCATTTTCTGGTTTCTGGCCATCCTTGCTGGGGTGACGATCGTCTTGATCATCTTCTTCTTCCCGGAGACCTGCCGACACATTGTGGGCGACGGGTCCCTCTACCCACCGCCCATGTATCGATCCGTGTGGCAGATACTAAGAAGCCGTCCCAGGACAGTCGTGCCAGGCCGAAGCCATGGCGACTCAAGCACGCTTCGAAAAGAAAAGCAGTTCAAGTTCAAGCCACCAAACGTCTTGGGGTCTCTGTTTATGCTTTTCGAAAAGGAGACGGCCCTGCTGTTGTGGACTGGCAGTATAGTGTTCGCCGGGTTTTACTGTGTTGCCTCGGCTATGCCCATATTATTCTCGCACCGCTATGGATTCGACGAGATCAAAGTCGGATTGATGTATCTGCCACTGGCTGCCGGTTCCGTAGGCGCTGCCTCCCTCGTCGGTCCACTCATCAACTGGAACTTCCGGCGGCATTGTGCCAAGCTTGGCATCCCGTGCGATCGCAGCCGGCAGCAGGATCTCTCTGGATTCCCCGTTGAGCGGGCTCGGCTCGAAATCGGGCTTCCACTGCTCGCTGTGGGCGGAGCGAGCCTCATCGGCTGGGGTTGGGCGGTGAATGCCACAGTGCACGTAGCCGTGCCATGCGTGATCAGCGTGATTTTCGGAATGGGCATGATTGGTTACAACAACACAACCAACGTTTTGCTGGTGGACTTGCATCCTGGCAAGGCTGGGACGGCGACGGCTGCGAACAATCTGACGCGGTGCCTCGTCGGTGCGGGAGCAAGCGCTGCAATCGTACCCATGATGGATGCCATGGGTGTCGGATGGTCCTTCACCCTTGTCGGCGGGCTCTATCTGCTGTGTTTTGCCCCTCTGCTTGCCATCATGTCGCACGGCATGCAGTGGCGAGCGGAGTTGGCAACGAAAGCGGAACTTGGCAAGTCCGAGAAGGATCAGAAAGGGCAACGGACGGTTTGTCTTAACAGCTCATGAGGTGGATCAATAAAGTCCAAGTCTCGCGGTGTGGTTACCCGAGAGTGTCATCATGGATTAAAGCCCTGGATATGTGAGTGCTATGAAGGCAGCACCGGGTGTGTTTGTCACTCCTGAGTGTGATAGGCAACTTCTCAACCCACAAGTCAAACAGTCGGGTGGTTGCATATAACAAAACACCACATGTGTGTAGGACGAGACCCAAGGTTGTATTCACTTGTATTCACTTAGAATGAGGTGGAAGTTGTCGTACTCTAATTTTGCTATCCCGGTCTCTTTGGATAAATGTAGACGAGAAGCTTCTCGGGACCGAGGGGGCCGGTGGGTCTCTAACCCTCTAAACATCTTCGCCTACGAGCTAGCACTGTTAGGGACTCAGCGCTGGTCACCACCAACCAGCGCACCAAAAAAAACCATCACCACATCCCTCGTACCAGCTTGGAAGAAGCCCGCAACCAGACGCTCTGCCTACACGGCTACGATGCTCGAGGATGCTCAACTCCCTGGGTTCACCAAGCAATGAGCACGCCTTGGGTGGTCCGAAGCACACGCGAAGCCATCTATCAGGCCTCTCTGGCCTTTGACTTTGCGAGCAGGGAGGCCCATTGCCGACTGAGCTCACAACATGCACTTTGCATCTTTCTGGTCCACAGCCATAAGCGTCATACTGACAACAGCTCGCCTCTTTGCCCATATCTGCCTTGGCCTTGCGCTCTGCGCCCTGGCCGTTGCCGCATATCGACTATATCTCCATCCTCTTGCTCGTGTCCCGGGGCCGAGATGGGCTGCCGTGTCGAATGTCTGGCACGCTCTGCACGTAAGGAACGGCCGCGTGGGCCAACTTGCCATGACGCTGCATCAGAAGTATGGCCGTGTCGTTCGAGTTGGCCCAAACGAGGTGTGGTTTAACAGCAAGGAGGCCTATGACCAGATATACAGTGAGTCTTTGCATCCAACAGCTGGTGCGTACGCGGAAGGACTCACAATTTCTGCGTAGACACGTGTAGGGGTCTTGAAAAGTCTGACTTTTACCGTTAGTGTTCCCTTCCTCCATTATCCCGTTTCTCTCTTCAAGAGGGATATTGAAGCTTTGCGGTATGCTCAACGGGTGGGACAGTTGCAACGAGTTTGACCAAGCCGCGGCTTGACTGGCGCTTGCGCCCGCACTTTCAGGATACGCTTGATCTCCTGTCTGAGCGAGACGCAAAGCGATATCGCCTTCAAAGGAGGCTGATCGGGCGTACTTACCACGCCTCCAACATGGCCAAGTTCGAGGCAGCCGTTGACGGTGTCCTGGACCGCGTTGTCGAGAGACTCGGCACCTTGCAAGGCAAAGAGATTGACTTGACGGACTGGATGCACATTGTGGCCGTCGAGTGTCTCGGTGCCTGCGTTCTGTCCTGGTCGCCCGGAATGCTTCGCGACGGTACAGATTGGGGCACCATCTCCCACAGCTATCAGGGGTGGAGGAGGAAGACCGTGTTCGGCCTCTTCCCACTTGCGACTAAGCTGGACTTCTGCTCTCCTGACTTTGGCCGCGCATTTGGCAAACTCTGGGGCGTCACGTACAGGACGCCGCAGAGCTTCAAGGCCTTCTTCCCGGTCAGTTTAGCCCCGAAAAACCATCAGTGGAAACCACGCTCACACAAAGCAGGAGGTGACCAGGCGCGTCTCACGTCGCCTCAGAGCGGCTCTGAGGCCAATCCCAGTGAAAGATGACAGGGAGGATTTGCTCGCAGATTTGATCCAACTTCACCGGGATAAGCCCGAGTTCAACGAGACGTATCTCAGGAAGATGGCCGTCACCAACTTTGGCGCCGGACACGAGACCATGGCCTCGACCCTGACCTCGGTCTTGGCCATGATTGGATCTCATGCCGAGGTGCAGGCGCAGGTGGCTTCCGAAATCCGCGGGGCCCCTGGAGAGAAAGGCCATGTTGCCGCTGCCAAGCTGCAGTATACTCGGGCGGTGATCAAGGAAGCGATGCGGCTGTACCCCGTGGTCGCAATGTCACTCCCCCGCAAGACGCCAGCCGGCGGCCTTTCAATCCATCAGCGGTGGATGCCTCCCAATACGACGGTAGGGTGCAACCCTGTCGCTCTACACCGCAACCAGGACATCTACGGCCCCGATGCCGCGGAGTTCAATCCCGGCCGGTGGCTCAACGCTGATGTGGAGCTCGAGACTCTTCGAGCCATGGATCGGTACAGCCTCAACTGGGGCGGCGGCTCGAGGACCTGCCCCGGACGACACCTAGCCGAGCTCGTGGTGCTCAAAGCAGTCACTCGCATGTTGGATCGATATGATGTGAGGGTCGAGATGCCTCCAGAGAGCACTCAGCGATCCTATTTTCTCTCTATGCTGACGGGCGTGAAAGCCCGTTTCCTTCCTCTTCAAACGAGCCCAGACCAGGGAACCCAGAGAAGAACAGCCCGGCCCATCTGACTCGATGTAGCAGCAACGGCAGTTCAAAAAGGGCAAGGCGACTGCAGGAAGGGACACTGTTAGAATATGTCTCGATGTGCCGTCTTTGCATCATGCCGCGAGCATTCACGTTGCCTTGGTCATACGTATTTTACGTAATGGGCCCAGAGGTGTGTGCCCCTGTTTGTCTTTATCTCTTGCAGCTATGCAAGGCTCGTCGTCCTTCGACAAAGACAGACGAATGAGGTTCATGTTATCCGCGTGGGAGGCGTCGACATTAAGTCATTTCCCCTAGAGAAGCGTCATGCTCTCTCACCTTGTGGCCTGTTTCAGACCTGAACCAGGCCTTATCAGGTTATTGCGGACGTCCGATCCGGCTGGACTTGATGATCTACGGCAGGAGGGGAGGGCTGCGTCCAGCTCAAGCGGGATGAGGCGAGGATGGGCCTACTCGTCTCCAGTTTTCCGTTTGACTGGACTGGAAGAATCAAACAACTAGTCGTGACGCTGTTGTGCCCAAGGTCGATTACCTATCATGGCTTCAAGGACCGAAGCTTATGCCCACGAATCTATGACTAACAACAGTGACGTCCTTATCATTGATGCGGATTAACATTTCGTTATGATTCAGTATCTGCAACGTATATCCTTTGGCCGCCAAGCCATGTTTCAGCTACTCTGGCTTCCAAGAGCTTCTGCGCATCCCACTCCATGCAAATCACAGCCAAGTTGGCCGCCTTGCCCACTTCAAGGGTGCCGGTGCAACGGTCAGCGAAGCAGCTATAGGCGGCTCCGCGGGTTGCGGCAGCCAAGGCCGTCACCAGGGATAGTGCAAATTGCGGAGTCGTTTGCTCCGCCCTCTCGGGCTCCCGTGCCGAGCGCCGAGTCGTGGCCACATACAGGTTGGGCAGCGGCTTCAATGAGGCGGTGGGAGAGTCTGTCCCAAGGGCGAGGACGGCCCCGGCCTTGGCCAAGGCGGCGTACGGGAAAATGTGCTTGCACCTTTGGGGCCCAAGGAGCCTCGGCCACTCGTCCAGGATGGCTGGATCGCCGTGCACCGGCTGGATGGAAGCGATGATGCCCAGCGGGCCGAGACGCTGGGCGTCTTCGGGGGTGCATGTCTCAAGGTGCTCGATGCGGTGCCGGCCGGTCGGGTTGCCAACCTGTTCGAGAGAGTCGAGGGCCAGCTTGATGGCGGCGTCGCCAATGGCGTGCAGAGCGCACTGCAGCCCTGCGCCATCGGCCTTCTTGAGGACGGGGGCGAGCTGCTCCAGCGACCAGACGGGCTCCTCAACGTGCCCGCTGTGCGCGTACGGATCTCGCAGAGCCGCCGTGCACGAGTCCACAACGCCGTCGCATACAATTTTGATGCCTGTGATGCGACAGTCGGGCGTGTCGACGGCGTTGAAGCGCCCGTGCAGCTCGATGGCGCGGTCAACCTGCTTCATCGTCTCCTCCTCGGAAGCTTGAGGGAGGATCAGCCAGTGGATCGCCAAGGGGATAGGCAACGTGCCCTCTGGCCGCCGGGACCGGAAGGCCAGGAGGGTGTCCCATGCTGTGTCGTCGGTCGCGAGCTCCACTAGGCCCGTGTAGCCGGCCGAGATGTAAGCGTCAAAGGCGTCATGCATGCGCTGCACTCTTTCGTCGACGGACGAGGCTCTGGTAAGGAAAGGCCACACTATGCCGAGGGCGGCACTCTCGGACAACAAGCCCGTGGGTCTGCCGCTCTCGTCACGATGGATCACGCCGCCCGGCGGGTCTGGCAAGTCGGCCACGCCCAGTTCCTCGATGGCGGCCGTGTTGCACCAGGCCGAGTGCATGTCCTCGGCGGAGATGTGGATGGGACGGGGATCCAGGTCGTCCAAGTCACCGGCCTTGGCGAGGCCATCTGTCGATGGCTGCATCCAGCCCCGGCAGATGATGCGGGCCAGGTCCGGATTGGCCTGCGCATAGTCGCGGATGATCTGGCGGATCTCGTCCAGGGTCTTGCAGCTGTCCAGGTTCGGCCGGCTGAGGAGCTCCCCCGTCTGGAGCAAGTGCATGTGGCTGTCGATGAAGCCCGGCACGACGACGCGGCCGGCCATGTCGTGCAGCCGGGCGCCGGCGGCCCGGGCCTCAAGCACGGCTCCGTCCTGGGCCGATCCGACGTGTTGGATCTTGCCGGACGCTTCGTCGACGACGAGGCAATCCGCGAAATGGGCATCCTGCGACCCGGAAGCCTCCGACTGGAAGAACCGGCCATTGTGTAGGACAATGGACATGGCTGCTTTCGGGGAAAGGGGGGGGGGGGGTTCTGGCACGGACAGACCGAGGTGAAAGGGGCCGAGCTGGACGGAGTAAGGTTACCCCACCGGTTCCTGACAATTCTACGTGACGTTGTCGAGTGACGGCTTCTTTTTTCCTTCTTATCCTTCTAGATACAGTCCTCTTGCATCAAGAGGCAATGAGCCGTATTTCAGAGCAGAGCAATTGCACCGCCTCCGCCAAGTGCGGTCTCCGCGCGCGCCGAAGAGCCTTCTTCAAGGCCCCCGGCTCCAACAGCCCCTCTGTGTAAGCGATATGCGCGACCTACTGACGTATTGCACGACTCATTTGGTCTTAATAGCCGGTGTTATTAGGTAAATAGATCTGGGGAAATCCTCCGGTGTCGCAACTCTGCCCTTGAGCCTGACTAACGCGACTACATTCTACAATAGGCAGCTAATAAGGACGGTTCCCGTGGCGTAGCATCGTAGCATTGGACTATACGGCTTCGAACCGGCTAATAGCTGGCCGAGATCTTGGCCCCGAGCTTGTTGGAGGGAAGCCTTTGCTGTTGTATTTGGCATGGAATACGTATGTGCAGTGCATCTGTTAGGACTGGTCCTAGCCGTGTTGGCCTGCGCCTGGGGCCACCAACAAGTGCACGACCCCATATCATCATAGCTGTAAACCCTATTATCCTATTTGTCCTTCTCGACCTTTTCTTATCTGGTGGGCTACTGTGACAGCCGGATTCCATCCGGAACCCTGGGCGCTTACAGAGTGTATCCGTCTGCTGCACAGACCCAGGGATCGCCGGAGACGTTTCGTGTTTCCACCGGCTTGTATGTGTGCATGCTCAGCTCCATCTCCATTTGGATTCGCGCAAAGAATCCCAGCTCCCGGGTTGTTTCAGCGTCGAAACCAGGCTTCCATCCTGGGCAGTCAAGGCGCAAGGCACCTGCCGGCCCCCATGGTGGGCGACGCGTACGTACATGGAACGCAGAGATAAGGGAAGAGAGGAAGAAAAGGTGCCGGTCCTCGCGTTTGGCCTGAAAACTCTAACGGCGCCTACTGGGATCCGGCTTGTAATGGAGCTACTACCCTTGCTGGCATAAACTCTCCAAATAGTTTCAAGCCACGAACGCGGCAGCTGCAACGGGGAACGGGCGTCGTCGTGTTCGATGTTGTTTGCTCTCGTCACGTCTGTTCCGGCATCGCTGATGCCGCACTTGCCCGCCATGTAGCCACGCCCGCAGCATTGCACAAGCTCGGTTCTGAGGGTGTCAAAGTAGCACAGCAAGCCGCATCCCCTTGTTCGGGGTTGCTCCCATGCAGGCACACACGCGCTACCTCCATCTTCGTCCTAGACGGCAGGGCTGATCGAGTGCCGGGAGCACACCACACGGCACAGGTTCCAACATCCAAGGCCCTTACGGAGTACAGGCCTCAAAGCGCCATGCAGGAAGCATCATTGGGCAAGGTGGCATCGACGTGGTTGAGTGCTTCACCTGCAACGCCTGCGTCGGCCTCCCACCCTCCCTCCACTTGAAGCCACACCCACAGTGCCGCTGTCAGTCGTGCACCTCGTCCCTGCTTCTCCCCCCCGAGGCCGAGCTTGCTTGGTCTGGTATCCGTATCGTCTGAGTCAGATGGACGTGCAGCTGGCTAGGGCGCAGCTAAAGCTGAAGTGAACCCCCCTTTTTCCTTTTGCCCGCAGCAGACCATGCAAATCCCTTTGGCCGTGCAAAGACAGGTCATTTACAGGGGCTGTAACCAGTCAGACGCCGCAGAGGATACGCCTCAGCTTGCTAGCATATCAGAGAAGTCCTGGCTGGTACCGGATCGGCACTTCGCCTTATTTCAGTATTCTCAAGGCATGAGTTTGGATAGGCCCTCTCTGCTAGGTGGTGTGTATCGACTTCGTCTCTACGTATTGTGGGCTCCGTATCTCGAGGGTTGCCTTGCACTGCCATGAATAGGCGTACAAGGCTGGCCGCTAGGGTCCATGGATAGACATGGAGACCCTTTCATGTCCCGGAGGGCCCCCCTGGACCCCGCAAGTCTGGGGTGTCGACAAATAAGCTTGGTGCTTTTCCATTTTTGTCTGATAGAGTAGGAATTAAGCCTCTCAAATTCAACCCTATATATGGAGTCGAGTCCCTATCGACCCACCCACGGCGTGGTTCCGGGGTAGCCGACTACATGGTGTGCACTTGTCAAGCTTGATTTCTACGTGGATGGGAGCCGACTTCATTCAGGTCTTTTAAGAGATCATCGCGTCCCCCCCATCGAAGCTTCGAGGCTGTCATCTCTTTCCTTTCGAGGTCCCTCATCTAAGCTTCCTCACAACTTGCTCTACAAGGGTTAGCAGTGCCACCGGCTGGCTACACATGTCCCCATGAATCAACACGCCAACGCTTCCTTCAACGATGGCTCGAGCCGTCCGCATCCGCCAGGCACCCTGGAGCTGTTCTCCAGTAAGTCGACGAGCCGGGAGATACACTGAGTGCGCGGGTGTCTGGGAAATGAGGGCAACTAGCTGACGACGATGGCTCTTCAGAGGACAACAAGCAGGTCGGCAACGATGGCAAGATGGTGTTGATGCCGACTCCCTCGGATGACTACAATGATCCCTTGGTAAGTCGACCACGCCATGTGCTTTCGTGCCGCAGTCATGGTTCTGCAGTTTGCTTACACGGCATGTCGATATCCAGACGTGGTCGACGTTTCGCAAGGCCTGGAACTATGGTCTTCTCACCGCCATGACAATGTCCATCTTCGCCGCGTAGGTGCAATCATCCAACGCCAACTGCTCGCTTATAGCATGCTGACGGCCCGTCCCCGCATACAGGCTAGCTATCCAGACGGTGTTTTGGCCTCAGATGCTCAAGGAGATGGATGTGACGCTGCAGGTCCTCAACAACGCTCAGGCAGCTCAGCTGGTTGGCTTGGCCATTGGCTGCGTTGTCTTCATCCCCTTTGCCAAAAAGTACGGCAGACGGTCTACCTACATCGTCTCCACCATACTCGTCACAGCGGCCATCTGGTGGTCCGCCTTTATGAAGACGTCGGCGGAGGTTATCGTTACCAACATCCTCATGGGCCTTGCTGGTGCCACCAACGAGACGGCCGTTCAGATGAGCGTACGCCTAGCCCCTTTTCTGATCCCATCTCGTTCCGGTTTCTTCTCCCCGGTGCTCCCGGTCGAGAGAGTTGAATCGAACAAGTCTGGCCTGTGGCACCTTGCTGACTCCATCGTCCAGATCCGCGACCTGTTCTTTGTCCACCAGAGAGGCTCGGCCAACGGCGTTTACCTGATCGCCGTCACAGCCGGCACCTTTCTGACGCCAATGGCTGCCGGTGCGCAGGCATTCAGCTCTGGGTGGCGCTCGTCCTATCTGACGCTCGGCGGTTGGATGACGGGCCTGTCCCTGCTCTTCATACTCTCCTTTGAGGAGACCAAGTTCGTGCCCGCCACCCAGGGCATGAGCACCACGGGCGATGCCGGCGACGGGGACAGCGCCAGCGTGCGCGGCTTTTACGAGCTCGACCCCAAGCTGAGCCGCGTCGACTCCGAGGCGCCCGTCCGCGCAGACGCTCCGCCGTCCCGGCCGCCCTTTCCGCAATACCTCCGGCTCCAGCTGGTGACGCGGACCAACGAGTCCCTCTGGAAGACGTTTTACTACCCCATCTTCTCGGCCTGGTTCCCCCACGTCGTCTTCACCTTTCTCGAGTTCGCGTCGGGGGTTTGCTGGCTCGTCATCATCGCCTCCGTCACTTCAACCACCTTCTCCAAGGCACCGTACAACTTCAATCCCGCCCAGATTGGCTTCATGTCGGCGGGCCCCTTGATCGGCTCCGTGCTTGGCAGCTTGTATGGCGGGCCCCTTGTCGACTGGGCCATTGTGCGCTTCGCGAGACGCAACCGCGGCATCTTCGAGCCCGAGATGCGCCTGTGGCTCATTCCCCTTCCTGCCCTGGCCATGTCGGCCGGCCTCGCCATCTTTGGCGTCACAGCTGATCGGGTGCGTCTTGCTTTGCTTCCTACCCCTGACTTCGCGTCAGGCACTGTCCTGGCGAATTCTGACCGTACTTGCAGGGCATGCACTTCATTTTCCCCTCGATCGGATCCGCCGTGTTTGCGTACGGATTTGGCGGCATCTCCGACATCACCTTTACCCTTGTCATCGACTCTTTTCCCAATGTAAGCCAGCCACCCTGATGGTGAACCCCGAGGCCGATGATGAGACGAGGCGCTAATAATCCGTCTTCTTTTCAACAGCTCGTCGCCCAAACATTTGTGGCCATTGCCTTTTTCCGAAATGCCATCAGTATCGCCGGCCCCTTTTCAATCACCCCCTGGATGGAAGCCATGAGTGTCAGCTCCATCTTTATCATCGCGGCGGCCATCAGCCTGGGCATTCATTTGATTGGCGTTCCTCTTGCCATCTGGGGCAAGAAGATGAGGACGAGCATCGCTCCTCGGTACTATCGCTTGTCAGAGATGTCTGCGTAGAGCCTCCTACATAAGGAGGGTGACCTCAGATGATGAAAGGATACCCAATGACAGTGACGCCGGACGTCACGGAGGACTGGCTCCTCTGAACGTAATGTATTATGATTGCTTCAGGTACGGAGTAGCAGGACTGGATCCGTATGAGCACAAAGATTCGAAAAAAGGGGCGTTGAAACTTCCGAGAAGCTGTTCCAGACGAATTAGAAGATGGATAGGTGTGATCTTGAATTCAAGCGCTCGGTCAATTCACATTGCTCACTCTTGGATCCTGCATTTGATGGGATATCTTGTAAAGATTGAATAAGAACATGAGGAGTTTTGCCACTCGAAAATTGGTATCGTTCATCGTCACAGACACATTACTTTGTACATGACCTTGCCTGCCAACACACACAGTTCTCCCATCCGCATTAAGCCTCTTCGCCCGCTTCGTGAGCCTTGCTCAAGCCCGGCTGCTGCTTGCCGATAAATTCGGACCTCTTCAGCAAGTTCCACTTGTCTTCGTCGGAATCGAGATGTCGGAAGCAGAACCAGAAAGTAACTCCGCCAACCATGGCAATGCAGGCGACGGCGGTGTAGTTCCACACGAGGTACGGGTCGTCAGAGAGGGGGGTAAAGGCTTGGCCAAGGGCGGCGGAGATGGCGCTCATGAAGAGGTTAACGCTCATGACCAGAGACTTCATGTTCTCCGGAGCCTTGGAGTAGGCGTACTCATACGATGTGACGTTTGCAAAGATTTCGGCAATGCCAATGAAGATGTACGGCAAACATTGGGCCCACACGTTGATGGGCGCTGGCGGGCATGCCTTTTCGACGCCATCGACCAGGATGAGTTTGTTGGCATACCAGCCGCAAGGGCTTTTCTGGTAGATGTAGTATTGCATGACGGCCGAGGCAACCATGGACAAGGCGGCGATGATAAAGCCGGTCGTCATTCGCTTGATGGGCGTAAAGGCAATGCCGAGTTTCCGGAGTCCGGGGTACAGGACGTGGTCGATGAGGGGGATCATGATGAGAATAGAGATAGGGTTGAGGTTTTGGATAATGTCGTTGGGCACGCCGTGCAGCTCCAAGGTGCCGGCCTGAATGGTCAAGTTGCCGGTCATCTGGTTGTAGGAGAGGAAGAAGATGGGCAGGAAGAGGAAGACCTTGCAGGCCTTGAGACCGCGTCGAACCTCGTCGACCCAGGCATCGTCGTATGTCATCCAGCTCGGGCGCTCCGCGACGGGAACGTTCGATGGCTTGGCCACCTCCCAGCTGAACTTGGTCAAGGACGAGCGCTTGCGGACAAAGATGAACATGCGGAAGAACTTGGAGAGCAGCGAGCCCGTAGGGGGCTTGAGCTTGTAGCTCTTTTTCTGCGACCAGAGGACGAAGGGAGCCAGGAGGAAGAGGCCGGTGGGGATGATGAAGGCGACCCAGAAGCCCACGTACTTTTCAACGTAGACCATGCCAATCTGGCCGGTGAGTGAGCCGACGTTGATGCAGAAGTAGAAGTAGAGGAAGATGCGGGTGTTTGTGACGGCAGGGTCGACAATGACGCGCTCGCCCTTGCGGACCTCAATACGCGGCCGGACGTCCTCGTTTTGATCAGCCAGGAGCGGAGAAACGTTGGCCTTGAAGAAGCCGGTACCGACGCAGAGGGTCAGGAGGCCGATGATGAAGCAGGCGAAGGAGCCCTTGTTATTGGCGAGGACGCCCGGGGACGCGGCAACGACCAAGATGACGTGGGCGATGGTGGAAACGCCAATGGCTAGATGCAGAGTCCAGAAACGACCCATGCGCGCATCGGCAATCCAGGCACTGCAGAAGAAACATTAGCCAAGCTCCCCTCGTGGCCCTTGTGGCAGGCCTTGTCGCGGGATGACTTACCCGACGAGAGGCATCAGATAGGCAAAGAACATATTGAAGAGGTTAAGCCCCTGAGCAGCCTTGGGGCCCATGCCTAGGGCACCGGGGAGGTCGCCCGGGTGCTGGGGAGCGCCGGTGGTGGAGTCGACGGGCAGCGGACGGTTGATGAAGTTTGTGTAGAGAACCGAAGTGCCGTAGTAGGAGAAGCGCTCGCAGAGCTCGACAAAGGCGATGGTCCACATGCTCCACATGATCTTGCCCGAGACGCGGCGCAGCGTGTGCATTTCCTCCTCGGTCGGCTTGCCGTCGTACTCCTCTTCTTCGACCGACACGCCAGCCAGCGAGTGGCGCGTGACGGAGCCCTTGCGGACGTCCATGGAGCCGCGGGCAGGGTTGACGACGATGCCCTTGTGCTCGGCATCGACGAGGCCCGCCTGCGTGATGGCGTCGTGTTCGAGGTTGGGGGCGCTCGTCATGATGGGCGAGCTTGTGCGCCTGCTCTCTGGCCCGCGGCCGAGTTGATGGGATCAGCCAGGAGAGGGGGGGGGGTTCAGAGGGGGTTGCGAGGACAGGGGGGGGGACGACGGTAGGCTGAGCAGGCCGAGTCGACGAAAAGAAGAGGTGAGGGGGAGGATGGAGGCCGGAGGACGCAACGGTCGAGGAAGAGGGGGCAGAGAGGCGAAGATAGACGGGACGGGAGGGGGAGGGGGATGGGAATGAAGCCGTTACGGCGACTACTTATGTATCCAGCTAGCCCGTCCATCAGCGTCTCTCTTCCAAGCTAACTGGACGCATTAGAGCCTTGGAGGTACGCACAATCAGGTACAACACATGGCGCATTGTGCGTAACAGGAGCATGAGCGTTCCCGGTTGGATCTCCCTCTGAGCTTCGTCGAGTAGCGCCACGGCCGCCACTAACACATCCAGTCGCTATCTGCCACCAGCTAGCTCCTGCGGGCCAAGACACGCCGACCCCGGAGAAAGAGGCCCGATTCGGGAAGGTTGATGGCCATTGACAGTGGGACAAAAGATCCCGGTCCATCCAGCCGAAGTGGACTAACCGCGTGTGGGACCCTTGGCCTGGACAGGGGGGGATGGAGTGATGGGGACACCACCAGCAGGCTTGTCGACGGAGAAGCCGGGGCCTGGCGCCGAGGCGAAGAGGAAAAAGGCCGTCGGGGTGGCGGTTTGGGGGCTGATGAATAGCCGGCCGATGAGTGGCCGCGTCCTGTCCGTTGGTGCCAGATCTGTCCTACATCGCTCACCACAGCAAGACAGGTCTTTCTGTAGTTCATGTACTGTAGGAGCCGCCGACGGTCCATCCATCTATCCATCCATCCATCCATCCACAGCCGAGGATCAAGTAAGGGAGGAAGGGGAGACCAGCGTCTGTGTCACCCCCCATCATTCTCCGCTTGGATCACTGACCTCGCGCAGGCCGTTGATCCCATCCACTCGTCGGTGGTAGAAGAGGCGAAAACCGACCAGGTGAAACAAACAAGTCGAGGCGTTTGCGGCCGATGCCGCCGTTGCTGCGCTGCATCCGAGCGTCGTCTCGGGTAGCCATCCTTGCATTCCAGTCCGGCCACTCTCTCGCAAATAAGCCGCGTTCGGCTCTGCAGAGCACACGAGCCTGCTGATCCCTCGTATGGCCGTATGTGCATGTGGGGAGGCAATGATAGCATTTGAGCACATGTTCCCTCTTCATGCATCCTGTGGGCAAGCTCCTCCGGGGCCTTATACCGGGCTGCCTCTGCATACCCACGCCTTCACGGCTTTTCGGCGCAAATCAGGATGGGACAAGCCATCCGGCCATCCATCGGCGCATGTAATCCATGCTCGAGAGCCTGGGGTGGACCGATCCCAGACAAAGACCCGAGAGAGTTTACCCGCGGCACCGATAACAACAAAGTATGTGGACACACACACGCCCGGCAGCAAAGTGAGGCTTCTGTCGGACGGGTCCAATGCAGGGCCCAGCAAAATAAACCCGATGGACCCCAAGAGCACGCCATGGTGGGACATGCTCGGTATCTCTTGGCGAACCAGAGGCTTGCCTTTATCTTTGCCGCAATCTCTGGCTCTGTTTAGCTCTCTCCCTTTATCAGTATAGGCGCACAAATGTTTACTGCTGCCTGATAATAAGAAACGCCGGGAGGGGAGCAAGGGGGGGGGCTGAAGGGCTGCCAGCTGGAATAACCCTCCCCGACGACTCCTCTTCTAGAAGCAAAAAATGCTGGTTTGCCCGCGTGAGCGACGAGGAGCTGATGCCAAGGTGCAAAAGTGCAACGATGATCCTGGTCTAGGCGGCAGGCAACCCAGTCAGTCTATGGATGCCGGTGCGATGCCACAGAGGCCCTTGTTGCTTTCCGGTGAGACAAGTTCAGCAAGTCTTTGGTGGCAAGTCCCTTTCCTCTGACCTGACTGGCCGCATCCGTCGTGAACCAGCAGAAAAGGAAAACAAAGTGGAAACGAAAAGTGAAGGCTGGGCGGCCCGTTGAACCTGATGATTATCCATTGTCTCCATGCGCCATCCGCTTCAGATCTCGCCATCGTTGAAATATGTGTGTGCCCAATGCATATATCCATGTGTGTCTGCATCCATGGCTTGTACATCCACACCCCGTACATCTACACCACGATGTCTCGAGGGTCATGGCCCATAGCCAAGGGGCCGAACACTCCCTCCTCCCTATCTCAACATCAGCAGCACGTCTCCCACACCATCCTCTGCGGCGATGGTGCAAGTGTGTATTACCGGAAAGCGCAATGTAACCTTGAATTGATGAAACGATGCTTGCTTTTTCCCCGCAGAGTCTTGGCGTGGCTGTGACGGCGCAATCAAAATTGCCCAATGGGCCAATGCCCACGAGCATATGCTTGGGTCAACCTTGCCAGCCCCCCTCCATCATCTGCAGTACCCGGTATCGTCATGCCAGCATCCCAGCACGCACTTACGGGTATGGTGCGCATGTCCCGTGTCCACGGGCATACAGTAATTATTACGTAGCCAAACAGGATACGGACTCTGCGAGCGAGGCTTCAACTCTTGGGCTTCAACTCTTCACTTGATAGCAAAGGCCATCTACTGCTGCATGTGACTTGCAACCAAGAGTCATCCAGCCGCGTCGCAAAGGGCTGTACATCAAAGCCGGCCAAGGGGGGTTTGCATGGCGTCTGGGGTTGCCTCCGGTTGGACACAGACGCTCCATGTGGCTGCCGGGGAAAGGCAAACTGGATAGCTAGCATCTCAGTCGGGGGGGGATTGGTGGTGGCGGGCTGGCATCAAGCCATCAGCAAAGGCCCTGGTCCGCCAAGGGGCTGTATGTGGGGACGAGATGTTCGTGGCGACTGGGGTTTAGGCTTTGAACCGGCAAAAGACAAGGGAAGTGAGGCTCGACCGCATCGTGAAGTGATCACAGAAGGTCCCCTGCTTCCTGATAGCACGGAGGCCATGTACGGCTTCCGCGCCCGCGTCGTCTTACTGTACTGAGTCCGTAAGCCATGTTGAACCATGCACAGGATTGGGTCTTTCACCCCAGTCGCCGAAGCTCATCCGCGCCGTGAGACATATAGAAACGGCAAGGCGGGCAGACGCGGGTAGCAAAGGCCGCAGCGTTCTATCCAATGCAGACACCGCCATTGCCGACGCCTCCCGCCCGATCATCCATGTGCTGTTGGTTGCCTTGCATCATGTACATCAAGACCCTGCTCCGCTGCGCACTATGCGACTCTTTGCCTATCGCCAGACTGCTTGCCACGCGACGCTACATCGTAGGTTTTGTTCGAAGTCTAGTGGTGAGTGCTCCACGGCACGGCATCAACGGCACGCATCACTTTGAGCGTCTTGGTAACTGTCTACGCTGTAAGCTATGCGGAGCGTGTTAGGAACTAGAAGCCGCTCGATAATTACCCGTCAACCCGAGCAGCTTCAACATCGTCCCTCCCTCCCCATCTGCGCACGTGCAAGCTGCGTCAAGGATTCTCCGCATGCATGTCGGCGTGCAAGGCCAGCAAGGCCGAGGTGGGCGGATGAGCTGCTTGAAGCCTGTCCCTGCCAGGGCCACGTCCCACCGCATAGCAGAAGACTAGGCCCAACGTCTTGTGAGCCTGGGTCCGGGGCAAGGGAGAGGGGGGGGGGATCGAGGCCCGACCTGGGTTACGCCTTTTCTGGTTTCACCTCCTAGAACCGGAGTAGAACCATGGCTAATGCGGAGAAGCCTGAGAGCATATCGACGGGCTGCATGTGGACGAGCACGCAGGTCCAATCGTCGCACAGCGCCCGTCACCACCTCTCGGCTTGGCCATTGACAGGGATCTGCAGTCATGGCCTATCAAGTTGACGAGGCCTCCCCCCTCCTCCTCGTCCACCCCAACGATGAGCTGCTCACTTTCGATTCGAGCTTCTAGAATCAGGCAAGGGAGGGGCGTGACCAGGTCTTGGTTGCGTCTCTTGCATAGCCATCAACAATGTCTCGAAGCCCACACCCGCCAAGGCTCTGCACCAAGACCGGATTCTGTTCAGGATCAGTGGTGCGACTCTGCCTGTCACGAGGGGGGCAAATCTGAAATACCTATTGCTTCTAGTTTCTTTCGTGTGGGCGCGGCATTGCTGCGGCGGTTGCTTGTTGTGCGTGCGCTGTACCCATGAGATGATGAACACGCGGATGTATGCCCCGGGGAGGGTTGGCAGCGATAATTCTTTCCGGACGCTATATCCCGGGCCTAGAGGAACATGTTCCCTGCGACAAGCGTGATACATTGTATTCCAGATATCGCCACTGGGTTGTAGCCCAACATTGAAAGCTTGACAGACCCCAAGTTCGGGGATGCCTAGGGTGGGTGGCACATTATTCGGCCCATTACTCCGTATATCACTGATCAATGCGCAGTCGCTAATAAGTGTTGGACCTTGAAGTCGAGTGGCAAATCGTCAACTTCCTCCGTCAGTGGCGTGGTCACGGTTCAGTCTCGAGTCCAAGCTCTTGAACCATGCATGCAACGCCAGCGTGTAGGTCCAGATTTGACGTTCACTGTTTTCACCTCGATGATCGTGTGTAGCGCCCAGTGCTAGATGCGGCTCCAGCCTTGATGGGTTTACACTCGCAGCCACAACTGTCTGTACATGTTGCTACGATGCCAGTCACTTCCCCCGAATAGGACGCCACACAAGGGGTAATGGCGCTCAAGTCTAGAAGGATGGGTGCCTTTGTCAGGCATGTCCGCGTCAATGGCAACGTCGGGCTGAGCCGAGCTCCAAGCAGACGTAGCCCAGAGGTTGGCATTGACTGGCTGAGCGATTGGCCATTGGGGATGCAGCACTACTATTGCTATTAAAGTTCAACCGGTCATCTCCTCTGCCAGATTGAGTCCCTGACTGACATAGTTGAACCTGGTTGAGTGTACGGAGCATGACATGGGCATACAGCATTCGCCGTCAGTTGGGTGCGCTGCTTCCCCTTGAAAGCAGTGGAATAGAGAGCGTCAACTGTCAAGTTAGAGGTCTGATCAGCTATCAAGACAGTACATGAACTGACCACTGCGGACGCCGGAGTCAGGTCGAAATACATACGTCTGCCAGGCTCCTCTCTGCCACTGATGGCATCCTTTACCCATCTCCGGTTCTAGATTTCCGGGGTTCTCTCTCGAGATCCGCGCGATTCTGGAACGCCAGTCTCTCAGGAGGCGCCACTTGGTAAGCCTCGGGCTGCGGCACATCTCACCCGGATCGAGCGGCTGGATGCCGAGTGGATGCCGGCGTCCCCCGCACCGGAAAAGTTTCCGCTCCCACGGGCCCCGATATTCTCGGCACACTCGACTCGATGATTGGCCGCGGGGCTCGGCCAAGTCCTGGGCGTCATGGCTATCACCGGGATGCAAGTGTCATGACGGTGGAGACGGAGACGGGGAATCGTGCTATGGCCATGAATTCGAAGTAGAGAGTGGACTTGGGAACCATCCGGAGACGAAGCCTCGTTTGCGAGTTATCCGACACCGGAAACAAGTCTTTATCAAAGACCATCATTGTCAAGGGCGTAGACGCGCAGCGCAGCAAGTGGGATTCATCATGCCCGACTACACGCTGTACAGCTATTTCCGGTCCTCCTGCTCGGCCCGGCTGCGCATCGTCCTCAATCTCAAGGACATCTCGTACGACACTGCCCCCGTCAATCTCCTCGACGGCGAGCAGCTCTCCGAGTCCCACCGGGCCCTCAATCCTTCGGCGACGGTGCCGCTCCTCCTCTCTCGTCGATCCGAGCACGCGGGCTTCAAAGTCGGCCAGTCCGTCGCGGCCCTCGAGTTCCTCGAAGAGGTCCACCCGGAGACGCCCATCCTGCCCCCAGCAGGCGACGCCAAAGCCCGCGCCGTCGTGCGGACGCTGGTGAACATTGTCTCCGCGGACATGCAGCCGGTGACGAACCTCCGCATCATGCGCCGCGTCCGGGCCCTCGGAGGCAACGCCGAGGAGTGGAACAAGGAGCTCATGACAGATGGCCTGCGCGCCTACGAGGCCGTCGCCAAGGATCACGCTGGCAAGTACTCGTTTGGGGACGCCATTACCATGGCCGACGCCTGCTTGCTGCCCGCCGCGTGGAACGCGGAGAGGTTTGGCGTCGACCTCAGGGCGTTCCCCGTCGTCTCCAGAGTTGTCGACAGCTTGAACCAGCATCCGGCAGTGGTCAAGGCGCACTATTTCAACCAGCCAGACACGCCAGAGAATCTGCGGACAAAGACTTGAGACAGACGTTGCGAGGGTCGGCGACGCGGGAAAATGGATATCAGCAGTGGTTTGCACACGGAATATGTAAATACGTTCAATTCTAGAATGGAGGTCTCGGTCTCTCTCCCCCCAATGCGCCCTCTTCAACGCCGGCACCGGGATGAGAAACTCGGCATATTTCCCATCTAAAACAGGGGATGGGCCGGCAAGATCTTGCCAGACACCTCGCCAAAGCCAACCAAAGCGCCCTTCTTACCCGCCCATCCCCGAATGACCAGCGTGTCTCCGTCCTGCAGAAACTTGCGCTCCTCGCCGCCTTGCAGTTGCAAGGATATCTTTCCACCCTGCGTCTGCTCGAGGATGCTGCCCTGTGAGGTCGAGTCTTCACCAGATATCGTCCCCGAGCCGAACAAGTCTCCGGGCCGCAGGTTGCAGCCGCTGATGGTGTGGTGCGCAATCATCTGCGGCCACGACCAAAGGAGGTTCTTGGAGTTTGTCCTAGAAATTGTTGTCGTGTTTCCATTGGCAGCTGAGAAGGGGGGTCGAGTCAGCGGCCGTGTCTCCGGCGATATAAGGAGAGCGGTCTATAGAGAAAAACACTACACTTACTCTTAAGATCGACCTCGAGCTCGATGCTTAGGACGTTGTCCTTGACCTTCTCCTGGAGGTATGGGAGAAGCGGCGTGTCATTGGGGATACCGGGGCTCTTGGCATCCCTCAAGGCGTCGGCCAGCACGACCCAAGGGCTGATGCTGGTTCCCATATTCTTTGCCGTGAACGGGCCCAGGGGCACATACTCCCACGCCTGCAGATCCCTCGCGCTCCAGTCGTTCATAAGGACATAGCCAAATACGTACTCATCGGCCTCGTGAATGGGGATGGGGCTTCCCATCTTGTTCTCGCGGCAGATAAACATGCCCATCTCGAGCTCGAGGTCCAGCTTCTCGGCGGTGGCCAGGACGGGCACCTTTGGCTCCGCCTTGGGGTCCTTGAGGATCTGTCCCCACGGGCGGTGGATGGGCGTTCCGGAGACGACGACGCTGCTCGCTCGCCCGTGGTATGCCACGGGGAGGTGCAGGTAATTGGGCTGCAGGGCGTTTGCCGGCCCGCGGAAGAGCACGCCGACGTTGTAGGCGTGGTTCTTGCCGGCGTAGAAGTCGGTGTAGTCCCCGATGGCCATGGGGAGGTGGTTCTGGACCTCGGCACGCGGCAGCAGCGCGCGTCTCCTGAGGCTCTCGTTGTCCCTGAGCAGCTCGGGGTTCTTGGTGTCGGCGCTCAAGACGGCCTGTAGATACTCGCGCAGGGCACGGTGGAATGGGCGGCCGAGCGCGGCCAGGTCGTTGAGCGTGGCGGCGGAGAAGACGGCGGCGTGCTTCTCGATGTCGGGCGACGCAGCGAAGCCGCCGCCGGCAGCGAAGGCCTTGAGATCCAGCACATGGTCGCCGATGGCAACTGCCGGGCGCGGCGCGGCGTCGGCCGGGGTCGAGATGATGCCGAAGGGTATGTTGGCGATGGAGAAGTGAGACTCCGGGGCGATGGGGAGCCACGACATGATGGCGGATTGGGTCGTCGGTTGCGGATAGAGTCGGCGCGAGGTGAACCAGTGGATGGAGGAGAGGGAAAGCAGGAGAAAGAGAATGGCCGTTTTGTTTCTGAGCAGAGGAAGTCGGGCATCTGCTCAAGTTACTCAAGGTTCGGCTGCCCCGCGATTCATGAGCTTGCTGCCGGCGCAAGCCGAAAGGTGGTGGAGAGAGAGAAGTGGAGAGAGAGGTGGAGAAGTGCGGAACGACGGCTCGGCCTCGGTCCGCTCTGGAGGCGTTGGTTCGAGGGATGAAACATGCCCAAGATACAGGCAATCCTCCCTCCTACACACTGGCTCGACGTGGGCTCTGCGCAAGTACTGTATGTATGCTGTTTCTCACGAGTTGCGGATACTGGTATTACTGCCAAGCTGGTAAAATACCGCTACACCAGGCAAGATAAAGACACCCCCTTTGGGAGGTGTTATTAACTAACGCGCATTATAAGTGCTTTCTCTGCCCCGATTGGCACACTGTAGTAAACACACACGTGCTGTCTCCTTGAATGGCCAGCGACATACTGTACATGGCCACCTTTAATCCACACCTATCAAAGTCCTGCCTTGATGTGTCTTGTGCCGCCTGTATTCGCATCTTCGTTCCATGTCTTCCCATCAAACCAATCCCAGATGCCCACATCCGTATTGCTGCATGATTCTTGTGGCCTTGAGCTCGGCATTGCATCCGCTTGGTGCTTCTTTGTCTTGTGTCTGTCTGTACCAACGACATCTCCGACTCCGCGCGGTTCTCGAGCCCAGTCATATCAAAAGGCCATCTCACCCAAATCCATCCCAGCCCTGACTTTTGCACACGACAAGGGTGAATCGCAAGGTCCTTGCCTTGCTCTTCAAATGGCTGAGTCAAAAGGGCTTGACATCCTTGGCGACTGTTGCCTCGGTCGAGTTCGTCCCTCGAGGAAACTGTTGGCCCCTATTCGTAATTCATCGAATCAACATCAAGTGCCATCCATCTGCCACGACCGTCACGCGTCGTGAACACTACCTGCTCGAGCTGCAGTATGCCGCTAACCTCCTGCAACGGCTTGCCTAGCTGCATTGCCAGCGCAGCCGTCATGCCGAGCGAGAGCTGCCCCAGATCAGAGCCTCGCAATGCCTGTTGTGCCACCATGGTGCCTCGGGGGCTCGGAGGAAGTAATCACGGACGGGCGCCGCAAGGCAGTCAATGTCCGGATGGGAGCCTACGGGACGGGACCAATGGTGTGGAAGCACATGTGCATACACCGGGGGGTCTTAGCCGTCATGGATGATTTTATACCAGTCAGCGGATGCTCAAATGCCGATCCCATCAACGGCCTAGTGCAATCGCATTCACACGCGCGGCGTCGTCGGCCGTTGAGGGAGCCCGAGGCCCCGTCAGCTTAGTCTTGCAAATGATGCCGGCTCTTCGAGGCTATGCTTGCTCGTACAACGGCTCGCCCTACATCGCGCTCACCATGCATACCTAGCGGCCTGCGCCCAATGATGTCGCGTCGTCCAAGTCACTTGCACACGCCCGTGGACCAGACATCTCAGTAATCAATATATATTGATAAGTATGGGCATATTTATTGTTAAGCTTATCGATATCGATAAAAATATAGATGTCCCCTATCAATATGTATTGTTAATATGCCCCTATTATGCTCTGATTGCCTGTCTTAGGCGTACTTACTTTTCCCACTCGTCAGCCGTAGCGCTGTGGAAAGGGGCTCGGCACAGAATGGTAGCATTCTTTCGTTGAAGATTCTTCATGCCCTCCATTTTGCTGATTGAAGTGCACGCCCCCTCGATACCTCGGCTTTGGCAATGGAAGACTGCGTATCCCGTGTGCCGGAGGTTGACATCGCATCGAACCCTTCATCATCAATTTTGCCTTCCGATAGTGTCTCGCAATCTGCCAGTATACCTTCAGAATCGGAGCATTCCCCTCCGGCAGCAGTCAAGAGGAGGAAGTTGAGAGCGACGTCGACTTGGCATCACTTTCGACAGGCTCGAGGCGATGAGCCACGCACGGCAGGTGGCAATTTACTCCACTACTGCAAACGTTGTCGCAATCCATCGTGGTCAACCCACATTTCTGGCAACGCCCGCTATCATCTCGAAAAGGTTCATCACGTACAAGTCAGAGAAGATACGAATGCTCGATGCAAGCGTCAAGTAGCCATCGAGAATGCCTTTGCGAGAACAAGCGAAAAGCAGCTGAGGCTGACTCAAGAGAGCGAGGTCAACATTTTGCGGAGCGTGATCAATGTCGATGCTTTCCGAGAGGCACAGATGCTACTTTCCGCGAATAGGCATCTGCCACTGAGCTGCGCGACGTGGCCAGAGTATCAGGCACTTTGACCGCGATCAACCCCGCAGTCGAGGAGTTCCTCGTCGACTCTAGCAACACGGTCGCTTCGGATCTAGATAGGGCGTACGATACGCATCAACAATCCGTCTGTCGGTGGCTCGAAGGCGCTCGAGTCTTGTGCATATCGCAATGGATGTATGGTCTTCTCCTCAACGCAAGGCATACATCGCTGTTCATGCGCAATGGGTCGACGAGGCATACAAGCCTCGCAAGGCATTGCTGGGATTGCCAAACCTGCGACGGTCGCACGCGGGCGCAGCGATGACGCCGCACCTACTGAAGATCATCCGGAGATACGGCATCACACAGAAACTCGGCTATTTCACCGGAGACAATGATGCGAAAAATGACACTTGCCTCCGTCAACTTTCTGCTGATTTATCGCAAGAGCATGGGCTGACCTTTGATCCGATATCGTCTCGAACACGATGCGCTGGCCACATCATTAACCTTTCCCTGCAAGCCTTTCTCTTTGCGACCAGCGAAAGTGCACTTCAGGCCGCCGTTGAACAGGCGGACGACGAACTGAATCAAACTACTGTCGCAGATGCCTTGCATGACCACCTCCATTCAGAATCTACGCCAAGAACTCACGCCAAGCGCAGGAAAAGAAATGATACTGCCGGTTGGCGGAGCATCGGTCCAATGGGGAAACTTCACAACATTGCTGTGTTCATTCGCAACTCTACAATTCACAACGATGCATGGGACGACATTGCGGGGAAAGCCCTCGGTATCGACAACATCACGCGCTGGAACTCGTGGTTCAAGCTGCTTGATGCCGCCATCAGCCAGGAAGGCCCATTGTCGGTCTTCGTCAATCAGTATCATCGAGAGCTTGAGGACGACATCCTGACTCACGATGACTGGCAAGTATTGAAGATGACACACGAGTTTTTGCAGCCGTTTCACCAGGCCACCTTGGAGCAGCAAATGGCCTGGGCTTCAATAGATCAGGTGCTAGAGAACATGGACATCCTCTTCGTGCAATTCGAAGACGCAAAGGTCAGTCGTAGACTCTGCAAGTATTGCCTTCGGGCTGAAGAAAAGAAGCTCAACTTCGATGCAGGTCAAGTATGCCGAAAACGCCCACATGGTAAGCTCGATTCACATGGGCTGGTGGGTTCTTTCAAAGTATTATGAAGAAACCGACAAAAACCCCGTGTATGCCACGGCACTTCTGCTCCATCCAGAAAAACGGCGGAGGTATCTCGACCGTCATTGGGCACCAGAGTGGCGGCAGACAGCCATTGCTGCAGCACAGCGGCAATGGGCGAAGTATAAGGACAGACCAATTTCTTCGGAGAGAACCGTGCGACCCAGTTGTGAAGCGCGAGAGGTCGCTTCTTACGAGCGCATAAGGCAGTCAATGAGTGTCCTGGATGAACCTGGCGATGAAGACGAGTTTGAGAAATTCATCAATGCTCCTCCGAGACATATGCTGACTGCCAATCCGCTTGAATGGTGGTGTCGTGAGGAACAGAGAGCCGAGTATCCACGCTTGCATCAGATGGCTCTTGACATACTCAGCGTCCCAGCGATGTCGGACGACCCGGAGCGGGTGTTCTCTTGCACAAGGCGGACACTTTCTTGGGATCGAGCTCGACTTTCCGCGGACAGGACTGAAAAGCTGCAATGCTTGAGTAATTGGGTGAGGAACGACTTGATTCGCAAACTGTACGTTGCGGTTGATGACGAGATCATGGATGTGGGCGGCGGCAACGGAGACGGAGACGAGCATTCGACGTTATATTAATAATTATTGATAAGCTTAACAATACATATCAATATAGCCACACTCTTAACAATACATAACAATATGCCAAAAATATGTATTTATTTATTATTGCAATGTCTGCCGTGGACATCCCGCGGGTGCCGGGCTCGACTCCGTGCGAGATGGCCTGTAGTCTATATAAGCCATGACGCATCTTGGGGAGCGGAGAGTCTCGTCACTCGGCTCTCGAAAGCCAGCAGACTCCTTGTCCTCTTATTAGCAACTCTTTGCAACCTCCTCGGCCATGAGTTCCGCCGACCTCAGCAAGATCGGCTTTGATTCCTGGCGGGGCCTTTGGCAGTATGATGGCAACCTTTTACACACTCTTGGCCTGTTGTTCTTTCTGGTAGCTTACCTGGGCCTCCTTTGGCGTACTTGTGGTTCTGACAGCGATATAGGTCGTTGCTTACGGTGTAGCGCAAGGCATCTATCGTATCTGGTTCCATCCGCTTTCCAAGTTTCCTGGGCCGCTGCATCTGTCTCTTACATCGTTACCCGCTGCGTACTCCAACTACATCCAGGGAACTTGGGTGAGACATGTTGCCAAGCTGCATCAAAAGTATGGCCCCGCGGTGCGAATCGGACCAAATCACGTCTCCTTGGACGGCTCCATTGGATGGCCAGAGGTTTATGGCCGTCGACCAGGCGGAAAGGCAGAATTCCATAAACTGCCCCCCGTGTTTCAAGAACAACACGAAGCTCTCATCTCCGCTTCTCGTGACGGTCACCGGCGACAACGCCGACAGCTGGCCCATGCATTTAGCGACGCTGCCCTGGCGCAGCAGGAACCTGTCATTATCAAGTATGTGGATATGATGCTCGACCGCCTGTCTCAGCGTGCCGACGAGGGCCAAAGCATCAACATTGTCGAATGGCTAAACTTTACAACTTTCGACATCATTGGCGACTTGGTGTTTTCCGACTCTTTCTCCTGCCTGGAGAACAACGGATATCACCCCTGGGTACTGACCATCTTTCGCGGCGTTCAAGGCATATCTCTTCGACGCTTTTCTCAGTACTATCCACTCATGGGCTGGATCATCAGCAAATCCACCCGGCGGTCGTTGGCAAAATTATTACTCGGGGTCCGATCCGGTGCCAGAGACAAGGCCAAGACTCGCCTAGAACACGGCCCGAAACCACCCGGTGAGCACCAGGATATCATGGCCTACATGATGAAGAAGACTCGCGACGGTGGCGACGGCATGAGCGAGGGCGAGGTCCTGGTGAATGCGCCTACACTTGTCGTCGCCGGCAGTGAAACAACGGCGACAGCTCTGTCGGGCTTTTGCTTTTACATGTCGCGGAACCAACAGGCCTACGCGCTGCTCGCCGACGAGATTCGCGCCGCTTTCGCATCTGAAGAGGACATCAACTTGGTCAGCACCGGCTCGCTCGAGTATCTGCAGGCCTGTATCAACGAAATTCTTCGAATGTATCCGCCCGCCGCCGAGACCTCTGCCCGAGTCTCCCCTGGCGAGATGGTGAACGGCAAGTTTGTGCCTGCAGGGGTGAGTCCGGCTTTCAATTCTCGAGACACCCTTTTTTCTTTGGTGCGGTCCTTGACCATCTTCGTGCTGACGTCTTTTGCTTCTCCATCAGACCCGTCTTTCCGTATATCAATGGGCTACTTTCCAGAACCCGGCAAACTTCGTCGAGGCCGAATCGTATATCCCAGAACGATGGCTGCCAGCCACACATCCTCAATACGAGGGGCGCTTTGCGGCAGACAAGCGTGCCGCCTTCAAGCCATTCAGCTATGGCCCACGAGATTGCATCGGCAAGAACCTGGCCTATTCCGAGATGAGATTGATCATTTGCCGCCTTCTCTACCGTTTCGATTTCGAGTTGGCCCACAAGCAGGATAGCTGGCATGACGACCAGAAGATCTTCGGCATCTGGCAGAAGAAACCTCTTTACCTAAAACTTCAGCGGCGCGGCCCGAGGATTCAACAGACTGGCGAGTCACTCTAGGGATGAAAACGCTCAAGAGGGCTGAGTGTCATCCCTCATTACTTTTCTCCCATAAGAGTAGTGATGGTTAGGGTATGTATGAATATCTCGAGTTTGAAGGTTCCAATGTTTGGTGTATGTTGGCCACACATTCTGGTCAAAATTGCTGCTTCCCATCTCATCCTACGTTGTCCCCTGGCTTTCTTGTTTCTTGGGTATGGATCTTGAATTATCCCTTCTAGGTTGAGAGTCACAATGATACCTGATATGGACGCTAGCCCTGTTGCAAGCCGTGCCTCTGTTGTTGATCAAGGAGATCCCTCTCTCGGTCGAGTTTCGCTCCTTCGGCGCCATCCATCTGGCCCGTGGTTCAATCCGTGTACAAGGCTGTGCCCGTAAATTCTGTGCATTCTTGCATGTTCTAGCTCTTGATGGTCCGTATGTTACCATCGTCGCCAGTCGACTGCTAGAGGCTCTAATGCGCCAAGTCGAAATTGTCGCCCGGGGCGCACTGCGGATCAAGGGCTATTGCGGCCCATAGGCCGAGGGCAAGGGCCAGAAGAATTGGGTTCCGGAGAGGCATGTGGTGCGGGGGTGAAGATTTGGAATTTCGTAGAAGATAATCTTGCCCAAAGGTGAACGCTCACCCTTTGTATAGCAAATATAAATCTGTTGGCTGTCTGAAGCTATATCAAGACTATTATAGCCGTGAGAATCATGTATAAGCAAGCGGGTGAGCAAGTGGATGCTATCCTCAGAAGACTATGTGCGTTCACAAGAATGGACAAGTTAATACTTAGATCAAATCCAGCTTTTGACACCGATACACCCATTTGTCATAATTTTCAACTCGACAACGCTTTACTTTTCGCTTTTTCGGTCTTCAGGAATTTCCCCCGCTCTTATCCTCCTGCTTCTCGCTGTTCTTTTTGGGATAAAAGTTGGCGGATCGAGCAAGTCTAAGCTAAACCTTGCTGCTGTGTCACCGCAGAGCGGGAAGTAAGCCAGAATATGGACCAAGTGCCTAGCTAGCCTCGTGGAGTAAGCTGGTTTGGCAGAAGCTCCGATCAGAAAAATAAGCCTCGCAGAGAACTCCACATATATCCGTTCCCCGACTCCATGGGGTTATATTAATTCTCCGCCGTATTAATACTACGACGGGCCATTTAATGCGGGAGGATTATTGGCACATGCTACGGATTGGCAACTACCGCTTCCATAGGTATATGATCAGCTTCTATACGAGCTCCACCGAGGCAAGGGTCATTCCCTTCTCAGCAGTCATCTCTCTCTACTACGGTGGCCCTCCACGGCACGTGCGAGCATTGCCGCTCCAAGCTCGAGTCTCTAAAAACGAAGCTGAAAATTTGAAATGCTCGCGTCCCTCTGTCACAAACCTTACCGGCACAAAAGGAAAGCAGGAGGTCGACTTGGTTGAATCGGTCAGGCAGTCAAGTGGTGTATCCCGAGTAAAACATTGCATTGCTTTGGTCCAAAGTCGGCCTCCTTCTCGCAACACCGAGCCAAGACAAGGTAATTAACGCACTGAAGGCCGTCTATAAGCGTCTCCGTCTTGTAAAAGGGTTGCTTCTAATCAAATTAGCCATAAAGAACGCTGGCTCGGCCTTGTCGAGAATCATTCGGTCCGACAGGCCAACTGCCAACTACGAGCGAGACACTTGATTACATTCATGCATCTCAACGGAATGTTGGTAGCAGAAGCTGGCGGTTTATCAGAGAACACTCCGTTCCGGAGCCAAACAAAGGTTCAATTTCTGGTTTTCACCAACCACACCTTCGTTTATTTGAACCCGTCGTTGGCTTGTTGACTCAACAGCAGCATACAGGCTCCGAGGTGAGAAATGGAAATGAAACGGCGCCAATGAACAACCCGAGGCGGTGGCCTTGGGCCATCAGCTTGTCTAAACTCGACTTCGTTCTAGTTACAATGTTCTCTCTGCGAGAAAAATGACGGCATTTTATAAACGCGACGGAAAGCCGCGGTCAGCCCAGAAAAGAAAGTCTGGTTGGTCTAAGGCAGCGCAAAGGCGCCAATGAAGACGGCAACGCCGGCGTAGGCCGCGGCAGACAGCCTCTGGACGGAGGCGCCGGCGTTGGAACTCGGGGCTGAAGTGGTGGATGAAGCGCCAGCCCCGGAGCCGGAACGAGACCCGCGGCCGGAGGTCGAGGTGGAGCTGGAGAGCGAAGTGGCAGCCGTCATGGTGGACAGGTGGCGGCCGGTGCTGGTAGGTCTGAAGTCGGTGCTGTTAGCCTCACCGTAGGACTCAGAAGCAGAGCGGGACTTTGTCTCAAACTTGGTCGGGCACTTGAGGTCGAAGATGGGCTTGGTGGAGAGGTCCTTTGTGATGGCAAACTTGAGCTTGTTGTCCGGGTTGGAATCGCGCAGGTTGTACCAAAAGGTCGGGACCTTGTTGAAGAGCTTGCGGCAGCCAATCTCGTTCCAGTAGTGCTTTGCGTTGTCGACGCTGGCGACGGCCTGGTCCCAGTTGAGGCCCGAGACGGGCCAGCCAGTCTCGGTGACCCACACGGGCTTGCCGCCGGCGGCGGACAGGGTCTTCTGGTAGGCCTCGTCGAAGAGCTTGGCGGCGTTCTTGATGTTGTTGTTCTCGCCGCTCTGGTAGCTAGGGTACTCGTCGACGCCGAGCCAGTCGATGCAGTCGATGACGGGCTTGTTGGTCGAGTTGGTCCAGGCGTCCCAGGTGTCGACGTGGCCGACGGGGACCTTGGCCAGGGACGTCTTGGAAAACTCTTGCTTGAACTGCTTGACGAAGCGCACGATGGCGTCGGGGCTGTTGCCCACGCCGCCCTTGTTCTTGATGCCCGTCTTGGAGTTGCGGTACAAGTCCTCGCTGCCGATGGAGATGCCGATGACGAGGTCGGTGAACTTGGTGCCGTGCTTGGAGACGGCCTTTTTCAGCGCGTTGATCTCCTTGGCAATGCTGTTGGTGCCGGACGTCCAGATGCCGAGGAGGACATGGGTCTTTGTGTTGATGGCGGCCTCGAAGGCCTCGATGGGCTCCTCCTGGGAGTAGGCCTGGATGTTGGTGTAGAGGCGGACGGCGTTGAACTTGCCGGGGGCGCCCTGGAGGGCCTGGGCGGTGCGGAACTCGGCCTCGTAGTCGGCCTTGAACTTGGCCGAGTAGTCTGCCTTTGTGGCGCCCGAGTTGAAGCCGAGATAGTTCTTGTTGGCCGAGGCGCAGACGGCGAGCGCGCCCGCGACGAGAGCGGCTGTGAAACGCATGGCGGAAGGGCTGGAGAGGACGTCGATGGCGGCACTAGCGTCGATGGGATCGATGCCGTCGAGGCAGCTGTCGCGAGGATGAGCTTCAGGTCAAGGATCGAGCCGGTAGCGAGCGTCGGGGAGGGAGGAAGATGCGAAAAGACGGCGGCGTTGACAAAAACAAGAGTCTATAAAGGAGGGAATGAAAGGGCTTGTAGGAAAGATGGAAAGAGAGAGAAAGGCACGAAGAGAGAGAAAGGTCAGAGAGAGAAAAGGAGAGGAGAGGAGAGGTAGAGGTGGAGAGAGAGGAGGTGGCTTGGAATGACGCTGGGCGCATGGTGGCTCAAGCAGAAGTTCATAAGCATCTGCACAAATGCACAAGTCGAGCAGCGAGCGAGGAGCCAAAACAGGGGCCGGAAGCGGTCGTTTTTCTTTTTCTGCCCCTTTCCTTTCCAGCAGCCAACAGCGGTGATTGATTACCGGGCAGCAATGACGTACAACAAGGTGGTTTTCCTCTCCTTGGCCGCCTCGACCCTGCAGGCATCTCGCTCCCCTCTGTTTGAGGCTGTCTGGCCTTGACGAGCTTGATGTTGCGATATTATGAAAGCTGTGTAGACGGGGACCCGGCCACTTTGGACACCGAGGCAAACGTATGTACTGTAATTTCTCAGCGGTTGTGAAGCCAGGCGCTGCCACCCTGAAGGGCACTCACTGTGCCAACGGGCCGAGATGCAGGCGCCAGGGCCAACAATAGTTGAGACACGTACGGATACGCGAGGCTTGATTCGCCGTCTTTTCCAGGGAGCGCTGTGCCCTTTGATCTCGCTTGCGCGCGCGGGCCAGTTAGGCCAGAGCTACCTCATGTGTTTACATACCGAGTACGAGTGTCATCTTTTTGCTCGGCTGCTTGCCTATCAGGACAAGGAAGAGTTGTGATCTGCCAGCGGTTGGCAGTGACACGTTTCAGAGCATGCGGTGCTTACTCCGTAAAGTGATGATACATACTGTCAGCGTACATGCATGCCTCCAACAACAAATGCCACATGCAGAATTCGACCGACCAGCCGACCGAACAAGCATCTTTGTGCTGAGGCCCATGAAACGAAGCGACATCATGACGCTATTTTAAGCCTGTGGAGCGTCTCGCCCTCGGACAAAAATTGACCCTGAATCGATGGGGCTTCGTGCAGATGGAGCCGTTCGTCCACGATATTTATCTCCCCAACTCCCCCATGAGAAACCTCCACTACTACCAGGCATCAGCAGGGCAATTCGTTCCTTACTTGCTGGCCATCCAGAAATACCTGCCATTACTTGGGCCGCGCTCAGTGACATCTCGGACGCTGGCTTCTGCCTCGGCGGCCATGCATCAGACCTCCTCCTTCCTCCCCCATCTTGCCAGCCGTCAGCATCTGGCCCTCGAACATTCAATCCGCACCCATCTCTACCTTATTGGGTGACAATGACAGGCATGTCTGCTGACGATGGGGAAACACCCAGGATGCATCCCGTGACGCCCGTCAGACAATGCCATATGCCCCCCCCCCCCTTCCGATCGCCCGCGAACGAAGCTTCGATGCCGTGGGTCTCGTCCAACACATCTACAGTACCTACACGGGATGCCTTCCATCTGGGTCCCCTCAACTGGCGTCTGATGAGAGGGCTGTGAACATGAGCACTCGTGACAGGGCGGTTGGTCCTGACTCCTTTGGCTCTCGCCTCGAAGCAGCCCGCCCGTCGGCGCCCAGCATCCTGGCTCAGGGCGAAGATGCACAACCAGCCGCCGGCGAGACGTGCAGGGTACCGAGTCCGCTGCCCTTTTCTCCATGCTGGGGCCGAAGCGCGAGCTGCCCGGGCTGGACACCCATGGCCGTGTCCGCCAAGCTCCAGGGTAAGCTCTTGGCTTGGCGTCGGTGTAACGCGTTCCTCGTGGGCGTTCGCAAGCTCCATTCATGTACTGCACACTCTGCTTTAGTCTGTACGGTACCTGTCGACACTGAGTTTCATCTTGCTTCATCTTGTTTGCGATGAGAGAAAAGCTAGATAAACTGCCGCGATATAAACCGCGCATTGCGTGCGACTCTGCCCCATAACCGTGTCTCGACGCCCCGGTATGACGCCATTTGCCTTGCCTGCTTCAGCATCCCGGTGTTAATGTTCAGACGAGCATTCGCAGAAAGCCAAAACCTGCAGATACACGCCGTCTCTGCCATTGCGACGGGGGCTGCACCAGGAGTCCAGCAGCAATGTCTCGAGACATTTCTGGAAACCAAACGTGTGTCCCCCAGGGCATCCCGTCCGGTCTGGAACCCGCATTCTTGCTTGCCACAGGCAGCGGGCCGTCGGGGAGGGTGGCAAGGTTGCAACCCAAGATCACCAGATGTGAGTAGATGAGCCTGCAGAGCCATTACATTTCGAAGCCTCCGTCTCGAAACCGCAACAAACCCTCGGCAGCCCTAAACCCCGGTTCCTGTCTCGCACTAGGTATCCGTCGAGCAAAGACGGCTGCGGCTTGGGCGCTATCGAGGGACGGGTTTTGCATCCATGTCAGCCAGGCCGAAAAGGCAACCGCTTCCCCATTGGCCCTTTTTATCTTTTTCTTCCTCCATTTCCCCGTTTCTTTGTCCATGGATTGTTCCTGGTCTGCCACTCGGCCATCCCTCCGCAAAGCGACCAGTCCCCGGCCCCCGGACTAGTCGGAGCACGCAATTTGGTGGCTCACTTAGACAAACGCGGTGCGACCCGCTCTCCAGCATCCTCCGGGTCCAGCCTCATCCCTTGGGCCTGCAGCACGGCTGCGTGCTCTCGCTGACCGGTCTCTGCCACGTTAAGTAGGTAGCATTTTAGATGTTTAAAACATGTACCTTGTCTTGCCTTGCCTGCCCGGTTGCAACTTGCCTCGGCCCCTCGACTTGATTTTCCCAGTCACCACCACGGATCCCTCTCGCCCTCGCTTCCTTTTACCGCCGGGACCAGAATAACCCCAAGCGGCAGTGCGTGTCAGCTTTATCTGGGCCCATCTGCGCGTCCCCGAGACAGACAGCCAGCCCGCAAAAGAACAAAGGCCCCCCGGACCGCCGCCGCCGCCTCCCGGCCCGGCACAGCACCGGCCATGGTCGGCACCGTCAAGGACCGGCTGGCCTCGGCCATTGGCCTCGCGCCCAAGGACCGCAAGCACGACGACGACGTGCCCTCCATCTCCAACGCCGACCTCTTCGTCGAGCACGAGCCCACCGTCCACGAGTTCTTCGTCGAGCTGGCCCCCTCGGCCCAGGATGTCGGCCGCTACGTCTACAACTTGTTTCCCTTTGTCCATTGGATTGGCAAGTACAATTGGACGTGGTTCGTTGGTGACTTTATTGCCGGTATGCTGCCACGTCTGCTTGCTCACGGAAAGGCGAGTTCCGCGCAGCTGACGGGAGCCGTGTAAACTTCAAGGCACCACCGTTGGCGCCGTCGTCGTGCCCCAGGGCATGGCGTATGCGCAGCTCGCGCAGCTGCCCGTCGAGTATGGCCTGTATTCGTCCTTTATGGGCGTTCTCATCTACTGGTTCTTTGCCACGTCCAAGGACATAACCATCGGGGTAAGGCGCCTCAGACACGATGTTTCCCTCCTCAAGCGCACTCACACACCAAGCGCACACTCACACCAGACGACTGAACACACAACAAAGTCATGCTGACCTCCCGGCCCCAGCCCGTCGCAGTCATGTCCCAGGTCACGGGCAACGTCGTCCTCAAAGCCCAAGACGTCCTCCCCGACGTCCCGGGCCACGTCGTCGCCTCGGCCCTCGCCATCCTCACCGGCGCCATCATCCTCTTCTTCGGCCTCGCCCGCCTCGGCTGGGTCGTCGAGTTCATCCCCCTGCCCGCCATCTGCGCCTTCATGACCGGCTCCGCCATCAACATCCTCAGCGGCCAGGTGCCCAAGCTGATGGGCATCACGGGCGTCAACACGCGCGACCCCCCCTACCGCGTCATCATCGATTCGCTCCGCAACCTGCCCACCACCAAGCTCGACGCCGCCCTCGGCCTCACCGCCCTGGCCATGCTCTACCTCATCCGCGGCGTCTGTTCCCAGATGGCCAAGCGCCAGCCGCACCGCGCAAAGACGTACTTTTTCATCTCGACGCTGCGCACCGTCTTTGTCATTCTGCTCTACACTGCCATCAGCGCTGCCGTCAATGTCCGGATCAAGAACAAGCCCAAGTTTGGCATCATCAAGGAGGTCCCGCGAGGTGAGTGGTGCTTTCAGGGGGGGGTATCAAATGTTCCTAACGCCCTCAGGATTTCAACACGCCGCCGTGCCCGAAATCAACACGGACATCATCAAGGCCTTTGCCTCGGAGCTGCCCGCCGCCGTCATCGTCATGCTTATTGAGCACATTTCCATCTCCAAGTCGTTTGGCCGAATCAACAACTACGTCATCGACCCGTCGCAGGAGCTCGTTGCCATTGGCGTCACCAACCTTCTGGGCCCCTTTCTCGGCGCCTATCCCGCCACCGGCTCCTTCTCCCGCACCGCCATCAAGTCCAAGGCCGGCGTGCGCACTCCCTTTGCCGGCGTCATCACGGCCAGTGTCGTTCTGCTGGCTCTGTACGCCTTGACGGCCGTCTTCTACTACATCCCAAACGCCGCCCTGGCTGCCGTCATTATCCACGCCGTCGGCGACGTCATTACTCCCCCGAGCGTCATCTTTCAGTTCTGGCGCGTTTCGCCGCTCGAGGTGCCCATCTTCTTGGCCGGCGTCCTGGTGACCGTCTTTAACACGATTGAGAACGGCATCTACACCACCGTCTGCATGTCCTTTGTCGTCATCATCTGGAGGCTGTTCCTCAGCCGGGGACGAATCCTGGGACTGGCCCGCATCCGCACCGTCAAGGCCATCTCCAACGGCAAGACGGGCGAGGAGGGTGACGCCCAGAAAGAAGCAGTCGCCGAGGAGTCGGACCTTTCGCTACGCACCGGTTTTCTGCCTCTGGACCACGAGGACGGCTCAAACCCGCGCGTCGTGATACAGAGCCCCTATCCGGGCGTTTTCATATACCGGTTCGCCGAGGGCTTCAACTACCCCAATGCATCACGCTACCTGAATCACCTGACGGAAACGATATTCAGGGGGACGAGGCGGACGGACCCCAACACGTTGGGCAAGCTCGGTGTACGTGATGAGCCGCCGTCAAGCACTTGGCCACTTTTGCTAACGAAGAGTCGTCGTCACAGGACCGTCCATGGAATGACACGGCGCCTCGGACACAAAAATCGGAAGAGGCCAATCTACGGCCGACGCTCAAGGCCGTCATCCTCGACTTTTCGTCGGTCAACAACATCGACGTGACGGCGACACAGGCGCTCATCGACGTGCGGAACCAGCTGGATCGATACGCGGCGCCCGACACGGTCAACTGGCACTTTGCCAACATCGAGAACCGGTGGACCAAGCGGGCGCTGGCGGCGGCCGGGTTCGGGTACCGGACGCCGAAGCCGGACCCGGCGACGGGGATGCCGGCCCACTGGAAGACCATCTTCAGCATCGCGGACCTCGGGGGCTCCGACAGCGCGGCTAAGGCGGCGGCCATGGAGGAAAAGGCGGAGCGGAAGAGCCTGCTGTACGACGTCGAGGAGCCGCTGGAGCCGGCGGCGGCGACGGGGTCGCAGCTCTCGGACAAGGACGTGCCCCGGAACCCGGGGAGCGCACGGCTGGTGGCGGTGCAGGGGCTCAACCGGCCGTTTTTCCACTTTGACCTGCAAGAGGCGGTCGAGGCCGCGCTGTTGCATGCGGAGCGGGCGGACTGAGAAGTGCCGTAAGAGACGTGGGATTTTCTGCTCTTCCATCAGCGTCTGGACAAGCATCAAGGCAGACAAGAGCCAAGGGGCTCCGGGTTGTCTGTGTGTACACATCGAATTGCTCCATTTGGACATGTATCTATTTTCTTGCAGGGTCCGTTATTTCGCCTCCTGTTCTAAACGTCTCTAGTGGATGAGCTGGGGAGTACAAAGGAAAGGCTACAGTACAGTAGGAACGTACTTGGGGACAATAGATGGCTTGCCGAGGTCGAAAGTGGCAAGGCGCCCTGGGTAGACGAGTGGCGACGTCTGTAGAGGGCGTTGCACAGACGACATTGGTGAGACGCTGGCATCGCTGACATCATGGCGCTTGCTGCTGCAGAATCACCAGGGCCGTGGGCATCGGGCAGAGAGATGAGATGTGGGAAAAAGAAAAGAAACGAGGGAAAGTGTGTGTGATCCAGCGACGAGCGAAACTAGAACATGATCGGAGTTGGGCACATCTCGCTCAATTCCAGTTATTCTTGATTTCATCCCTGGCCCCTCCGTGATTCATGCGCCCTGTCTACCAGGGCCTTGGTAGCGGTGACACCTGCTGACACCACCTGCTGAGCACAGCGCTCGTCAGCGTGCAGATCGGCATGCAATTCCCCTCCAGCCACGCCAGCACCGCCTAGACCCGCCAAGTACCGACTGAGTGCCGTCACTCGGGGAGAATAGGAGTGGTAGCGGCTGAGCCGGTCAGTGGAGCCCCTACATGCCTTTAGCTGCCTTGTTGTTTACTAATTATTGCCTGGACTGCCTGCTTTGATTTCACTTCTTGCATCCTCGCCTCTTTCTTTTCTTCCTCGCCTGTGGACGGCAACGCCTGCGCGTTTGATGGATTCGAATCCTCGGACGCCGACGCCGCCGCCCCGGGCAGAGGCCGAGGGCGGGCAGTCCCAGTCGCCGCCCCAGTCCCAGTCGTCGCCTCCGCCCCAGTCGCCGCCGCCCCAGTCCCAGTCGCAGCCTCAGTCGCACTCGTTCTCACCGCCACAGCATCATCACCAGCTGCAACCACAATCGCGTCCCCAGTCGCCGCCCATCCCCAGCCCTGCCCTCTCCCGACTCTCGCCCTCCATCCTCCACCCGTCAACCCCCCAGCCCGAAGATCCCGCAGAAGACTACTTTCATCGCGTCAGCGACGCGCCCTCTCGGCGATCACGCCTTTCCACCTTTTCCATCAACCGCCTGCCCAGTTCCACGCCCTCGGAAAACCGTCCGCCCGCCCGCCCAGACCATTCGCGACGGCCCAGCATCCGAATCCGCCTCAGCAATGCCTCAATCAACCGAGCCCAGCCCAACTCCCCCGAGCGCGCCGCCTCCAGCCATGGCCCCGAACACATCGATGCCCCTGGCGGACGCTCCCGGAGCGCCTCGCAGTCCAGCGCCGCCAGCGCGCCTGCCGATACTACCAGCGCCGCCAGAAACGCGAGCAGGCTGACGATGCAGCCCGACATCTCTAGCCCCGCCCGCAGCCCGAGGAGGATGGTCCAGGCTTCGCTGCCCCGGTTGACAGAAGAAGGCTCACGCCCGACAATGGCCGAGCTGGGTCTCGTCCCCGTCCCTCGGCCCCAACGACCGTCCATTGCCCCGAGTGATCCGGCCGCAGACGAGGATGGGGAGCATGAGGAAAAGGGCAGCCAAGAGGCCGGTCCTTCGAACGAGAAGGGGAATCGTCTCCGCAGGGTGAGTCGCTTTTTCTGGCCCAGCAAAGCCAGGCGCGGCTCCGCCGACCCAGGCAGTGTTACCTCGGCCGAGACGCGCCATGAGGACGAGTATCACGAGGAGCTGGTTGACTGGCTCGACATTATCGGTGAGTCGCTTGCCTTGCCGCAGTGCCCGCGGTGGCCTCCCTTTCAAGTCTAACCCTTGTCCACGCCGCAGATCCCGAAGTCCAGACGCTCTCGACTCTCACCAACGTGCAGAACTCGCTCTTCATCCCCGACCTCGGCACCTGGGTCAACAGACGGCCCACCTACGTCCTCTCCCAGCCCGACATGCGCTCCAGGAGACCCGCGACTGCCGAGGGGCGAGTCGCCGAAGTGCCAGACACGCAGCGCGACGAGGCCGCCGAGACAGAGCCCTCGCCCGAGGCGGCCGCCCCCGAGCACCCGACGATACAGCGAAGCACGACCATCACCTCGCGGCTGTCCGAATCCCACTACGCCTCTCTGCCGCACGGCAGAACCCTCGACGGCTGGAGCGCCGCCGACAAGCAGGAGCTCGACGATCGCGTTCGTCACATGCTCCACTCGCGACGGTCCAAGTTCAAACGCATGATGAAGGGGTTCGGCCAATACGTGCGCCGGCCGCTCGGCTTCTTCGTCACCCTCTACGCCCTCCTCATCACCCTCTTCGGCCTCGCGTGGGTCCTCTTCCTCATCGGCTGGATCTACGTTGGCGAGGAGCAGCCGTACGCCGTCCATGTCATCGACAGCATCCTCGTCGCCCTCTTTGCCATCATGGGTGATGGCCTGGCCCCCTTTCGGGCCGTTGACACGTATCACATGATCTTTGTCCTCCGCTACTCGCGGATGATCAAAAATGCCGGCAAACCGCCTCGAGCTCGGTTACGGAAGAGCCATGGGCGACCCGAAGTGCGGAACGAGGCCGTGAGCAACACCTTGGCAGCGGGTCCCTTGCCAACCATTGTCGAGCGGTCTCCACGGTCTGACCAGATAACGGACGTCAACGGACACGGAATCCTCAATGAGCAGGCCATGACTGCCAACGGGGGCGACCAACATGATGCTACCGACGTCAACTTAGAGGACGGCAAGTCGGGAGGCGATATTCCTGGCTACTACCCCCTTAATGCGAAGCAGGTCAAGAGCCTGCTGCACCACCAAAAGAAGCTGGCCAAGTCGCACAGCTTCTACAAGCCTCAGGAGACACACACGCACTTCTCGTTTCCCCTCAACTTCCTCGTGGCCATTGTGATCCTCCTCGACTTCCACTCGTGCCTGCAAATATCGCTGGGCGCGTGCACATGGGGGATCAACTACCACGTGCGGCCGTTTGCGCTGACGACGGTGATTCTGTGCGTCAGCATAACGTGCAATCTGAGCGCGGGCCTGGTCATCACCGCTGGCGACCGCAAGACGAGGAAAAAGGACGTCATGAAGCTGCTGGACCGCCAGGAGCTGACGGAGGATGCGATTGCGCGGATGGAGCACAAGAAAGAGAAGGAGGAGGAGAGGAGGCGGGAGGCGATTCTGGAACGCATGGCAGCGGCGTAAAGCGCTCACAGGTTGATTCTGGTGTCATTTTCGGCGTATATGTTTTGGCTGGACTTGTGATGGCTGGCATCAGCGCACACGCGTACATTGGTATCGCAGGACATACGCATGAGATATCCCTATATACCCAACTATTAACTTATGTATTATTCATGAAACAGCTCTCGTGACCCTAGAACTGTTGGTCTCGTAGCGAGTCGCCCCGAGCAGCCACGGTCTACCGATGAAACCGGTCATTAATATTTGTGCGGCTCGCCGCTGGGTTCTCCCTTTTCTCTTGACACCTAGCGGTGATGCAGGGGATGCAGAGGGCGAGGATGTTGCCTCCCAGGAACTCGTAGAGGAGGTTAGCCTTATAGCATCATCGAGAGTCTAGCCTACGGCTTTTGATGACCAGGCATATACTGTACGCACTGCGTGGTGCAAGAGGGCGCAACTGTAGCGGGACCAAGCGGTGGCGTCGGCGCTTCACATGTCGGGGCGAATCAGGGGTCCAGCCAACGGCGGCTCGAGGACGTACCGTGTGGCACAGCAGCCAAGCAAGGCGTCAGTACTTTGCAACATGTAAAGACGCCCGTAGGGATGTTGGGTTAGGACCTGCAAGACAGCAGCCACAGTACAGTACACTCTTTTCTTGCCGAGGCGAGGAATGAAGTGGAAAGTGAGAAGACAAATACGTCGAGGGACTTGAAGGGGCCGTGACCCACTGGCTCCGTGCGCACCCGATCTCGCTGGATGCCTCGGCGAATCACGTCTCGGCCTTGCCGCTTGGAAGAAAACTCGATGATGTCGACACATGCCCCGTATCACCAGCACCCATTCGCTCCTGGACCGACCAGGCTGACGCCCAGCCTCTCGACTGTCCCCCGCATGTCGCATCTCATGAACCTCGCTGTCGGCAGTGCCATCGCATAGTCCGAGGAGAGCGCGCCCGCCATGAATTCACGCGTCCTCGCTCGCGTCGCCGGCGGCCTCGGCGGTGCGCGGCCGTGGACGTGCTCGACCTGCCGAGGCCAATTGACTCCAGCACAACTGCCTTCGCTCGTCGGCGCGAGATGCTTTGCCTTTGTCTCGGGGAAGCGCTCCTCGCGCGGGAACGGCGGCGGCGGCGGCGGCGGTAATGGGCGGAGGAGCAGGCCCAGGAGAGCGCTGCTCTACGCGTCGACGGGCGCTGCCGGCGCTGCGGGCACCGCCCTGGCCTTTACCGACGAGATCAAAGGCGGCTACGAGGCTGTCGAGCGGACGGGCCGCGTCGTGGCCGCCCTGGCCATTTGCATCAACGAGTAGGGCTGCCGCGAATGGGAGGCCGAGACGCGCGACGCTGACTTGATTCGCCCAGCTATCGCACCACGTTGAATGCCAAGGCCGCCGTCGACGACGCAGCCGAGCAGAACAGGATTCTGGCGACGTGCCACAAGCGCTGCGCCCAGCGGACGCTCAAGGTGCTGGAGAAGAACGGCGGCATCTTCATCAAGCTGGGACAACACCTGGTACGGGCCCCGGCTGAACATCATCTCGCGATACAAAGGCTGACGGCGGCTTGCAGAGCGCCATGAACTACCTCCTCCCGCCCGAGTGGACAACCACCTTTGTCCCCCTCCAGGACCAGTGCCCCGTCTCGTCGTTCGACTCCATCGAGGCCATGTTCCGCCGCGACACCGAAAAGGAGCTGTGGGACTACTTTTCCGACTTCTCGGCCGATCCCATCGGCGCCGCGTCGCTCGCCCAGGTCCACCTGGCGACCGAAAAGGACTCGGGCCGCCGCGTGGCCGTCAAGGTGCAGCATCCGGACCTGCAGGCCTGGGCGCCGCTCGACCTGGCCCTGACAAAGTACACCTTTTCGACGCTCAAGCGCTTCTTCCCCGACTACGACCTCGAGTGGCTGGCGTCGGAGATGGAGGCGTCGCTGCCCAAGGAGCTCGACTTCCAGGAAGAGGCCGACAACGCGCGCCGCATGAAGGCGCACTTTGCGCAGATGCCCGAGCTGCCCCTCGTCATCCCAGACGTCATCTGGGCCAAGAAGCGCATCCTCGTCATGGCCTGCGAGTCCGGCAGCCGGCCCGACGATCTCGCCTACCTCGACAGCAACGGCATCGACCGCGACGAGGTGTCGGCGACGCTGGCCCGCATCTTCAACGAGATGATCTTCGGCGACGGCGCGCCGCTGCACTGCGACCCGCACGGCGGCAACATTGCCATTCGCAAAAACGACTCGCGGCGGCGACGCGGCATCCGGCGCGCGCCCAACTTCGACATCATCCTCTACGACCACGGGCTCTACCGCGACATCCCCCTGCCGCTGCGGCGCTCGTACGCCAAGCTGTGGCTGGCCGTCATCGACGGCGACCTGGAGCGCATGAAGACGTACTCGCGCGAGGTGGCGGGCATCAGCGACCAGGACTTTCCGCTCTTCGCATCGGCCATCACGGGCCGCGACTTTGGCATCGTCAGCCGCGAGGGTTCCATCCTGCAGACGCGCACCGCCGACGAGCAGCAGACGATCAGCGGGGCGCTGCAGGAGGGCCTCATTGTCGACCTGGTGCAGATGCTCAGCCGCGTGCCGCGCATCATGCTGCTCATCCTCAAGACAAACGACCTGACGCGCAGCCTCGACGAGAGCCTGCACACGCGCCAGGGCCCCATCCGCACCTTTATGATCCTGGCGCGCTACTGCTCGCGCACCGTCTTCCACGAGCGCCTCGACCAGGTGCGCGCCCAGGGCTCGCTGCTGTGGCCGTCCAACGCGCTCCGGGTGCTCGCCGCCTGGCTGGGCCACCTGCGCGTCGAGGTCAAGCTCGAGGCCTTTGAGCTGGGGTTGGCCGTCAAGCGCCTCCTGGGGCTCAAGAGCCTCGAGTTTGGCGCCGCGGGGCCGCCGATGGAGTCGGAGGCGACGGCGTGAGGCGACGGCGTGTATTACTTGTCTCTCTGTATGTGTGTGTGTGCGTATCATGATGGATATACATAGACTTTGGGGGCTGTCTGGGGCGCTATTAGAGGGTGTTTACTGTCCCGGTGCTATCTACCCTGTACTGTACTCGAAAAAACTAGACGGTGAAGATTGCAGTGCCTTCAACGACACTTGCGACGAGCGGCATTTTCATAAACGAATATATATTAGATCACCGGTCGCTTAGTCTCATCGTGACTGATTTGGGCGACGTGACCGGATTTTGTCGGGGCATGGCTCGACGTTTACGCATATGTGCTATCCGCTCAAGACGTTTCAAATTGTGCCAATCCCCGCGCATCGATACTGATGAGTGGCAGTTATTGACCACGATTTGCTCAGACACACTCACTGGACAAAGACAAGCTACAAAAAAAAAAGCAAAAAGCAATATAAACGGAAAAGTGACGAAAAATAAAGCCCTGACGTGGGTAGGGCCAGGGACAAGAAAAAAGAAACGTGGTTCCGCCCGGGCTCGAACCGGGGACCGTCTCGGTGTTAGCGAGAAATCATGACCAACTAGACCACGGAACCGAGTACTACTGTTGATGAAAGATAGACTGCTAATGTTAACTAACAACCTACCAAGATGAGGTCTGGCATCTCGGTCGATTGCATGGCCACCGTCCTTGCACGTGTTTTTGCAGATGCCATTGGAATATCGCGATCAAGGATTGATGCGAACGCAGCTGGCATCAGAGCCGTGACGAGTATTCTTGCAGCCAATTCGCGGTTTGTTCTCTTGGGGGCTGGCTTGTTCTCCGTGAACCAAGCCAGCCAGCCACCGTCACGCGGTTGAATCAAGCAAAAAGAGGAAGAGGCAGAGAAAAGAAATGGCTTCATCCGCTCTACTGATTGTTTCATTGTCCAGAAACCGTGTGTTTTCTCGTGCCGACCTAGAGTGAACAGTTGCAGCCAGCTGCCCGGCACTCGAGGAGCGACGTCGCGTGACCGTCGCCAAACGCGTGGTTCTGTAGGTAGGGGCAGTCACTCAGCAACGCCCCTCGAAACTTGACTCGAGCATCTCAAGACCAAGCGCCCTCGTCAGAACAAGACACCAGAAAATCACACAAGAATCACATATCCTGCAAAAGCCTCTATTTTACGCATCAACCGGCAAGCACCAAACATCCTCGGAGAGCCGCGGTGCCCGAGCAAACGACGAGTCTTAAGATGCTCGTCCGCACGCCTCGACCTCGCCGGCGACAATTGTCAAGCAACTGAACATTTGAGCTCCCGCCAGCATCCTTTTCCGGCACTGCGCAATCATGGACATGGAAGCCCTCATAGAGAGCGGCCGCGGCTGCTACGCCCGCCGCAAGTACGAACGTGCACTTAAGCAGTTCACGCGTGTACGAGAAGCCACCCATCCGTCGACTCTTGGCCTCTCCTGCCATGCTGACCTACTCACGCAGGCCATGAACCGCTGTCCGTGCAACCGGGGGACGAAGCGCAAGCGGTGCACCTGCAAGAACTACGAGGCCGTCGCTGACAGAGACGGCTCCATGTTCGAGGAGGCCATGTTTACCTGCCATTGCGATGTGGGCAAGGCCTTCGACAAGTGTGATGATGCCTTGCACATTATGGCGCTCGATTACCGCGCCGCCACCTTCGAGGCCATGGATGAGCTTGAACGCGCCGAAAAGGACGCCAAGTGGATGTTGGAGCTCGCGCCTCGCCTGCCAGACGTACGGACCCGTTCCCCAGTGTCATTCAGTCCATGGCTGACTCGTCCAGGGATACCTCCGACTCGGCAAGAATGCTCGCCTTCGCAGGGATGCCTGGTTTGCCTGGAAGATCTACAGCGCCGGTGTTGATGCCAACAAGCACACTCCCCTGTCCTCATCGCGGAAGCTGCAGGTACGGGCTGCCCCCTCTCACCCCAGGCTCGCACGAGACGAAGCGTTGACGAAAGCTATCAGCAATTGCACCAGGCGTTGCAGCCACTGCAGGTTCGCTTCAGACGCAAGGACCCCATGTGCCTCCTCCCCCTCGAAATCGTCCATAACATAGTTGAAGACTTTGACGTGGTCGAGTTGACGTGTGTACGCCCGTCTTTCCACTCTGACCAAGTTTGCTAATGACCATCTTCTAGAAAATGCCTTCGCGTGTGCAAAGTCTGGAAACAGACCCTGGAGAGCAGCCACAGCCAGAGACTGTGGAGGTTCCTCGTCTTCCCAAAGCCCCCTCCTCAGCCGCCCTCCAAATCCGCCCTCCAGGCCCTCGTCAGACGGTCCGGTGGAAGCATGCGCAGGATTGTCATCCGAGACCCCGGCAAGTTCCAGCTGTCCCAGGCTAAACTGTCAACCCTACTGCGACACTCGCAAAGCCTCGAGCATCTTGAGCTGGGGCCCGCGCACGAGCACTACTACCGTTTCCCCGAGGGACCTGGGCTCTACCAGAACCTCTGCCATCTGACCATGGATACATACAACTGCTGGGAGCGCAACATGTGGCAATCGCAAGGTCCCTACCCCCTTGGTCCGGGCTTCCTTCCTGACGCCTTTCTCAAATGCGTCGCGGGCACCCTGGAGTACCTCAACTTGTTCGGCATTCCCCCAAGCTGGTGTGGACGCCGGAACCTACCAGAATTTCCCAGATTAAAGATATTGCGCCTGGAGCACAAGGAAGGACTGGAGCCGCAGGTGTCGTTCCCCATCGTGAGCCTCGACTGGACCCCCTACTCAGCTGTCATGGGATACTAACAGATGCAAGTTTTCCTTGGCTTGTAAAACGCCACAGCTCGAGCAGCTCAGGTTGGAGAACCTTCACCTCGCGGGCCACACATCGCAGGAATGCAGGGATTCGTGGCACACGCTATGGACGGGCCTCAAGGTCCTTGTCTTCCTCATGCCCAGGTCTAGCATCTCACCTCTACAGCTGGTCGACACATTCTTCAATGTCACTCTGCTCAACTCGGTCCAAGCCGGTAAGAACTTCGAGCATCTGGACCTGGAAGTTCCGGTGGACAACGTAGACGCGGTGCTGCCCCAACAGGTCTTTTCAGATGCAGACGACCTGGACCTATACGGCCTAACCAAGCCAGACGGCAGCCCGATACGGCGTCGCAACCAGTTCCAGAATCTACGATCGCTACGCCTCAAGCACTTTGTGCACCGCCCGAAGAAAATGGGGAAAATCTTTGCAGCCGCAGTGGCCAGCGGCAAGCTGCACACGTTTGACATTGTGTTCCCCGTCGAAAGCCTCGACCTCCCGTTGGGCGAGGAGAGCGCAAACTTCCTCAAGGGCTACGACTGGCTGCGTGGCCTCGACAGCATCCGTAGCCTGGGCGTCTCCGACTTCGCCTTCCCCGAGGTTCCGCACCGCGACTCCGAGCCACCCCTGCCCTCCTTCTTGGCCAGCTTCCCCAACCTCAAGACGCTTAGCCTCAGCACAAACTCCTGCAACCAGGAGGCCTTTTGCCTCATTGTGGAGGAGACCATGAAGAGGACGCGCCTCAGCACCATGTACCAGAATTGTGTCAAGGGGACACTGATGGATCGGCTCAAGAGGCTGGGTGATCGACACGGAGTGGTCGTTATATTCGGCACGCGGCCGCGAGACTGGCCGGTACAGCTGGATGGAGAGGAGCTTTCCTCGACATGAGCTGTATGGGCAACAAAGGTGCTGAGAGGGACGAGGGAGGCAAGGTTATGATCGAGCACGGGAATGACGGGCGTCGCAGATGCGGGAGGGATAAGCGCCCTTGATGGTCTATGAACATGCCCACCTTGCAGTAGGCATCACAATAGACAAATCTTTAGAATAATCCCCTGCCGTCCATGTTAACGCCGGTGATTGTGGCGGCTGGAAGGCGAGCAGGCAGTCAGGTCTACGAAATTGTTTCTTTTCAGAACACAGGGCTTTGCAGCGCACAAGCATCGCTCAAGCCCTGCCCACCTTGAACGACAAGACCTGCTGCTGGGTTAGCGATGAAAGGCGCGTAGCTCCAGGTTCCACCTACGTCGTTCTTCCCGACAGCAACGAGGTCGTCTTCTGCCACTCTCAAATTGCCGACGCCCTCGACGTAGGCGATCGGCGCATCGCCCATGACTTTGCGCGCGACATCACCGACCGTGGAGCCCTTTTTGACCAGGACGCAATCTCGAAAGACAAACTTGGACTCGGAGGCGCCTGAGGCAAACGTGGTCGTGTTCCTGACGGGGAAGACGGGCACCAGGCCGAGGAGCTCGGCCGCCCTCGACAGCACCTGGACCACGCCCGTGGAGCCGAAGCGGTACAGGACCATGTCCTTGAGGTTCTCGATGCGGGTGCGGTTCTTGTCGTCGAGGTCCTTGAGGCCACCGCCGGTCGGGTCGCCCTGCTCGATGAGGTCCTCCTTTGTGTCGACGAACTCGCTGCCCTCGACGTACTTGATGTATCCCTGCTTGGTCATTTTGCGCAGGAAGATTTCGGAAATGGCCGAGCAGAGGACAATCGTCTTGGGGTCCTGCATCTTTGCGATTTTGGAAATGTTCTTGTCGGCGTCGGGGTGGTCGATTTTGTTGAGGGCAATGACGGTAGGGAACTTTTCGTCGACGAAGCAGTTGACCACGTGGTGCACCGTCTCGTCGGACCAGTCCTCGAGCGGCTCCTTGACGCCCGCGCGGTCGAGGGTCCGGTTGATGACGGTCGACGTGGCGCCGTAGCCCGAGAACTGGCCCTGCAGCGTCTCGACGGCCGAGGCCTTGACGGCCATGTGCCTCCTCCGGATGGACCCCCATTTCTGCATCAGGTTGCCGAGGATCCAGGCCACGACCTCGCTGCGCAGCCAGGCAATGTCGACGGAGGGATCGTAGCCCCTCGTCTCCTTGCCCTCTGCGTCGATGGTCCCAGAGGCGTCGACGACGTGTATCAAGGCGTCGGCGTGGCGCAGGTCGTCGAGGAACTTGTTGCCCAGCCCGCGGCCCTGATGCGCCCCCGGCACCAGGCCGGCGACGTCGAGGAGCTCTATGGGGACGGACCGGCGGCCCTGGACGCACGCGCCATAGTTTGGCTTGCACCTGTCGGACACGCCGAGCCGGGCGCACGCGCAGTCGATCTGGAGGTAGCCGACGGCCCGCTGGGGGTCGATGGTGGTGAACCTGGACGTGTCGCACGACGGCTAGGGAGTCAGTCCAGCCCACATGGGTGCGCGAATGGGTGCGCGGAGACGGCAACGTACGGAAAGTTGCCTGTCGAGCACACGGGGGTATATTTAGCCATGTTCGCCAAAGTGCGTCGAGTCAAAAGCACCGACCAACTTTCGACGAGGCGTCCGTCAGGCTGTTGAGCGTCGTGCTCTTCCCCGCCGACGGCTTCCCGACGAGCCCGATGAGGGGATCACGAGGCATGGCGGGGGCTGCAGGGGTCGACAAGACTCGCTTCTCGGGATCGAGGTCGAAAAAGACCGTGGGAAGGGGTGGTGCGATGTCGCCGACAGGATGCGCATCGATATGGTGGCAGCGATCACAAAATTTGGAGATTGACGTAGGGCTGCTTCTGTGCCACCTTGTCCAATGGGGGCGAGGCTGAGGAAGAGTCCCCGCAACAGATCAATGTTCCCCGTACTTGCGCCCTGCTAGCGAGCCTGTGGACTTTGTATTTTGGCCTTCTGCCCTCGCTGGCATGGAATCGTGGTGGGGGGGGGTTTCAGGGTCGAGAGCTCGCGATAGCTCACCAGGCATGTACAGTGTACTTGGGCGAGGCACCAGAAAACCACCGCCACGACTCGCCTCTGTCTCTGAACATCTTCAAGGGAACAACAAATCTGAAGGCTCCCCCTTTTATTTTACCGTCTTACGGCTTGAATGCAGCTGGCTCACTGACGCAATCTTCTCGGGGCATGTCATCCTCATCGCAACTGCCGCTCGACGCCTTTCCGGCGTGGGCGCGGCTCAACGATGTCACTCTCGCTGGCATCGAGTTGCAACATGTCGACGGCAAAGGCTGTGGTTTCGTGGTCAGCAAGGAGCTTCAAGTCGGTGAGAATGCTCAAGAAGCATTGTTAAAAGTCCCTCGTGACCTTGTCTTGTCTTGCGAAGCAGTGCAAGAGTATGCCAAGGTCGACTCGAACTTCAAGCAGCTCCTCGAAGTCGTCGGCCACAAGGTGACCACACCTCGTCCGCTCCTCACGAGAGCTGCCAGAGCTTACATTGTGAATCGCAGTCTGTGCGGATAGATGCAATGCTGTACCTGCTGTGCCACCTCATCCATTCCCGGCGAGGCCAGCCCACGTCCAGAGGCATCACTTCGACGCCGTGGACTGAGTACGTCCGGTTTCTGCCGCGCTCCATCCCGACTCCCACCATGTGGTCTGAGCCCGAGCGTCTTCTATTGAATGGCACGTCTCTCGAGGTGAGTGGCCGCCCGAAATATGTCGGGCCCGACTTGGATGTTGCTGCAGCCCGCAACAGACTAGTGACGGCGCCATAGGCCGCTCTCTCCGCCAAGCTCTCCGCCTTGGCCAACGAGTTCGACGAGCTCCGTGCCCAGACCGAGGCGATGCCCTTTTGGGACGCCTTGCTGTGGGAGCATGGGACGGCCTCCCTGGACGACTGGGTCCTCGTCGACGCTTGGTACCGCTCTCGTTGCCTAGAGCTCCCTCAAATCGGCGACGCCATGGTCCCGGGCCTCGACATGGTCAACCACTCAGGATCCCCGTCGGCGTACTACGAAGTGGACGGCAATGCCGACGTTGTACTTTACGCGCGTCCAGACTGCGCCGCGTCATGCGGGCGGGAAGTGGCCATTTCCTACGGGGAGAACAAGTCGGCAGCCGAGATGCTCTTTAGCTACGGCTTCGTTGACCGACATAGCACGGCTCGTAACCTGGCGCTGCCTCTGGATCCCTTCCCAGACGACCCGCTGGCCAAGGCCAAAGTCCATGTCTTTGGCGGCCCGCGAACCGTGAGGGTGACTCAGGACGACCAACGCCTCGAGTGGCAAAGCCCGTTTGTGTACCTCATGTGCCTCAACGAGGAAGACGGCCTGGAGTTCCGCCTACTGCAGGATACAGAAGGAGAACGCCAGTTGAGGCTGCTGTGGCAAGGCAGCGACATGACGGATCGAGCCACTGACCTGGAGGCGCTGATACAGAACCACCCTCTGTGCCAGGTGTTTAGGCTTCGCGCCGTGGCCGTGGTGCATGAGCGCATTGAGACGCAGCTGGCCAGGATTAAAGGCGGCCCTTCTGATGACGAGCTGCAGCCGCTCATGGCGGCCGGGCTATTACGGGAGGAATGCATCGCGGCTGCGAGGACATTGCGCGAGGTCGAGACGTGTGTCCTCGAGGCCGCGGCTGAGGCGCTCGAGAGTGAGGTACGTACGCCCAAGATCTGTGAGAAGGCCAGGTCCCGAGATGTGGGTGGACTGGCACTTGGTAGATCGGGACCGACGCATTGTTGTTGCAGTCCAATCATGACCCGTCGTCTCGGAGCTGATCACGCTATGGCCCTGCAGAAGTCCACCTTGCTTGCCCACGACCACGTGGTAGCATACCTTGGATCAGTGGAAGATGGCCGAAACGACGAAGCGCCGTTGGAGACGACGCCCAATGAGGAAGAGGACGACTTCAGCTGACCTGAGAATCCTGCGCCGCCGCCGGCTGGCCGCCCAAATGCCAGCCTTGGCTGCATGGAGCGCATCGGGCCTCCAGCACGAAGTATGCAGGCATCGGGTCCGTCTCCTGTCATGCCAGAGCGTGACAGTTGTGTTCCAACAACCCACCACCGTCGGAAGCCAACAGTCGAGATGCGTATGCATGCGGCCGTCCTCGGTGCCGACAAGGTGCATCCCTCTTGAGAGGGGGCGTTGCCCACTGGGCGGGCATGGGATAGAATAGACCTAGTGCCGGCGAGGATGGGCGTAGACGAGCAGCTTTGAAATCTGAATCACGGATGACACTTGAGCCTTTTCCGACGATGCACGAAGCTCGCTGGCCTGTCAAGGACAGCCCGGGACTTACCGAGGCGAGGAGAGCAGCTGGTCGCGTGGCGAGGAGCTCGTTGTTCCCCGCAATGTTAGGCGGAGAGAATCCGGGGTAGAGGTGAATCAAGGGGCCCCGTTTGATTAGCTTGGCGGTCTGGGATGCCGGTCGCTTCGGGCTTGTTGGTCGATTGATTGAGCGATGGTGATGGCGGGGTGGGTTTGAGACGGGGTTCCATGCTGTCGCACTACCTACTGACTGTGTTTACTCTCTGCTACGAGGTACGAAGCCCAAAACAGTAAGTCGTCTTCCACGGCCGTGCTCCGTCCCACGAGCGGCATCCACGCGGCAAGCGAGGGGGAAGGGTTCGGCTCTCGTCGTGGAAGCGGCCGTATCTTGGCAAGGGGAGCATGTAAGTAAGCCATGACTGCTCCCGAAAGGCGTATATACAGAGTTTACTACACAGTATTCGAGCTTGGAAAGGCAGGAGAGTGGTATAAGCAAGAGTTATGGGGTCAAGTGCACGTCATTGCACGGCAGAGTTGACAAAGAGGCGATTCCACTGGGCGGACAGCTTTTTTCCGTCATCAATCCATGCTCCTAGTAAGCATATATATGCTCCGTGGAGGCCCTTTTGTGCTTTTGTCGCTCCATGAGGCTTGCGTACCGATTGGTGCTCCGGCCGACGCCGGGCCCGGACCGGCGGGCTGTGCCGGGATCGGCATGCAGTTGTCCGGCATGGAGGTGGCATGAGCGCAAGGGTGCGAAGCCGGTGTCGTACACGGGCCGCAAATGGGCCGACTCGTCTCATTTCCACACGTCGCGGAATCCTACAGCATAGTCTTATCGAGGTTGCTTGGCGGAAGAGGCCGATGTGGGCGTCGGAGCTCCATACATACCGGTATGTCCGGAGTACGGAGACACAGATGCCAGCGGACGACGTGGGACTCGATCCAGGCACGGCAAGGAGCTCGGGAACCTTATAGCCTGTTGCTTACTTGCTGCATTGAGGGCGCCTTGTCAGGCCAACTCCTCTTTTCGCGGCCGTCGACATGGGTTTGGCTTTGCTGGTGCGCTCATCTCCACTGCGAGGCCGGCTGTGCATAAGGCAGCCAGGAACCTTATTTACGTACATGCATATATAGTAAGTAGATGCTTGCCAGTTAGGTGTCATAATTCTTCTGTGTACCCTGACCTGGGGGTTGAAATTTAAAATTCCCCAGGTGCCGGGGCGGGCAAGCAGTGATTCCTTCCGTGGGGGTACAATGGCCAGACTGTGATAGCTGCCTTGTCTGTATATAAGTGAGTAGAAGCAAAGGCGCGCTACCGTTTGGTACGGTAGTTGCCAGCAGCATGCATATGTGGCCCATGGCAGTCGAGCGGTTGATGATGGAGTTGGGCCGAGACGGATCCTAGTGTTCGCACTTAAACTTGTCGATACACTGTACGAGAACCGGCACGGCCGAGAAATAACACTACGACAAACTTAGTTGGCTGGGTATCAAGTCCACAAGTGACTGCATCTGCATCCGTTCCTAATTATATGCTTCCAGTTGTAGGAGCCTCGATGGGCCTCTCTGCCTTGGTTTAACTGTAAAGCTGGACTCTACGAAGGAACGGCCCCTAACTAACTACATAACAGCGGGACTACAGCACTGTAAGCCCGTCGGTACCTGTAGTCGGGTGTTGGGGTGACACAACTGTATTCGCACACCTGCCTCCTCTCCCCTGTGCTGGCCTGCCCCCCACCTCCCTCCCCCCCACCCCGGTCTTTTCCCCGGGATTCTCCATCTGCCATTATGCATTATGGCTGTCCACACAGTCTCCTCGCACTGGCGTTTTTTCCCTCCCTCGACAGCTCTCGCGGCCTTATCTTATTTTCTTCTTGTCCTCCCCGCATCCGGCCCGACTTGTCGCCTTGGCCCTCTATTTTACTTGGCCTTGTCCCCGCCGCCCAGCGACTGCCCTTAAACGTTTGATCGACAAGGCTTGAAGAGAGATACAAGGGCTGGGAAGAGACGAAAAGAAAAAAAAGGACAAAAGGCGGGATTCAGGCAAGGAAAGGCGACCAGGGCGCGTTGGGAAAAAGGAACAAGAGACGGCAATCCCTCGTCGGATAATCATCACAGGCAGCCTCGTCGTCGGACGTCGCCCCGAGGCGTGGGCTTTTGGGCCTGTGCCGTCTCCGACTGCCATCGTGGTGGAATGCCGCACAGCTGAGCGGCGGCGACTCCTCAACCCTCGTCCTCTGCCTGTCGTCCCATCCGCCGCCGCCGTCATGCCCGGCATCCTCCCCATGAAGGTCATCAAGGTGGGCAACAGCGCCCAGAGCCGCATCGCCCAGGCCTGCGACCGCTGCCGCAGCAAAAAGATTCGCTGCGACGGCGTCCGTCCGACGTGCTCGCAGTGCGCAAACGTCGGCTTCGAGTGCCGCACCAGCGACAAGCTGAGCCGCAGGGCCTTTCCGCGCGGCTACACAGAGTCGCTCGAGGAGCGCGTTCGCCAGCTCGAGGCCGAGGTCAGGGAGCTCAAGGACCTGCTCGATGAGAAGGACGAGAAGATCGACATGCTCTCCGCCATGCACGGCAGCCATCGCCATCCCTCGACCCTGTCTTCATCCTCCCCCGGCGCGCCGAAGGATCCCCACGCCGCCGCCAGGGAGGACTCTTTCCGCGTCCAGGCGCCTCCGCTGCTCCTCGGCGTCGAGAATTCGGACTCGTGGTTCATGGGCCCGTCCAGCGGCCGATCCCTCATCAGTTGGTCGCCTCCACCTTGCCTTTCTCTGACCCTTCTCTAACCCATTTCTCGCCCGCAGCATCCCTCAAGCGCAAGCTCCAGGAGGCGGGCAAGCCGTGCACCGACTTCAACCCCGACGCCTTCCTGCACGTCCAGGGGTGCCCTCCCCTGACGACGCAAGAGCCCGACCAGTCCTCGAGAATCCCCCCTCGCCTCTTCTCGGACCGCTGCGTCAACGTCTTCTTCCAGGAATGGGCCCCCCTCTTCCCCGTCGTGCACAAGCCGACCTTTCTTCGCATCTACGAGGAGTTTGTCGCCAGTCCGGAAAAGGTCAAATGCAACTACAAGCTCGCCCAGCTCCATCTCGTCTACAGCATCGCCGGCCTCTCGTCCGAGTCGCCCGACCACCGCCAAGTGGCTGCCTGCGAGAAGCAATGGACCAGGGCTCTCGAGGCCCTGCTTTTCCAGAACTCGATGAACACGCTGCAGTGCCTCATCCTCGCCCTGCTCTACTGCACCATGCGCGGCGACCACCAACGCCTGCAGCACTACAAGTCGATTGCCGTCGGCCTGTCGCACCGCCTCGGCCTGCACCAGAGCCAGAGGCGCTTCTCCTTTGGCGCCTTGACTCTGGAAACGAGGAAAAAGGTGTTTTGGACTCTCTACACGCTGGACTGGTAAGCCCCCCTTGCGCTCTGCCTGGGCGCATGCCTCTCGTCTCGTGCCAAGCTCACTCCCCTCCAGCTTCACGGCAGCCACCATGGGCTTGCCTAAGCTCCTCAAGGAGGACATGGTTGAAACCGAGTATCCGTCCGACACGGACGACGAGTACATCACGGAAAAGGGCTTCCAGCCGACCCTGCCGGGCGAGTCGACTCGTCTGTCCAGCGCCTTGGCCCTGTTCCGGGCTTCACGCATCCTGGCCCGGGTCCTGGAGAATCTGTACCCCACGTCGACGAACCACGACCTCTCCCTTCAGAAGCTGAGGATGCTCGAGGGGGAGCTGGATGCTTGGTACGCGGAGCTGCCCACGCACCTGCGGCTCAATTTCGTGCAGGACAAACCCTCGACCGATGTCACGGGCAGTCGTTCGCCGCTCCTGGTAAGTTTTGTGGACAGAGAAGCAGCTGCGCCGGTGCTGAATCAGAATAGGCCTTGACTTTTTACTACATCCGTACTTTGATTTACCGTCCTGCCGTTGGATCGACTCTGGGCCCCAGGGCGGCGCCCGCGCTGCTCTCGATTGCCGAGTCCAGCAAGCACATGATTCAGATCACGCAACTTCTCGAGCAACGCAGCATGAGCTTCTCGTTTTGCCTCAACAAGTCCGACCTCTTGGCCGTCTGCGGAGCCACGCTGCTTTACCAGATGGCGGACCTCAAACAGGACAGCAAGCTGACGCGTGAGGTTGGGCGCCTGATCAGCGTGGTCATCAGGACCCTTGTCGGAGCCAAGGCGCCGGGCTCTCTCGACCTCGAGCGGGTGGCGCGATCGCTCGTATCTGTCGACACGGGCACCAACTCTTTGACCACGCCGACTCGTCAGGGCTCCATGCCCGCGCCCTCGTGCCCGGCGGCGCCACTGTCCAGGGCCATGAGCAACAACTCGGGCTTCCAGCACTGTCTCGCAGGCGGGGGACACGGGCTCCAAGCGCAGGACAAGGCGCGGCGAATGACGATGCCATTTGTGTCGGCGCAGGGGGTCGAGGTCCACCGTGCTCGATCGCGGCCGTCGTTTGACAGCGTCTCGCCAAGAGACAAGACGGGCATGAGCAATGCCGACTCGTATCGTCTGTCTATGGCGCAACCCTCGAGGGCCGCATCCCGTTCGATACCGAACCTCGATTACTTGTCCCTCAACAACACGCCGTCGCAGACGCAACCCCCGTCACCAACGGAGCTGGCGCGAATGCAGGCGGCAGGGTCTGTCCGGTCACAAGTCGAGCAGATGCTGACGGGCGGCGGAGAAGGCACGGGGAAGATGTCGTGCGTCTCGACATCGGACTGGGAGGCGCTGCTCGGGTCCATGGACGGCGGGCTCAACAACGTGTACGATGCCATCTACGGAGGCGCGAGCCTAATCAGCGAAGCGTCGCTGCCGGGGAACCACACGCCTCACGTCAACGACTGGTCTCCGGACTCGTGGGACCTGAGCAACTTCAGCCTGGGCGAGCTTGGCAGAGGCGGGCGGGGCGCGCCGCAGAGCGTGCTGAGCACGAGCGACGAAAGCCTCAGCTCGGGAGAGGAAGTGGCGCCGTCGGAGCTGGGATTGAGCGTGGGAAGCGTCGAATACCACAAGCATCTGGGGAGGAGCGGGAGCGGCGACTCGTTTGGCACAGACGGGGGAGAGGGTTTTCCGTTGTGAAGAGGTTTCTATCTTCTCCTTTGATTTCTCGCATAACGAACCCGTGCAATCACTTGGCGGGCCTGTTTGGGAGGCTGCTGTTTGTCAGAAGCAAGGCGCTTGTTCTTGTTCATGTTCTCGATGTGGACGGATGTCTGTCTTTGAGCGACTGTGGCGTTATGATGGAATGGCATGAGGGGAACAGAAATGATGCATGTTGGAACCCGTTGCAAAGCTGTGGCTTCGTGCAAAGGCCCGTACCGACGATGATGCATGCCAATCACAGATGGCGCTTACGATGCTGTGAGAGGGCTGTTGTTGCTCTTGAAGGCGGGCCGTGCGCGGACGTGTGAATGACGCCGTTTGTAGAGGCCAATGGCGCGTGAGGCGTTTCATGATGCCATTGGGAAGAGGGAGCCCGCTGCCTTTGACATGTGACACCGCGCGGCCGTCGATCATGGACAAAGTAAGTTAACGGCTGCTCGAAGTCAACTTGAAGCGGGCAAACCGAAACCGGGCGACAAGGAATACAGACGGGCGGGACTCCGGGAGGCGTGCCGGAAGCAGCAAGCTCTCTCTGGTTATATAACACGGCTCCGATACTAGCACGCTTGGGATATTGATATGCCCCTGCATGAGCCGGCACCCCCCTGGAAACGCAAGGGAGACGGATGAGCTTCCTCGCGCCGTGACCGAACAAAGGGCTGCACCTCCGACGCCATCAACCGGGGGGGACCAAGGCTGCAATGGCGACGGATAGCCAACGAGGAGACATGGACGCGGAGAGGAGGATGACGCTGACGGCGCCGCCGGGTGAGTTTCCCCGAGACCAGCGTGGCCCAATCTCTCTTCGTCTCTTTTCCTCCCCTCGGCACGCAATGTCACACAAGCTGAGAGAGGGCGGCAGCAGCGCCATGGGCCCGGGCCGTCGCGTCGCGGCGGCGGCGCGTCGTCCTCCCGCAGGCCATTTCGCACCGCGGCTACAAGGCGCGCCACGCCGAGAACTCCATGGCCGCCTTCCGGGGCGCGGTCCGGGCCGGCGCGCACGCCATCGAGACGGACGCCCGGCTGTCGGCCGATGGCGTTGCGGTGCTGTCTCATGTGAGTTTGTTTCATACTGTACTGTAACCCACACTCGACTCGCATCTATATGTATATATATATGTATATATATATATACATATAGGGGTTGGATGGAAAGTGACGGGAACCTGAAAACCCATGGACCGAACGACTGAACACATCCCCTCCCCTCAAGGACCCCACGCTCAAGCGCTGCTTCGCCCTCGACCGCCGCGTCGCCGACTGCCCCTGGGCCGACCTCGCGCGCCTGCGCACCACGACGACGACGCCGCCCGGTGCGCAGGGCCACGGACTGCCCCGGCTGCGGGACCTGCTGGCCTGGCTCGCCGCCGCCGCCGCCCACGACGACGAGGATGAGGATGAGCGGGAGCGTCGGGCCGGGGTCTGGGTCTTGCTCGACATCAAGGCAAGTCATTCCACGTTCCAAGTATTTGCAGCGGGACAAGGAGTGTGTGTGAGAGAGAGAGGGGGAGAGAGCGGGAGAGAGAGGGGGCTGACGACCGTGGGCCCGCGCAGATGGACGACGACGCACAACACCTCGTCGACGCCATCGCCGCCGCCATCAACGACGTGCCCCCCGGCCGCGTCCCCTGGGAGCAAAGGATCATGCTCGGATGCTGGAACGTACGCCTCTCTCCCCCAGCCACCCCCCTGAACCCCCCGACAACGCCCAACGCTCACGAGCAAGACAGGCCTCCACAATCCTCGCCGCCCGCCGCTCCCTGCCGAGCTTCCCCCTGGCCCACATCGGCTTCTCGCTCTCGTACGCGCGCCACTTCCTGCCGCCGCTGGCCAACCTGGCCCTCAACATGGCGGAAAACGCCCTCGTCGCGCCCCTGCGCGGCCGCCGCATGCTCCTCGACGCCGCCGCCGCCCGCCGCCCCGTCTTTGCCTGGACCGTCAACTCGGAGCGCGGCATGCGCTGGGCCATTCGCCAGAACCTTGGCCTCTCTCGCGGCGTCGCTGACGGCGGCGCTGACGGCGGCGCTGCCCAGATGGCGAGACCGGCTCTCGTCGACGGCGTCGTCACCGACGATCCCGCCCTCTTCCTCGACCTCTGCCGCCGCTACGAGGACGAGCTCGAGTCCAAGGCCCCGCCGCCGCCCGCCGCCCCGCTCACACACACCCTCGCCGTCGTCCTCCGCTTCCTCCTCGGCCAGCTCCTCTTCAAGCTCGTCTTCCTCTACCGGCGCTTCTGGCTGCACAAGTTGGACTACCTGCCCCGCCCCGTCGGGCCCGAGGCAAAGGCAGACTGACCGAGCGTCCTGTGACGTTGGTTGGAAGGCTGTCACAGCAAAATAGAGTATCGTGGTGTAGACGCGCGTCAACCGAGAATGGAAAGAAACAGGGATACAGTCAGGCGTTTGCATTGTCCTTTTGACGTAGAATCTATGTCCCTGCCACACAGGCACCTGAACCTGCCGGCTTTTTCTTTCCGAATCTCACGAGGCTGCTAGTCCTTTATCCGCCGACGGCTGATTCTTGTCTGTACCTTGTGTTGTCTCCCTAAACGCCATCATGGAGGATGCAAGTGCTCCTCGTCAGCCCACTCGTCTTGCGGCCTCTGTCCGGCAAAGGCGCAAAAAAGGAGGGCATCGACAAAAAGCTGGAGAGGGACAGGAGAGCCGGCAACTGTAGCTATCCGGGTCCCCCCCCAGTATCATCGACGACTCTCAAATCTCCACGTCAATGTCCAGATCCAGGGCGCCAATGACGTCGTCATCCATGAGCGGCTTGTGAATCGTCGGCAGCCCCTTATTGTCCTCGTATTTCTTCTCTTGCAGCTTGACCAGGTGCGACGCCATCTGCGGCTTGGTGGCGCCCACCTTGGGCGTCCCGGCCGTCGGCGTGCTGGTCCCGTTGCCGTTTGGCGACGCCCTCTGCGACCCGTCGTTGACGTCGTGCACAAACTTGGCCTTTGTTCGCAGCCGCCGCGACGGATCATCAGGTACCTGTTCGCCACGCTTAATTGCCATCTCGATCTCGCGCACTTTGGCCTTCTCCTTGAGCTGTGCCTTGCGCACTAGTTCGGCGTTCATCCGCCTGTTCTCCCGGTTGCGCTCTGCCAACCGGTCCTGCTCCGACGACAGCGCGGGGCCCTCACTGCCTTTGGAAGGCCCCAGCGTCGTCCGGAATGCGAGACGCTGGCTGCTGAGCTTGTCGAGCTTCTCCTGCAGTTCTTCCGCTTTCTGCTCGTCGCCCTTGGCCACCGCCTCGTCGAGCAGTCGCCCGATCCGCTCACGCTCCGCGGGGTCGAAGCGTCGCTTCAGCTCGTTCCTCTTCGCCAACCTCGTCTTGATCTCTTCGCTCGTCCACGTGTGACTGATGAGACGGTTGATGTCGTCAACCTTGTCCATCAGAAACTGCTTGGTCGGCAGAGTCATGTTTTCGTTCTGACAGGTAACCTGATAGCGATTGAGCTCGCCCTGCAATCGGTTAGTCACACGGCATGACTCTTCGCACCAGGGAAAACTCACATCCGTAAACTTGCCGCTGGACGCAGCGATGAAGGGGAATTCTTTGACCGCCTTTCCATGCGCGGCCTTGACGTACTGGTCGGTTACAAAGGGGCCGTTGGGACCGCCAAGTGCATATGGTCTACCGGTCGCAAAAGCTGCGGGAGGTACCATGTCAGCAAACCCCAAGCCTCAGCGCGGACTTGAAACATGGAAGCATCGGAGCGACGAGCATCTTACCTTTGATCACTGCCATGCGATACTGCTCGATCCCTGTCTCCGGGTGAGCGCCGACCGATATCCGGATAAAGCAGCCTGTGATGGCCGCCTCGAACCCAGGCGTAAAGCACACTTGGGCGAACTCGTTTCGGCCAAGTCGGACTCGCTCATAGTCGCGTAACTCCGCTGGAGGCAGGCTCTTGATTTCCTTCTCAACCGGAGTGCGAGACCGCGCACGCTCAAAGCCGTCATCGCTCTCTGGCTCGCGCGAGTCCCGCCTGGGCGAGAACTCATCCCTGCGGCGCTCCTGGTCCTCCTTGCGTCTCTGCTTCTCCGCTCGAGCTCTGCGCAGCGAGTCCATGGCCGTCTCGCTGGCCTTGCCGGTTCGTGGCCGCGAGGCCTTGCGCTCGACGTCCTCGAGTTCTGCCGTGTCGGCGCTGCGCTTCTTCTTGACGTACTTGCGCTCTTCATTCTCCACGCTGGTGACCATCTGGCGCAGCAAGCGGTTCTGTCTTTGGCGCTCAATCTCGGAGATGCGGTCGGCGATGATCTGCTCCCTCTCGACTTCGCGCATGGCCATGATCTCTGCCTTTTCGGCCTGACTCATAAACATGCCATCGATGGGATACTTGTCGTCGCTATCGGTGGTGCCGCCCGCGGGAGCGCGCTCGCGCGGTGCGGGCTGCTCGGCATCGGAGTCGGATTCGTCCATGGGCGCCGACTCGAGAGAGTTAGGTGATGAAGGTGCAGAAGAGCTGATGGGAGATAATAGGCGTCAGGAAAGGAACAGGCTGCCAGCTGCAAGAAGGAGAAGAGGCGAAGTGTTCAGGTGGCAGGGGTGAGAATTTTAAAGCGTTCAGGCTGCCAGGGGAAAAAAAGACTGGCCACGTCACTCACGCTTCACCCTCGTCCTCTGAATCACGGTTCCTTGTTCGCTTAGGCTTCTTGGACAATGATTTCCCGGCCTCTTTCCTCGTCGAGGACGGCGGTGACGCAGACGCGTCCCTCGGCGGGCTTGCGAACCCTTCATCCTCCGAATCGCCGCCAGCAAGAGCAAGAAGCTCATCGTCGATATCAGCCATGACGATACGCCGTCGTTTGCCGCCGCTCGAGAGCCAGCCGCTCTGGTCGTTGGATGGTCCTCGGTAGCGAGGTCCGTCAAAGCAAGCAGTAAGACAAGGTATTCCCAATCGCAAAAGCCTCGTCGGTCACAGAGGGTTCACGTATCAATCAAGGCGAGGCGCCTCGGCAGGCATCGGCGAATGGCGGAGAGGATTGGGTTTGCTCGGCGCAAGGAGAGTTCGTTGTCGTCAATGGGGACAGACAATGGACAGGAGACGCAGGCGTGACGCTGAGCCGCTCCCTGCTGGCTTCACAGAGCTAAGCCGGCGAATCCTTTGTCCGGCCATCCACGGACGTCATTCACCGCACGCCCCACATCTCACCACCCTGGCGTATCATGATCCGTTTGCTGAGCTCCATTGATAGCATCACGACAAAAGCGTTCTCTAACACAATGGCGCCAACGCGGTGCCTCGCCCGCGCTATCACTCTCCGTCTCTCCACCAGGCTACTCTGCGCCCACGCGGCTCGCGCCTTCTCTACCACGACGGGCTCCCGCTCCCAAGTCGCGCCGCCGCCCACCGACGGCCAGACAAAGCGCAAACCGCTTTCAAAAGAACAGCGCGAATTCCTCTCCTCGGCTGTCAGCACACCCCTCGTTCCCACAGCTGGTCAAAGATTCTTGCTGACCCGCGTCATGCAGCTCCGCGTCAACCAAGCTGGTGAACTCGCCGCCACGCTCATCTACACGGCCCAAACACCCCCCCTCGTCCGTCGATACCCGCACCTCCGACCCCTGATGAAGCACATGTACGACCAGGAGGCCAGCCACTTAGACACCTTCAATGCCCTGCTACATAAGCACCGCGTCCGCCCCACGGCTCTCTACCCGCTCTGGTCCGTCATGGCCACGGGCTTGGGATGGACGACCGCCGTCATGGGCCGTGAGGCTGCCATGGCCTGTACCGAGGCCGTCGAGACGGAGATTGGCGACCACTACAACGGCCAGATCCGCACCTTGCTCGAGATGATTTCCGGTTGGGAAGCTGAGGGCTACGATGCCGGCCCCGAGATGCAGGAGCTGGTCTCGACGCTGAGGAGGATACGCGACGAGGAGCTCGAGCATCTCGACCACGCCGTCGAGCATGACGCGAAAAAAGCCGAGCCTCATTGGCTCCTCACAGGCGTCATAAGAGCAGGCTGTCGCGGGGCCATATGGGTGAGCGAGCGTGTATGATCGGGGCGGGCTAAGGAGTTGAGGTAATGGGCTTTATCACGTACCCCGTGTACTGTGTAAGAATATAATCCGACTATAAGCACATGTTTCCCAAGTCACACAAAGGGCAAGACTGTCAATGTTCCGCGCTGTCCCAAGCCAAGACGCCGAGTCTATGCTTCCTCGCTGCGCGTCACAAAAAAGAATATTGCGGCCTGCACATCAAACTCCTTTTGCCATACCCGCTCTTGGTTTGCTAGAGAAGCCTTTCTGGCATTGTTTGTTTGTCAGCCCGTCCACCAAGGGTATTGATTGAACGAGGTTGAGCTGTTTCAGTTGCTCGAAGGATTCGGAAAAGGTGAGCTCGTCGGTTGCAGCATCAGTTGCTAAAAAGAGAGACTGGGTTAGCGGATCCCTCGACACGCGCTCAGTGGTGAGAGTCAACATACTAGATTGCCAGCGGAGCCACACCATCCACCTGGTAGCCCCAGTTGCCATTCTGCTCCTCGGTGAGAAGCCAATCGTACGGGAACTCGACCAGGTTGCCCTGGATCATCTTCAAAAGCTCCTCGGCATCGGCGCGGGACGGCATGTCCTCAATCGAGAGCCCGCGCCTGCTACCTTTTGTCGTGGCACGGCGCCGGCGTTTGACAGAGCCCGACTGGCCAGACGGCCCCCCGCCAGTTTCCCTGGCATCCCTCGAAGGTGGATTGTCCAACCCAGAAAATGTAGCCTTACGTTCAGTGTTCCTGGAAGTCTGAGGCTCGAGAGTCTTGGTCGGCACATTCTCCAGTGGAGGGAAAAGTGATTGTCCCTGAGGAGGCCCTGGGGCTTGATCGGCCCGGGAGGTCGTCGACGCGTCTGGGACAGCTTGTGTACGAGGAGACTTCTCGTCGTCTCCGTTTCGCAAAGGGCTTTTCTCATGCAGCTCTGCCTGTCCGCCCTCACTCATGGCAATTTGCGCTTTTCCTTCGTCTTGGCTCGTTCCTGGCATCTTCTCAGACAGCTTTTCCGACAACTTTTCCGGAGCCTTTTCTGCTTCCTTCCGGACAGCCTTGGTGATCGCTTCCGGTCCCGGCGCACCGATCCCGGCTCCGGCTGCTGTCGATTCTCGGTTGTGGCTCATCTCCTGCTTCAGCTCGCTCTCTTCGCCCGCAGCTTTCCCTTCCATGTTGGCTCGCAGCTTCTCGCCGTATTCCACGTATTCGCGGTACTCGGCCCACGTGCTCACCTCGGAGTCGGGCATGCATCGAAAGACTCTGCGATAGAGTTTCGTGTTGTTCCTCGCGGCTTTGCCCCAGACTCCATCCATGAAGCTTGCGTTGACGGGATCACGCATGCAGTCCTTTGTGATATCCGCCGGCCTAATATCCGACGCCATCGGATGAAAGGCGCCATTCGTCAGGCGGCCCGTGACGGGGTCTGTGTGGACGGGCGGCCCTCCTATGTCTGTGTCGTCCACCACGGGCAGGGGCGGGAGCTGAGCAGTTCGCGGCATCCCGAGCTGATCCGTTGTGCGCCGATTGAAGGGAGGTATGGGCGGTATTCCCTCGTGGCCGCCGGCGGAAGACGCCCGGTGTCTGTTTTCCGCGCCAGTGTTGGGCCGATGGGGCGGCTTGGGAGCGTCCAGGGCTCCTTTGCCCTGGCTGTCGATGCTTCGGACCAGTACTTCGCGTCCGTGAACAACGACTGAATCGCGGCCTCCGTCGAGGCCAGACTTCTCGGCAGTCTTCCATTGATCCGGCCCGTAGCCTGACACATCCAGCTGATGCTTCTTTCCCGTCACTCGAGCATCCTTGTCATCTTCTTTTCCATTGACGTCGAAGGAATCGTCTGGCTGAGTGGCTTGAGCCTTTTCCAAGTCAAGATCGTGGTTGAAGCTGGGTAGTCGAGGGATTTCAAACTGCTTCTTGAATAGATCATCTCGCACCGCGCTGGGACCTACAGCGGCACCAGATGGCGCGTCGTCGCCGTAGATGTCACCCATCTCGTGCTCAAATGCCTCGCGATCCATCTCCTGCCGCCGCTCTTCCTCCAGGATCTCGTCGACGTCCAGGCCAAGATGCTCTCGCATCAGACGGAGGCGTAGTGTGTAAGCAAAGCGACCGACCTGGTACGGCTTTCCGCCCATCGTCGACCACAGCATGTCGGTGTCTCGGACAATGGCTGCGCATTCCGAGTCTCGTGTACCAAGCATCGACCGCTCATTGATATTCGCCGATCCGATGAGGGCAACTCGATCATCCACAATGATGGTTTTGGCGTGGATGTAAAGCTGCTCCGTGACGAGGACGTCGTTGCCCATTATTCCCCATTGCCGGAGCGAGTAGAAGCCAATGTAGTCCTCCGGCTCGATGCCAGCTGCACGCAGGCGGCCGAAGATCGACTGCTCTCCCCGGCAGATGCTTCGGTACTGGCACATGAGGATCAGTCGGACGCTGGTCCCCTCTTGCTCGTCGACAGTGTTTTGGAACCCTGGCATCAGTGGTATCACAATGGCGCAGCGCCAGTCCTCGCCGTTTTCGTGCGCACGGATGATGCGGTCAACCAGCGCATCGCCAATGCGGTTCACAATCTTTGTGTTGTACGCCTCGGTGCTGGTAATGAAGAACTGGTTTTCCATGTAGACAAAATGATCAGAGTCCTCAATCATCTTGATGTACGCAGTCTGAATGCTGTGCTCCGTTTCCTCGATGCCAAGAGACCAGGTCGACGCGGAGCGCAGAATCTGCACCTCGCAAGTTCCCGTCAGGCCGAGGGCCTCGAGTTCGTCGAACTTGGCATCCGGAGGCGGCAGCAGGAAGGGCAGGGGCCGAGTTGGCTTCCGCCCGCGGCGAAGATAGTTCCAACGCTGGACGAAATGGCGCGTCAGGTCCCGAGCGGGCTGTCCGACGACCTGCATGGATACGTCATGCCATGGCATCCTGGGGACTTTGCTGCGATCGTACATTTCTTCATAAGGCTCGTTGAGACGAAAGAAGTCTTGCACTCTGGGGTTGGAGTAGTCCTTGCCAGGGAACAGCTGACAGTGCTCTGCGTCCTTTGGCCGCTCGCTCATCTCGAACCCAGTCGGCTTGTCGTCGACAATGGGGTGCTGGGGGCAGTCCCAGCGGCCAAAGCAGAGATCGATGCCGCCCAGGAATGCTACGTCGTGGTCCACAATGCAAATCTTTTCATGGTGCGCGAAGAAGAACTGGTTCTTCTTGAACTGATTGGGCGACCGCTGGACAAAGATGTTTGGGTGCAAGTTCAGCAGCGAGAACTTGGTGTACTCGGAGTCGATGGGAATGGCGGCTTCCACGTTTCGGTAGATGATGACGAAGATCTTGACCCCTTCTCGCGCCTTCTTCTGCAACAGCCTGTCGAGTCGCCACTTCTGGCTGATGCATGCCGGGCGTCGCATGTAGAGCTCGGGGCTCAGCCACCAGTCGTGGATGTAGATGACATCCCTGGCCATGTTGATGGCTCTGGAGACGTTCCACATGTAGTCGCGGCCGTCCACAAGCCACTGGGCAAAGACGCCGGTGCGTACCGGTGCGAAGCTCTCGAACCGTTTCTTCTCGTACCATTGCGTCTGCCTGAGCATCTCGTTGATGGACTCCTCAAACTGCTTCATGACAGACTGGTAGCTCGAGAAGAGGCGGACTTTGCGCTCCGACGTGTGGAGAGTCAGAGTGTGGTGCTTCTCGGGCGGCGCCTCGACGGTCAGATCGATATCTGCCTGCTTGTCCTTGGAGCCAATCTGCTTCAGCGGATTTCGCTTAGAAATGAGGCTGAACTTGGAGTCGACCAGATAGACGTCGTAGATGTTCATGTTCTCTGGCGACTCGACACACACTATGTAGCTCTGTCGAACCAGGAACCACTTGCGGCTGTGACGAGCAATGACCTTGGCCGGCGTGAGCACGCGGCGGAAATCGAGACCCTTTGACGACTGGATATGCAAGTACCCTTCCTTGCCATGATAACTGCCTTCTGCCGCAAGGCGAACCCCCAGGGCCGAGAGCTCCAGAAAGCGGCAGAGGCGGTTGCTGTCGGCTCGGAACATGAGCCACCTGATCATCTCCGAGAGATACTTTTCCAGCGTTCGCCTCTGCTTCTCCACATAGCGCTGTCTCCGGGTCATCATGTCCATGACGGCGCTTGACTGGGCGCCTTCGGCGTTGGAGATGTCTCCGGGGTCGGTGAATCCGGTGGACCGTCGCCGCATGCCCCACAGGTTGGCCCGCGACTTCTTTCGGCGCGGCTGGTACTGGCCCTCATCGGTGGCTCCCTCGCCAGCCGTAGCCTCTGCCGCCGTTCCCTCGCCGGCAGTCTCTTCTCCGGCCACGCTGGCCTGCTCATCATCGGAGCTGTCGTCGCCCTTGATGCGGGCTCGGCGCAGATAGGGAAATGCAGAGTACGGGAATTTGGGCTGCCTGGGGCGGGTTCCCAAGTCCAGGCGGCCCGGCATGTACTTGTCGTTGTTGAGGGCGAATCTGTAGCGGAAGTGGAGGTTGTAGATGTCCCTGATGGTTCGGATGACGGTCCAGCTCATCCGGCTCGGGCCGTTGCCGTACTCTAGCTCCATGGTGAATATCCAATGGCGGTCCTTGTCGTCATCTGGCATGGGACAGCTGTCCTTTATCCTGAGCCTGAGCTGCTCCAGGAGAACAGGGATTCTCTTATTCCCATGCTCGTCCCGCTGAATCATGCTCGCGAGCATCAAGACGGCGGGCGCACCAGCCCTCAGCTCGGCCATCAGTTCGGCCGACTTGAAGTAGTCGAACCGGTCTTCCTTCTTTTGGCGAAGAAGCTTCAGCGTGCTCTTCACCTGTTTCCACTTTTGCACGCCAAAGTGGGAGGCTCGCTCCGAGTTGAAAAACGGTCGCCTGGGTGACATGGCATCGCCATCCGACACACCGCCCCCACCGAAGACAGTGATGCGCCGTAGGTGACCGGCCCTTCGTCCGGGCGCGGGACTGTCGGCGTCGTCAAGGTCCTCGTCGGGTCCCCTCGGCGCAGAGTCCATGTAGGAGTGGCCTCTTCGAAAGGCCCTTCGTCTCAGCTGCTCGCGCGCATCGCCGTCCGACATGACCTGTGCAGAGGTGTCTGGCATGCTGGCGCGGCGCTTCAACAGACGGCTGGAGGTGAGGTCACTCGGCAGGCGATGCGGCGTCGAAGGCGAGGACACCTGTCCCTTCTTGAAACGCCGCATTTTTCTCTTCTTTTTCTTCTTGGTCGCAGGTCCTTGATCGGGGATGTTGGCCTCGTCGGCCGTCTCCTCGATATCTGCGTCAGCATCAGACAGCTCCTCGGCGAGGGTATCCGGCAGTCGCGAGCCAAGGCGGGCGGTGGTTGGCGAGTTGGCCGTGGGCGGCGACCCGTTCTCAAACGGCGCAGCAGGCGCACTCGGCGATTTTGGAGTCTGCAAGTTGGGATTGCTCGCAAACGCCTTGATCTTTGACATGAAGGAAGTGCCTCTGGGCTTTCCAGGGGTATCGGGAGCACCCCAGGATCCGCGACGGGATTGGGCGGCTTGGTTCGACTCATCGAGTGGATCGGCTCCGGCTCTGGCAAACTGAACGCTTCGCCTCCCGACGATGGAGGGCGCTTCCGACAAGGCGGGATTGGACGTGGGAGACAGAGGCCCATCGGCGTCATGGCGGCTCTGTCCAGACGTGTCAGGGGAGCGCAATGCCTGGGCGGAGCCCTCTGAAAGCACTCCGGGCGAGACGTCGGGGTGCTTTGTCCCTCCGTTCCAATAGTCCTTGGCCTCCATCCTTGGCCTCGGTTCTCGCGGCTGCTGCTCCGCCGTATCGGGGGTGGGAGGGAGTTGATGGTCTAACCGCGCCGTCGGCGACGCAGACTCGGGCTGAGAGGCGGCGTTTCCGGGCGACGACAACGGAGACCGCGTCCGCGGCGACACGGAGTCTCCTTGGCGGTTGTCGGCCATTATTTCGCAGCACAAGTGTCTCTCAGCCAGTTCCGGGGGCTTGGATGTATTGTCGAAGCGGACGAATTTCACGAGCGGTCGTCCGAGAGGCCGGGCTAACGCAACATGCTGGGACGGCAACGTCGAGGTTGTCGGTCAGTAGGCAGTACGAACAATGGCAGCGCAGGCGCAGTCGAGGGCGAAAAGGTGGCGAAAAAGAGGCCGTCTCGGAGCTTGGAAGGGAGGGAGCACGAGGCGAACGAGGGAGGGAGAGAGCGAGAGGCGGTAGGCCCGAACGCTAGGCCTGAATGCTTTCTCGCAGGCACAGGGCGGTGACGGGACTGGCGAATGTATGACAAGCTTTCACGGGCAGGGGGCTTCTGGCATTGACAGTTGCAGCGTTGAAGCTCAATCGGCGGGTTCGCGAGGCCTTGTTTGGACGACGTCGACTTTCTTCAAAGTCGCATTTATTACGGACGGAATCTGGGGGCTCGGCTCGCCCCACCAGCGAGTGACTTGATGCAAGCAAGGCCCAGCGCAGACCCCCCACTAGAATAGGGGGGAGACGCCCCGACAGCGCCCCATTTCATCCCTTGAAAGAAGGAAACAACGCCCACTAGTTGGAGCCGTTGAATGGGCTCTTGCGGTTCGCTCGAGCGTTGGCGTCACCGTCCCGCGCCAGGGGCCAGTACTTGCACAGTACAGTAGGTAGAGTAGGCAGGATGGTAATTAGACAACAGATGCAGCAACACCACGGGCGGCTGTTCGGTCCCGGCGCGACATGCATTGGACAAGACGCATGTTTCTGCGATGCAGCATTTTGCAGGTACAGTACAGCACAGGACGTGCATGTACTGAGACGCATGTCCGTGTGGCCCAGAGGCTTCGGTTCATCACAGAGAACTGGGGAGGTTACCTACCCAAGGTAATTCCCTACTTACCTAGGTAAGTAGGTAGGTACTGTCTCTAAGCTGCTGCTCACCAACTTGCCGTATGGTGCCCCCTTCGTCAATGGCCGGCCTTTCGCATAGTAGTCACAATTGCAGGTGGCTACTTAGGTAGTGATCGAGTCCACTCACTCTGTACGGAGTGACCAAGTCAAAACACGCCAGCCAAAAAAAAAATTTATTCGTTTTCCACAGCGCCCCGACACGCGCCGCCCAGTGCCCTGAGCCGTCCGCTATAACCCGTGGTCCCCGCAGCGGTCCCGTCAACAATCACCGGAAGCGCTACCTCGGTCCCTTGTCGCCGCGCCTTCCAACGGGCCTCCTTTTTCTTCTCTCCTTTTTATGCAAACCTCCCACACTCTGGCCTCTGTAGCCTCGTCGCTCTCTACACGGAGCTCCGTATCGTCGCCCGCGGCGCCGACGACTGACACACTATATCTGCATACGTACGCGGCCGTATGCCCTCCCATCGGTCGTCTTTTCTCCCGTTGGCTTCTTCGCACCCTCTTCCTTCCTCCTTGGCGTATCACTATACATAATACGGCGCGAAGCCACCGTCACCACAATGTCGAGATATTCGCTCCGTCAGACCCCGAGGTAAGGCTCCCTTGACAGCCGCCCCTTTTCTCCTCGTCGCGTTGGCTCTTGTGCGCGGAAGCACCTTTGCATCTAACCTTGCGCGTCCAGGAAGAAGGAACTCTTCGATGGCATGGTCGAAACGCCCGTGATGCGGCGCTCGTCGCGTCGCCAATCGTCCTTCCCCCGTGAACTCTCGGACCCCGACAACGACTCCAGCTCTGCCGCCGAGACGCGGACGCGCACTCGGTCCGTCCGCCGCCGCCGCACCGCCGGCAAATTCGCCGAGGATCTGGACGACGAGGACGCCAGCACAGACGCCGCCATCAACGGCAATGGCCACACGTCCAAAGCCTCCAATGGCCCTTCCACAATCAAACTTGGCAATGGCCCCACTGCGAAAGCGGCCGACGCGCCTACAGAAGAGCTCGTTGTTGACGGGTGGAAACCAGGCCAGAACCCCAAGGTCGACTACTCGGGCGAGTTGGAGTTTGGCGGCTCCCTGGGCACCACGCTCATGATGCTCCTCTTCCCCATCCTTATGTGGTACATGTGGATTGGCGCGACATACTACAATGGCAAATTCCCCTCGAGGAATCCGGGCCAGACCTGGCTGGGCTTCGCCGCCGAGATGGCCAGCCTTGTCTACACGGGCGCGTTCCCCCACGCCAAGGCCTGGCTCTGGTATTGGTCCTACCTCCTCTTCCAAGCCGCCTGCTACTGCCTCCTCCCCGGCGTATGGAGCTATGGAAAACCACTACCCCACGACAACAACAAGCAGCTCCCGTACTTTTGCAATGCCTACGTCAGCCTCTACTTTACCCTCGCCGTCCTTGCCGCCCTGCACTTCACCGGCATCTGGCCGCTGTACCGGGCCATTGACGAGTTTGGCCCTCTTCTGTCCGTCGCCATTCTGACCGGCTTCCTCGTCAGCATTGTCGCCTACGTCTCTGCCATCTACCGGGGCAAGCAGCACCGCATGACCGGCCGTGTTATCTACGACTTCTTCATGGGCGCCGAGCTCAATCCCCGCATGTTTGGCATCCTCGACTTCAAAATGTTCTTCGAGGTGCGCATGCCCTGGTACATCCTGCTCATCCTGAGCCTGGGTGCTGCCGCTCGCCAGTACGAACGCTACGGCTACGTCTCGGGCGAGGTCATGTTCCTTGTCATGGCCCACTACCTCTATGCCAACGCCTGCGCCAAGGGCGAGGAGCTCATCGTCACCACCTGGTAAGTTGCCCGCGAGTCGGCGCGTTTGACCGCAATCTGACGCGCAACAGGGACATGTACTACGAGAAGTGGGGATTCATGCTCATCTTCTGGAACCTGGCCGGAGTCCCCCTCTCCTATTGCCATTGCACCCTCTTCCTCGCCAACCACGATCCCGCCGAGTATCACTGGAACCGCTGGGCCCTGGCCATGATGTACATTGCCTACCTCTTCTGGTACTGGGTCTGGGATAGCTGCAACAGCCAGAAGAACCGCTTCCGCGCCATGGAGAGGGGCAAGCTCGTCGGCCGCAACACGTTTCCCCAGGTCCCGTGGCAGACTCTCCACGACCCCAAGACGATCGAGACGCCCCAGGGCACCATCCTCGTCGACGGCTGGTACGGCCTGGCCAGAAAAATCCACTACACGGCCGACACGTGGTTCGCCATCTCCTGGGGGCTGGTTACCGGATTTCAGTATGGCTCCTCGTCGTGGCGCTCGTGGCGGAGACTCGGCTAACGCTTTGCCTCAGGAGCCCGTTTCCGTGGTTCTATCCCGTGTTCTTCTGCTGCATGATTGCTCACCGTGCTTCGCGAGACATCCACCGCTGCCGCAAAAAGTACGGCGATGCCTGGCTGGAGTACGAGCGAACTGTGCCGTACCTCTTCATACCTGTAAGTCGACCGATCCAGGCCCTGCCCTCTTTTCTTAACTCATGTCGCCTCTAACTCTTTGCCTCAGTACGTCATCTAGGCCATGCCGGCTCTTTGTGAATAAAATGAAAAGAAACCCACCTGCCCTTGGAAGCTAGCCTGCTGTCCATTTAACTGCTTTGGGCCGGAGCCGCAAGATCTGCCTTCTTCAGTACATATTCGTCTCGCAAGAATACAGTCTTGATCGAAACAAAGCATGCTCTCGTCTACCGTCCCGGAACAAGGGTAAAGGGTGCGGAGAAAGGGGGTGTCGGATGGAACATGATGGAATAGAGGGCGCACGAAAGGTCGCCCAACACTGTAATGTTTTGTAGTATGAGACGTAATACCCGCTTTATATTCATAGCCGAGACTTCTTTTTTATATAGTTTGGACAGAAAGATCCTCCATGAAGCTCACAAGCGATAGCGCAGTTTTGCTTCACTCAGGTAGCCCGATGTTGTCCTCGAGTGCAATCACACAGGCGTCATAGTCCAGCAACGCGAGATTGGGGGTAAAGGAATAATATATGCATCGGGTTACATCAGACTTCTCATCCCGTCACCGTCTATAACGACAACGCTGCGAGACCAAAACGCACATTGTCACTACTGTACATATACATTCTCCCCAAGCGATTACCGAGTTCGTGTCTCCACGGGCGAGCCAGCGCTCTGCCGGTGCCGTCGAAAGTCCTGTTAGCGCCGATAAGAGCCTCGTTCGCGTCGTTGTAAGAACGACGCCATGCAGCTGTCCTTGTGCCTAATCAAAGTGTTTTGCTCGTTGCCGGGGTGGGGCGCCTCCTGCGGGTCGTCGCTCTTGCCGGGTCGCCTCCCTGGCCTCTCTGGGCATCAGAGGCTTAATTGCAGGTGGCATTGAGCGTGGCCTTGGAGTTCATGAGCAGGGCGACAATGAGGCCGTAGAGACCTGGGCGCAGGTTAGCATTCTGATCCTTGGTATTTCTTCGCGGAGCCATTCTTACCCAAGACTTCGGCGAAAATGAGAATCAGGATCATGCCGACGAAGAGTCGGGGTTGCTGAGCAGTTCCTCGGACACCAGCGTCACCGACGATACCGATGGCGAACCCCGCAGCAAGACCGGCAAGACCGACGGAGAGACCAGCGCCGAACTGGATGAAGCCCGTGTACAAGGGAAGCTCCTGCTTGAGTCCGTCTGAAATCAGGACAGACACAACCAGACCGTAGATACCAATGATACCAGCCATAATGACGGGGACAATGTCTGCGGTATTGTCAGAGACTTTTCTGCACGGCAGATATCGACGAGACCTACTCTTGACGATCAGGTCGGGCCGGAGGACGCCCATGGCGGCGATACCGACGCCGGACTTGGCGGTGCCATAGGAAGCGCCCAGGCAGGTGAAGACGATGGCGCAGGTGCAACCCATGGCGCCAAAGAAGGGCTATTCTAGTCAGCGGCACTGGTCCCAACACGGGCTCGATGATATTGAGGCCTTGCTGGCGTCTGGTGTGACGTCGCGGGGCGAGCGCTTCGCAATACTGACCGCGTAAACGGGGCTATGCGGGAAATGCCAGGTTAGCCTCAGGCCAAGATGATGGGACATGGCAGGAGCAGCAAAATTCTAGGGGCAGGAACGGGTAGTCGGTCTAAAGGTGCCGGGAGCTTCAGGCGATGCGACGGGAGCTCGATGACGACGGGAGGGAGGCGCGCTCAACGTACCAAGCTTCGGAGACCATCTTGGCGACTGTGAGCACGCGCGAGAAATGTCTAAAGAGTCGGAGTGAATATTCGGATTGACTGAGAGAGCGATGGCGGGAGAAGCTTCCGAGACGAGCTGTCGGGCGGCGGTGCTGTGGTGAGTTGCGGTGGAGGTTGAGGACGGACGGATGGGGTCGTTCGCTGGCTGGAGTCTTCGTTGGCACCAGTTTGTTTTCCGGCACAGGGGGGCGGATGACTGTTTACGTAAGATCTTTTGCGACCGGATAATTGGTTTTGCCGGTCCGGAGGCTAGAGCAGACTCAGCGTCGCCCCAGCCAACATCTCGCACTTAAGCGGGCGGATAGGGCAAACATTCGAACGACTTTTACCCATTCGGTCCGGCGGCTTGCTCAACTCTGGGCGGGCTAACCAACCAGCTCTACCGACGAGAACCAGAGGAACTCTTGGTTTCTGGAGCAGAGCTCTCGTGCTGACCATTTCACTTCACTGTAGGCTTTTACCTACGAAGCACGGGTCGGTTTTAAGGTCTATCGAAGTTTGCCTCTCGACGATAGGCTTCTCTTGACTCGGGAGAGCCTGTTCTATACGTCGACTGCCGATCCGGGCGATGGCGGCTACTGCGGGAGGAGGCTTTCCAACCGTGATGCTAACACAGCCGAGACTGCACAAGACTTTTTGATATTTGCGAAAAGCAATGGATATATTGATGCTCTGAGACGAACTGCTTTTGAATGGATCTAGCCACTATCGACGTTCTCACGGGGCGGGCTATAAACCATGTCCAGTGTCGCCGACGGTCATCAGATCAGGCCAGTATGCAGTTTAGCCTCCGATCCTTACGATGTACAGTATGCGTACCCCGGTGATGCAACGCCCATGTGCAGCGTCGACTCGAGTCGCGCACAGAAACGGCAGCTGAGGAACCTGGCTCGGCGACGCTGGCCCAAGTGCCCGAGGCGTTGGTGGCCGGACATCCATGCTCATAGCTCGTTGCTTTGTGCGCAAGGATTGGCTGCGAGCCAAGGCGTGGTGCCTGTACAGGATGACGTCGCTCCACCCCCTGCCGCTAGGCGTCGCGCGTGCGCACACCTGCAACGTTCCCCTCTGCCAGCCGTCGACGCGGGCGGCCCTGACCTAATTGTTTTGATATCCTCGGATTCGCCTCTCCTTGCCTTTGCTCCCTTCACCCATTGCGCCCTTTGCTTATGTTGGAGCGGTCGCTGCTCGTACAATGTCCGGCATCGCGCGCAAGATTGTCGTATGCGCAGCCATCGATGGCCTGATAATACAGCCGCTGTCGTCCAAGGGACAGAAACCACACCAGCCTGTCCGGGTTCGCTATGGCGACTCCTCGGTATCTGCCGTTCCTCGCGACCAGCTGCCCGACACCTCCAAGCCCGAGTCATCATTCGAGGCCTTTGGTGTCATAGGTGAGCGTCGAGGCCCAACCTCGTCAGGCTTCGCAGCTGACAGACCCTGGCCAGGCTTGATAACCGTTTCCAAGCTCAGCTACTTGGTCACCATTGTGCGGCGCCAGCAAGTGGCCCAGATCCTAGGCTTCCCCGTCTATGTCGTGACAGAAGTTGCCGTGACGCCGTGCACGTCCCAGTCGGATGCAGACGAGTCCATTCGGAGGACGGCGAGCCTGTTGGGGAGACAGTTATCCGATTCCCGGAGCGATGCTGGCAGGAGTAGCGACGAAGAACCCGAACCACACGACGAAATACTTGACGAAGTCGAAGATGCCGTCACCGGGCAACGAGACACCCCAAGGCCCGATTCTCAACGGAGCAGCGTTGCCGAAGACGTCATCCGCCGGCGAGGCAGCTACGGGAGATTTGCTCAGAGCTGGTTCAGCCAGAGCGGTTGGACAATGGACCAGCGTCGGACGATGGGCATGAGCATCGCCGCAGCCAACTCAGGCTCGGCCGTTGCTGATGACTCGGCGGCCACCCCGGGGGCAAACCCTCCGCTCACAGAAGACGTACATGTCCAAGCCCCTGTGTCTTCTTTGCTGCCCAAGCTTCTGCGGACAATCAAGTTCCTTTTCGGCTCGTCGCGAAGCTTCTACTTCTCCTACGACGTGGACATTACGCGCAGTCTGGCCCAGGATGCACTGCTCGTGCGCCGAGACACGCCGCTCCATGCTCAAACCGACGGCAACTTCTTCTGGAACCGAATCATCTTGCTTCCGTTTACGTCGACGGGCCAGGACTCGTTGGCCCTCCCCCTCATGCAAGGCTTCGTCGGGCAGCGAACATTCGTCGTGGACAGCCAGCCTCCGCAAGTGGACGAACCCGCGGCCGAGTCTCTCGAGATGCGCAACCTCCCCGCGTCGGGGTCGCGCCCGGCCTCGCCTCCGTCCGGCGGAGTGAGGGACTCGCTGGATCTACGCCCGTCCGAGAGGAAATATCTTCTGACGCTCATCTCACGCCGTTCCACCAAGAGGGCAGGCTTGCGCTATCTTCGTCGTGGCGTCAACGAAGAGGGCTTCACCGCAAACACGGTCGAGACGGAGCAAATTCTGTCCTCTACCAAGTGGGACAAGTCGTCGCCAATACGTTCGTTTTTGCAAATCAGGGGGAGCATTCCCCTGTACTTTACTCAGTCCGCCTATTCCCTCAAGCCAGCACCAGTCTTACAACATTCCCTAGAGACCAACTTTAGAGCCTGCAAGAAGCATTTCGAAAGCCTGTCAAAGACCTACGGGCTGCTCCAGATTGTTAACTTGGTGGAGAAGCACGGTATTGAGGAGCCCATCGGCACCCAGTACCAAAAGTGCATCGAACGCCTCAACGAAGGGGTTGAAGATGCCGCCAAGATTCCCTTTGAGTGGTTCGACTTCCATCAGGTGTGCCGCGGCATGAAATTTGAAAACGTCAACCATCTTTTGCTGAGGCTCAAAGAAAGGCTGGAGGCGCTGGGGAGCACAATTCAACATGAAGACAGGATCATGCAGCGGCAAAGGGGAGTCATTCGCACCAACTGCATGGATTGTCTCGATCGAACAAATGTGTGCCAGAGCTCCTTTGCGAAGCACATACTCGAACTCCAACTCAAAGGCGATGGGATCGACATGAGCACCCAGCTCGACCAGGAAACGGCCTGGTTCAACACGTTGTGGGCAGACAACGGCGACGCCGTCTCGAAGCAGTATGCTTCAACCGCCGCTATGAAGGGCGACTACACGAGAACGAGAAAGAGGGACTATCGCGGAGCGCTGAACGATTTAGGGCTGTCGCTCGCGCGCTTCTACAACGGGTAGGTTGGCAGGGCTCTCCCCATCTTCGCACCTCGCTAACAAATGCCAGCATGGTCAACGACCACTTCAGCCAGGCAGCCATCGACTTCCTGCTCGGAAATGTCACGGCAAAGATCTTTGACGAGTTCGAAGCCGACATGATGACAAAGGACCCGGCCGTGTCCATCTCCAACATGAGGGAGCGGGCCGTTGAGCTCTGTCAACAGCGAGTCGTGGCCGACATGAGCGAGGAGGCCCAAGGCGGCTGGGTGCTCATGAGCCCCAGCGCCGCAGACGTGGTCAAGTCGTGGTCCATGGACGAGGTCATTCTTCTCTTGACAGACGCCGCCTTATACCTCTGCCGCTTCGACTGGGACCTGGACAAGGTGTCGTCGTTTGAGCGGGTTCATCTCGCCAACGTGACGCAGATCAAGTTTGGCACATACATTACGTCGACCGTCTCGCCGGCGCATACGGATGAGTTGAAGAATGTCGGCTTCGTCGTCGAGTATCAACCCGGCAAGAGCAATATCCGGAGAACAAACACCCGGACGCTTTCCACCCGCGGGGAGATTGCCCCCAAGTCAAGCTCCCAAGGCGGCGAGGGCAACAGCTGGCCGACGGGCTTTGGCAACTTTTTCTCGGCGAAGCCAAAGTCGCCCGCGATGCGCAAGCTGGCGCTCAAGGCCCCGTACGCCGACTCGTCGGCCGCCGTCTCTGGCACCTCGCCGCAGCAGACGGAGATTCAGCAGGTGGTGACGATTTGTGCCGAGATTGAGCGGCTGGCGCTGGAACGGCAGTTTCGCAAGCAGGGCGAGGGCGCCAAGGGCATTGTTGAAAAGGGGGAAATCATTTCGCTCGAGGCGGCGAAGCGGAACACGGGGCTGCTGGAACAGTTGGGGCACTCAATCAAGAAGTTGGTATGGGCCTGAATCTGTGCGCCGCTTCGCTCCGTTGCGAGACGAGACGCAGAGGCGTACAGGGGCGTTGGGATTCTAGCACATGCACCAGACTGAGATGTCCATTGCTTGGCCGTGCAATGCACTGGGCCGCTAGGGCTTGTGTATTCGATACAGATGCATCTGATATCGCATGTTCTCCAACTGGATCGGGTACGACAAGCCCTCGGGGAGGCGAAACCAGACGGAGTCATGCGATTCCAGCTTCTCCCAGTGATGGTCCCGCGCCTCGGCGCCGAGCAGCGTGTGGTCGAGCAGCCACTGCATGGGATAGCGCTTCTTTTCCTTGCCCACCGCAGCCTCGGAGTAACTACCAGGGCTGTCGACTACGAGGAGCAAGCTCCGCGAGGCCAGCGCGCCTCCCAACGACCGCAGAAAGGCCGTCGTCTTGCCCAGCCCGCCGTCCGTGTACAGCTCGTTGAGAGTGAACAGGAGCGTGACGAGCAGTGGATCGGCGCCGACCAGCCCTGCGAGTCTGTCGCGCGTCAGCGACAAGACGTCGCTTTGGCAAAAGGTAGTGGATAGCTGCGAGTCGAGGAGGAGAGGCTGGTTCGAAGCTTTGGCGGCGGCCGAGGCATAATTGGAGAGTGGCGGGGCCGAGGTGAGGATTTCCTGAAGCCGGGACGTCACATGGGACCAGGGCGCGGCGTCTAGGAGGGTGAGGGCGCCTTGGGAGGCGGTGTCGTGGATGTAGTGGGCAAAGGCAACGTGTTCGGCGGCACAGCCCCCGATGGAGAGCATACTGAAGATTTTGGAGCCGTGGAGAAGCTCATCTGCGCTCCCTCGGTTCAAGTTATCTCGTCTTTTACCGTCGTCGGATGCGGCAGCTGGCGGCAGCTCACCGTCGGCCCCGAGCATCTGGCGCACATGGTCTCCCACGGCACGGAGCACGGCGGCGTAGCAAAGCGCCCTCGTCGGACTCCATCGCGCAGCATATGCATCGAGGCACCTCTGGCTGGCGAAGGCGGCGGCAAAGTCGCGCCTGAACAGGGCCTGCTTGATCTCCTGCAGAACGGCAGGGAAGTCGTCCGAGGCCAGCACGCTGCCAAAGGCGTGGGCGAAGACGTCGAGCAGCCGCTGCTGGTCTCTCGTGTCCTGGACGGTGGGCGCAGCTTTGGGTGGCCTGGTGCTAGAGGCCGACGTCGTCGTCTTGGATGGCGTCTTGCCGACCATTTCCCTGGGGTGTCGGCGGCTTGAGGCTGGCTACATTCCGAAATTACGTGGGCTGGCTGGATGCGCGGGCGAAACGGACGGGGAAAACCTCGGCCTTGTGCTGAGGACGAGAAGTACCTATGTAGTAATTATTAATACAGTCTCACCTACTGTACGTACTGTACAGTCCGTAACTTAAGTTACAGCAAGCATTCAACAAGGGCTGTTCCAACACAACAACCCCGACTGTCCAGAAATTGCTCCATGTTTGGTTGGTTGTCGAGAAACAGGGATACCATGCTGGAGCCCGAGTGCATAAATATCGCACCCCAGCGGCTCCATGGCCACGTCCGGGAACCGCGGTTTTCTTTAGCGCAGGCCGGAGACCTTGCGGATTCATAGCTGGATGCGTCGGCAAACGCTGACGGAACGTCGGTAACCACCTCTGTACCCACGGCCACGCAATCGGGTGCTGCAGCGGCCGGCCCCTGTAGCCGGCATGCCGCTATTTGCCTACATGTAGACCACTGAGACGGTTCTTCCACTCCCGAATATAGCCGCAATGCCCCGACAGAACGTAGGCCATCTAGAGCGGATTCTTACTAGAGGTGTGCCTTATCCCGACAAGCTGATGGCTGCCAAGACGTGGATGTTGTTGCTCAGAGTAATGGCAGAGAAACGTCCGCTCTCGGGCGCTCGTAGGCCGTTTCCATCAGTACATACTTTAAGCACCTGGACCACACCGACGTCATGGCACAGACAGCTATGCCGCCGTCTCCGTTCTGGTGCAGCGGTGGCCTTCGCTCGTGTGTTAAATTGCGTGGCGAGAAGCTGAACCAGTTCCCGCCGTGCCGGAACGGGGGACCAGCCGGGCGGGCCCGAAGACGGAGCCTGCGCTGGAGACCGACCCATGGCACATTGCGTCAAGTGACTGCACAGTTTTGCATTGTGGGTGTATGTGCATACTCATTTGGGTCGTGGAATATTATCGAAACAGCCATCATGGAAGGAGTAGAGGCTTTGAAACTGCTCGAATAGACGGCAGTGTCAAGCTCCCCAGCCAATCCGACAGCTTCATCGGGTACCGGTACCCGGGCTGAGGCCCGAAACATGCCTCCAGCTACTTGCCACAAACGGTCCACTCCTGCCGCAATGAGGTATCTCGCATCCAGCGTTTCGGGCCCACCACGTTTCTGTACCGCGGCCCTCAATACATTGGGCCATGACATAACCCCTCAGCAGAAAATGGTCCCGCCAAAGCGAGTACGCCCAAGCATTGAGCTCGCCCGCCAACTCTATTCCCTCCCCTTCCTCCTCCTCTTCATACCACTTCCCTCATCCTCAACCTCCTCCCTCTGCACACCTGCCCTGCAGCACACTTCCCGTCGATATATCCATTTCAAAAAGGGTCGCCATCATGGGTTACGGCGAAATCGACCAAAAGGCCATCAACACCATCCGCCTTCTCGCGGTAAGTGGTTTTTCCTCGCTCCCCTCTCGAGCTTACCCCGCCGCCACCTTTTTACCCCGCCAAAGATGCCGCTGGCGATATACCACCTCACGGCGCAGCAAGCCCTTCATGGGCGCGAGCGAGCGACTCCAACAGGGGAGCTGACACTGCGCAGGTTGATGCCACCTTCAACAGCAACTCGGGCCACCCGGGAGCCCCCATGTGAGTAGCACCAAGCTATGCCCCTCGCCAGAGCTTGCCGCGGCTTCCGCTGACAACGATTGCTGCAGGGGCATGGCTCCCGTTGCCCATGTTCTCTTCAACAAGTTCATGAAGTTCAACCCCAAGAACCCCAAGTGGCTGAACCGAGATCGCTTCGTCCTCTCGTAAGTCGCCGTTTCCTCGGCCGCGCCAACCCGGTCTAACCCCGGGACCACGCACAGCAACGGCCACGGATGCATGCTTCAGTATGCCCTCCTGCACCTCTTCGGCTACGATGTCACCATGGACGACCTCAAGGCTTTCCGAGTAGGTGTCAGCCTCGACCCCGACCTGACAATGTCGCTGACTGTGTGCGCTTCAGTCAGTCGACAGCAAGACCCCCGGACATCCCGAGGCCCACGACACTCCCGGCATCGAGGTCACCACTGGCCCCCTCGGCCAGGGCGTGTGCAACGCCGTCGGTCTCGCCATGGCCCAGGCTCACACCGCCGCCACATTCAATAAGTCCGGTCTGGACATCGTCGACAACTACACGTACTGCTTCCTCGGCGACGGCTGCCTGATGGAGGGTATCTCCAGCGAGGCCTCGTCGCTCGCTGGCCACTTGCAGCTCGGCAACCTCATCTGCATCTACGACGACAACCACATCTCCATTGACGGCGACACCAACTGTGCCTTCACCGAGGATGTCGTCAAGCGCTATGAGGCCTACGGCTGGCACGTCGTCTCCGTCAACGACGGTGACAACGACTTGGCCGCCATCGAGGCCGCCATTCAAAAGTGCAAGCAGGTCAAGGACAAGCCCTCCATGATCAAGCTGAAGACCACCATCGGCTTCGGCTCCCTCCAGCAGGGCACCCACGGCGTGCACGGCTCGCCCCTCAAGGCCGACGACATCAAGCAGGTCAAGCAGAAGTGGGGCTTCAACCCGGACAAGTCCTTCGAGGTTCCCAAGGAGGTCTACGACATGTACGGGAAACACTCCTCCGAGGGCGCCGCCGCCGAGGAGAAGTGGAACCAGCTGCTTTCCAAGTATGCTCAGCAGTACCCCAAGGAGCACGCCGACCTGCAGCGGCGCCTCAAAGGCGAGCTCCCCCAGGGCTGGGAGAAAAGCCTCCCGGTTTACACGCCCGCCGACTCGGCCGTCGCCACCCGCAAGCTGTCCGAGACTGTCCTCGGCAAGATTGAGTCGGCCATTCCGGAGCTGTTTGGTGGCTCCGCCGACCTGACTGGCTCCAACCTGACCCGCTGGAAGTCGGCCGTCGACTTCCAGCCCAAGGCCACCGGTCTGGGCGACTACGCGGGCCGCTACGTCCGTTACGGCGTCCGCGAGCACGCCATGGGCGCCATCATGAACGGCCTGGCCGCCTACGGCACCATCCTGCCCTACGGCGGGACCTTCTTGAACTTTGTTTCCTACGCTGCTGGCGCCGTCCGTCTGTCTGCTCTGTCCCAGGTCCGCGTTCTCTGGGTGGCCACTCACGACTCGATTGGCCTCGGCGAAGACGGCCCAACCCACCAACCCATTGAGACTCTGGCTCACTTCCGCGCTCTCCCCAACTGCATGGTCTGGCGCCCTGCCGACGGAAACGAGACCAGCGCCGCCTACTACGTCGCCCTCACCTCCAAGAACACACCCAGCATCCTGGCCCTGTCGCGCCAGAACCTGCCTCAGCTCGAGGGTTCGACCATTGAAAAGGCCATGAAGGGCGGCTACGTCCTCCACGAGGTGCAGGGCGCCAATGTCACCCTCGTCTCCACGGGGTCCGAGGTGTCCATCTGCGTCGACGCCGCCAAGTACCTCAAGGAGAAGCACAGCATCAAGGCACGCATCGTCTCGATGCCCTGCTTCGAGGTGTTTGACACGCAGTCCAAGGACTACAGACTGTCGGTCCTGCCCGACGGGATCCCCTCGTTGTCCGTCGAGGTCATGAGCACCATGGGCTGGGAGCGCTACACGCACGAGCAGTTTGGCATCAACCGCTTCGGCGCCTCTGGCGCCTACAAGGACGTCTACAAGAAGTTTGAGTTCACTCCCGAGGGCATCTCCAAGCGTGCCGTTGCCACCGTTGACTTCTGGAAGAGCGTGCCCAACATCCGCTCCCCCGTCAACCGTGCCTTCCAGCAGCTCATTTAAAGAGGTGCCGGGCGACTTGTGTGGGAAAAGCAATTACCGGCGTGGATCGCCCTCGAATTGCTTTGCGTTTGGGTTCATGTAATATGCAGTCAAAGATGGAACTTGGAGCAAAGGGACTGAGAGAGATGTTTGTGCAAAAATAGAAGTTTGAACATTTGGTTGACATGGTTCTGTGTCACCCTGTCATGATGATTCCCTGCGGCAAAGGCGTAGGACGAAATGTGCACATGTCTGGAAGAGAACATGCCAACCCTCGACTCCACGCTCATGCTGTAAACAATACAAACGTCGGCATCAACCGTCGTCCCAAGCTTGGACAGGGCTTTTTTTCCTCTGCCGCGCACCAGTGCCAGCCCAGCGGCCTTGGCTCTGGACCGACTCGAAGGAAGAGGACCAAGGCAGGGTACCGGATGAGGAAACTGGCGCGTCGAAAAGACGGCTCGTGCTTGGTCATTCGGGGCCTGCGTCGGGGGTCGGATCGGCGGCGCCCTGCAGCGTCCACTGTCGCTGAAACTCACGCCCGAGCTTCTCTAGCCTGGCGGCGGCACGACGTGCCTCGCGGGCCTCGTCCGAGGAGGCGGCAACAACAAGGCCGACGAGCATGGGGGCGGCATCCTCGGGCCTCGTTGCCGAGCCATCCCCGCTGTCCTGCGCGTCCGCGTCCACGTCCCCGGCTCGACCATCATCGAGGTGCAAGGCCGAATCCTTGTCTGGCGCGGCGCGGGTGGTGCTGCCGCCGCTGCCAGTGCCGGCCTCGCAGGGGTGGAGGTAGGTCTGCAGGACGACGGGGCCGGCATCGGGATACTCGACCATGATGCGCTGGGGACGGCCGAGTTGGGCGCGCTGGGCGGCGGTCTGGGCGGAGAGGGCGCTGGAGGTGAGGGAGGTGAGGGAGTCGAGGTGGGAGGGGGACGAGGACGAGGTGATGAGCGGGGTGAGGGTGAGGTCGGAGAGGTGGATGGAGAGGGTGGGGTGTTGCGAGGGCAGGTTGGCCATGGCGCGGGCTATGGTGTGAAGACGGCTGTTATTGTACCATGTTTGACGTGGGCAGGGGGCGTTTTCTGGGGTTTCTTTGGGGCTTCTGGCCGATGGCTTGTCTCGCTATTCGACAAATGGTCGGGTGAGAAGGAGGAAGAAGACGGCGGCTAGTGTGGGAGTATCTGCCAGCTTTGGCTTTCACATGGGCCGCCGTCAGTCCCCAGGCTTTGCCTCGACCCCGCCCTCCGGGCCTGCTGCATCTGGCGACGTGCATCGTGGATTGTGTCGGAGGGCGGCACTGTCTGTCTGTCTGTTTGCGGAGAAGGGGGCCTTGTTGAGGAAAGAGTATTCTGGGACTGACGACGATGTAAATGGGGGTTGTTTACGGGTCTGTCTTTTAGGTGTGACACGGCGTTCGGTATTTGCATCCATCCATCGACTGAGCTGTGAATGGGAACACGGACAGAAGCCCGGGAGTTATATATATATACATACTGTAGGTACTACTGCCTCATATTTGCGAGATGGCTGCCCCAGATTGGCTGTCCGAGTTACACGGCGTGCCAGAGTGCTGGCGTCGCCGGATGGCCCGCGCCGCGCTTTGGGCCAGGCTGCCTGTCACTGAGCCTACCCTAGACAACGTCTCGAGTCAAGTAAAGACAAGAGAAGACCTGGAAACAAAGGCTGCAAATAGGCATGCCCGGCACCGGGTGGTTATCTATTTATTGACTTGTCGGCTGGAGGCGCGGCGATCCGAGCGTCTTTATAGGAAGCTCTGTGGCCGCCGGGTGTCGATCACACACTCGTGAAGGGCTGCCTGCCACAGGTGGGCAGGTCTACAGCACAGTTGCCTGTACAACAATGGGCACCAGATAGCCGGGTGCTGGCCACACAGTCCAGCTGCCTACCTGCCTACCTATCTATGCGTTGGCTGGTGCGACTGCAGTCATGGGGGGGGCGCTGGGCTGCAACAGTATGTGTGGACTTGGGCGGTCCAGACAGCGTCATCCAAGAGGGACAGAGAGAGGGGTTGATTCATTCATCTCAGCTAGGACTTGTCACGGACGGGCCAATGGAGCGAGTGCCCTCCGTCAGCACAGGACTTGGCCTGCTTTATGCTGGTCAGGATGACATGGGCTGGGGGTCATGAACAACGACAGGCTGAAGTGGTCCGTTGAAAAAGCCCCTCCGTTACCGTTTGCCTGGCCGGCATGTACAAGCCAACTGGCGTTCCGATGCGTGCGGGTTCAGGTACCTCGCTCGGCTTCCGTCGTGTTACCACTGTGGCGGCCGGTTGACAGGCTTTTACCGAGCACAGTCTTGGGCCCGCGTTAGTCATCAAGCAAATTCACGACGCGACCTCATCGGACACCATCCCGACGCATTGCACGGCCAAAGAAATGTCCTGCCTTTGCTTCCCACATTGTCCCCCACGCAAGCCCTGCCTCGCATCAGACTGATTGTACGTGCCGAGCCCTCTACAGATGCCTGTCGTAGCAGCAAGGGAGCTGGTATGCGCAGGGCATCCATCTTACCTAATACAATCACGGTAGCTCCTCTGTTGTAGGTACGGTACGGAGTACTGCGGGACTTTCCTAGGCGGTACCCAGCCAAGGACTACTTCCGCCGCCGCCGCCTTGGTTGCAAGTCGGGGCCTGCACCTCACTTTTTTTGGCGCCTCGATTCATCGCCTCGCCAAATCTTCTTCATCCGTCCTCTTCACGCCCATCCATCCATTCCTGCCCCTCCCCCCCATCTCTCCCTTCCCCTTATCCTCCTCGCGTCGCCAGTCTCCTCCCCGCCTCCCCGGCACCGCATCGACGGGCCCTGTCCGACTGGGTCTGCGCCCGTCGAGAGCCAATCCGCTGACCCGAGCACCATCGCCGTTGGGTATTACCTGGTCTGGCACCGCAGGGCGGGTTGGGCTACTTCTTCCTTCCTCCTCTCTCTCTCCTCTTGCCTGTCGCCACCGCGCATGATCAGCCGGGCCCGCCGCCCGTCCCCATCGCCCTCGCTCCATTCGTCTGCCATCTAGTCGCCCCGTCATCATGGCCGCTGCCCCGCGACGCAGGAGAATCGGCCATCGGCGCCGGGTTGAGGACGAAGGCGATGATGAGGCCCGCACCGAGGCCCTCGACGGTGACGACGAGTCCCTGAGCGACGGCTCCCTCCTCACCGATGACGACGACGCCGGCCAGGACAGCGACACCAGCAACATCGACGAGGCCTCGCCCACGTCGCCCAACGTCAGGAAGTCGGCAAACGGCGCGCCAAAGCCCGCCGCACGGCACCCTCGCAGCTCGAGCGCCCGGGCAGCCTCCACCAGCAAGCCCGTCTCGGACGCGGAAGTGATGCTGCACGGCTTGTCTATGACCGACAAGCCCGCCCCGGCACAGGATATGCACTTTGACGAGGTGGTGGTATCTCCTCCCAAGTCCCCCTCGGCCCCCGTCGTCGTGAGCTCGGCATCGGCCATCCGGCAGCCCCCCGACGCTCAGGCAGACCGCCGTCGCCAAGAGCACGAGGATTATAAGCGGAGGAGGGACGAGGACCCGGCCTTTGTGCCCAACCGGGGATCCTTTTTCATGCACGACCACCGATATGCCGGTCCTGCCGGCAATGGCTTTCGCCCCTTTGGCCGAGGTCGAGGACGAGGCGGACGAGGCGGCGTCGGCGGCCCATTTTCGCCCTTCAAGTGCGTCTTCCTACTGCGTAAATGTATGTACCTACTGACCTCTGCTGCAAGCCACCTGCACAATCCCTCGGACCCGACGACCAGCTCGCCATGGACTCATGATATGCACGAGATTGTCGCCGATCCCGCCCCTCGCCGCCCACGCCAGATGCCGCACGGCGAGGGCCCGCCCAACGGCAATGGCTACATACCCACTTGTGACGCGAGCCCGACGCCCATCAACCGGACGCTGTCGACGGAGAAACATATTGGCAACGCCCAGGTCCGCGTCTTCCTCCCGCACCTGATGAAGAGCCCGGCCGTGTTCCCCGGCATGCCCGTGAAGCAATACACGAAGCTTCCCGATCACCGCCCTCCTCTTCGGCGAGACAAGCCCGTCCGTATCTCGCTCCCCGACCACGCTGCCAGATACATCTTCCCAGCATCCGACAGATCCTTCACCTTCATCCCGCGGGCACTGCGGCCTAACCAGCAGCGCATGCGTGGTAAGCCTCGATCGGCCTGGGGCTCCGCCGGGGGCTTTTCGAGACGCACGAGCGTCATGGGCGGCAGCTACTACGGGAGCGCCTATTCTCCGAGCATTGCCCTCAGCCGACGCTCCTCCGTCGTGCACGAGCGGGACATGGTATTTTCGCCCACCGGCTCGGCCATCTCGCGGCCGCCGATGCCCGCCGACGCTGCTCGACCCGTCGTCCGTCTTCCCCCTGCCGCCCGACCAGACGCTCATCTGCTGGAGCCAGCGCCGCAGCTCGGGATGCCTGTCGTGGCGCAGGAAGCTTCCATCAGCGACCTGCCGCAGCCGCAAACGCACCCGCTTCCGCAGAAGCCTGCCATACACGAGAACCGGCCTGCTTCGATCCCCATGCATCAGCCTCGCCCGCAGAAGAACATCTCCGTCGCCGACATTGAGTCCCCGACCTTTACCCAGGGGCCCCAGGCCTTCCAGCAGCCTTTCCATCAGCAGGTCCCCTTGCAGGTCGCCAACGGGCTCCAACATGACGCGCACGCGCACGCACGCGGGCCCTCATACCCGTCGCAGCACTCGACCGGAACGCCCTTGTCCCAGATCCCCGAGCGCGCAATACACGCGGCTCCCTTTCAGCCCAACAGCTACAACCAACTGCCGTACTACAACCAACACATGTACCAGCCCCAGCCTCAGGCCCAACCACAGGCCCAGCCTCAGGCACGGGCTCAAGCCCAGCAGGGCTATTACTACTCTCAGGGCTTCTCGGGCCCTGGCATTGCTTCGTCGGCGGCGGCGCCTGCCTTTGTTCCTGGCGGCCCACACGGCATGCAGGGCGGGTTTGCGGCTGCGGGCCATGTCGAGCAGCCGGCCGCGCAGGCGAGCGTGCAGAATCACTCGCCAAACCCCAACCTGGTGGCCCAGGAGGTCAACGGCATGGTATACTACTACGACGCGTCCCAGATACAGCAGGTCAACACATACCCGCCGTACCCGGCTCACCAAAGCTTCCAACCCAGCGTCATGGGCATGGGCGGCATGGTGACACCCAGCCCCGATGGCTTCTACTATCCCCAGCACGCGCCGGGCATGGTCTACTACTCGCAATAGGGCCTCGAGCCGTCCCACTGCTACGGCTTGACGTGCCCTGAACTATTCTGACTCTTTACTTCGATTTAATACCTGCGCTATCATGCCGCGCTTTGCTCTGGAGTGCCGGGGTCGGTTGGCTTTTCGCTGGTTGGGGAATCTCCCGGGTTATCATCATGGGCTTTCTGCGGGCGTGCACACCATTATGGCTTTGATGCACGCTCCATTCTTGATTATCGTTTCGAGTGGGCATACCGCGGTGGGTTTCGAGTACGCTGTCCAAAACGGCCTTTTTCTCTCGTCTTGTGTTTGACCGAGGGCTTGAGCATGCACCGAGATGGCGCATTTCTCAGAGGAGGGAGAAGAGACGATGCCCGACTTGGCTGTCATGTCGGTATCGCCGCTCCAGCAGGGAGGTGCATGGTGGAATGCGCACGGAAGAGTGAAGGGATATCATGGGGGCAAACCTCGACGAGGGGAGCATTTCCCGTTTGGCTTTCTGGGATGATTTGATGTTTGTTGCGGTCCCGATTTGCAGTTTTACCCTCTTCGTTCGTTGCCTGGGCAGTCCTGATACATCATCTTTCCTTGTCGGGATTTCCTTGTCCGTCACGAGGGACCTTGTGGTCTGTTTTGCTTGCTTTCTCTTGGCTGTCATGGCAGCGGCGTTCCTTTTTGGGTGTCTGGGAGTCGTTTCATACCTAGGAATTGTGAATGGAAAGAAAAAGGGGCGATTGCGCGCAAGGCGTTTTGCTCTGACCGAGTGAATATCCCAAGCTGTCATCCAGACGACCCGTGACCGTGGAAATTGTCAAGGGAAATGCGACTGGGCTAACCCTAAGGGGTGGGACAGTGAGGGCAACGGCAAAGGTATGCAAGGCAGAAGGGTGATTACGCATGCGGGTTGCCGATGGGCAGACGTAGACAAGGGAGTAGAGTCGGCGATTCTTGTAGAGCAGGGCCTTGGCAAGGTTGCAAGGCAGCACGCAGACAGCATGGTAGGCTCTCACTAGCTATCCGGGCACTTCTGTCGTCAGGATGGCTCAGAGGAGTGAGAGGGGGAAGGGGGGGGTTCGGTTAGTGATTGGATGGGAAGGGCTGGCCGCATCAGTGGATGGAGTCTGGAGACTTTAGAGACCATGATATCCGATGTCGCAAAGTTGGGGACGCTCCAGATGCCTCCTGGACATAGGCCGCTGCCCATGTCGTCCGAGTTTCACCGCATGTTCAAGTCTGGACACCAGCATGGGGGATGTTTTGTGTGAGAGAGAGAGAGAGAGAGAGAGAGAGAGAGAGAGAGAGGGCGGCATCTGACGGGACTATACACCAACGGGAGGTAGAGTACCTCCGGGGCCAAGTACAGTATGTGCGAGCATGTATGTACATACTTGACGATGGCAAAGCCAGTGGGTGTGTGGGATCACGCGGGCGGAGGACCTCAGGTGCGCGTCGGGGCTTTGGACAAGGCCGATAGGCGGGCAGAGCAAGGGCCAGTACCGAGAAGGATTCATGATTGATTGATTACCTGGTGCATGCTTGTCCTTGGGAGGCGTCACGTGGAGGGAAGCGGGCGGCTGTTGAGATGGATGGATGGGTGGGCTGGGTTGAGTTCTTGTAGGTGATGTATGTATTGTATATTCGCGAGTTCAGTGCAGTACAGTACTGTACATACATTATGCAAGCAGCAAGAGGGTGGCACCGGCAATAGCAAGCGAGTGAAATGAGGTTGAGGCTTGGTTTGCCGAAGAAGGCTGGCGAGGAGGTGATGACGAAGCTGGGGAGGCGAATGGGCATGGATGGGCATGGATGGGCATGGTGATGAGTGACACCTTCCTCCGAAGGACACTGGGGCAGGCGCTGCGAGGCGGGCGTCGTGAGTAAGGCAGCGCTGTTGATAGGGGAGCCAATAGAGGCGCGGGGGTCCGCGCCTTTAAAGTCGGCGCGGACGTCCGCGCCTGTTATGTAAGCCCGGCTGGCCATTGTGGGCGCCGCGAACAGCGCCCGCCGCGACCGCGCTGGCGCGCCAGTTTTACTGCACATATCTCCCCGCACATCGGCAAAAGTACTCAACGGCCACAGCGTCAATTTGAGTGTCAATCGACTCAAATTTTTTTAATCTAAATTGCTGTGGTTTCCAACTGTGGCGCACTTATACAGACCGGTCCTAGCAGACGACTTATATGCGGGAATAGTTTGCCTGCTGTTCCTCCGAGTCTCTCTCGCAGTCAGCCCATATACCTGCAGTACCTCTTTCTCGTGAGAAAGGCTGCGCTTGCATTTCCTCGGCCACCCGGGCATCTAACCGCTCTTCTTCTGCCTTATCCCAATCAAGGTATGCCATCATCTCTTCCTTGGTCCATTTCCTCGAGCCGCAGCTCCTTGACATTTGCTTCCAGTCGAGGCACCAGTCATATTCAGTCTTGCTGTAGCGCAATGGCAAGCCCATTGCCTTTCGGTATGCCTGGTTGGTCTTGAGATTGCCGCGAGGCTGTGCTCTATACCAAGAGTCTCTTGCCCTGACATACCTCTGATAGATGGCTCGTGGGTCATCATATCGTAGATTCTCCGTAGTCTCTGTAGCTTCTGCAATTCCTGTCGAGACTGCAGCAATTGTAGACACCGTAGAGACTGTAGTGACTGCAACCGTGATTGTCTCCATGACTGCTGCAGTCTGTGCAGTCTCTGAAATTGCTACTGCTTGTGCAGTCTGTGCAGTCTGTGCAGTCGCTGCAATTGCTGCCGTCTCTGCAGTCTCTGCCGCCCGTGCCTCTGCCCGCTGCAGTATGTCGCTATAGCGTAAAGGACAATTGCGAGATGTCATGATGTGCCCTTTCTGGTGGCATTTGCTGCATGTAGGTGGCGCCTTTGGCCGTAGAACTGGCTCTATGGCTTCAAATGCACTTGGCTCGCGCTGTGTGGATGACTGTGTTATCCTCGATGTGGCGACAAGTTGGTCCAATCGCCGACGAGGCTCTATGAGGACCTGACCAATCTCTTTGGTATCCCGTCGAAGGCGCCAATGCGTATGAAAATGTTGTGGCCGGAGTGGCAGATCTTCCTCTATGAGCGGCTGTAATGTGTGCGCACAAGGGAGACCGTGAGACTTGGTGAAGCTGCCTGTGCAAGCAGGGATGTCTTTCTCGTTGAGGCGCTTGTGTTGCTTTGCAACCTGTCGCAAGGCTTCGTGTGATACCCAGCCACGTACCGTGCTATATACGGTTCCAGAGAGCTCAATTGGCATCCGTATATGCTGCCTGGCTTGGTTGGCTTGTAGCTCGGCCAGTTGGTTGAGAAGAGCTTGCTTGATTGCCCTCGTTGCTTCGAAGAGGTCTAGTGTTGACTTCTTAAGGTGGCTCTTCAATAATGCGTGGATGCCTTCCACCGGGAAGTAGCCACATTGCCGAAATGAGCATATTGATCAACCCAGGCCTTGACGAGCTTTTCCTTATACGGGTCCAACCAGGTTTCCCGTATGTAGCTAACCTCCTTGACGTATCGTGGTACAAAGCGCTTCTCCAGCTCTTCAACTTGTTGATCGAATGTCTCCTCATCTCTCGAGCTCACGATTGAGTGCCAATACCCAAAGAACTCAACCCATTTCTCATCACTGTTAGAGTTCTCATCCTCACGGTCGAATGCTGGTTTGCAATAGCTAAGCACCGCCTTGTTCGCATGCCAGATGCAGAGCAGAGACCTTGACGCAGGAAAGCACCGGGAAATTGCGTTCATGCAGGCAAGGCAACGATCTGTAAGGATAACGGATGGCTGGCGAATGTCATATAACTCGTATATCGATTGGAGTTGGTCCAGTGCCCAGATGTAGTCATCTTCATCTTCACCACTGAGAAAGGCAAAGGCAATACAGAATGACCGTTGGCAGGCATCAACGCCGATCATATCGAGCAGTGGCATCTTATATTTGTTCGTCTTGTATGTGCAGTCTAGAAGTAGTAATTCTGGGTATGCGTTGAGGTATTCTAGTGACGCCGGGTGTGCGAATAAGACCGCTGTGACTCGGCCGTCATGGTCAAGCTGTATGCGGGTTTGGACCCCTCGTTGTCAAGCTCATTGGCAAGGGCATGCATTGTGCTCTGCCCAGCAAGAAGCTCTCGTCTGCGCTGTGCGATACAGTTATATATGTCTTGCTGTGTCGCTCCTTGAGCAGTCTGAGAGCTCTGGCGCATATATGTCCGGATATCCTTTGGTGCTATGCCGGCGCTTGCGAGGTTCCCAATAGCTGACTGGTCAGTTGAGGAGAGGGCACGATGAGCTGGATGTGCTGTAATGTGCAGACTGGGCTCATGGTTGTGGACCGACTTCTCCTCGCCTGGGCGATGCCTGATATACCAGTACGACTTATCAAGGCTCTCTTTCGCATTGATGGAAAACTGGCATCCAGTGATACGGGAGCTTGTAGACCGTTGCCGTTCAGCTGGCTTCTGGTCCTTGCTTGTATGAGCCCCTGGTCTACCTCCACGATCACAGGCAAATGTGACTGTGCGTCTTCCGGACCGCGGGTCTCTCGTGGACTTGCCTGTGGTGAAGGCATAGCCTCTTGGAGCTGCCCACGCATTAATTGAGACAAGAAGGGACTCTCGCGAGTCGAATTGACCCTCAGGAGGAAGGCAATCGTCAGGAATTCAGTAAGCTCCATATTGGCCTACTCTGCGTAAGGGGCGGCGGATAAATTGGGCCGCAATGGCGGCGCGCTGACCCTCCGTGGATATGGTCGTGATATGCTTGCCACAGTACGGAGGGCGAGAGAAAGGAGAGGACAGGTCGGGGCCGGAGGCGGGCCCGACTATCTTCCGGCTGGGCTTACAAAACAGGCGCGGACGTCCGCGCCGACTTTAAAGGCGCGGACCCCCGCGCCTCTATTGGCTCCCCTGTTGATAGGGATGCATGTTACTCTCGGACTGTCGGAATTACTAATCCCGCGTGGGCAGTCCGATATGGTTGAAGATGCCATGGCTTTGACTTTTATTCCTTTTCTTTTTTTACTTTGTTGATTCCGATGCTAAGACGTTCCAGGCCCTCGCTCACCTCGGGAAGAAAAGAAGAAGGGGGGGGGGGGATGCGTTTTTGCACCATTGCGGCGAAGCGGCAGCGGCAGCCGCCAAACGTTAACGCACACGCACACGCATACCCACCACCCACCCACAACCCACACACAGTTTGGTGAGTTGGGATTGAAGAGCAAATGGCTGGTAATGGCTTCTTCCTCGCCCGCATGCCGCGGCAGGCGTGCTGGCGAGAGGAATCGATGGCGGCGGATGCACGCACAGATCACCTGTACTGTTGAAGGTTTGGGGGTGCTCCGGGGGCAACAGCGGCCATGTACGGTGCATGATGTTCAGGCATCTTCGGTGGTTACGTTTGCACCTGCGCCGACCGAGGTCTGTGCTAGCCTCCAAGGCTGTTAGCTCCTGGGAATCGTTTCAACCTTTTTTCCTTTCTTCTTTCTCGCCTTGTTAACTCCGTCGCCGTCATTACAAGATGAGTTCGGTCCCGAGCGAGACGTATCTTGTCACTTCTCCTCCCCCCCCCTGCGTGTATGCAGTACAGTATCCGTATGCTTCATCATGATGCGACCTCTGCATTGTACAGACAGACAGACCCAACAAGTCATGGCTACTATTATTTACAGGATTGCCAGGCAAGCAAGCAGCACTACCATTGGTGAAGTCGACGGCTCGCTTAAAACGCCTCCCGCCGCCCATGTCCACGGCAGCAAGCAAAAAGTCGCGCCGTGGCTCTTGAATATTCCTGTTGGTGACGGGCGGCAAGGTGCATCAGGTAGCACACATGACATGGGACGGGCGCCCCTTGCAAGACCGACGGCGCCTCAAAAACAAATGCATCTCCGTCTACTACTGTACTACTAATCGGCTTTGCCTCTCGGCAGCTGCGGCAAGCCGTGCCCTCGCCCGTCACATCCCCGCCGACGACGACAGCGTCAGCCTGTTGGCCAGCAGCAGCAACAACCAGGTGTTGCTTGGTGCGTGCGCGCGCCGTTTTGCTGCCTGTTCGTACTGTACTTCGCGCATAGGTACCATGCACCATGTCCCGCTTGGAGGGTCCCCCGCCACCAGGCTGCTGCAAGGCCTCGTCCCTCTTCGCCCCCCCTTTGGTCCACCGCCCAGCTGCACGCACTCGGGCGGGGGCCCACCCTGCTTTTGTGAGGACGCACAGTGTCATTTTGGTAAAATGCACCGTGACCAGCTCAGCTCTCGGGCGTCTGTACAGTGCGTATGCAGGCCGAGTGCTGCAACAGCTCGTGGTCCACTGCATCTTGGACGTGTGCCTTGATTGCGTACACCTGCCGGTAGCTGGTGAGCCAAGGCCTCGGCGGCTACTGTACAGGCGGGGAATCCTCTCCTGGTCCCGCGGACTCGTCCCCGTACAGTGTCCAAAGCGTCCAAACGCCATCGTCACACTGTCCCATGCTGCGGCACAGTGCTCCGGTACAGTAATCACCCCTCTGCAAGAACCTCCCGCCTCCTCCACCTTCGCCTCCACCTCCCTCCACCACTATCCATCCTCGCCGCCCTTCCCATCCATCTGCGATCCGGCAACTCCACCTCAAAGCCCTCCCCCCCCCAATATCCATCTCCATCACCACGCCCTCTCGTGCTCGCTGCACGTCCATCTCTTCGTCATCTCGGGGGAGGGATCCCGTTTGATCTTCTCGTCACCCAGAAAGCATCGTTTTGGGCCGAGGTCAACAGCCAAGCGTCGTTGCCCACCCGCCCCAGCGTCCCGCCCGTCATTCGTCACCTTCGTCACCGCCTGTAAGCCTCTCACCGATCATAACAAGTCCTCTTTCCTCCCAACCCAACGCGCAATACCCTGCTGACTAGCTTCCTCTGCTGATGCCAGGGACATTTCTTTCGGGCACCAGCTTCATTTCCACTTCTCGATATTTTCACGTCCAGCCATCATGTCGGCTCTCTCTCACCACGCGGGCCTCGACGCCCCCGTCACACTCAAGGTCTTCTACGATGGGGCTACTCGCCGGGCCAAGATGCCTCTCCGCGAAATGGTCCCCAGAATCCTTGAGAAGCATGTCAGTAGTTTCCCCTCTCCCCCCTCTCCCCCCTCTCGCACGTCGTACGCGGGCTGTGCTCCGTTACGCACGCCGACTTCTCGACCCAAGCGTCGTCCGGGCTGGTCGATGCAACATGCAACCCCTCGTGTTTGACTCTGCCTACTAACTCACATCAAGCTGCGAACGTTTCTACAAATCCCTGAAGACTCGAAAATCATGATCGAACGGTATTCCGACTCTGCCGCCGCCTACGTGCTGCTTGATTCCGCCAACGTGTCTGTCTACAAGCAGCTGTACCGAGCTGCCAAGGCCAAGTCGAAGCTCAAGCTTCGCGTCAGTGTCATCGGCAAGGAAGATAAGGCGGCGCCCGTGTCCGCTCCGGTCGAGGAAGAATCACAAAGTTCAAAAATACCCGCTGAGCCTGCACCTTCCGGCGAAGCTGAGTCGTCGACTTGTATCGTCAAGACTGAGTCGCCGACGCCCATGGTTAAGTCCGAGTCACCCACGCCTGCCGCCGTGCTCCCGGCCGATCCGTCGGCCATAAAGCTTGCATTCCGAGGCCCCGGCCCGCATGCGGCTCAGGTCACTACCCCGCCCAAGGACACGCCCAAGGGCTCATACCAGCCTCGGAGGTGGAACGAGGAGTTCCAGAGCCGCATGAAGGACATAAAACAAACTACTGATGATCTGGCGGACCTGGCCTGTCAACTGGAGTGGCAGCTTCCGGCCCCCACTGCCGATAAACTCCCCAGCAAGCCCGATGACGTCGTTGCAAGCAAGTCGTCGGCTGCTGCCAAGGGCAGTGAAACCGTCTTCTCAAAGCCTGCATCGCCTTGCGCTGCCAAGGGCAAAGATGCTGCCTCTTCGAACAAGCCTGTACCGACCTGGCCTGCGGGGGGCAACGACATCCTCCTCATGAACAAGCCTGCATTGTCTTGCCCTTCAACGGGTTGCAGCTTTGCCGTGTGTTGCAACCACTGCGAAATGACCATTCCGAATGCCCACTATCATTGCTCGACGTGCGACGACGGCGACTTTGACTTGTGCCAGTCTTGCGTCGACCTAGGCTTCACATGCTACAGCAACGATCACTGGCTTATCAAGCGGACGATGAAGAACGGCCAGCTCGTTAACAGCACCACCGAGATCATTGCGCCCAAGTCCAAGCCAAAGGCCCAGGACAAGAAGGAGGACAAGAAGGAGGACCAGAAGGAGGTCAAGCAGACGGTTGCCATCTCTCGCGACTATGCCTCAGATGTCTTTGGCAAGCCACTGATCTCTCGCACCACTGTCGAACTGGCAAGCACCCGTTGGTCTTGTCTCAGCAACATGCGGACCTGCAACTGCTGTGTCCAAGGTTGGTATTCCCCATCGGCTGACGGCTATCTCATATGCCAAGCGGCGCGCTGATTGACTCGTTACCAGAACTCCCCGAGCGCGAATTCCTCCACTGTAGGACGTGCGAGGACTACGATCTTTGCCAGGTTTGCTTCGCCAACGATGCGCACGGCCATCACCCCAAGCACGGGTTCGTCCCGGCCGTCCCGGGGGCTCAAATGCCCGACCACGTCAAGGCAAAGATGAGGCCTGGCCGCAGTCAGATGCATCACGCTATATGCGATGGGTGCGATAAGGTTTGTTATTCATTGTCAAAGGCTACATGATAGTGCAATCACTAATGAGATGATTACAGTACATCACGGGTGTGCGTCACAAGTGCCTTGATTGCCCTGACTGGGATTACTGTTCGGAGTGCGTTACCAACGCCCACTCCGTGCACCCGAACCACCGGTTTGCACCCATCTATGAACCCCTCGGGAACACCCAGGTATGGCCCGCGGCACAGCCCATCCACATTGGCATCTGCTGCGATGGACTTCTTTGCTCCGCCTCTCAGGCCTACCCGTCGTATATTCGCGGCGTTCGTTACAAGTGCGCCGTGTGCCACGACCTCGACTTTTGCGCCAACTGTGAGGCACATCCTGGCAATAACCACAACAGGACTCATCCCCTCATCAAGTTCAAGACTCCTGTCCGCCACGTGAGCGTCACCACCACCGGTGAGCGCCAGGACGGCAAGCGCATGCCTGCTATGGGCGATCGCATGGGTGCCAAGTCTCCAGAAACGGCGAGCCCTTCGGAGAAGAACACCATCAACGCCGTGCAGACTGTTTTGGATATGAAGCCTCAGGAGCCCATATCCGTAGCCAGATACGAGCCTGCCGTGAAGAAGCCCGAGGCAAAGGCTGAGCCCAAGCAGCACGAATCTGCGACTGCCGCTCCCGAGAAGTCGTCCGAGGAAGACCTGCGAGCCGTGTTTGTTCGCGACTCGGTCCAAGACGGGACCATTCTGCCGCCGAACCAAGTCTTTGAGCAGACGTGGATTCTTCGCAACGAGGGCAGCGCCGCGTGGCCTGCCGGGTGCTCAGTCAAGTTTGTCGGTGGAGACTATATGGGCCATGTCGACTCGGCCCATCCCGCGGGCATCTCGGAGCTTGTGTCCGCCTCCGAGTCCACCGTTTGCTACGCGCCACTTGCTCCTGGCCAGGAGTTTTCATTTACCGTCCTCCTTCGCACGCCCACCCGCCCCGGCAGGATCATCTCTTACTGGCGCCTGACGACGCAGGACGGACTCAAATTTGGCCATCGCCTTTGGTGCGAGGTCAATGTTCGCCCCGTGCCCAGTGAGATCAAGCCCAAGCCTGATGTGCTTCACGTCGAGGATGTCAAGAAGGAGCAGGAGAGCAGCTCGGGGTCCAGCAGCACCATGATCTTCCCGAAGCTCCAGAAGGAATCTCCCAGTGCTAGCATCCACGAGGAAGTCCAGATCGAGGCGGAAGCACCGGCGTCGACCGGCAAAGTTGATGCTGAGGATGGCTTTGAGGACTGCGGAGACGACGACGACGAGTGGGATGCCTCGGAAACGGGATTCATGACCGACGAGGAGTACGACATCCTGGATGCGTCGGACGAGGAGTTCCTGGAGCAGCAGCAGCAGAGGCCTGCGAAGAAGTGAAGGCCTAGAAGGCAACAAATTTCCTTTGTACGGATCGGTATATGGGGGTTCGGAAGTATTGCTTTCTGTGAATCTTGGTCTTCAAGGCTGGAGCTGTACTACCCCTGCCCTTCCCAAACCCCTCCCCTGAGCCTCCCCCATGTGTAATATTATGTTCGCGATCCCAGAGCCAAAGGAACTGTGTCGGCAGCAGGACAATGGCCTAGCGGACTTGGATCGTGGAGATGGCTAAAGACGGGAATCTCATTCGTTATAGTTGTAGGTCACCAGATTAGGATGCAATTGACCTCGGTTGATACTTGCCACTATTGCACTGTGCACGTTTTCTAGTGTTACTGTAGGTTCGTCTGAACGATCGGCGGCCGGGGTGATATGGTAGGGCAAGAAGTACGGATATGTATCCACGTAACTCTTTTTTGCTGGGCCGGAAACTTACCACGCAGCCTTAGTAATCAAGCGAGTGCTGCCTGTTGCCTGAGGCATGCGAAGAGGCCAGAAGCGGCGCTACTCGGGCACCCCCTTGCCGCATGCTTTTTTTCCCCTTCCACCCGGAGCATCAAAGCATCGACCGTTGAGTGACGGTTGCGTCCGCTCTGCGAAAGTTCACTTCCTCCATCTTTTTACCCGTATCCGAACGCTCAAGGCATCATTCGAGCCTCGGACACGTAATTGTGGCAACGCCTCGAAAACCCTTCAGCTGCAGCGCCGAGGGCGGATGCTCGAAGCTACGCGACGGCCAACAAAACTCCATTGCTGACGGGCGCCTTGTGCAGTGGCCACACTCGTCCGACCATTGATGGAATTCTGAAGTGACGGCGCGACCGCGTCTTCTCCGTCTCTCAATACCTCGACTTCGTTCACACCCTTTTGCCGACAGACATCTTTCCCCTCGACATGGTGACCTTCTCTATCCCCGGCGACGATGATGTCGCCGAGGTCGCAAACGGCACCCCGAAACCCCGTCCGCCTCTACCCTTTGCGAAGCGCACCTTTGCCGCGTCGCCCTTTGCGGGTGGCTCCTCCAAGCGCCACGGCACGCCTCAGACTGCCCCGACGCGCAAGTTTATGTTGGGCACCCACGACGACAACCCCCCGAGCGGCCTGAGCAACAGCTCGATAGCCACCGCCCGCAACATCTTCCGGGAATCCACCTTTAGCGACAGCCCGCCCTCGACTGCTTTCTCGCCGAGCCTCCCGCATGGCGCAATGAAGAAGGTGTTCGCCCCCGGCGCCACCCCCGAGTCGACGCGCACATTTCGTCAGTCGACCGCGCAGGCGACTCCGCGAGGCATGGCCGCCAAGGCGACGGACAAGGAGCTGTTTCCTATGCGCATCTCGTCTCCGCCGCCGGAATTGTCTGGCGAAGTGCTCACTCAAAAGATTCCCAAGGAATGGAACTCTAAGGGATCCATCTACGCAGACCAGTTTCTAGCACACTTGTGCCCGCCAGGTCTCGATGAGGAGCAGCGGCGCCAGTTCTTTTGCATCCTCGATCTTCGACGACTCAAATACGCGGCTAACGAAATCTTTTCTCGCAAAGACTGGAAGTTGAATGTGATCAATTTTGCAAAGGAATTCGAAAAGAGCCGTAGCATCATTCTCCTACGATATGGGCTCTACGAGTTCCAGAACGTCAAGCCCTCCAAGGAGGTGCTCAAGAGGTGGCGACGCGAGCACGGCCTCCCGGAGCCAGAGGAAGAGGAAGTCCCGCCCACCCCGTCAAAGATGGCCTCGATGAAGAAGCGCAAGGCCAGCGACGACCTCTCCAAGGACTCGGCCGCGGCAAGCCGCTCGATGCTCAAAGGCAAGCGCAGAGCAATGGAGGAGGAGGAGACGGTGGCGACTCCTGCACCGAGCAAGAACAAGAGAAAGGCTTCGGTCAGCGAGGAGCAGCCCTCCAAGTTGCAAAAGCCCGCGCCCTCCTCGGCCAAATCGTTGTTTGAAAAGATTGCCAACAAGCCAACCTCGGCCGCTCAGGCCTCTCAGACCCCGGCCAGCTCGAGGGTGAACCTTTTTGGTGCCAAGACATCCACCAGCAGCAACCTGGCCCGCTCGGTCTTCACCAACTCAAAGGCTCTGGGTGGCCAGGGCGGCGCCCCAGCTGGAAGCAACATCTTTGGCTACCTTTCCGACGCAAGCTCGGCCAAGAACAGCGGTGTCGAAGCCGATGTAGAGAGTGAGAGTGAGACTGGCTCAGAGGAAGCAAGCCCCGGCGAGGGCCAGAGCGACGAGAGGAGTGTTGCTGCCAGTGGCACCGGCGAGGCTGGTTCCCAGGCCGGGTCCAGCTTTTTTGCAAAGCAGCCTGCGTCGCTGACCAGCGGTTCCGGCCCGGGCCTGTCGAGCAACCCGGGCACGAGGGAGAGCACGCCGGGACGAAGCTTGTTCGAGCGAGTCACAAAGGACAACGAAGGCCAGCCAGTTCGCGCCGAGAAGTCCGCTGACTCCTTGAACGACAAACCCGCGGCCCCGCGGGATCAGACGTGGAACCCGAGCACCACCCCCATCAAGTTTGCCTCATCGACACCAGCCAGCGCTGCTCCTGCGGGCTCCGTCTTCGCCCCGAAGAGCACCACCACGACAAACTTTGGCACGGCCGGCCAGGAGACGTCATCTGCAAAGGCATTGTCGGCAGGTGCAAGCGCGGAGGAGGGGGCAAAGGAAGGCTGCGAGTCCGACAAGGAGAATGAATCGCAGCCCTCGAGAAAGTCTCCTTTCGAGCCCAAGGCGCCGGCCGCACAGCCGAGCCTGGGTTCCTCGCTGTTCCAACCCAAGTCAACGCCGACCGAAACCCCTCAAGGATCGGAAGTCCCCAAGCAAAGCTCCAACATGTTTGGCTCTACAGCTAATAACGACTCAAAGCCTGAAGCGGCGCCGGCCACGACCAACATGTTTGGCACATTGGCCAAGGCGAGTGGCGCGACTTCTGCCACGACCCCTCCTGTTCAGTCGGGCTACACTTTTGGAGCGAAGCCTGTGCAATCGGACAAGTCCGCCGAATCCGAGGCCGCCCCCAAGGCCGGCCCCCTGTTTGGTGGCATAAGCGCCCCTTCGACGCTCGGAAACACGGGCACCGCGTCGTCTGTGTTTGGGGTCAATAAGCCGGCCTCCAATCCCGCGAGTGGTCCAGGCAGCGGTGCCTCAACTCCATCGGCTTCTCTTTTCGGCGCATCCTCTGCTCAACCAAGTGGCTCCGCAGCTGCAAAGACTAACGACGCCGCGCTATCCTCCACCGGTCCTCCATCCCATCCCCAGTTCGGTTTTGGGAGCGCGTCAAACGCAGAAGACGGCAAGCCCAGCTCGGGGACTGAGGCTACCCCCTCCAAGCCACTCTTTGGTGGCGCGCCCAAGTCTCCGTCTTCTGGTGCCATCGGGAATAGCTTGTTCAGCGGTAGTCCCATGAAGCAAGATGAGCCGTCGCCTGCCAAGAAGGCGTTTGCAGGAGCCAGCGGCGCGGGGTCGTCGGCTCCCGTCTTTAGCTTTGGCAACCCGCAAGCCGCGACCAGTAGCGCCCCAAGCAGCAGCAGCATTTTCGGAGGGGCACCGGCACCCGCCGCCAGCAATGCCGGCAATGGTAGCGACCCCTTTGGAGCCGCAACACCGTCCAACGCCGGGTCTGGCGGCTTCAGCTTCAACTTTGGCGGCGCTGGGGCCTCTGGCTCGTCCTTCAACAACCCCTTTGCCAAGACGTCGAACACTGCATCCGGGGCGCCCTCTGGCGGCGGCTTCAGCTTCGGAGGCGCTTCATCGGGTCCCACCGGTGGCTCGTCGACTTCCTTCCAGTTTGGAGCAGGCGCTGGCGCGAACGGATCGACGACGGCGACATCTGGTGGTTCCCTCTTCGGAGCGGCGCAGGCGGCCACAAATGCGGCGCCGGCCTTTGGTGGTGCCTCGACGCCCGGCGGTGCGCCGGTCTTCAACTTCTCGGGCCCCCCGTCCCAGCCCTCGCAGGGCAGCGGCACCATGTTTGGGTCCAGCCAGGCAGTTCCCGCGTTGGGCGGCCTCCAGCCACCTGCTGGTGGATCCTCGACCACGGGGACCAGTAAGTCACCATTTCCACATCGGAAAATTGCCCCGCTAAAGCGTCGGGTGTAGACTCTCCTTTGAACCTTGGAGGAGGCGGTTCAAGCCTGGCGACTACACCGGCCGCGGGGACCCCGGAACCTTGGAACCAAGCTGAAGGAACCACTGGCGGGGACCACGAGGGGGGCGATAAGCATGAGCAGATCAACCTCACGGACGGGGTGGACGTGAACGAGGAGATTGTCCACGAGGTGCGGGCCAAGGCGCTGAAATTTGTGCCGCCGGCGGACAGCGACGGCAAGGGCAAGTCGAAGAGCCCGTGGTCGACCCAGGGCATCGGCCCACTGCGGCTGCTGAAACACGAGGAGACGGGCATGGTGCGGCTTGTGTTGCGAGCGGAACCGCGAGGGCACGTGGCGCTGAATCGGGCGGTGCTGCCAAACATGCCGTACAAGGCGGATGAAAAATATGTCAAGATTACGACATCCAACGAGGACGGCGATGGGCTGGAGACGTGGATGGTGCAGGTCAAGACCAAGGACATGGCGAAGGAGCTGGCGGAGGCGTTGGAGAAGAACAAAGAGCTGAACAAGCAGTAAATACTTGGGGGGACAGAGATTGTTGTTGTGGCAGGGCATATGGGGGGAAGCATGGCTGGCGCTTTGTGCAGCTCTATATAATCGCGTTTGTCTCTTGGCAAGGGACGGAAAAGAATGGTAGGAATTGAGGATTGCGGCGGAAAACTTTGCTTCTTGGCGACTTGTGACGAGCGACGGGCGGTCATGGTGAGTAAACGGCAGCCTCGTGACACCCAAATTGGCCGTGCAGTCTCGTAGCAACGGGTTTCTGCTTGCCTCTTATTTTCTTATTTGATGCAGGGGAAGCAAACGAGGCTACGAGTTACTCCGTAGTGCAGGTACTGTAGGTACTTTGATGAACGGCGGGGGCGGAGACGTCTCTCTACGCGTCGCGTGTTTTAGCCACTGCGATAACCAACCTCGATCGACACCTGCTTGCTGGGCTGGCGGCAGAAACTTTGCACCGCAGGCGACCAAGATGCCACGGTAGGACCCCGCGTCCGGATGCCGTTGGAGTGGCCCTGACCGAATTGCACAGGGAGATAATCACGATCCAGGCCGGTCAGTGCGGCAACAGCAGTGAGTCTCCGGCCCATCGTCACCGCCTCCTCCTCCGACTTGGTCTCTCGCTGACGGCTGGAAATAGTTGGGAGTCAGTTCTGGCAGCAGCTTTGCCAGGAACACGGAATCAGCCAGGATGGCAATCTCGAGGACTTTGCGACCGAGGGCGGCGACCGCAAGGACGTCTTTTACTACCAGAGCGACGACACGCGATACATCCCGCGCGCCATCTTGATTGACCTGGAGCCGCGCGTACATTTCTCTTGGATGCCTCTATCCCGGCACAAGCGCTGACATGACGGTTGCAGGTCATCAACGGCATCCAGACGGGCCCGTACCGAAATATCTACAACCCCGAGAACTTTTACGTCGGCAAGAATGGCATGGGCGCGGCCAACAACTGGGGCGACGGCTACCAGAGCGGAGAGGCCGTCTACGAGGACATCATGGAGATGATTGACCGAGAGGCCGACGGGAGTGACTCGCTCGAGGTTCGAATCTCCCCCTGCCGTGACGGTATGTGCTGCTGACGACTTGGGGAGCAGGGATTCATGATGCTGCACTCGATAGCCGGCGGCACCGGGTCCGGCCTCGGCTCCTTCCTGCTCGAGCGGCTCAACGATCGGTTTCCAAAGAAGATTCTCCAGACGTACTCGGTCTTCCCGGACACGACCAATGCGGGCGACGTGGTTGTGCACCCCTACAACAGCATCCTCTCCATGCGGAGGCTGACACAAAACGCCGACTCGGTCGTGGTGCTAGACAATGGCGCCCTGTCGCACATTGCCGCCGACAGGCTGCACGTCCAGGAACCGTCATTCCAGCAGACGAACCAGCTCGTCAGTGGGATCCGTGGCGCAAGCACGGGAACAGCGAGTGCTGACAGACACGTTTCCTGACAGGTTGCAACGGTCATGTCGGCGAGCACGACGACGCTACGATACCCAGGCTACATGCACAACGACCTGGTCAGCATCCTGGCGTCGCTGATCCCGACGCCGCGGTGCCACTTCCTGATGACGGCATACACGCCCTTTACCGGCGACCAGGTGGAGCAGGCCAAGACGGTGCGCAAGACGACGGTGCTCGACGTGATGCGGCGGCTGCTGCAGCCCAAGAACCGCATGGTGTCGACGGTGCCGGGCAAGAAGAGCTGCTACATCTCCATCCTCAACGTCATCCAGGGCGAGGTGGACCCGACAGACGTGCACAAGAGCCTGCTGCGCATCCGCGAGCGGCGGCTGGCGACGTTTATCCCCTGGGGCCCGGCGAGCATCCAAGTGGCACTGACGAAGAGGAGTCCGTACGTATCCAAGAGTCATCGCGTGAGTGGGCTGATGCTGGCCAACCACACCAGCATTGCCACGGTAAGCCTTTCTCCTTGTCCTTGCGTACACATGTATATGTGTGTGCGCGTGTGTGCGTGTCCTCGAGGCGACGTATGCTAACAAGAGCGGGATCTGATAGCTGTTCAAGCGCATCCTCAAGCAGTACGACGGGATGCGCAAGCGCAACGCCTTCATGGAGGGCTACAAGAAGACGGCGCCGTTTGCCGAGAACCTGCACGAGTTTGACGAGGCGCGCGAGGTGGTGGCAGACCTGATTGGCGAGTACGAGGCGGCGGAGAACGCGGATTACCTGCAGCCAGAGGGCGGCGGCGACAAGGCCGTGTCGGCGGAGACGGACAAGAGGGTGGCCGGGTGAGAGCATTCAGGGATTGGTGCTTGGAGTCTGGTCTTTTGCCCGTCGCAACCTTTGTTGATTCTGCTCTTTTACTGGCAGGCTGGGAGTAGAAGGAGATGTATTCAGGAAGCTGAAGCTGTCATTTGGGCGTCCCGTCTCGTAGTTGCTCGGCTTGCTCGGCTGTGGGACCGAGGCTCACCAACCACAGTCTTGGAAGGTGGAAACCGAGCATTGTTCTACAAGAATACACGCGCTTACCCGAGCATAACCACTCAGTCAGGGCGAAGACAGGAACCCTTGGGAGGATAGAGAGGTACGTCATGTAGGGCCGTGAACGTGCCGATGAAGAACTGTGCCTGATATACTGTTTCGGGCACGGAAGTTGTCAATGCGAGCACAGTAAGGACACGGTATACACCGAGAGACCGAGACCGAGGTTTGGTGGTTTGCCAGCCATCGGTGAAGCATCCTTGACTACACAAGAATGGGGTAGCCGGAGGTCAAGGTCCGCCGCAGAGGATAGTCGACGACGACAGTGACGTCAGTGACGTCAGTGGGGGCGTGGGGACGGGCAATCGTTGATTTAAAGGGCCTCTTTGGAACCCGACATTGGCAATTTTATCTACAAACTTCTTCATCGGAAGTCCAAAAGCACTCTGAACTTGTCTGACCAAGAGCTGAAGCAAGGTATGTGGTTACCCAGAGACAGACAGATGACCGACGAGAGCCAAAGAAGAAGGCTGACAATTGAAGAAACAAAACAACAGCCAAGCCAATCTTGATCGAAAATGCCCGAGTCCAAGGCCGACCAAATCGCAAAGGCGCAGGCCAACCTCCCGCTGCCCGAGCAGCCGCCGCAGGCATCGGACTGGCAGTCGGCCGACGCGCGCAACGTCAACGTGGGCGCGGGGGACAGCAAGGCCGAGGCGCCCATTGGCACGGGGGCCGGGGCGCGGGCCGGCCTGCGGGGGCCGGCGACCCAGGGCGCCGACATGGACATGAGCGGCGTGGGGCGGGATGGCAAGACGGGCTGAGGTTGCGGGGTGGGTGCTGTCTTCTACGGCCGGACGGGATACTGCCTGTGCATGTACGCTTGATGCCAGGCTTGCGAGCACCTGAGACGGGCGGGGGATGCTGTCGTGACGGTCTGGTCTTGTGGTTTGGATGCTTTCCTTGGCTTGTTGCAATGCTTCCTTTATTTTGGCTGATGCTGGTATTCAATAACTGCCTTCCCAGGCGGGGTTAGAAAACACGACACGTGCTGAACGGGTGATTATAAGAAAGAGCACGGAAAGCCCTCTCTCGGAGTAGCTGAATATCTTCAAAAAAAACATTCAACTAAGCGGTAATAATATTAATAGCATCTATGTGATTAGTTTTTTAAAAAATTTAACCAGAATATCGGAACGCTGCGTAAACGTTCTCTTAGGCAGAAAAAGGACACCCCACCAGCTCCCTACCATGTATTACCAGAGTCCTGGGCTCTGGTCAAATCCGGCGCTCCTGATTGGACAAAGTCCAGTGCTCTCTCTCTCTCCAGCGGACTACCCACCAAACCCAGCATCCCAAGCTCCGTCAGTGCCTCGTTTTCACCCTCTCTCCTCCTCGGCCCAATTGCCCCCTCCCGCAACCGATTGCCCGTGCTACAAGCAGAGAAAACGACCAAACAAGACGAGGGCTTCTCAGAAACCCCACACCAGCCGCCTCCCCCTCCCCCGGTCCATGCTGCGTCGCCTCGTCGCCGCCATGACGGAATCCGCCGCAAAACGCGCCAAGACGGGCGCAGCAGCCCAGCCGCCGCTCATCGGCACCCACAGCGGCCACTTCCACGCCGACGAGGCCCTCGCCGTCCACATGCTGCGCATGCTGCCGACGTACCGCGACGCGGGGCTCGTCCGCACGCGCGACCCGGAGCGCCTCGCCGCGTGCCACACCGTCGTCGACGTCGGTGGCCGCTATGATGTCGAGGCCCGTCGCTTCGACCATCACCAGCGCGGCTTTGACGCTGTGTTTCCCGGGCGCGAGACTAAGTTGTCGAGTGCCGGGCTGGTGTTTCTCCACTTTGGGCGCGCCATTGTTGCGCAGAGGCTTGCGGCGGCGGCGAGGCCGAGCACCGGCGACGGCGGCGACGACGTGGCGTCTGCCGACCAGGACTCTCCCGAGGTCCATCTCCTGCATCGCAAGCTGTACACCGACTTTGTCGAGGCCCTCGACGCCCACGACAATGGAATCGCCGTCTACGACCCCGCCGGCGTCGCCGCCGCCGGCCTCGACAAGCGCTACTCCGAGGCCGGCTTCACCCTCGGCGCCCTCGTCGGCCGCCTCAACCCGAGCTGGAACGACGCGGCCCCCGCCGACGCTGACGCGGCCCAGCGCCGTGAGGACGACCGCTTCCTCGTCGCCAGCCGCCGCATCGGCGAAGAGTTTGAGCGCGAGCTCGACTACTGCGTCGCCGCCTGGCTGCCCGCCCGCACCGTCGTCCAGCGCGCCTTTGACGCCCGCGCCGCCCACGACCCCGACGGCCGCCTGCTCGTCTTCGACGGCCAGTCGGTCCCTTGGAAGGACCACCTCTACACCCTCGAGGACGGCCGGCCCCAGGTCCTCTACGTCCTGTACCCGGAGAAGCCCGAGCCCGGCGCAAAGTGGAGGATCCAGTGCGTCCCCGAGTCCAAGGACTCGTTTGTCAGCCGCAAGCCCCTGCCCGAGGCCTGGCGCGGCTTCCGCGACGAGGAGCTCGACGCCGTCGCCGGCATCCCTGGCTGCGTCTTTGTGCACGCCGCCGGCTTCATCGGCGGCAACAAGACGTGCGAGGGCGCCAAGCAAATGGCCGCCAAGGCATTGGCCGCATAAGGCGCCCATACAATACATAACAAAGCGCAAGCCTACAGCCAATCACGGGGCAGAGACAATCCGGACGTCTAGGCCGAGAGCTCAATGCGGGGTCGAGCTTCATGCCAGAAAAAGGGACTCGATCCGACCTGAACAGTAGTACATGGCGAGAAATAGCATACAGCAGACTGGGGAAAAGAAGCCACTTCTCTTTCCAGCCCTGGCGAGTGTCCTCCTGATACATGCGTGCACAGTCCAAACTTCAATAAAGATGACTGCATCCTTCCGCAAACAGAGAACGGCGAGGAATGGCTGGGCTTAACCCACCAGATAAAACAAAGGGAAAACAGAAAAAGAGCCAACTATCGTTGCCTCTGGCCGCGCAACCATTTTGAATGGCCTCCCACACCACCCAACGCCTACTTTGCCAGTTCCCATGACAAATGAAATTTCAATCACAATAGCTTGTCGACGGGGCTCCCCCCGCCTTGAAAGAATCCAGACTGTCTGCCCGCAGTCTCCAGTCTCATGAGTTGTCGTCGGTACGTCACCGTCAACTCGGGTCTGCAAACGACGGTCTAGTGCCGAATGGGAATTCCGTCGCCGGCGGCGGGCTCTGGAGACGCAGAAGCGGTGGCGGCGTCATGCTTGTCCTTTTCGCCAGGCATTGTGGTAGCACCCTCGGCGCTCGTCTCGCGGTTGAGAAAGCTGCTCTCCTTGACGGGGCTCACGGCCTGGATAGAGCCGTGGTGGGTGTGCTTGGGGCCGTTGGGGCCGCCGTTGACGGGGGACGAGAGGTGGGGGATGTTTTCCGGGACGGGGTGCTGGGAGCCGACGGCGCCGGCATCGACGCCGTCGCCCTTGCCGGCCTTGGACATGGCATAGTCGCCCGAGTCAAAGTACTTGCGGTCCTTAAGGTGCTTGGCGAAGTGGTCGGAGCGCGTGGGGAGCTTGCCGTAGAGGCGGAAGATGCGAAACTCTTCGGGGGAGAGGGACTGGGCGAGCCGTGGTCAGCAATCTTGTATCCGCAGCGTAGCGTCGAGGCCCTTGCCGAGAGTGTTGCAGCGCAATGCTCAAGCGAGGGGAAGATGCTCACCTTGACGTCGACCTTGTTCTTCTGGTGCGGATTCATGGTCGAGGCAGCCGGTGGCTGAGACGTGTGTCGTTGGCGGACGCGACGTCTCGATGGGATGCTGCTGCTCTGTCTGCCGGCGGGCGGATGAGTGACGAGTGCGAGTCTGTGGAGGCGAGGGTTGGTTGATGCGAGTCGATGGCTTGAAATGCGTCCCTGTGAAATGGCTGGTGACAAGACGATGCTTCAGTAGCAGTTGAGCGCGAGGGAGAAGGGAGGAGGAGGGGCCCCGGGTACTTGCAGGTAGCGGGGTGCATTGGAATGGCGGGTGCTGAGCGAGTCACCGGGCCCTCCCTTGGTGGAGCCAAGTGGCAGTGTACCCTTGAGAAAGGGACTCGAGATCCCTCACTATTTTGGCGCGAGTGCAAGTACCGTCGTCATGCTCAGCCACGAGCGTACCTTGCGCATCAGGGTCTCGGAGCCGGACTAACACTTGGTGCGCCGACCCTCTCTTCTCGACTGCGTCTGACCGCGAGCAGAAGTGACGATAAAGGGGAGAGAACGAGGCCAGAGACGTGCCGCGCTGAAGCTGCTATTCGTACAGTGGTCGAGCTCTCTACAAAACATGCTCTTCGAGTCGCCTGCCCTCGCCAGTACTCACAGCGAACCAGGGCATCAAAGGGAATGATGGCATCTACTCACATCGAGGAGTCCACTCATCCATCTTCCAGTGACAGGTTGTCTACACGGGCGTATGGATTATGTGTGCTTATAATCTGCAAGTCTAAGAGCGATCCTGCAATTCTTCATCTCGCCCAAGTGTCAGATCCGGACTGTAGAGGTCACGAGATTAGTCACGTGCCGGGACCTGGGGAACTTGTGCTCAAGGAAATTAATTGCCCATGAAAGGTCGCATCGTCAGAAGCTTCTTCTTCACGCACAGAGTCAATCACACAGACGCCTTACAGGCCTCTTTGGGCATCATCCATCTGGTACTTGTGGTACTGCCCAATTGGGCAGGCTGCAGGACTATTGCTCTGGCAGTTACGGCCACCCATATGCTTGTATGCGGTTGTGCAATAATGGGCAATTGTAAACATGTCAACGCTGGGGGCCTGGACGCCGCAGGAGAATGACTTGTCATCTACACAGAGTTACCTTATCAAAGGTTCCTCGCTCAAGAATGCAGTCGAAACGGGAATAAACACGTTTGTAGGCGGATTTAAGCCAGGTGAATCCATTTAAATCGAGGACGAGATTTAACAAAACCCCCTGGGCGCTGCAACGACATATTGCTAAAGCAGATGCGATGCCAACTATCTCGATAACAAACGCTGACGTATTCGATGGGCTTCACGTCAAAAACGTCCCCAATCAGTGCTTCCAAGGAAGCCCCGGCAATATCCTCGCTCCTCAGTCGAATTCAGACGTCCATGTCGATGGCACGGGATGTACCTTGATGCCAGGCCTCATTGATGCCAAGGTCGACGCCAATTCGTCTCCAGGTGCGCTCTACACCTGTGCAGCCTTTGGCATCACGACTGTCATCGATTCTTCCAGCACAAACGCCGAGTGTCAGGCGATGCACTTGGCCGTCTCGGAGAACCCAACTCTCCCGTCTTATTTCGCTACCGGCTCTGCAATTGGGCCCGAAAATGCCAGTTCCCTGAGCATATTCTCCTACCGCGCTGTCCGGGTCGCTACTACGCCAGCAGAGGCGAGACAGGTCGTGGCAGAAAATGTTTCTGCCTCGAGTGGAGGAAACTTGGTCAAGATCATCGTGGACCAGCCCGGCTTGGATTTTCAGACAATTGCAGCTGCGGTCGCGGCAGCTCACGAGCACGGGAGCCTGGCCGTCGGACAGGCCTCCCAATGTGATGCTTACAAGCTCGCGCTTGACGCTGGTTTCGACGTTGTGACGGCCGTCCCTGTCGACGGCACGCTCGACGCCGAGGTAGTACGAGGATTTGCGCAGAAAGGTATCGGCGTCGTTCCCACCCTCTGCTATCTGCGGAAAGCGGTCGACAAGGCGGATAACGCAGACTATGACTTTGCTCATGCCATGGCCGCGGTGAAGCAGCTTCATGAAGCAGGAGTTCGGATATGTGCAGGGACGTCGGCGAACCAGGAAGATAGCATGACAGTGTCATTTGGTCAGAGCCTGCACGAGGAGCTGAAGCTGCTCGCCGAGGCCGGGCTTACCAACATGGAAGTGATGCGGGCTGCAACATGTGTTCCCTCTGCGCTATTCAGGTTGCCCGACCGCGGAGCCATTGAAGTAGGCTACAGAGCGGATTTGCTACTTGTCAGTGGTAATCCGCTTGAGAACCTGGCTCTTGGCAGCCAGATCAGGCGGGTCTGGATTGCTGGGGTCGAGATTGATATCAGGTAAGAACCTGTTGGCGGCCGGAACGCCTCTGGCCTCAAAGCATCTGCCTCCCTTCTGTGAGACTTTGGCTGTTTGTAATTGGCAATGGCGAAGAATCCAGCCTGACGTGTCTAGTCGTGGGTTCATCGTGACCTACAGGCCGAATTGGACAGGCCAAGGTGCTGGCTGTTGAGACAGATGCTGCGAGGTTCAGCATGGCGCGGGTATTTCAACGAAGAGCTTTTCGTAGTGAGCAGATAAGCCGGTAGCATGTGAGAGGTCGTTCGCACGTTGCAGTGCATTTTAATGGTTGTTCTGCAACATCAGTCACCTTCTCGCACACCCTCCCCTCCCCCCCTTTTTTTGCATACTTAATTCTTTAGCTTCGTGTTGGAGAAAACATCAAGCTAAAGAGACCTTGCAAGTAAATAAATGTTACGGACCAAGGAACCTGCAGGCTCAACACCACGTGGTGCGCCTACATGTAGGTGGGAGGACAGCGGTGACAGGAGCGCACTTTAACATGCAAAACACACAGAAAGTTACATGGAGTTCTAAATATATATTTTCAGCCTCTTGCACAAGGAAACCCTAGCGGTCTAGGCGCGTCAAGTACACGAATAAGGCCATATCAGCCGACTCTCTCTTTTAGGGAGGTCAGCGCAACCAACACGGTCTCTCCCAATGCAAAGTCCACATAACTTAACGACAGCGTGTATGTACTAGGTGGTGACTGATGTTTGATGTTGGTGTTTATCTGAATTAGTAGGGGCATCCTGGACCTTGTAAAGCAGCCAGGCGCTAGCCATGGAGCGGCTGCCGGTCTGCCACGGGTGATGTCATCATCTACTGAGAAATCATGCGTCTACAATGCAAGCAGCTGATTGTGTTACCTGGTCGTGTCACCATCTTGTCTCTACCGAGCTGCCTTTTCACTCGGATCTACAATGCATCGTTCGCATGGACACCCAAGGCCAACTCTCCGGAGCAGGGAGCTGCGACCCAAAGCACCGTTGAATCAAGCTTCGGCTGAGCCATCTGAAATACTTGCAAGGCATAAGCGTGAGCAGGTAAAGTTGGCCTGCGATCGTAAGGCACCCATCATTCCTCTGGGGAGAAAAATCTAAGGTTTCCCTCGTTAGGATGTCGGAAGCGGAAGGCCAAGGTCGACAATAACATCCAGAAGGGCGTCGGGAAAAGACGTTGTGCTAATAAGAGTGCAGTGCGACGGTCGCCGCCCGTCGTGTCGTTCGTGCAGCACGGCAAAGGTGGAATGTGTGTATCGCCTTCCCGAAGCCAACTTGCGGCGCCGCTTCGAAGAGTTGCGGATGGCGTATGAAAACATCAGACGATCTTCCAACCCATTGCGTCAAGTCTCAGAGCAGAGCGCTGTCGAGTCCGAAGCGCAAATAGGAGCATGTCAACGCCCAGCAATTCCATCAATGGATACCCGTTCGATTGTTCACCTACAAAACACTCCTCAACCGGAGTCGAGGCAACACGGGCCTTACGGATCGATAATCAAGGGAAACACGTCCAAGTCTGCCCCCAACTGTCGTCCTTTCTTCGTCTCACTGGTCAAACTGCCTCTCTCTCGATGGACCAACATCAGCAATGACGATACTCTGCTTACCCATCTTTTCACGCTGTTCTGGACTTGGGACAGCTCCCTTGCCAGGATATTGCATCGCGAGCTGCTCCTCGACGATTTGTCTGCGCAGCGGGATGCCGCGTCCAGCGTGCCGAGGGAAGCTGAGGCACAGTTCTGTTCGGATTTCTTGATTAACTCGATACTGGCCGTCTCCATGGTATGTGGTTCATTACAACAAAGAATCATCCCTCGGTGTTAAGCGGGAATAACGAGGATGTGCATCTCTCTAGGGTTACCTCTTTAAAAGTACCGACTTTAACGAGCCTCCGACCCATCGGGAGTTTGCAGACGAGGCTTTCCGACTTTTTGCTCTGCAAGGTCAGGCAGCCCAAGTACCTTTGCTGCAGGGAGTTGCCATAATGTCAATCTATGAGCAAGCCTTTGGAGACCCGCTCAGGGGGGCGAGCTTGTTTCTCGATACGCTGTGCACACTACGGTCAAGCTCGGACATTATTGATGTTCCTGCGTTGCCGTACGACAATTACGAAAGCCCGAGAACAGACAACCTTCGACAAGCAATTGCCTTTATTTCCGACGGACTTTGTTACCTAGACGTGTAAGTGGCAAGTCGAAAAGCTCCGAACGCTAGGTAATCTTAACACCTCTCTTGCCGCACCGCAGTAAGATAAGCCTGACTATGGCTCCTGCGGCGTTTGCTTCTCGAATCCCTCGGGCCAACGGCGTGCGAGGCCAAGGGTCGTTGTCTGAAAAAGGATCAAATATCGACGCGCTGTGGATCCCTTACCCGGTGTCGACACGGCCACAGCTGTCGCACTACGATGACGCCCTTGAGGCCGAGTACGAGCTTAGTTGCTTAGCGGGCGAGATTCTGCTTGCTATCCAGAACAACCGCGCAAGTCCAGTACCGGACTATCTTGGTGCAAAGGCATTGTATAGTCGTCTACTACAGTGGAAGGAGTCAAAATCACAACGTTTTCAAGGTCAAACATCCGTCGTACCGGCCTGGGTATGCTTGATGTGAGTCCAACCGTTTGCCAATGTACGCCTATCCCATACATACTTTTAATGCAGTGAGAAAATCATGGCCTGAGGGCCTAGGTTCCTCGGTCGAAAATTCGACCAAGGACGCAGGACACGACTTGAAGAAGGGTACACTGACCACCAGCAGGGCGTCCTATCACTTTGTCTCTATAAAGCTCCTTGAGCCTTTCACGGGCCTGTCTTTCTTGGACTTTAGTGACGGGAAGACGGCTCGATTTCTCTCTCAATCGCACAGTGAGGGCACCATCTCAACTTTATGGAACTATCGCACAGCGTTCGGGATGCGACACGAGTATTGGCTCCTTCATGCCTGTAATACTGCTGTAGCGAGTTTGCTTCTCGACAATACGCTCCCCGGGCCCCATGAGGAATCATTATCTCGGGGCTGCGAGCTGCTATACAGCATGGGGCGATACATGCCTCGGGCAAACTGGCTTCTTCTGGCTCTATGGGGCAAGGCCCAGGCGAGAGCAATCAGGTTACCAGGCGCATGCAAAATGTTCTTGAGTGCGGGGACCGCGACGGTGAGGCGTATCAACGTCGGTAACGTTGCGCCTCTGATATCCACCAATGCTGGCAAGGGGGTGTTATTCACGGATCCGGCTCAGGTCACCTTCAAACAGAAGATTGAATGTATAGAGAGGGACGGCTAAGACGGAGAGAAGACCAGTATTTAAGTAGTTGCCGAAGTGGATGAAGAAAAAGCCTGACTCTGAGCTGGCATTCGCGCCTCATGTGCTTTTCCGTGGCTGTGAACCCTGAGACTGTTGAGAGTTTGGAGTCGTTTGTCAGGTGAATCCGACGATCGCCCAATCTTTTCACAAGCTGCGAACACAGAGTAGGCTAGGAGGTGATTATGGTCTTGGCTAGACAGGGTGAGTAAAGACAGTGAGTGAAGTAGCGGGAAACGCGCGAGGAAAAGATGCGGGCACGATCGTACCTGAACTTGGTCGACAGTCGTTGCCTCGACCTTTCGAGGACTAGCCTAGCGTAGCCGCTAATCCAGCGGCCGCACCCGAGGTGGCCTCATATTTTGGTTCTTGCGTCATGCAGGAAGACAATAGGACACGGGAAGTGACGCGAGGTGCATCATCGGATCACCGCTAACGCTGGTCAGATCCACAGGTGGCTACAAGTGTAGGGTTACATGACGAATGCAGACACATGATTTCAATGGCTCAGGACCCCCCAGAGATAAAAGGGGGCCCAAGGGGTCAAGGGGCCAGGAGCCGGCATCGGTCTCTGCCGCCCTTGGCAGTAGAGACCTCTTTCGACAATTTTTACCATATATACATTAATTAACCACACGCTTATGCATAAGTTAGTAGTTAGCCCGGACAACAGTTAAACGGTATAGTAGTCAGTGCGCGCGGGAGTCAGTCCGCCGGTAAATCAATCTGCCCGGTAACCAATCCGGCTGTCTTCTTTCGCTTTCGCCAGCGTCGCCATATCACGGTATACCGGTTTTCGACTAGCCAGACTAAAGCGCTGCTTATAAGGATTACCTATACCTCTATCCCCTCTGTATAAGGTAAACCGCTAGCTTGCTGTCAGGACAAGAGAAGACTTATAATACGCGCCAGTTATGCCACTAATAGGGATGTCCCTATTTTGCTTGCTGTAGCGGTATTTCACCAGTTTTTCATTTACTCTATTTGGAGCGAGAAGTACAACAGGAGGAAGCCTTGGCATTTTAATCGTGTAAAGCGTAAGAGCTAACCTAGCTATTTTTAGGTCACTTTACTATAGCTGTCTATGGAAATTCTGAAGACTTCAATAGGATCTTTACTACTAAATGGAAAAAGAATAGAAATATTACCTCAAGTAGCCTATGACTTTATAGTTAGGTTAGACCTGTTAAAAATCGGTTCCGATCAAGAGTATTGCTCAGACTAGAAAGCCGCATAATGAGTGTCTAGAGTGCTCCCATATCTCATTTCTGTATCATCTCCCGTGGCCATGTCCGCTGGAAATGTTTGTCAAGGCCTCGGAAGCGGCAACCACTGCCTTGGTAGCACCGGATAGATTCATTCGCAGCAGATGGCGTCCGGTGAACAACGACGCTCGTGCCGGAATTTGTATCGTTGGCTCTGCCTGTGCGGGGTGGCGAGGAAGGGGCGCAAGTGTTGGCTCACCCTGGACTTACACGGTGCATGGAGCTTTCATGTCGTTGGTTGCTGCGCGCGCGAACCCCTGACTCAACAGGCTACCCACTTCTCCATCCGAGGGAAAGAGGAGCAGCAGAGGAAGTCTTCGGATCTTTGTGCCTACAATGACTGTCTCTACCTGGTTCAAAGTGAGACAATGTGGCAAGGACCCTTCGGCGACTTTGACCCAGCTACCAGATTGGCTGGGGCGGCTCTGATTTCCGGCGTACTGGCGCAACACCTATCTACCAGCCAAGCCGAGCTCGGTTCCGAAATCTTGGGCTGGATCCTGCTGCCGGTTATGTTCAAGGTTGCCGAACGACCACATGTCGACAAGTTCCCCAGAGCAGTGGCTCCCGGTGGAGCTGAGAGCTGCAGTGCCTCTGCATCATCATTATGGACGGTTGCCTTGAGCATTGCTACTGTCTCTTTTTTTAAAGCCGAAACAGGAACCGGTGCACTCCTTGTGAGCAGCTCATGTGGGCGAGGAATCTATTTTACCAAACTGACGATGAATTAGCTGCCAGCGTCGACGCCACTGTTCTTGATGGTCCAAAGGGTCCTCGGAGTTGAGCCTCGTTCTTTGACAACACCCGACTCTTTACTCTCTTCTTTCTCATACTCAATTCTGGGCACGGCGGTCGTCGCCTTGTTTGTCATCACCACCCAGTTAGACTGCCCTCTCGGAGGTCTTGCCCTATCAGCCATCTCTCACGCCTAGACACGGCGCGAGCACTCAAATTTTACCTCATATTGACTTGGAAGACTCAATCGTCTCTCTTTCACTGCGTGTCGTGGTCGTGTTGACGGCCGTGCTTGGCGCAGAAACCGCCGCGTTCGGATTCCCCAGCAGCAACGCCGTCGCCACGCTGATGGTGGGCTTGGCCAAGGCGTCTTGTTGGTACTTTACGACTCAACTTGTGCGTGACGACTGGCCTCTAGCTCTGATAAAGAGATTTGCATAGTGCTGACCATCGAGGGTTGCAGACACAACATTCTTCATGGCTTATTTCTACTGCAACGGGCACGTTCAGTACCAGTTCGACTCGCGACCCATTTAAGCAGCCGTCCGGTGCTGGGGCTCTATCACAAGTCACGGCGTCCTTCTTTGCCCTCGGCCAGGTCATTCTCATGCTCCCAAAACAAGCCAAGTCCAAATCAACCCTCTGGGCCTTTGGGCTCGTCTCGCTTGTCCCGTACCTCGCCAACATAGTGTCCATTCAAATTTCACAATCCTCACAGCTTCTCCACCAAACACATCCTGTCCAGGTCTTAATCGAACACGCCAAGGCGGACTTTCAAGACTTGTCGAAAAGGCAATCGCAAAACTACTCGGAGGCCCACCGCGAATATCAGCATCGATACGGCGTGGAACCGCCGCCAGGCTTCCGAGCCTGGTATGAGTTTGCCAAGTCGCGCCGGTCACCCATTATTGACGAATTTGATATGATTTACTGTCAGAGGGAGCAGACTGACGGTCTAATCCGCACACGTATAAACTCCGGTGAAAGAGGCAGGTCAGACACAAGGACTTGAGTCAGGTATCGATACAGTAGAGGAACATTGCCCTAATCGGGATACACGGGAATTGGCACTGATTCAGGGCCACCACGGGTCCCAGATTGGTATCTATTCGTATAAATACCCCTCAATGTCGCACAGATAGATAAAAACATGCATCATCGTTTGGACTCAATTGTGCCTGCCCTTATCCTTCCGCCCGCGCTCTCAGCTTGCTGAGAGTTATGAGCCCGGTTTGCGGTGCTCTTTATCCTTCGCATTCCTCTACCAACTGTGAGGCTATCACGAATCTCAACGCACCATATATCCTTCACCCTTGGGGTTGACGCGAGGAAGAGAGCAAAATTCAGGGGCAACACCCACAACTACGCAGAGTCAACGTGACGCGTGCATCCCTCGCAGGAGGTAAAACACACGATGACACTAGGCCCCCAATATCAGAAGGGGGAGGTGTACATCACCACACTCAAGGAAAGCCTTGACTGGACCCCATGGATTAGGGGTATCAAATCATGGGCTCAAACGCACCACATCTGGGAGTACGTTAACCCAGAAGGGACCGTGGTGCTCGAGGAGCCCCTGAGGCCTAGCTGGGAAGAGCTACTCGAGAAGGTAGGGCAGAGGCCCCACCGAGGAAGCTTTCCCAACGAAGAAAATAAGTATAAGGCAGCAAGGGAAGACTTCAATGAGAAGCTTCAAGATGCCAAGGACCTCTTTAGGTACAAAGAGAAGACCTTCCAGGATCAATTGGACCGCTTCAAGGCTAGAGAAAAGCCATGATGCAGATCGAGGAGGTGATCAAGAAGTCCATCAGTGAGGGGCTCCAGGGCGAGACCCTGATACAGCTGACGCCCCGGGACAAGATCAAAGAACTCAAACAGAAGGTTCTCCCCTCAGCGGAGGAAGAAAAGAACCTTATCGATGAAAGGTATCATCAAATCATCAACAAGAAAGGAACCCGGGACTGGAAGGCCTGGGCAGAGCAGCTGGACCAAGTCATCCTGGATTCAAGAGACCTAGCGGTCTCGACTATTAATGACACAAAGATTCGTCAGGACTTCCTCAAAGGGACCGAAGAATGGGACCCTAGCTGGCCCATGACGATTAGGCTGCTGGACGCACTCCTGGAGAGAACAGGACTCCCAGCAACCCCTTTGCGCACCCTGATTGCCGACTTTAAAAGGGAGGTTGGATTCAGGAAGAAAGGAAACCCTCAGAAGCCCCCAGGGGTCAACAACGCAAACAACGCTCCAAGATCATCTGATCAGAGGACTAGGAATGGCCCAGAGGGTCACACAAGTGCCCGGCATGTAAGCAACACTGGGTCAAAAAGGATGAGTGGTGGGAAAGCTGCTGGACCTTTAGAGCGATGTTCCAGAAAGACCCCCCCGAAGGATGGATTCCCAGGGACCACCTTAAGGAGGCCATCAACCAGCACCTTAAGGAGAACCCCTTGGACAAGACCAAAGCCATGGAGTGGAAGCCAAAAGCCAAAGACATCACAGTCCCGCAGAATAACAACAACTCGAGCAAACAGGCTAATACAGTGTCGCACGTGCATAGCACTAATACGAGTGAAGACTCTCTCGAGGACAAGGCCATCTATGATTCAGGGGCTAGCGTACATGTCTTTAACGACCTACGATGGTTCGATGAGGATACCTTCACCTGGGGATCGTCAGAAGAAGTCCGGGCAGGAAAACTCCTCCAAGTCAAGGGGGTAGGCATGGCCGTTATCCCAGTGAAAAACGGGATCAATTTGAAGCTTGAGCAGCTACTACATCCCAGAGATGCCAACAAGTGTGTTCTCAGCTCGTCAGGGATTGTTGCGAAGATCTATTGGAACCAGGTTAACGGCACACTCTACCATGAGCCCACAGGGCGCACTCTGGTCAGTCTGCAAGAAATTGAAGACCAATACGTTATTGCAAGCCTCTCAAAGCGGCCCCAACACAGCGTCTTTGTCACAAGCAGGGCTCCTAAGCCACCAATGGGTGGGCAAGCAGACCTTTGGCACAGACGGCTAGGACATCCGGGGCCAGAACCCCTTAGCCACCTAACCAAGATGGGGACCGGCCACGTGTGAATGCGAGGTCTGCGCAACAGGCAAGGCAAAGAGGCAGGTCTCCGTGAGAGCCCACTTTACGACCCAGAGGGCCGGAGCTCAATTTAGCTTCGACTTACACCCAGGCCCGGTGGCCGGATTCGGGGGTGAAAAGTACTTTGCGCTCTTCACATGCATAACGACCAGGATGAGGTTTTATTACGCGTTGAAGAGCAAAACCGAGGTCCGAGATGCCTTCAAGAAGCTAACATCAATGCTAGAAACTCAGTACGGGATAAAACTGATCAACCTGGCTTCTGACGGAGAAAAAGCCCTTCTAACAAAGGAGCTAGTCAAATTCATCGAAGGATTGGGCATTCGGGTCTTCCAGTCAGCTCCATCCACGCCCACGCAGAATGGGCATGCAGAAAGGTCCGGGGCCGTGGTCAAAGAAAGGGCCCGGCTTATGAACCTGGACTCCCGCATCCCGGAGGAGCTCTGGACCGAGACCTACCGCACAGCAGTGTATTTGCTCAACCGTACGCCACTTAAAGGATCTGATCATAGCTGGAGAAGCCCACACGAACGATGGTGGACCTATATGAGGGACCACAACCCTCTATACGGCCACATCAAGCGAGTCCAGCCGAGCATAAATCACCTGCGTGTCTTCGGCTGTGTGGCCTACCCAATGACAATCACTGCGTTGGAGCATGTAAAGTCACATAAGACGCAGTCCCCGCTTGAGCAGAGAGCTCATATCGGTTACCTGGTGGGCTACAGATCGACCCATCAATATGTCGTGTGGATACCCTCGATCCGCCAGACCAAACTGATGGTCTCGGCGAATGTACAATTTGATGAGTCAACAATGTACGATCCGAAGAGGGAAGAAGACGCGGAAGCCTTCCAGGTCTATACATACGATGTTCTTCGTCAAATGGTGGCGATAGACGTCCCTGACGACGAAGACATAGAGGAAGCAGGAGTGCGCAATTACTCCGATGATGAGACAGATGACGGAATGACGCCGTACACCTCGGAGTCAATTGCGGCACCCTCTGCAGACGAGGCGACACAAGAAGCACCGAATTTGAAGACTTCGATGAGGGCTACAACGGACAGTGCCTATATTTCGCCTCCAAGCACTTCAAACAGTAGGGTGGAGGAAGAAACCTCGCCCTCCCCACCAAGCTCTGTCACCACTAGCGTGACCCAGCAGGAGGTCACACACCACGGGAGTCAGGACCCGGAGGTGGAAAACTCAAGCATTATCTCGAGCCCTACGCGGACCGACCCGGAGCCTCAGGTATCATTAGGCACGCCGATCCTAGACGTATTGAATGAGCGATTGAATGAGCCGCCTGTCGATCCGGGGTGGTGCGCTCGAAGAGCCACAATGGTCAGAATTCGAGGAGCTGTCTCTGGGGGTGGGAGAGCCCGACCCCAGAGTCACAATCACAACCTGAAAACGACCCCGCAAGGCGAGGACAAGTCTCAGGATAAACCCGCCAATGTGCTTGAGGGCAAGAGACAGAGGAAGCCGAAGAAGGCCTTCATCAATAACATCATTGCTAATGCCTCGAAGCACAGGCTTCACGTTGAGGATATGCCTCCTGTGCCAACCTCCTTTAAAGCCGCGATGGCTTCGGAATACGCCTCCCAATGGATAATGGGGATGGGGCGTGAAATTGAGGACCAGATGAAGCTCGAAACGTGGACCAAGGTGGCCAGAAAGATGGTTGAAGAAGCCGGCCACTTCATAATCCCGTTGCGATGGGTATATGCATATAAACTGGATGAGCAGGGCTACGTCACTCGCTTTAAAGCCCGACTTGTGGTCCGTGGAGACCAGCAGCCGGAAGACAACGAGGACACATACGCGGCCACACTACGAGCAAGAACCTTCAGAGTGTTAATGGCCCTCTGCTGTCTTGAAGACCTTGAAACAGAACAGTACGATGTGAAAACAGCGTTTCTGTATAATAAGCTCAAGCATGCCATCTATTGTCAGATGCCACCAGGCTACCTTGAGCCTGGGCTATGCTTGAAGCTTCTCAAGGGACTATACGGGCTTCGAATCGCTCCAAGGCTGTGGTTTGAGGCTCTCGGGCTTCTTCAAGAAGCTGGGCGCTCAACAACTCGTCGAAGATGCCTGCGTGATGACTTATAAAGGAGTCATCATCTTCTTCTTTGTGGATGACATCGTGATGATGTATCCAAAAGAAAAGAAGGCCGAATGGGAAGAACTTCACGCTGCCATTATGAAGGAATATACCATCAACCACATGGGGGAACTTCGCTGGTTCCTAGGGATTGAAGTCATCAGGGATAGGGCCCAGAAGAAGCTTTGGCTCGCTCAAGCCTCGTATCTCTCGAAGATGGCCAAGAAATTCCACATTGAGGACGATGATCAGATCCTTGGCGTGCCCCAGATCCCGATAACGACCGAAGAGCTCAAGCCATACGAGAAGACGGCTACTAGGGACGAGGTTCATCAATATCTCTCTCTAATTGGCTCAATTCTTCACCCAGCGATTCACACCAGACCCGACGGTGCGTTCCCGGTTGGAAAACTGGCACAATTCAGCCATAACCCGGGCCCGAAGCATAGGAGAGAGGCCAGGAGATGCCTGGCATACCTCTATCACACGAGAGATCGCTGCATCTGCTTCTCAGTCAAAGAAGCTGAACGCAGGTTCCTCTGCGCTTCTGATTCATCCTTTGCAGACAACCCGGAGACTCGAAAATCCTCACAGGGATATGTCTTCTTGTTTCTAGGCGGACCCGTTGACTGGAAGGCTACGAAACAAGCGACTGTGACGACGTCGTCCACAGAGGCCGAATTGCTGGCCCTGTCAAGCGCGGCGAAGGAGCAAATGCAATTTTCCCGGCTAATTAAAGAGCTTGACATCAAGGTAGAAGGCACCAATGAGCTATGGTGCGATAACCTGCAGACCATCAGGCTCCTGACTGAACTAAGCGCAAAGCTCAAGACGAACCTTAAGCACATCGATATCCATCGTCACTGGCTTCGACAGGAGGTTCAGGAAGAAAGACTCCAGATCACATGGATCAAGTCTACGGAGAATCCCGCTGATGGAATGACAAAGGCCCTTCCCCAGCAAAAGCACGAAGCTTTTGTCAAGCAGCTAGGGATGCAAGGAGACCGGTGGCACCAATTGAAGCCGATGCGCCGGAGGACAGTTTCGACAGTATCACCACCCAGAGAGATATAGATGCTCTCCGAGCATCACCCAGGCACGGGATGGACCCATCATTTTGCTGGTATTGACTTGTTAAAATGCTCCTGGTCACAACACCAAGGAAGACATCATGAAGAGCATCTCCTCAACGGTAGTAGCCTCACTCGCTGGATATTTGATAAGATTGGATGATTCGTCTGTCTTTTGCTTGTTTGCCTCACTCACCCAGTGAGACCGAGGCAAAGGGGTGTGTCAGAGGAGCAGACTGACGGTCTAATCCGCACACGTATAAACTCCGGTGAAAGAGGCAGGTCAGACACAAGGACTTGAGTCAGGTATCGATACAGTAGAGGAACATTGCCTAATCGGGATACACGGAATTGGCACTGATTCAGGGCCACCACGGGTCCCAGATTGGTATCTATTCGTATAAATACCCCCTCAATGTCGCACAGATAGATAAAAAACATGCATCATCGTTTGGACTCAATTGTGCCTGCCCTTATCCTTCCGCCCGCGCTCTCAGCTTGCTGAGATTTACAATGCAGTTTCGCCCTTTTTGAGAATGAGTGGTCAAGAGGTTGTCGAGATCATGAGTCGTGCGCGGGATGCTCCCAACGGCGAGTTGTGGCTCTGTGCATTTTCAGGTAGCCAAGGTAAAACTCGGTGTAGCCATCCTCATCGCTCTTTTGACAGACATATCCAAGATTCGTTTGATAGGCTACTGGGAGGCTTGACAGGCATTGTTCCCGATGTCGAGTTTCTTATCAATCATTTAGATGAGCCGCGTGTCCTGATCCCCCACGTGTCGGCGGATGAGGACTCCCCACGTGGCCATGGACGATTCAACATAACCGACATGTCAGGGCGACCTGTCTGTGATGAGCTTACGAGATTCTGCTTGTCTCAGAAGAGCAGGAGCATAACTGGGACTGGAGAAGCGGCAGAAAGCTTCGGCCTTCCTTTCGTCGCCGACCCTGTGTTGGCCATGGACCTGTGTCGACACCCCGAGTATAGAGGCATGCACGGTCTCCTCATCAGTCCTACCTCGTTCCCGCTGATCGAAGGCCTGCTGCCGGTGCTGTCAACGGGTTCGCTTTCGAACATGGGCGACATACTGTACCCCAGCCCGGCCTACACCGAGGCCGAGTTTCGATACGCCGAGGCACACGATACAGAGTGGGATGGAAAGAGAAACAATCTCTACTGGGCCGGCTCTACCACCGGAGGGTTTGCGGCCGACGGCCAGTGGCGAGACTTTCACCGACAACGGTTCGTCACGTTGGCACAGAATCTGGAAAGCCGGGAGAATCAATACCTACGAGAGAGAGACGGCGTGATAAGCCGTGTAAAGTCTTCGTTCCTCAACATCAGATTGTTCGATGTTGCTTTCACCAGGATATTCCAGTGCGGGAGGAAATATTGCAAAGAGCAGACTGCGCACTACAAGATCAAACCGTGGGTAGACAAGGACCGAGCCCTCGGGTCGCGACTGGTCTTCGACGTCGACGGAAACGGAATCAGCGGACGCTTCTACAAGCTCCTGGCGTCGAGGTCGACGCCGCTCAAGCAGACGCTCTTGCGCGAGTGGCACGACGAGCGGCTCCGGGCTTGGGTTCATTACATACCCATCAGCCAGAGCATGGAGGAGCTTCCGGCGCTTGTCCTCTATCTGACATCGACCACAGCAGGGCAGAGATGGGCGAGGGAGATTGCCGAGCAGGGGCGGGAGTGGTACTCCAAGGCGTTGCGAGATGTCGACATGGCCATTTACACGAGCCGGCTGTTGCTGGAGCTAGCGAGACTACAAGACCCGGAAAGACCGGCAGTCGCGGAAGGGGTCGATGGGCTGGCCAGGGGATCGCAGGGTAGACAGTCGTATCGAGATGGTATTTAGCAGTGGCAGAAGACAAGGGCGGAGTCTGTTGATCTCGGGCGAATCCAATCAAGTGTTCTGAGTCACTTCACAGTACTGAGTGTTCGAAATTGCCGGCCACAGCCGTATGATAGCTGGGCTCTGGAGCAAGTATAAGAGCGAGGGCCTTATATATATGCTTGAGCCATACCATCCGTCATCCTCTCGGACCTCTAAATTAGACATATACATCAAGAGAGGCTCGCAGGGACGAATAGAGGAAAAAAAAGCATTGAAGAAAAATAAGATACTAGAAGACCGGAGCGAGGGGCCTCGTCGACGACATCGCTTATATATCCGTCCCCATATTTCCCTCTCATCGGCACGCTGTAATGTCTCGGAGCAAGAGGCCGCAGGCCAGCCTCCACGGTGCAGGACGCGGGTGGCGTTTTGATTTGCGTTGGGAACAACCGACCCATCTCATCATCGGTCCATGTCGATGGAGACCAGGGGTATAGCACCGTGTTTCTGGGTGCGCGTGCGAGGGCCAGCCGACTCGGTCACCCACCTGGGCTTATCGCCTGCTTGCCGTGGCTCTTCTCAATATTATCCATGGAAAGGTACGCCTCTACCGCCTCCTTTCGCACCTTGAGATCCAGCCCGTCCCTGTTCCGGATAATGCCAAACCTCTGCTCCCCCTAGCTGCCATCGCTGAGGAGATAATCCGTTCCTCCTACGTCGTAGCTTAACTCCCCCATTCTTGCGAAGCCGCCATAGCGGACCGGCGGTAGCTGCGTCAACGTCCTCGTCTCGTCCATATAAGAGGTGGCCAGCATGGACCATCCAGGCGGCAGCTATCTTGGCTTTTTGCGCTACATTGTCTACTGCGGCGGGATCCTTGTTCACTTCATCTGGGGGGCCTCAAATAGTCGTTATAGTGCCTTCTAGCGTATCGACGAGAGACCAGATTGCATATACCTCGAAGGGGAGGCGGCAAAGGCCCGTAACCCTAGCTCCGTAGACCTGGAGATTAACGTATCGTGCTTTCCTTTGCTCTTCTCCGGGAGCCCTCGAGTCATCTAGTTGGCGATGATACTAGGGTCGGCACGTCGTGGGCTAGGAAAACGTACCGTCATCGAGCTTCTCGCGGAACGTATTGGCAAACATGGTCAAGGTCGTCCATAGCTCTGTTTGGCTGTCACTGCCGAGGCCCCGGGTTTCTCCCAAGTTGAACGTCTTGGGCGGCAGGTCCTGGAGCGCATTGATAACGGCGGCCAGCTGCCTTGTTCTCAGCTATCGTAGGGGACCTGGCGCACCAGGTCATGGATGAGGTCCCAGAACCACCAGAGGAAGCCATCTGCGTACTTGCGACTGCAGATCGAGTCTAGGAGCTGGGCGGCTTTTCTTGGCGACGTTGGGCCGTCTGGCGGGAGGGCTGAGTTGAGGATCTCAACCACGTCACCAGCATAGTCTGGTTCGTCCTCATCTTCGACCTGGAGACGCACGCACGGCATCTGCTCGGTTCTTCTTGTTTTATTATTTACAGGCTGTAGTGAAGCCATAATGAATAGAGAGGGGAGAGTATAGTGGGTGCTCCGAGACAACGCTGATGACACGGCAGCGAATAAAGACGACGGTCACGAGTCGCAGCTGCTAATAATCTACTGGAAATACCAGAGGCGTCTTTGAAGAAGAATGGTTGCTACACAATATCTGTCTAATTGGAGAAAGGTGATATGTGAGTATCTAGCCCTTCTACCTGCTCCTATCATCCAATGTCTAACATGCCACACGCGCGATTCTGTATTCCAGACATCCTTTCTAAATACGAAGTGGGTTTGCGAATAGGTATGGACTGGGAGTACCGGCATCAGAGGAGACCAGTGACCGTCGACAATGGACTGAAAATAGTCTCGGTTTCCCAACTAATTGCCCTTTCCATATGGGAACCACAATCGAATGAGCTCGCTTCTGACAAGTTGTTGAGTCTTAACATGGTTGCGCTGTTGTGCTTGAATACTATCGCTGGGTCACTAGCAGAGGCTGGATCCCGGGGCTATGGAGATATGTTGTCTTTCCTTTGCTGGTTTGGATTGTAGGAGCCGACAGACCAGAGTGGTTGGTGCATTGCCTCCCGATTGGTGACTTGAGATGTACAAGTCGTCAAACCAGATTAGTTCGTTACATTCCTTTTTTTTTTGGACAAGAGAAGCGCGTAGCGTCAGTGTTAATAGATAACAAGTCCTGGACACAGTAGATGCAATTCCTCTAAGTTTACCTAGGCCGATTATGGGGCCGTATCAGCTAAGACTTGGACGTAACGAAGATGTGGAGATTCGTCTATTCCTGTTCTATTTGGCTTCCTCCCCCCAAAACTTGCTTCCTTGAAGTCAGATTCAGCATATGGAGGGGCGGGCTTCTCAAAAAGCGCCAGGGTTTCTACTTGACGGAACCGGCATCGTACTCTTCAGCGTGTACGTAGTGAGATGAGTTGCTGTGCGCGTGTCCGCTTTTAGAGTTGAGATGAAGGAGTTGACTGAACGGTCGTTGCATGGCATATATCATGCATGCTAGTGACATGGCCTATCGAGGAAGCCTACGTCCGCTCACTACATGTAACGAACCCGTATACGAGGATAAACAGGCTGTAGCAAGCACTGCTTTCTAGAGACATGGCCCCCTTGCGTACCCAGGCTAACCAAGCCCGCACATTGCAAGAATGGCGGCATCCGACCCCTTCTCGGCGTTTACGTCGCCGACATAGCCAAGTTTCCCGCTCCCGAGCCGTGCCAACACGACAGCCGACTCGCCTGTGACACAAGAGTCCTCGCTGGGCTGGTACCACGCCTCGGTGGGCGCAAAGTTCCTGACAGAGACGGCTTTTTGACTGTAGCTGGGCGGCAGCTTGGCGGCCAGCGCGGTGTCCACTGCGGCTCGATTCAGCACCGTGGTAGTCCTCCGGTACGATGCAACTTCCCAGTCGAGACCGGCCCGAGAGAAAAACGGGTTGATCTTGTCTGGCTGGACGAAGCTGGGAAAGAGGCCCATGACCACGGCGGTGCCGCCCTGACGGACGTACTCGATGGTTGCGTCCCAGATGCGCGTGTTCTTGGCAAAGGTGAGCGCCTCGTCTGTCACGATGACGGCTGATGGCGGCGGCTGCTGCGTGAGGAGACGAAGCGCTGACGTTGCGTCCTCGGCGCGCTCAAGGTCTGCCTTTGATCTCACCGCTGCAAGGAGGGCGTCGTACATTTCGTCGAACCATGGCAGATTGTGCAGTGAGATGAGCAGTACCTGCTTGCGGGAAGCCATGATATCTGATCTTCGTCGAGGGCCTGTGCGGCTGTCCTGCCCATGCTTGCAAAGTGCAAACAATGGCCTCATAGTCCTACTGGGTATGTACTTCGTAAGATGACCTGTGTCAGATCCATGAGTCACGTGTGTCACGTGCAATGCATGTAGGGCACTGTTGGAAAACCACTGTGGCATGCGCCGAAAGTGAAGTGTACACTCCAGCAAATGTACTGCAAGTGGAACTGTTGAGGAGAGCTGAGCCAGGGGGCCTAAGAGCCAGATTAGGGGCCTGCTGGGCCAAGATGATACTCCTAGCAGAGGCATGTATAAAGGGAATAACTTGTATACAATAATATGTTTATGCCCTTTTTGGCTAGTTATTTGTTGTATTTATACTTTATATCCCTTACTCGTCCTGGTAGATAGGCCAGGACATACATTAGTAGATTCGCCGTTTTGAGACCCCTATCCGTACACCTTCCACTATTCTCTCAAGCCACTGCTTAAGAGGAACGAACCTATGACCCATTGAGGTGCTGGTGGTAGCTGACAGATACAGTGGTGTCAGATCCAGTTGCTGTCAGAACTTTAGTCCTAGCCATCATGCCCTTCATCCTAATCACATATAGTGGTAGGGACGAAGGAGCGCACGACATCAGCCCCGGGAATTTTGACAACGAGTGGAATTATAACGATATACGCAAAGGAAAATACGGTACAAAGTGACCTGTGTGGCGGGAGGTGAGCAATTCTATTTGGTGGATTGCCAAGAGCCTGGATAAGAACATGCCGCAATAAGGAGTAGAGGAAAGACAAGCGAATTTACCAACGCCGTTAAGGCCATTCTGTCGAGCTTCTTGTTGATGTGAGGATTTGAACTAGCTTTTGAGCGACCTAGCATGACCACTCATCCGCCCCACAAGGACACATGGCCTTTCTATATATAAACTCTTAGAAATGCACGGATAGATGAATATGACCGTACTTTCTTGCAATGGGACGACAGTGATTTTGATAGTAGTGCGGCTGCGAAGCCCAATGAGGTAGGTCATCGTGTTAGTGCGGGCTAGGGGGCTACGAGCTTGCAAGAATGCGCAGCAGAATACATCCGGAGACACGAGGCAATAGAGGTTATCCAACAGTGTGTTATTCTAACCTTCTTGGTAAAACCAGGTGCACTCCGTTCAAAAAATATTTATACCTGTCTAGATTCTCAATATATCCTCTCGCACGCTATATGCATTAATGGCTTTCCTAGCGGTGTAGCCAACAGGAGATTCCCTGCTGCTGTTTATGAATAGCTATAAATTTTTACTCCAAGAGTCTATAAACAGGGTATTAGGCCTTATTACGGAGCACTATAGGATTTGCATCAACGCGGAAGCTCGGATGCCTTGGAGTAAGGATGACGAGAAGCTCAACGAGACCATCCGGGAATACGTTGGAGGCTGTCACAGACTGCCCACTGGCACAGCATATTGAGGGTCAGTGCAATGGTCCGACTCCATGTGTCTAAAAATTGCCCTGCTAACTTGAGTAGTTCCCCGTGCGAGCGATACTTTAAGTCGACACAGGTTAATGAGAGGCGGGAGGTTTTACTAGACTACGTTAAAAGTGAGCAAAGAGAGCAAAACTGATGATGATCTAGGAAGAGAGGAGGGCTGAGGCGACGACAAGCCACAGCCGGTAACTGCACTGCTGCCTGCAAACCAGCGGTATTTCCATCGCGCATCCAGTCCCGCTCAATCCCGCTCGTTTAGATCGAAAATAAAGAGCCGCTCCTTGCCTGATCGCTGTTTTTATCATGTCGCTCTTATGGAGAGGCAAGGGGAGCGAATAGCCGAAGAGAGATTGACTCTTCAGCACCCCCGCCTCTCCTAGTATCCGAGCAGACGTGGATCTGTGAGGGGACAGCAAGGTTCAACATTTGACCCCATCAAAGGAGCCGGCGAAGTTTGAGTCCCTGACGATGGTGGTCGAGGGAGCGGTTACGTAAGCACCGGAAGCGGAGTTTGCAAATCCACACAGCGGAGCATCAATCACATGATTGGCAGCCACATGCAGGCATATAGTTGCTGCATCCATCATTGCTTCCAAACTTGCTTCTTCTTGAATATACGAAGTGGAGTTAAGGAACAAGACTTACGTGTGAATTATATCCGTGAAAGATATTCATAATTTCCCCCCAAAAAGTGGAACTATTGGTCGCGGTAAATACCCAAACGCCCTCGGCAGTCTGACGAGCTAGCGCGTTTTGCGGCCCCGATTTCTAAGCATGTCCGCCTCCGCCCTGACCTGTAAGCAAGCAGCAAGTTCACGTTGCATCTCATGCATGATGCATGATGCAACCGAGTTCTTTCCCTTTCCCTTTCCCTTGTTCAGCGCCATCTTATCAACTTCTACGTCTGTCACGAACAGGTACAACTGGACTGAAGCGCTCTGCCTGACCGCCTGTTGTCACTCCATCCACCACCACCAAGCGCGCTCTCATAATCACGCATCTTCGGCACCGGCGGGGCCCCTGGCCGAGAGAGCTCCGCCTTTTTTCTTGCTCTCTGTTTTTCTTCCTTCTCTCCCTTCACCTCCATACGGACAGTGCCATTCCTCAACCAACGAGAGACACGAAACAGGGCCAAGGAAGTCGTCGTCGTCTTGCGTGAGGCGTCTCGTGCCCGCCCCCGCTTCCGAATCCACCGCCCACGACCAGGACCAACACGACATCGCTGCCCACGTTCCCCGGTAGACCATGGGTCTCTTGTAAGTAGACAGCCAAGCGCGAGCCCACGACGGCCGCTAACACGGAGAATCCAGGGCGCTCGGCACTGCGCTCGAGTGGCCCGAGGCCAAGAAGCGCGCCCACCAAGTCCGGGAATGGGGCATCAAGGTGCGTCCCCGGCCGACTTGGAGAGGAGACGCCTCTGAGCTAATCCGTTTGGCGTGTAAAGCAACTGCTCGAGATCTGGACAAAGGCAAAGAGCAAGGAGCGCGATGCCATGCTCTGGGGCGACGAGGTTATCCCCCCCCCCCTTCCTCTCCTTTTGTCGCATGGCTGACTTTGGCTTGACCCGGTCAGGTCGAGTACCTCGTCGTCACCTACACCGACAATGACCCCAAGGTGCTCCTGTCTCTGCGCCAGGCCGACATTCTCAACGCACTGGCCGCAGACAAGGAGCTGGGCCAGAATGGAACGACCCCTCCCCAACTCCACGATGAGCCCCTGAAGAGGACCAAGTAAGTGACATGAGCCACACACACAAGCACACACTCTCTCGCCTCTGTCCCGCTCACATCAACAACCTTCAGGTCAGGTCCTCTGCCCGTCTTCCACCCCGAGTTTGGTCGCTTCATGCTCGAGGCAACCCCGGGCAAGCCGTGGGGAATCGGCTTCCGAGAGCTCCTCGACGTCGAGCCCGACATGAAGCTGCGGCGCAAGATTGCAAAGGAGCACATGCTGTCCAGCGAGTATCCCATCACCCTCACCACCTTTCCTCGCCTCGGCAGCCCCGGCCAGTTCACCCAGCCCTTTTACCCCCCCTCGGGCCCCCGGCTCCGCTCGCAGTTTGTGCCCGACGAGATTGCCAACCCGCACATTCGCTTCCCCACCCTCGCCGCCAACATCCGCTCTCGTCGCGGCCGCAAGGTCCAGGTCAACGTCCCCGTCTTCCATGACAAGAACACGCCGAGCCCGTGGACGGACCCGACTGTCAACCGTGATCTGCACACCTGGCCCGAGGACAACGACGAGCGCAACGGCGCTGCCCCGGACGACTTTATCCACATGGACGCCATGGCCTTTGGCATGGGCAGCTGCTGCCTTCAAATCACCTTCCAGGCCAAAAACATCACCGAGGGCCGGCAAATGTACGACCAGCTGAGTCCGCTGGGCCCCATCATGCTGGCCCTGACCGCGGCGACGCCCATCTACAAGGGCTTCCTCGCCAACACGGACGTGCGATGGAACCAGATCAGTCGCTCCGTCGACTGCAGGACCCCCGAGGAGCTTGGGGAAAAGGTGAGCCGATCCCGGTGGGGCGGAAGCAGTGGGCGAGTTGGCGAGAGATGCTGACCCCAGTCCCTCGGCCCAGCCGCTGAAGCATGATCGGTGGCGCATCCCCAAGTCGCGCTACGCCTCCAACTCGACCTATATCTCGACGGACCCGAGACTGCGTGACGAGTACCTGGACCCGGACCTGGTCATCGACACCGACATCAAGGCCAAGCTGCTCGACGGCGGCATGGACGACCGCCTGGCCACGCACTTTGCCCATCTCTTCATCCGCGATCCCATTGTCGTCTTCGCCGAGGACCTCGAGGAGCTTGATCTCGCCAAGACGGACCACTTTGAGAACATCCAGTCTACAAACTGGCAGCACATGCGCTTCAAGCCACCCCCCGCCGACAACACCATTGGCTGGCGCGTCGAGTTCCGGTCCATGGAGATTCAGATGACGGATTTCGAGAACGCCGCCTTTTCCGTCTTCATGGTGCTCGTCACGCGCGCCATTCTCTCCTTTGACCTCAACTTCTACATCCCCATCAAGCGCGTCGACGAGAACATGGAGCGCGCCCACGCCCTCGACGCCCTCCTCACGGAAAAGTTTTACTTTCGCAAGAACCCCTTTCCGCCCCGGCCCTCGCGGCCCGGGACCGCGTTGGGCGGCAGGGGGGGCAGCGACGACTCCCCGTCGTCGCGCCCCGCGTCGGCCATGCCCAGCCGCTGCGGCTCGCCCGGCGTCACCCCCGTCGAGGACGAGTACGAGGAGATGACGATTGACGAGATTGTCAACGGCTCGCCCGCGGGCCAGTTCCCCGGCCTCATCCCCATTGTCGAGAGCTACCTCGACAGCGTCAACGTCGACGTCGAGACGCGCTGCCAGCTCGCCACCTACCTCAAGCTCATCGGCAAGCGCGCCAGCGGCGAGCTCGACACGACGGCCCGCTGGATCCGCAACTTTGTCGACGCCCACCCGGGGTACCGGCACGACAGCGTCGTCGACGACGTCGTCACCCACGACCTCATCGGCGCCGTCATCGCCGTGGGCGAGCGCGAGGCCGCCGGCCGCGGCTTTTCTGGTCTCGGCATCCACGGCCTGTCCCGCCTGCTGGGCAGCTTCCGCGGCGGCTGCGGCCAAGAGGCCAACGGCGCCGCGCAGAGCAACGGAGAGGTCGCTCCAGACGTCGCCGACACCACCAACGATCCGGACCCGACTTCGCGCAAACGTAAGAGCGATTGGCTGGAGGGCCAGGCTGTCCAAGCCCAGTAGATTGGTGGGGGGAAGGGGGGGTTCGAGCATCCGCTCCCTTTCTTGCTTTTACGTTGTCATGCCAAGAAGCACCTTGTTCAATGAATCGTGGCGGCAAAATAGAGAGTGAGGCACCATGGCGCAAGACCAATGCGAAACAGGCCATGGCCGGTTCTCGATACGCTGGCTACACCTATTGTCCCCTAACCTCAAGGGCAACGCCGGCTGCGTGCTGTAGTGGCAGCTGCACGACTAAAAGGGGCTTTCAAACCGTTCATTGAAGGCAAGGCCGGCCACCAAAGCTAGCAACCCCGTTGCCCCTGTTCATGGCAGTGCAGAGACGCTCCCCCTTGCATCCACCGATGAACTCGCTTCCACCCGGACACTCTTCAAGGGATCGACATCTGTAGAATACAGCCCGAACGAACGGCCCGGCCGACGCCGACAGACAGCAGGAGGGGGAAGAGAAAGGGGGGTCGGTGAAGCTGAGTGTCTTGAGCCCAGCAGGGCGTTTCTAGAGAAGGCAATCTAAAGTCGTTTGGCGCTACGGTTTGGGCTGTGTCTGTCGCAGCTTGACGGACCGCGGATCTTGCCTCCGTCAGCAACCAGGTCCTGCTGACAACATCGCGGCTGCGGCTAGTAATGGCTTGTTGATCGTTGATGAGTCTCGCAGGGGTGAGCATGGTTTCGGGGCGAGCACAGGGATTGGGCTTTGGAGGGAAAGCAGCCCATCCTGGGCTAATGTCTTGGCCGAAAGAAAAACCCTGTCTTTGATTTTCTTCTTGATTCTCGTCCTTTCTTCTTTCGCAGAGGAATGAGCTAGATGCTTACGGTGGTCATTCATTTCAAATCAAGGGCGGGAGCGGTACCCAATCAACCAGCCGGGCACGGGGCTAAGAAATGGTTCAATCATTGTTGGCAGTGGGTGCTGATGCGCCACGGCTTACCGGCGCTTGGAGTGTCGAGAAAGAGTGAGAGCTTGGGGCCGATGCTGGTTTGCGACCGAGGACCGGCGCGCGCTGGAAGGGAAATAAAGGGCGACGCGGTGGAAGACGATGTGAATCAATAACGAGCCCGCCGAGTGCCATACTGAAGTAGAGCGCCTGCAAAGGAATATCGAGCGTGTTGTTTGGGTAGCTTGGGTGGACTCCTTGCTTGCTTTGGCTAAGGGGGGTGAAACTCTACCCTCGCGTCCCGAGGGCAAACCGTGAGTAAACAAGGCGCGCACGAGGCTGGCATACCTTTGCCTGGAATGCCCGTCACTAAGAGTTGCGATACGCTGGCCGCGTGGTTGAGCGAAATAGCAGCAGTCAGCATGGGAGAGATGTCTCTCTCAAGATCGGTTGTCGTGGGTAGCGAGATGCGACCGTCTTGACAGGGGTACTGCGAAACCAAAGAGGGACTGGCCGGCCTGATACGGGGCCGGCGGCTTGCGCGTGCCATAGGTAAGCCTGTGACGGTCCCGGGACGCGCTGTCGATTGACCCGACGAGCGAGTGGGATAGGGTGGTGCCTCATGCAGACCTTGTGGCTTCAGTGGCCGGTTGTCGACGATGGGAGTCGACGCGGGCTTTGATGCGGACGGGCAGTGACTCTGGCGGACGATTGGTGGCGGCAGAACGTGGTGGGTCATCGTGGCTGCCTCGTGCGAAACAACTGTCGATTTGAAACGCGGTTGCAGTGTAAAGCAGACGGGGCTGCAGGCCGGGCAGCCCGTGTCTCCTCTGTCCCCCCATGGCGCGCGACAAGAGACAAGGCCGGCAGGGGTTGTTGGCCGGGGGGAGCCTGAGACTGGAGGGAGATCGGATCTGGCGATGCAAACTGACGACGAGTCGGGCTGAGTCGGTGAGCCGGTGACGAGGGTGCGTGGCCTGCGAAATGTGCTCACTGGTCTCGGGACCAAGTAGGGAATCTTCGACGACAGCGGGGGCACGGCCGACGTGAGGCGGAGTCGAGGCCCCGGTTCTGCACGCGACAACGCAAGTCGACCAGGAGCAAAAGGTGTCGGTCCAATGACGCCAGGTCAACGAGCATGAACTCCAAGGAAGAGGAGACGTGCACGATGATGGCGCAGCGCCGTCGCATCCTCTGTCTCTCATCTGAGTCAATCTCACCAAGCCCCGTCTCGCCCTGCACCGATCTCAACAAACGTCGTCTCGGCCTCGTCATTTTCCATGGCTGGTAGGGAAGGGTGGCGCGGGAAAATAGACGACTCGTGTTCCCCTCCTTGTCGCTCGCTCGAAAGAGTCTCGTATACAGGATCCGTAGGCAGGCGGCACGGGCTACGCGTCGTCGTCTCGTCGTCGTTGTCGTCGTCGTCGTTGGGTGTCATGGTGATGTGACTCTCGTTGGTTTTGACGCGGTGGATTGATTACCTACTGGCTTTTTGTGGAATCGGCCTAAAAACGGAGCTGTTGTGCTGACCTTATCGAGAGCAACCTATAGAGTACCTCAAGCGCAGTGCAAAGCCTCTACCAAGCCAAGGTACCGCCCCTGTCCTCAAAACAAGAGGGACATGCCAGCCCGCAAGCCGTTGGTCTCGATCGGCAACACCCCCCTTCCCCAGCTCCTGCCTCTTCCCGCACCCCCCCCTCCACCCGTTCCTTCCTTCCCTTTGCCCCTCCCTCCCTCCGTCCCGGGCGCGGGCCGTCCGTCTTGGTCCGTGGCGGCGCCGCGCTGACGATGTTGCGACGCTTCACGGGGGGGCGCGTCCAAAAAAAGCTTCACTTTGAAACACACAAGGGGCTATGTTTTTTTCCCTTCTTTTTTTTTGGATGTAATTCGTCTCTTGGAGCCCGGTTCTTTCTGCTCCATCGTCACCCGTCCCAGCAAGCCAGCCAAACAGCTTAAGGGGGCGCCACGGAGAACCCCTGGGCCAAGTGCATCGTTTCGCGTCATTCCATTCCTCCGTTCGTTAATGTTTTCGTTTCCCGCCTCCCTGCTCTTTGGTTGATTCTGATGCCCTTTCCCGCATCCATGTCCTTGATTTCCCACCTGCCGTCATTCCTGCACCGCCGTTGCTGCGCGGAGAAAAGGACACCCTTTCAAGAATAACAAACCATCCTCTGGGGTAGTTTGTCGGGGTGTGTTTCCCCTTTTTTCCATGGACCCCCGGAGCCATGCCGGGCACCTTACATGGCTTCGGCTGCCTCGAGGAACCCCAATCAGCCACCAAAGACCATGTCAGCCGCCCCGACTTTGTACGCCATCGTCTTCCATGTATCACTGATGTGATCGGTCCATGTCGCCCTCGGGGCTCCTCAATGACCACGTATCGATCCAGTCCCGAGGCCAAGAGCAGCGCCCTATATATGACTTATATGGCGTGTTTGCCCAAGCAGAAAGTCAGGTGGGAGTCCTTTCTGGACCCCTGGGGCCAACCACCTTGCCGTGTGTCTTCAGCGCCCGTCACCCTTCCCACCACGGGGCTTGCTGTTCGAGGGAGAGAGACAACAAAACGTGAGCTGGGCTGCGATTTGCACACCGCGTGTAAGCTGCGTCATACACACTGCACCTACGTGCCAGTTAAGGGAAGGAGGAGAAAGAGGGGTTCATCGAGTCTATGGAAGAACATTGAGCACGAGGTAAAGCGAATCGTCCATGAGGCTTTTCCTCTTCGTGTGACGCAGACAGCAACGAAATCTGAGCCAATACACGCACAAACGATGCCGACGTCGGCAGGCTTTACCGCCCTTGGCTTCCGCACCACCACCCCTCATCGGTTGCACGCAGCAGGAGATCTCCGGATGCTGAAGCCTGCGTCAGCCGTGTTTCTGATGGAGTGGCACGAGGAGGAGAAGGCCTGTCGATGGGCGAGGGGGCGGTACGTGAATAGTACGGTGCAGTAGGGGACACCGAGAGCCAGCCTCGATACCGCAACGAGTCGATGGAGTGATTGGCTGGCTCGGAGGGGGGCCATAGCCAAGGACGCCCGCCGTATCTGCAGCACCTCCCGCAGCAACAAAGAAGAGCTGCTGGCTTTGTCCCCATCGATCTCTCAACGCCCTCCCACCTCCTTTCTGTGACCACTGAGCTACCCCAGCAGACGGCGATGCTGCACTCTCAAACTCCTTGTCCTACCCGCCGCCCGCAGCGCCTCCCTTAGGGTCCACCAGACACATGTCATCAAGCTGCCGTGTCTTCCGTCATACGGACACAGAAGACCATTCATTCCCTCGAGTCACGCTGTCGCGTCACACGGGGCTTATTGTTGTTGTTCAGAAGAAGCCGAGGGTGGGCAACGGGAAAGGGCTGGGGGCAACATGGAAGCAGAAGAGGGCCCGGCTTCAATATTGTGCATTACTATTCCGGCCGTCGTGTCGTGCCCCTTGCCGCCATCATCAGACCCTTCCGAGATTCGGCTCGGCGTTACCCAACTTCCCAACCGTCCACCGTCCCCCGTCACAAGAGCCAGCCAGCCAGCCAAGCTCCCCCCTTACCCATTTTCATCCAATACTTCTTTCATGTTTTCGTACAAAAGACAATACAAGGCTCCCCCCCTCCCGGTGGCGGCCTTCCAACGCCCCTCGACCCTTCAGATCTCCCTGTGCGATGACGCCTTTCTCGTCGGGATTCGCAGAGGGCCGCCCAGATGCAGTACCACCGCCGCCGCTGCTGGTGTTGTACGAAGCTCTCGGTACATTCGGTGCAGTAGCACACCACGGGGACACCACAGCCCCAAGACGACGAACCCGAAATGACGAAGCTCGTAGACTAATAAAATAGACAAGCGCGCGGCCTTGGAATTCCCTCTTTTGGCGACGTGCCGGCCTCCCTCCGCTAGCCGGCATCATAGGCAGTCTCGGATAAAGGATGCCCTCGTGAGATAATAACAGAGATGAAGTAAGACCAGCCAAGGCTGTAAAAAAGAAAAAGATGCCCAAAAAAAGCAACGCAAATCGATCACCGCCTCCTTTTTTTCCCCCGCCTGAGTTCTGACAGACCTCGACCGTTGACCACGACGGCAGCAGCCCAGCCTCCCCACCCAAACGGTTCCGCGATGTGACAAGTCTCATAGCACAAGCCCTCTCAGACTCATGCTCTCATGCTGGAAAAGCCCACTTTGTGCTCATTGTTCCTCTCATCATCACATGCATACCTTCTGTCCCCCTATTGTTGACACCCGCTTGTCTCCTCTTACCCCCCTGCCCCCCCTCTGACCTTTGCAAAACCTTGTCTCTTGTCGCTCTCTTCCATGTCGTTCCCACCCCTCCCTCACCCTTCCTCTCCAGATAGTCCAAGTCAGTCACATCTGATCTGCGACAAACAACCTCGCCCCCTTCTTAAAACGAAATAAAAATATTGGCGGCAGCAACCACATATGTTCATACACATCGCCGATGGCGTACTGGTGTGAGCGTGGATACAGACATTGAGTACCAAGTACAGTGTCACATAGAGAAGGCGTCAGTAGGTTGTAGTCTCTCCATAATCTTCCTTGCTTCTGAGGAACGAGCCAGGAAAGAAAAAGAGGAGAGACAGCTATCAGGGTGACGAAAGGGGAAGCAGCTAGCAATTGAAACAGAAAAGGTAAAGAAAAGAAAGCAAACAAATAATACCCGAAAGCCAAGCCTGGGGGACGTTCCAAGGTTCTTGGCTTGCTTTTTGTTCATCCTTTCTTTTCTTTTCACAATGTTTTTCCTTCTGCAACTCCTTGGGAAAGCAAGGAGACAGAGAGAGAGATGGAGAGAAAAGGCGAGGAGAAATGTCTGGGCCAGCCTCGGCAAGCACTCTGTTAGGCGCCAACTTGGCAGAATCACAGATGGACAGAAAGAGCGAGTGAGGAGAGGGTGATGCCATCCCGGATGCAGCCAACGCTCCGAAACAAAGCTTTTTGACTGGCCTTGCCCAAGGAAGGGGGGCAGCAAACACCGCCGAGGCTTGTTCCCCGGTCAAGCAGGTCACTCAAAATAGTAACCTGAGACACTGTTGTTCTCTTCCCTTGTTGCGCCGTGCGCGCCTGTCACGCCGCGAGGGCCAAAGGCAGGAGAACGAACAAGTGCACAGACCGAGGCCATGTCGACGCGTGCTGTGTACCGCTTTCTTCATCCCGTATCATTTGCGAGCGCGGCGGCCGTGGATGCATACATGGCAGAGATTAGACACTACCGTCCTTGACAAATACATGGCCAGCTAGGAACCGCGCTCGGCCTTGACCCCAAACCGCTCTCGAGTCAGTTTCAGTATTCTCCGCCGCAGCGTGTGGCTTTAAACAATAGCTTATCTTTATCTAAGCGACCCGTCCAACAAGCCCAAAATGCACAAACCCTGGGCAATGGCGGAAAGTGGGCGTCACTTCGCCAGCCCGATCTGCCAATCCATTCGCGGATAACGCCTGTAATGCCCGTTCCATCCATCCATCCAAAATAAGGTATCCGAGGATCGACACATATGTGCAGAAGGTGCCTTGCGCCAGCGTTTGTGTTGTGGAAAATGGTAATATGAGTAGCGCCGAATGAACAATGCAGACAAGTCGTGGATGAATTCCGCCCTCGAGGGCCCGGCTCGGCCTCTGCGCCACCGTACCGGGCAAGACCAAGCTTGGAACCGTCATTATTCGAGAGGGTCGTCTGACAAGGTCTCGAGTGGCTTTTCGATAATTGGGTGGCGCCCAAGGGGGAGGGTGCGTCCCCGACTTCGTTGTGACGCCGTCTCACACGTTCAGCTCCTGTCCTCGGGCTTGGGCCGTATGGACCGTGCTTCCAACTGACGCTTTCTCTCCAACTTGGCGTAATGCAGCCCACAGGCATTGCACAGAGTCCTCGCACCATCGGGGCCTCGCCGCCACTCGGGGGTATCAATCCGATTGCAGCTGTGGCATCGTCCGGGTGGCGCAGCTCGCTTCATCCCACAGTCAGCGAGATTCTTAGCAGACGATTAAGCACACACTTACCCCACGTCTTTTCTTCACCTCGTGTGATGGCATGGCGTACTGAGGCTTCATGGCGTCTCCGTACATGGGAACATCGTGGTCCTCTTCGTATGTCCCCTTGATCTTGATGCCCTCTCGAGCTCGTTCGCTCTGAATGGAAGCTTGCACGGCGTCTTTGACTTGATCGAACGACTGCTTGATCACCTCGAGGTTCGCAAGCATGTCCCCAACCTCGCGTTCCGTTGGTAAGCGCTCTGGGATGGGCTGCGACCCGTGCTGTTCCCTTGCAATCCTCGTGTAGGCCTCGGCGAAGTTGAAAATGACGCGTGACGATGATCCAATCTGCAGCAGTCTGGTCAGCTTCCCGAATCTGTACATGTCTGCCAGTGGGTGGTCACATACTCGGGAAAGGGACTCTAGATAACTCCAAGGCTCAAAGTGTCTGTTGAGCGAGGGGTCGAATCTCGCCCGGTTGGCGTAGTCGGCCTCGTCTGGGTGTAGGGGCTGCGCTCTCGGGTCGTAGACGGGTACAGTGTGACGAGGAGAGATGGGATAACTGGGAAGCGGAACCTGGCCGGGCGGGAGCTGGCCGGGCTGGTAGGGATGCGAGGTGGGCGGCGGGTGTGGATATGCACCGTTGTCCGAGGGCTTCTGCGAATGTTGCGAGGGCATATCTGGCTTGGTCGGAGGCGTTGGCCGCCTATCTGCCACAGGAGGTAGGCTGTGACGACCATTGAAGGGCAATCTTGGGGAGTCGACAAAGGCAGGCAAGGTGTCTTGTCTCTGAGGAAAGGAAGAAGTTGGATGCATGGGCTGTGGCGATGGGTGCTTGTCCGAGTCGGCGTACTGGTGGACAGCCTGGGGGAAGGATGAGGGCAGGCCAGAACCAGGAGCCATGTTGGACTGGCTATGCGGAGGGTACTGGGCCGGTCTGGTGCCGGAAATGACCTCTGAGATGGAGGGTAGCGACTGTCGATTGGGGGAGTCGTTGTCTTCAGGGTGCCTGCGAGGCTCTGAGGAGATCATGGCGGACGAGTTGACAGTCGAGGCCGACGAGTGTTGGGAGAAGGTGGGCGTGTACGAAGGGTAGTGGGCGCTCGGGGCGAGCACGGTGGCTGTGGCCATGGCCGGTTGGTCTTGTCGATGGCGCCTGTCTGGAAGCTCTCGTGGAGCTTGGGCAAGCTTGTGTTGACGTAGGTGAAGCTGTTGATGGGAGAGTGTATTGGTGGTGGAGGAGGAGGAATGAGGAAGTAGACTGGAGAGGGCGGATGTTAATACGGGAGAGAAAGGGAGGTGGAGGATTCATGTAAGACGGACCTTGGCCGGTCACCCGGTTCCATAGCGCGCGTGGCGAGGGACCCAAGTAAGATCTGGCGCGAATCAGGGGTGTAGATACATGTGCGGATGTGTGTGTGTGTGTGTGTGGTGTGTGTGTACGGAGGAGTATGTACGAGATGGGATGAAGGGAACCCAGAACCAACCGCCCAAATTGACTGCGAGGCGGCGGTTGGGGAGAGGAAGAAAGAGAGCGACAGGTGGCTGAGTAGGGAATAATAAGAGGTAATAATTGAGGGCGAGAAAAAAGTACCGATAGCCCAAGACCGGGGTCAGTCGAGATCTGACGCGATGGGCGACTCCTCGTGGTGGCGCCTGTCGGTGCAGGGGTTCGCTGTGCAGGACAAGACACGGCCAATCCAAGAGATGGGCGGCATGTTGGCCTGCTGCTAATCTGCCTTGGGGGAAGGGCGTGAGATTTGGGCGCAACGTGGGAGGCGGGCGTGGCCTTAGCGCTGTGCATGGTGGTGGTGATGGTGGTGGTGCGGGTTCAGAGCGGGTACGGGGCACGCCTAAATCGCACTGGAATGACGGACGCTGGAGCGGGCGCGCTAGCAAAAACATGTGTTGTTATTTTTGTTGTCCTTGGGTGCATACTGACGATTGTTCTGTCTGTCCCGGGGGGGGCAGTCGAGATGAGGTCCATGTTGCGGGAAGGGCCGTGATGCAGCAGCAGCGGCAGCGGCAGCATCTACTGTAGCGAAGGGCATCGACGTCGCGCGTCGCCTCCCCGTGGAAGCTGTGCCCGCGTTTGAGGGGGGGGGGTTCGATCGGCAGATGCAGCAGCGACAGTTGGAGTTTCCTCTCAATTGGACCGTCGTGACGTTGGCACATCTGGACAGTGAAAGCCGCCCAGGCGAGATGCAGCCCGAGGCAGATGCGTCTCCATTAGTCAGTAATGCCTGCTCCTACCCTACCCTGCGAAGGCACAGAAAAGTCGGCCAAGTACTGCGCGTGCCCCCAGCACCAGGCAGTCCCCTGGCTGCTGTGCTGGTCAACAGTACTTGCTCTGGGCGGGTCAACCATTTTCCTTTATTTGCTACCTGGCCAGAGATGCTGCCTCGCAGCTTCACATTTCATATTTCCTCCGGCAGACGACCGATGTCGATTCGATTGGCCTTTGGCCGAGACATGATCAATCCCAAGCCGTCTCGTGCTCTACATACACTCCCGATACCGCCCCAGGTGTGCGGAGTAGAAACTCCGCCTGGACGCTGCAGACTTGCATCGACACCTACCGTTACCGAGAGGCATTGCGGCACGACAAGTGGCCGCTCGTGCATCTCCGAGTCCTTTGTGCTGTTGTGCTCGGGCGCTAGGGACAAGTCCCCGTACAGTAGTCGCTCACGATTGGTGCTGTTGCTGACGGGCTCATTAGAGGTATCCGCATCTTGTCAAGATCAGCAGCAGCTTGGTTCCATGACGCCTAGCTCACCAAAGGTCTCAATGGTCGACAGAACAGGACTCTCTGTCCCGCGACGGCAAACAAACCTTGCTTGAGCGATAAACCCCCCAAAGCTGGGGGGCCAAATCGGCTCTCGCGATCCCTCTCGATCCTCCCTTGGTGAACTCGCCCCGACAGCCTGGGTGGGGGAGTGCAGTAGCGCTGGATCATCTCAACCACGGCCATGGTATCTGACAACACTCCAAACAAGGAACACGCAAAAGGGGCCAGGCAGATCGCCTCTGGCCTTGCGGGAAAACACATGATTCCGGCGCCATGCGCCGTTCCTTCCAGCTGCCGGTAAGGAGTGGTTTTAACAGCGAAAAAGGCAGCCCCGGTTGACTTGAGTGAGAAGACGTTTGAAACCACTTGCTACTAGCTTTACCGACGGCCGCAGGTTGCCGAGGGGGGAGAACAAGACATCGGTCAGCCCAAGACTGACTGATGAGCGCCGCGAGAGAGGCCAAGGTTGCTTTTTGGCTGGCTGTGCTTCCTTTCTCGCCCCCTCCCCACCGGCGCCAAGAGCGAGAGAGGCCTGGACCCCGGGTACGAAAGGGGGGGGTTTCGATGGGCCACTGCCATCATTCTGTCGTGTAGTCGACGTCAGTGAGTCCGTCGAGCGTTGGGGCCATGATGCGGTAAATGGGCAGTGACGAAAAGTGGTTGTTGATAGAGACCAAGACCTGGGCTGGAGCCGGGGTCGAGGCGGTACATACAGTAGCGTCGGTTGGATGGATGCGGGTTCGTCGACCTAATCTCTCTCAGATCCAAGATGAGCCTTGTTCGATTTCGGGTGGATCTTGATCACGCCAGTCCCATCCGCGCAACCTTCCCTCTCTCTCCCCCACCCGGCTGACTTCCTATTTGGATGCCGCCCCATCTCCCAAAAAGTATCCATCCATTCCTCATCGCCGAAACTCACTTTGTCTGCCGTTGACAAGATGCCATCGGCACAAGAAAGAGGGCTCCCAGTAGCCATGTGCCCTCCATGCTGTCTTTGCCCTTTCCCCCTTGGCGAAGGCAAAGGAACAATTAGCTCAAGCCGATCCAAGTGCGCCCGTAAGGGAAAAGGAAAGAAAAACAGGTAAAAGGGAAAGGCAGTTGACCCAGGGCCCGGTGGGGACGCGGCTCTAGACGTTGTCGAGTCAGTGGTACACCGGTGTTGAAGGATTCGGACTCGCAGGCTCACGAACCAACGCGGACCCTGGCCAACTCTCATCTCGCTACCGACTCGTGGTCCCGCGATTACTCTGTCTCGTGCTCCCCCCCATCCCGGCCTGGCTTCCAGAATGGCTCAATGTGACCCTGCCGCGGCAGTGGCATCCGGGGCTACGCACTCAGGTGGGCAATTCCAAGAACATGTCCGGTCACGATTTTGTTTGTCCTGCACTCATCGTGCGTTTTGGCCGACATTGTACATACTGACTTGGCCCCCTCTCCTACGTTCCCTTTAATTTGCGCTTTCATACAATGCACAGGGATCGACATCGATGGTTGGCCCGTGGCTCGAACCACATTGCCCAGTAGGCGCACCGGGGCACTCCATCACCAATACGGGTGACGAGACAGGTCCCTGCCGCGAGAGGAGCAGAAGCAGGTGCCCATCCGTGGCAGATTGGCCTGGGTATCACGGGTCCAGCGTCCCGTTGCCGCGCGCCGTCCTTCCACCCCCCCCTCCTTTTTGTTCCCTCCTCCCGATCGGCCGGGATATCGAAACGCCAGGGACAAGGGGGGGAAGAGTGTGCTTGGTTGCTGCAGCGCATCACGATCAAAGGGAGATAGGGAAACACACTCTGACGGTAACTGGCTCGAGCCTTGATCATCCTACCACCCGGCCGGGCTCGCTGGTCTCTCCCACGGTCTCGGCCCGGGGCCCTACGGAGCACCAGCGGCAGAGACGGACGCACTAGTACTGTAGCCGTGCTTACGAGACATGGAAATCGCCCGGCGGAGTGGAAGAAAATCGAACGAGGGCTTTGTCGGTTTCGGTGCCTTGAGTCTGGCGCTCCCCCAGACCCCTGCCATCGTCATCGGGCGGTGTGTGCTCTTTGGGGGAGCTGCCGGCCTTCGGCGTGGGGACAACACGACATGGGGTTGAAGAGACAGCCCGTATCAACGTGATACATTCACACCCGGCTATATACTGTGAGTATGTGTGTATAATTATAGCTCCACCGCAGACCGAAAGCTAATCAGAGAGAAGGAAAAGAGAGAGAGATCTGCCGACTGCAACGATTCTCGTCCCCCTTTACAGAGAGAGGCCAGCATGTTTTGCCCCTGCACAACGTCGGAGACTTTGCTGACCGTGACTTTTCTTGTGGCCCCTGTCCAGATAGTACTGTATGCAGCGAACCGATCACGCCTTGTGCTTGGTTCTCCCCTCCTTTCTCCCCATCCCATCCCCAGCGCGGATGGCCATCTTGGCTAAGCGGCACAGAAGCCCAGCCTGCGTCGATGGCCGGCTCCACCAGTACCGATTTTTCTTCGTCGATATTACAGCAACTAAAAATATGCCCCCGCTACAAGTACCCAGACCTGGTAGTTTCCGCGAGGCCATTAGTTTATCGAGCTTAGTACAGTCTCTCGCACTTTTCCGAGCGCAGGAGATGAGCGCTGACGAGCTGACGACATAAGCCCGGCTCTAGAATTGGAACGGGCGATCGTCATCAACGGGGAAAGACGGCTCGAGTCAGCCTGGATGGAAAATGCAACGAGTCAACTCACAAGCTCCCATTCCCCCAGTCCTTCGGGGGCTGCTGCGAGTAATGCCGTTGCGACGCACTAGAGAATCCCCCTCGTCTGCGACTTGTCCCTCCTTTTACTGTTTCCCTTACCGCATCGATCTCATCGCATCGCATCGCATCGCATTGCATCGCATGCTTGCTTGCTGGCTTGTCCGTTCCGGGGAGGGACAACAGCGGCCCGTCTGCTGCCTCCCTGCCCAGTACATACGTAGGCGACTCGGTCGCCTGTACTCCAGACGCAACGTGTTCATGCCCGCAGTAGGTAAAAGCTCAATGCTGAGCCCCCAGGCTCACGGGGGTTCCTTTTTGTCGTTGTGTCCGCACCTGTCCCGTGACCTCGGCATGCATGCTTATGCAGCTGCGTCTTTACCGAGACTGATACTGTCTCGGACACAAGTTTTATTCTTCCGCTGTAGATTGGCTTCAAGGCCGGCACTGCAGACGCTTCCTCCAGCAGCAGGGAAGCCATCCGCTTAGCCATGGACAAGCCTCGCATCTGCCATCGACGATTGCCGCCGCGTAATATTGGCATATGCATCCGTTATTGACCTCCCGGCGGCTCCCTGGGGAGGGAATCCTCCCGTCGGATGTACCGTCGCTGC